TGTGTTGGTCTCTGGAGAGTCTGCGGAGGTTTTTGCGCACATACTGTACAGAAATATATCGAACCGTGAACTCGCAGTGGGGTGTAGTTGCCCTTCTGCCACGACTCTGACTCCCCTCTCTTCTCCTTTCTACCTTAACTCACAAAGAACCGAATCTCGGGGCAACTCCACCCTCCTCCACATCTGAACGGTCATATTTTCTACCAGTGAGGGCAACAGATTTCTATCAACTACAGCATTAAATCGTTAACTTACACTACATGTGCACTTTTCTTAATTTATTACTGAATATTTGTTTGTTTTGATCTCTTTATAAATCAGAAAAGTTTCCATTTTCTTTATGAGCACAAACTTTTTTACGACAAACTGTCATCTGTGAATATTCTCTCTATCGTGGCACTTTTATCAGCCATATTAGGAATATTAGCACATTTCTCTCCTTAGTGTTTTGAACTTTTGTTGTAATTTGTTAAATAGTGAATATTTATTACTTATTTTGCTGCTGTAAGTGTCCAAAATCACATCTGCCACAGTTCATGTGCCATTTTTTGTTCAATCTTTTTACTTTGTAAATATTTTGTTTGTTCTGTGCCAAGTTTTCCTTTTTTGTACCACCAATCAGTGTTAGCCTGTTTGATACATGAGCCATTGTTATCACAGTGTCAGAGATCAGTCTGCCAATATGTCTTCAGGAAACTGAAGGAAGTATCAGCGAATGAAAGCTTAACTTATTCAAAGGTGAAACAATCACAGGGGTTCAACTTTCCTCAAGTTTGTTATTTTTTCAGTTTTGGTTCTTGTGTGTACACTGAAAACTGCAGTCTTACATGTGTAGATTTATGTTTGACATCAGAAAAGATAAAGACATAATGTACTGTTTAGTTTTAAAATTACATGTCTTAACTATGAGTTGTATAAAACTGTGACATAGTCTCAGAAGCGTCACCTGTCATTTATGGCTTAGCAGTGGAGCAGAGGTTAACACACCCGAATCATTCAGATTAATGATAATGTTGAAATTCTACTGTAACATGGAAACTGACAGGGTTTTCTTGGTTTTCACAGTCAGCCCCAAGTGGACTTTTGAGGAACTGCATTTTTTTTCCCCCTTCACATTAGCATCACTTTTCAACACTTGAGGTTTCTGCCTGATGATAAGAAGTTATTTTTAGATGTCATACGTATCAAACGACTCAGTGATACAGCAGGTGGATTTTGTAGCAACCCAAGATCTCTCTCCCCGGCTCCCTGTGCTGAGGCTCAGCTAATCTAAGATAGCTGACTGGAGGTTGATAACTGACAGATTTGAAATTGGTTTCTGCAGGCAAGAAAGAAAAGACTGATGTGTTTCTTTTTTAATTTGTTGCATTATTAGTTCATGGTATCATGATTTATGGAAACAACATTTCCAAACCCTCAAACAACATTTTTAGGGTCTGAATGTTTTTCCTTTTAAAATTCTGACTTATCTTGAAATTCAGACTACTCTCATAGGTCTGACAATTTCATGGCAGGATTTTGGGATTAAAGTCAATCTGACTTTAATCTGTCTATTCTAAATTTAATCCCATAATTCTAAAATTAAAGTCAGAATTCTGACTTCAATCTTGGAATTCTACATTTAATCTCAAATTTATGACTTTGATTTCTCAATTAGCAGAGATTCATAATTCTGAGATAGAAGTCTGTGAAATCTGACTTTTATTTCTTTACTCTGAGGTTAAAGCACTTGTCTGCCTTTTAATATCTCATTTCTAACATTTATTATTCAAATTTTATTTAATCACAATTTAGAATTTAGATTGATCTCAGAGCTGTGGGAAAAGTCTTTATGCCGATAACAATCTCATCAACCCGAGTTTTGTCTCAGATTTCTGACTTTTATTACATAATTATGATATCATGGCAGAATTAGGACTTTAGTCTCATATGACCAATATTTATTTTATTGGCTTAATTCACAATTCTGACTTTTATTTCAGAACTCTGAGAAAGGTCTTTATACTGACATTTATCATTATTTTTTTGGGGGGGAATTCCGATTCTAATATTCAGATTTCAATCACAGAATTCAGAATTTAATTTCAGTCATGATTCTGGAATGAAAATCAGAATTCTGTGATATCAGAATTTTGACTTTTTGTCTTAATTCTGAGAATAAAGTCAAGATTCTCAAATTAAATACAGAATCCTGGCATTAACATCATAATTCTGAGAAAAAGATGAGAACTGAGGTTTCAGTATCAGATTTCTGACTTCAGTCTCAGAAATTAGAAAAACAGTCAGAATTTTAAAAAAAAATCAGACATACAGTTTTTTTCCTTTTTGGCCCCTTTGCTGTACTGATCAGAGGGACATTTAGATGACTGTCTGATGTTTTTTCGTTGGTCACCAGTGCTGGTTGGACACATCAGGTTTGAGTGTTTTTCAGTCCCTGTTGTGAATTGATGATCTTGAATATCTATTGATGGTGACCCCTAAGTTTTCTAACCCTTGGACATGTTGTTGAACGGCTGGTAGCAGAAATGTTTTGCACAGATGGAGTCAGGAAAGACGAGTTCAGGCTTTAGTCTACTTGAGCTGACAGTGAAGTGCTCTCCTCTGGTGATCCCCCAGGCCACACTTAGTGTGTCCGGCTGTGTCAGTGTGTGTGTCATTCCTCAGCTGTGTAAATATGAACTTTATATGTTCAGCATCTGACATTTTTTCTGTTGCTTTCATTTCGTCTTTGTGTGATCAAAGTGAAAGAGGACTTGAACTATTTTTGCACTAAGCTCTGCGGGGAAGTCAGGAGCAGAACAGCATGACCCTTTAAGCTGAATCTGTAACACAGTGGACAGTATTCAAACATTTAGATGTGTAGTATCATGTCATGCATTTTGTTGTTTTGCTTTATTCTGTAGGTGTCTGAAAAGCTGGTTTTGATGAGCTCTGATGGGAAAGAACAGAAGGATCGGTCTCTTTTTGAGATCTGCTCTTTTAGTTTGTTGTTTTGGAGCGTTTTTACGTTCAACAGTGTTTGTACTCTGCAGAGAGCTTGAGTAAAACGTGCTGTTGCTCTTCGCTCAGCAGCCCCCTGAAGTGTCAGTTTACAGGACAGGAGAGCTGAGGAGTGAGAGACCATGACGGATGATATAATCGATGTTCAGAGTCACTCATTATCATGGTCCTCAGTCCTAACTTGTGACAAATCCACAAAGATTTCCTCCTGTCCATACTTACAGAAACACACAGGGCATGTAAACTCCAAACAGCATGTTTTGATATTCAAGCTTGCCAAGAACGATAATCTTTTTGTACATTTAGGAGGACATGATGTGTGGTGTCCCACAGCTAGAAAAACTCATAACCAATCAACTGCTTGCAAGTTGGAGCCATTATTTGATACTGTGTATTTCTATGAATGGAACATGCATGTTGTCTAGGTGTTACCAAAAGCCAACGTATCATGTTTACCTCCACTTTCTGTTTTTAAGTCATTGTCAAAAAGGGGTTGATCCATTTTGTACTATTTCTTATGGAAAGAGAGTGTACTTGGACATATAAAATATGAACAAATAAATGCTGCATGCAGCCAGATGAAATCCTCGACAGGACACTTTTATTTCTGCAGAGACACGTGTTAGTAAAGATGATTTTATGCCTTCAATATGACTGCTGTTTTTAATGAAGTGTTTGACATTATTAGGAAATTATTAGTAAATATAAGACAATATAATCACTCTGTAAAAACAGTAAACATGGAGCATCAACACAGGAACCATGAATAAGATGTACACTGTCAGATTTTATCTACTTAGATTAGGTATATTATAATAGAGCTCTTATTTTGAAGGTCATGCACACGTCGCAAAGGTAAAAGCATAAAAAAAACCCTTTAAAATAAAGAATGCACACCTGCACAGTAAAATAATCGAACCAAAGACTGCAATATTACACTAGAATTTTCTCACTCGATTGTTACCCTCATTGGTCACCGACTGTGCAGCAGGAATTAAAGGGATATTCCGGCATAAAATTAAGTTAGGGTCAAACACACCGTAACACCAAGTTAGACACCCTGTCGAGGATGAATGTTGCTGACCGCTTGCTTTTCTAGTTATACCAACTTAAGTAACAACTGCAGGATAGCAATACAGACAGCCACGCACTCAACCAGAAAGCCACTCCATAACCACGAATAATGCTCAGAACAGCACCTAACTTCATCAACAGTACATATAGGGTCCTAGCCAAAGCACTAGCCACCAAACATCTTTTTAACTTTGCCCAAATTTCTTTTTCAAAGAGACTAAACACAACTCACCCACTCTCTTCCAGCAGCCGCTTGTTTGTAGCGGGACCTCGGGCCAGTCCATTATGGACTGCTGTGGGGTGAGGCAGCTCAAGGAAGAACATTTATGATCATTTCTTTATGGAAATGCAATCAGACTGAGACGCTGAGGCAGAAAAACTACTGTGTCTGTAGTGCAAAATTATTAATATGATGATTATTACTCAAAGGAAATGATAAAGTAATGATCATAAATGTTCTTCCTTGAGCTGTGTCACCCCACAGCAGTCCATAATGGACTGGCCTGAGGTTTCGCTACAAACAAGCGGGTGCTGGAAGAGAGTAGGTGAGTTTAGTTTAGTCTCTTTGCTAAAGAAATTAGACAAAGTTAGAAAGATGTTTGGTGGCTAGTGCTGTGGCTAGGACCCTACGTGTACTATTGATGAAGTTAGGTGCTGATCTGAGCATTATTTGTGGTTAAAGAGTGGCTTTTTAGTTGAGGTTTGTTTATGGCTCCTCAGACCACTGTGTATTGCTATCGTGTGGTCGTTACTAAATCTGGTAAAACTAGAGAAGCAAGCAGTCGGCAAAATTCATCTCTCAAGGGGGTGTCTAACTCGGTGTTACGGTGTGTTTGACCCTAGATGATTTTAAGCCGGAATATCCCTTTAAAATGAACTCTCCACATCCACATATTCAGATGGTGCAGAGGGGATTCCTCGCCTTCTTATCGCCTCTGCTTGTTGGCGTGTTTCTGCCTCCACCTCTCTCTGGTCCAGCGGCCGTTGTTCTGGACCACCTCATGCAGCAGGTCCATGAAGGCGTACTCGTTCCCAGTAAGCAGGGTTTCATCATCTGGAGAGGCGCCACTAGAGGGCGCCTGTGAGCTCCTAGTTGCCATTTTCTGTCGGCCTGACCCGGCTCGCTTTGATTCACTTCTCTGCTCCGCTCTGTGGTTCCCTCGGCTGCTTCTCTTTCTGCCCCTGTCAGCAGCCTTCAGGTCTTCTTTCTGACCGGGTTTTTCTCGATCCTGAGTCCGGACCTGGATCATTTCTTCTTTTTTTGGCTCAGTGACTAAAGTTGGACTTTCATTTGGTTTAGGGGGGTGAGAATCAGCAGAATTCATGTGAGCAGCTGTTTGATTTTTCTCAGTTTCATCTCTTGATCTGGTCTTAGCCGGGTCTGATGAATCCATCTCTGTATTTAAGTCCTCCTGCAGCTCTGGGGTCATGATGGTGAAGATCTCAGACAGCTTTTCTTCTTCTTCCTCCATCATTTTTCCTCTCATCTGCCATTGCATCGCAGTCAGAGGCCAGGTGGAGGTCCTGCCCATGACTTTCTCCATCACTGATTTCTCAGCATCTTCAGACTGTTTGTCAGAACCATCTGGACTGTTTTCAGTCTGGTTTGTACCGATGCTCAGATACAGGACAGTTTCAGTGTTTGCTGAGACAAATCTGGGGTTTGCATCTAGATTTTCTCCATCTGCAGCTTTTTGGACATTTAAATCAGTGATGTTGGTTTGATTCTCTGTGTCAATTTCATCTCTCAGTTTTGGCACCTCTGTCTCACGTTGTAAAGTTACCTCATCTTTTTCAGGCGCACAAAAAGGTGAGGTAAAGAGAACAGCGTTAGCAGACTTAGCTCTGACTCCAGTAAAGGATCTTCTCCATCCTGCCTCTGAGTCTGACTCCTTGTTTTCAGTGGTTTCTTCCATCTGACTGGATCTGCAGCTGGTTTCTCTTGTCTCATTCTTGCTTTCTTCCCCTGGAGTCACAGTTTTGTTGCTGCACTTTCTTCTATGCACCATCAGGAAACAGGCAACGAACAGGAGGGCAAACAGGACCACTGTGGAGGAGGAAAATATCTCTGAGCCTCGATTTTAGAAGAATTAAACAGGAAGAGGAGCGTTAAACTTACCTAACACAACCACAAGTGTGCAGACAGGAGAAGTGTCTGATGAGGGCTGAGATGTTGCACGTGTTTCTGAAAAGAGACCCAAAGTTTATAAATGAGGGTTGGAAAATTCTGAGTATTTAGAGCTTGAAATATCAAAGGATGAGGATCACCTGGAGACTCTGTCCTCTCAGTGGGTGTAGGTACAGTCCTGGGCCGGTCTGAGGGTTTAGGATGGTCACTGGTCTCCGTCCCCGGTGGAGGAGGTGTTGCATGAGTTGCTGTCAAAAACAAAACACAAATCAGCAAGAAAGCTGGTCAAGTTTTCTCCATTCAAACCTTCATTAATTTAGGAATAATGATTTAAATTCTGGAGGATTTATAAGAGTTGTGACAAATGTACTGAGTTTATAAGAGAACCAACCTCAGAAGAAGAGACAAGATGAAATAAATGTGAAAAGAATTGAGAAAAAAACTATTTACTGTAATTCTAAAACAAACTCTGGAAATCCCCATAAAGAGGCCTGATTTTGACAGTTAATTCAAAATAGCAGAAGGATTTTGGTGTTTGCTCGTGCTGTAAGAACAGTTAGAATCCGTAGCCATGCTAACACTATGACTATGGATCAAAGGGACTATTTTATTGGTAAAAATATCATTTTTGAATTGAAACCACATCAAATCAACATTAATTACTGTTTTTTTAAATCTTCAGTCACCCTAAGATCTGGGTTTTGAGGCTGCCTCCCCTTCAGTGTTCGCTCTCGTTGTTATTTTGTTGCTATAAAAAGTGCTATATATAACGCTACTATTATTATTATTATTATTATCATTATTATTATTATCATATATTGGTGAATTGAGTTGGTCAATGATAGTTGTGGAAATCTTTGGTCCTCACAGGCCAGAAATCATAAATGAGACTGAAGCATGTTCTGAAAATATCCACATGGTGGTGCTGTTTCCAAAGCTCTTTAAATGTGTCTTACACAGTATGACCCTCTTCATCCAAGGCACTAGAGGTTCAAAAAAGCGTTTTCCAGTATGGATGAATTCTGCCAATTTGTATGCATCAAAACATCCTTTAAATGAAAGTTTTACCAACTTCAAAACATCAAACTTAGCGATCTGTGAGCATAAGCATGGATGTGATATGAAGCAGAATGGACTCTCTTTCTTTAAGCCAAGTATAAAAATGAAAATAATTCATAAAATCTCATAATTAATTTCTTTTACCATCTCTTAAAATCGTGAAAAACATTTTTTTTGTTAATATTTAACAGAGAACAAACTCACCAGCTGTACCAGTCCTTGAAGTCAGTGTTGTGGATGTCAGGGTAGGGTGAGCGAGTCCAGGTGAGGTTTTTGACCCTGATGTTGGTCATGCAGGAGGGAATAACATTAATACTGAATATGAATTGGCTCTGATGGTGTAAAAAAAACTCAACAAACTGGACTACAAGAACCACATGCACCAGTGTGAGGAGAGACTGACAGACTGAATCAGAGGGTTTTGATCCGGCTTAAGTCTGAGTCTACAACACTAAACACAAAACAGCTTTAGTTTGGGGAAGCAACAGAGGTACTAAGATAATCATAAATATAAGTTATTGTGGGAAATGACTGTAATGTTGGCAGAAGTTAATATGAGGAAAGTTTGGTTGTAGTGCCCCCCTGTGGACACAGCAGCTATTGCATATCTTTTCCCCAACAGCTTGAGTTTCTCCAGACAAAAATCTAATGTAATCCTGCTGACCAGGGCTGAGCTAGGTTTCAATTACAATTTCAAAGACAGCGAATATATGTGCAAATGTATATGTAAAGCTCTTTGGGACTTGATTTTGATCAGGCTGGTGTTCCACTTACAATAAAAAATACTTGTAACAAGCACAAGAAACTTTTCGGGGTAGGACAGACTGGTTTGGTCAGGACAGAGATTCTAGTATTCAGCACTGGTTTTGGCTGAGAGGTTGTCGATTGGTTTGAGAAAAAAAGTTTGTACAAAGGTGATCAGAAGTATCAAGATTGTGAAATGCAGAATTTTTTATATCTCAAAGAAACTTAAGGATGAAGAGAGAAGATTTACCAGTGGATGTTGGGTGGATATCGGCAGATGTTGGGTGGATATTAGTGGATGTTGAGTGGATACCGGTGGTTGTTGGGTGGATTTCAATGGGCTTGGGTTGGACGGTTTGCGTCACTGATGGTGGTATTGATGGAGGTGGTGTCACACACACAGACACGTTCCACACAGGTTCGACCCCTCAGAGATGGTGGACTGTCACAGATCACGTCCAATGGTCTGTTAAGCTGAGATCTGCTTTGAAGTTCTGAAAAAAGAAACACGTTTGAGACTCTAAAAGTTCCTGATAGACTAAACTCCCCGTAGTTCTTTATTTCACAAACCTTTTAAGAAGTCAGTAAACTCTTTGGCTGAACAGGAACAGTCCCAGGGATTCCCATCTAGTCTGATTATTGTGGAGTTGAGAGACCTGAAGACTCGAGGTGAGACCAGTTTCATCCTGTTGTCAGACAAGTCCAACTCAGCTAAGTTGGTCTGAGAGCTGAAAGAGTCAGGATGGATTTCTGTGATCCTGTTCTTGTTCAGACTGAGTCTGGTGAGGCCAGTGAGGCCGTTAAACTCAGACACCTTTAGAACTTCGATCTTGTTTCCTGTCAGGCTGAGCTCACTGAGGACACCAGGCCGACCGAGCCAGTTGGGGTTCATCTCTGTGAGCAGGTTCTGGTTTAAACTAAGATCTGTGAGGTTTTGAAAAGATCTGAAGGCCCCCTCAGTGATCCCTGTGATTCCTGCTCCCTCCATCCTGAGCCTGGTGATGGAGGAGAGGTCGTCACTGTGAAACACAGTGGAGTTTATTTCCCCGACATTGTTCACGGCCATCACCAGAGAGGAAAAGCCGGGGCTGAAAACTGAAGGACACAAAACTCATCAAAGGAGGCCATGATGAAAGCTTGTCACAGTTTGTTGTCTCCCCATGATATCCACACCAAGAGATTCACGCCTTTGTCTCAGTGTTAAGAGTGTTAGAAACAACACACAAAAAAGGATTCCACCTTAAATGATCATTGTTTTCATTTTCAAGTATAGTTTTAGTTTAGGGATGTCACTTTATACACTGGTATTAACAATAACAGTCCTTTTTTTAAAGTATGAAATATCGATATTGTGTTAGAAATAAGCAGACAGTCATACTGTGAGTCCATACAAGTTCTGCTGGTGGCCACACATCTCAGAAAAGAGGATAGACGAAGAAGAAGCAGCAGCTGTGAGTGAGCTAGCTGTAGCATCCTTCTGAGAGACTATACAAAACTGACATCTAGAGATTTATTGTGAATCCAGAAACAAGGTCAGAGCTCGAGCTCCTTCAGGTAGTAACAGACTGAACATCTACACTTTCTGACTGCTCTTTGCTTTCATTCAACTCAACTGGAGGTAGCTTATACTTCAAAATAAAAGCATGGAAATAGATCCCTGCATTTGAAAAAGTTTTGCTTGGATTTTTAGATTTATAGATTTCTGCACATTTCAGCTCCGGAATTTGCACTTTGAATATTTCAATCATACTTTTATATCTATGTTTGTGTATTTGATTGAAAATTAGTAAAGCTTTTTTAAAGTACATTTCTTGTTTTAAAAGCTTTTATGTGTTTGAATATCTGTCTGGTGTGATGTGGATAAATCATAAATTTGAACATAATTATAAATGTATAAAGACAAATAAGATAATGACATTGTGTGTTGCTCCACCTTCTACTGTGATATTTCATGACGTGAAAATCTGATAGTGTGACAGCTCTAGTGTGGGCATTCAGAAATGATCCAGATCTCTGTTTCCAACACTTCCACATTTTTCTATACAGTCAACATGTGTTTGCTGTTGTGTGAAAATGATAAATGCATCAACTTTTTTGGCTGATTATATCTGCAGAAATTTTAGATTGTGCTGATACTGATACATCTATAATACGCTATAAGACAGCCATTTCTACTGTCTTGTGTCTGTTAAAGACACTTCAGCACTTCCCCTTTCATTTCTTCATTTATCTTTATTTTTAAAAAGCATTTTAAATTCAGTATTTACATATTATGACTCCTATTTTTAACACAGACTGTAAAACTGAGTTCACATTATTGTGAAGATAGGTTCACATTTCCACTGAGAAATGTAGATGATTACAGCAACACTTTGTATTGAGGTCCTTGAAATGGGGAGTCATTAATGATTAATTAACGATTAAATCTTTGTGTGACTGTGCTTTTATTTTGAAGTTCCACCTCTGGAACATTACTGAGCCAAATGTTGACAGTTAAAAGTAGATGTTTTAATTGGTTGGTAACCTGCAGAGGCACACGCTCTAACGTAGTTTTTTATTCACAATAAATCTTCAAATGTCCATCTTTCATCTCTCGTCTCTCTGCTACAGCTAACCTGCCAGCAGCTGCTGTTTTCTTCTTCATCTCATCTGTTTTATGTGTGGTGATTATTGAAGAGGACCACCACTACCAGCACGTTATTACTGTGTGTTCATTTTTAACACAGTATTCCATTTCATTTTACAAAACTGGTAAAGGAGAACAGTCTCAATTAAAGGGAAACATCTGCACCAAACATCCCCCTAATCAGTCAAGGCATTTGTCTTAATGTCTTTCTATTTTAGACGGGAGTACTCTGCTCTCAGTCCTTACCTTGTGGTATATCCAAGCAGAACAGGACTTGTCCTTCTCCATAACAACAAAGGCTCAAATGCACATTAAACAGACACAAAAGCAGACAGGGAACAGCTGCAGAGAGAGAGAAATCACAGATTACACATGACTCCAACAGTTCATCATTTTCTCCGACCTGTAGCACTTACCCTTCATGCTGACTGATGGAGCTGAAAGCAGGCTGCAGGTTTACAGCGTGAACTCTACCCACAGTGACAGTTTGAGGGTCTTGTGATCACCTGAACCAGCAGGTGTGAAAAAGAAACACTGTTGTCAAGACAGATCACAGTTTGCCATGGTTATCAGTGCAGGCATTCAGGCGCTGGAGCTGCGGTCACAGATGGGTGGTGGAGTGTGAGACATTAACAGCCGAGGAGGCCTCAAGATGTTGTGCTGCTTAAATTACAGAGCCAGAGTGGAGCTGGGTGACACATTTTAGCTTCCAGAAAATTAATTTGACTATAGTGTCACAGTCACATACAGCTTAGGCTCAAAAAATAAAGGAAACTTTATGACTTCTTGATTCATCACACACAAAGTGAAGACTTTCAATACTCTCCCTGCAATCAGAGAGTCTCACCTGGACCAAGAGGGACTGGTCCAAAGTCCTGTTTTCACATGAAAGACAATCTAGTATCTTATTAGGAAATCAAGCTCCCAGAGGAAGATGGAGGAAGATCAGAGAGGCCCAGAATCCAAGGTGCTTGAAGTCCAGTCTGTGATGGTTTGGTGTGCTGCCTCATCTGCTGCTCTGCTGAGTTTTATCAAGTCCAGAGTCAACGCAGCCTGGAATCTACCAGAAGGTTTTAGAGACCGTCATCTGCTCTGAAGTTTTGTGGAGATACAGATTTCCTTTTCCAGCAGGACCTGGACTCTGCCCTCAACACTACCAGAAACCAGTTTGCTGAACTGACTCCATGACACAATAAAGCAGGAATTTAAGTAAATAGCAAGAACTGAGACCATTCACGGACAAACCGTTTTTAAGGTCCATACTTCAGGGTCATAAATCCTTGACATATTTCACTTTGTGTCTGATAAATACAGAATAAATGGAAGTTTTCAGGACTTTCTTACTTTTTGAGATGCACCTGTGCAGTAAGTAGAATAAACAGATCAGTTAAAAGTTGCTGCATCATCTCTTGTGACAGAAAAAAAAAAACATGAAAACAAAGAAAAATACTGGCGTGATGTTGGTGATCTGTCGTGTGTGGTGCCCAAAGTAGAAAAACAGAAAGCAGTGGGATTAAAAATGGACAAATGAAGCCGTGAGAAAGGAACTAAAATAAAAAATGTGACTTTTATTCACTTGAAAATTTATTCTGTTTCAGTGCTTCCATTTTCAAAATAAATAGATGGCATGGGATAAAAACCAACAAGGATGAGAAGTACACTAGTGTAACAAAATGGTGACCAAAATGCCGATACAATCTTTAGTAAACATAAAAATACACACACACACACACATACATGTAAAGATCTGCCACCAAAAACAAGTCAAAATGCAGCAAGTGAGAAGTCAAGTATTCTGTTTGTTTTTGGAGACAGCAGTAGTATCTTAGCAGTGGAGTGGTGTCAGTATCAATCTTAGCGTTTGGTTGGTTTAAACGATTAACAGAGTGCACAACAGCAGTTTGACTGGTTAATATGGATGCCCGATCAGAAAGGTCCGATTCCCCAAACAAACAGGAAGTAAAGTGCCCGTGCAACACTTCTGGTTGTTCTCGAGGCCAACAAACGGTTTTCAAAAAGCACTTTGAAAAGACAGAGAGAAGAGAAAGAGAGACGACGTGGCAGTGTTTGTCCACACCTTGGAGGAATGTTCTTTAATGTTGGAACATCACACAGAAACCCCCTTTGTGAATATATCAAATACTGTCATCTGTTACAGAGACGCAGCAGCAGCACCACGGAAAACACTCTTCACAACAAGAGTGTGTGTGTGTCTGTCTGTGTGTGTGTCTGTGCTGCTCACGTGGTTAAAGATGGGACAGGCTGACAAAACACTGGAGGAGGAGGAGGAGGAGGAGAGGGGAAGAAGAGGGATGGGGGTTTACATTGCATGACAGAAGCCGTCGACAAGTGTTCATGAGTGCACCTTTATACAGGACAATTCAAGAGTGCCCAGTGGAGAGAAAACACAGCTAAGCTCTAAACATCAGAGAATTCTCGTTATGATGAAAACACATAACATCAGCTCAAACTCCAGATCACATCGCTTTAATAATCATCAAATAAAAAAACGCTAAAAGAAAAACAAAAAAGCATCCATGTTGTACCAAAAGCTGTCAGCGGCCCTCTTTCAGCACCCTCATGAAAAGGATGTCAACTAATCAAATGATTCAAAATAATCATGAAGATTTTTTTTTTCTTGTTTTTTTTCTTGCTATACACATATCCAGTGCTACACGATCAGCGTTTAGAAAGCGGTTGAATAAATAGATGAGAGTACCACAATGCGTGAAAGGCCAACGGATGTCTGAGGGAGACCGGAGGAGCCTCCCCGTGACGAAAGAAGAAGACAGTTCAGAGCAGCAGGTTTTTGAAGATCCCTGGTGAGGCAAACTCGGTAATGCCAGCCTGATTTGACGGTCCACACAGGAAGAAGATTGTTGTTTTTGTAACAGAGGTCTCTTCGCTTTTGGATTGTTCCCCAGACGTCCCTCTCCTTTAGTCCCAATCTGTCCGATGAAGGAGAGGCGTTTCCGGAGAGTTTAAAAGGAGTTTAGTGCTGCAGCTGAGCTCTCCGCGATGACAGTGCTGAACTAATAAATACCTCATGTAAAAAAATTAACATCCACCATATATGACAGAGAGAGAGAGAAAAATGCCACATGCTTGAGTCGTGGTCGTCGTGGAAAATAAGAAATAAAAGAGCTGGACTGAAGCGGCCTGAACAGATCGCACTGAGATCACAGGAAGAAGAAGAAGAAGAAGAAGCGACTTCAGCCTCGCAGGCATTCCTCTTTTGTTGCGAGCACCGTTGCCTCGGACCACCTGTGACTCACACTTACACACAAGCAGACACACCTTTTCCCTTGTTTCTTGTCGTGGTCGACCTTTTAGGCGACCGCATCTACAAAACTTTGCAGCCGAGCGTGGCGTTAGCTTGTCTGTGGGCGTCGATACAGTCTATTCAGGAAACAAGCAGGATGAAGAGAGTATGATCCGCATGACAAGAGGGTGGAAATCCAAACACTTACTTCCCGCTTTTCTTTGGCACAGCACTTCTCTTGGCCTGCCACAGGTGGTTGTGGATGGTCAGAGCGTCCACGCTGACCGACACAGTCTTGGCAGGGATGACGGTGAACTGCTTCCGGTCCGAGCTGTACTTGTACAGCTTATCGATCATCTTCTTGCTGATGCTCTTGGGTCCCGTGCCCGTCAGCTTCTGGATCTCCTCTGTGTCGGGGAAGTACGAGTAGAGCGCTCGGAACTGGCAGCCGCCATCACGAAACAGGATCATCAGGTGGTTAGACTCGCATTTCTCCAACTCCTAGAGGGAGACAGAGGATAAACACAAGCGGGGACGGTTTATTAACGCGACACAAATATGACACTGACAAGTTGCAAAGCTGTTCCAGACTAGAGGAAAATACCAGACGGGTATTTTATTGTGTTATCATATTTAACCAGCAGATGGCACTTCACTGTGCAAAGCATACTGGATACAAAGCGAGGCAGACCAGTTTAAACAGCCCCACTTCCTTCTTGGGGTGATTGTTGTTCATTTAAAAGAAAACAGAGGAACACTCTGAAGTAAATCACCTCTGTGGAGAAAAAGATTCCTCAATTTAAGACGAGGAGCGACCGGTCATTTCACCAGAGCAGAGCAAAGGGAGTTTCTAAAAATAAAACAACAGCCTCCCAATCATGGAGATATTCTTGAAGGGCTAAAGTAAAGTAGTATTTTATCCTATTCAAACAGACAGATGCTTGAATTTGCAGAAATAAGAGGAAAAAACACTCCCACAGTTCTCTGAGTTGTCCTGTTGTGAACCCACATGAATCCCCTTTTCTCTTTTCCTCATCATATCTGAACTCAGTTTTTATTCTCCTGTTTTTGTTTTTTTCTGTTGCCTCCCTCGTCATGCTATAACTCTTTGTGACCAGCAGAGTGGAGGTGCACGAGTCTCTGTAAACCGGTCTGGAGTCTGCGTCCAGCTGTTGTACGTGTAGCTGGCAGGGCGGAGATAACAGATGGTACCTGAAAGAGCGTGAAGTCTGCACATTGCTGGACAAAACAGAAGACTTCATGCATGTTGTTCAAACCTTTTCCCTCTTGTACCCCAAAGAAAACAGACGGCTTCTTGCAAACCTGTGCTGCTCATGTTTAAGTTTAAGGTGTAACCCCAGAATACTGAATTGATCGGTTACTGCAGGTTTACAGAAAACTACCGCAAATTACATAGAAGAAGAAGAAGAAGAAGTACAAGAAGAAGAACAAGAACAAGAAGAAGAACAAGAACAAGAACAAGAACAAGAACAAGAAGAAGAAGAAGAAGTTGATTGATCCCCAAAGAGAAATGTCTGAAGTCATCTACTGTTTACAGAAGAATTACAAAGTCTGAGCTGATAATACAGAAGTCCACGTCAGATAACTGACCTCCAGGATCTGGTTCTTCTGTGGCTCGTTGACTTTTCCAGCCAGACAGCAGTGAGAGATTGCGTTGTGGATGATTGGCTTATTTGACTTGGCGCTGGGCTCCTTGAACAGTTTGGGACCTAAATGGAGAAAAAGACAGAAAAAACATGGAAGAATTACACAACACTAAACAAGAGAGAAACTCTGTCACCGTGTAGAAAAATACGTAGACTTGAAAAAAACGACAAGCACATGGCTGATGATAACTTGGAGAAGTAGAATCCGAGCGCTCACCAGTGTATTCAGCCATGGAGGTGATGGAGGAGGCAGTGGAGCCGTTGTCCCAGTCTCTCTCTGCAGTCCGACTGTTGTTACGGCTGCCTGGAAACGACTCCACAGAGTCACAGCTAGATATCACAGAGAGAGGAAGAAGAGGGTCAACATATGAAGGTTTTCTCATAGCGCTTCAATGCAGAAAATATCCTTTGGCTAAATTAAAGTGTGAGAAACCAACCGCTGGGATCCAGCCCCTCCAGAGTTGACGCTGTCGGCCTCGTTGGTCGCTGCTGAGGCCAGGGACAGACTGGAGCCTGACTGGGCGTTGCTCAGGTTGTCGGCTGTGTAAAACAGGGAGGACATTTTCAATCATTTTGAGTTGAACTCCTGAAAAAGTGCTTAAAACAAACCCCAGAGTTAAGACAAGGAGGATCAAGAACACAGTTTACTGTGAAAGAAAAGTTTTAAGCATGAAAAAATTCACTTCCTGACCTAACACCTGAAAGCTTCACCTGACATACTGAACCATGTCTCATTATGCTCTACATCATGTGATTAATCAGAGCTTTAATCTTAACAGTGGTTTTACAAGAAGAGTTAGGAATAATCATTAATGCAGGATGTGAGTATTCATGGCCAGGGGATATACAACCATGGAGTAAAACAGGAAATAACTGGCAGTCAGCCAATGTACCCCACAGCTCAGCAAGCAAGAACCACTGAGGCTCACCATGTCGAGACATGAAGAGGAATAAAACTCTTACGTGTGGAGGAGCACTTGGAGAAATTATCGCTGGAGGACTCCTCTCTGAAGACAGATTTGGGTCTGTGCTTCTGCTTCGGTTTTGGGGTTTTGGGCTTCACCAGGCCTTGTTCCTCGAACATCTCCTGCTGCTTCCTGCGCAGATACTCCTGTTTTATCAGCTCCCGCCGTGTCTTCTCCTCCTCTTTACGCAGGCGGTCCTCCTCTGCCTTCCGTCTACAAGAAACCGAGCAGAAGTGTAAGTGTCCCTGGAGAAAAACATGAATATGATGATGATGATGATGATGTTAGTGAAAAAAAGCTACCTGGCCTCGTCTCTTTTGAGCTCCGATTCTGCTTCAAGTTGTTGTTTACGGACGCGGGCCTCTTCAGCTTTCTTCTGCTGCTTCAGTAAGAAGGCTGCTCTCTTCTTCGCGAGCTCATCCTCTGCCTTCTGCTCATCCTACAATATCAAAAACATCATCTGTTGACTGATTTTAAAAGACAAAGAAAACCTTATTTCAGGGGCCACATGGTTCTGATAAGATTCCTGATGATTGTTTATCGTTATGACTGAAAACTGATGATGTTTAAGACGCCCATATAAATCTGAAACACTGAACACTGAACAGATGTAACTATGTTCCTGTTTTCATGAAAAGGCCTCACCTTGAAGAAGAAGCCCATGACTGACTTCTGCTCTCCGTCCTCTCCCTCTGTGGTCCTGTCCTCCACAGACTCCTCTCCCTCTGGAGCTTTCAGATCAGAGAGGTCGACCTCGATCAGGTGGGTTTTGCTGCGCTGCGCCTCCTCTGCTGGTATATTCTCTTTCCCTGAACCGTCTGAAGAGTTGAGCTCAGACTCCCTCTGGTTGCTGGACAGGCACTCGTCAAAGGACACTTCTTGGGCGGCTAACGCGGTCAGGTCCACTCGGGTGGGCAGGCGCATGTTAGCCTCGTCACGGAGCCGGTAGGTGGCGCTCCGGACGTGGCCAGAGCCCGGCCTGTCGATTGTCTCTGCTGCTGCTGCTGCTGCTGTGGGGTTTCTGGGGCTGTCAGGATGCTCTGTCCTGGGGGACCTGCCCCCAGCTAACTGCCTTGGGTGTGGCAGAGTCTCTGACCCACTCTGGGTGGGGGTGAGGGTCCTGGAGGCCTGCCTGCTCTGCTCCTTGGCTATTTTAAGCTCTGAGGGTTTGGACCTGGAGCTCCGGCCTGAGCTCAGCTTGGGGGGTTTCCTGGTGGGGGCAGTGCCTGTACTGGAAACATGCTCCACATAGTGGTAGCTCCCTCCAGCTTTGGAGTCAGTGTTTTTGTCGCTGGTCAGAGGAGGTGGAGCTGCTCCAGGCGGGGACTGTACATTCTGTTTCATCAACATCTCCTGCTGCACAGAGAGCTGCATCATCTGCTGCTGGATGCTGCCGATAGCTTCATTCAGCAGCTCGATGGAGCGGCTGCACTCGTTCAGGTCCAGCTCTTCTTCTAGATAGAAGCTCCCGTTGTTCCCCTTCTTGTCTGCTTCTAAGGCACCTGGTAGGGAGGTTCCCTCCACCCCTTTGTCCCCCTTCAGGGATTCCACACACATATCATCTTTACTTGACGGCCCTTTTTCCCCGCCAAGCTCATCCTTAGAGATGTCTGCTTTGAGTGGGTTGGGTAACGTGTCACTCCTGCCTCCACCTTTCTTTACGATGTGCAGGAAAGCCGCCTTTCCCAGCTTCTGCCTCTGCCTCGCCGACAGCACCTCCATCTTCTTCTTCTGGTGCTCGATGGCACGTCGCTTCTCCTCCAGCTGCATCCGGAGCTGAACGAGCTCGGAAGCAAGAACATTTGCACCACCCATACCATCGCCAGTTCGAGCGAATCCTCCCAAAGGTGAGGAGGGGCTCTGGTCTCTCTTGAGCCTCCAGGAGGATGCCAGGGGTCCGCTGCTCTCTGATCCATCAGGAGTGGTCCTCTGGGAGCTGGAGGCACTGGAGCGCAGGTCATGGTTGCTGCCGAAACGTTGCTGCTGGGCTTTACGCTCAGCGAAGGAGGTCATCCGAACACTCCCGCTGGCCATGCTGCTGGCCTGAGAGTGTCCACTGAGACAGGGGCTTGAGCGCCCACTGCCCCCGTTAAAGTCTTTGTCCTCGTGCTCTTTGACATTCATGTCCTCTTGGAGTTTGGCTGATTCTTCCTCTTCATCCTCGTTGAAGGTCTTCCTGTGCCAGTTTGGGTCTTTAGTGGTTACAGCTTCATCTAGGTCCTCTTCCTCTTCATCCAAGTCTTCCAGGTCAGCGTCCAGGCTCGGGGCCCCCTTTGGTTCTTCAGAGTCTGAATGCAGGTAGAAACCCCCTCCAGGCTCTCCGGCTGAGGGGTCCACACTGCTGGTAACAGTGGGTCTGAAACTGTCCTGACCCTGTGGAGGCTCCCCCAACAGATCCTCCTCCTCCCCTGGAGGGGGAAAGGTTTGGTTCGGGTTACAGGGAGCTTTCCTACGAACAGCAGATGTAGATCCGTCCCCTCTGCGTAACGAGCCCCTCCCTGAAGAGCGAGGACCCTCACCACTCTCCTCCTCCTTGTTCAGGCATACAGACTTCTCCTTGGCCGTCTTGATCACGGCAGGCATCAGTGGTTCTAAGTAAAAGCTATCTGTAGCAGGTTTGGACTCTGCAAGGGGTTTGGGTCCCGCAGGAGCAGCTGCTTGTGTCCCATCAACCCGTCTGGAGGGGACAGGACTCACAGTCCTGGCAACTGCCATCAGAGTTTCCTCCTCATCCTCAAGGTTGACATTCCCTAAGAGACTGTGGCCGTTGACTCTGCGCGCAGCGGCCTGCTGAGGCTGCTGGACCGGAGTCTGGTGTTTGGGTGTGACAGAGACCACATTAGATGCGAGGCTGTCCTTACTTATAGTTCGAGCCAGACTCACACTGTCACCGGACGCCACGTCTGCGTCGCTGTCTGTGGCCGCGTGTAACAGGAAGGGACTCATTGTGGACAGCGGTCTGCAGAAACAGAAGAAAAGGACATGTCCTCTCTAGTTAGAATTTGTTTTAGTTTGGAGAAAGGACAAAGGACTACATTTACAGCTCTTTAATCAGCTTATTTACAGTTGTATTGGAAAGAGTCAGGTCACATGGTCTGTATCAAGTCCACACAATCCTGTCAATCCTGTCCTCCAACATCTCCTCCAGGTAAATGCATCCTTACATAAATGAATCTGACAAACCAGTTTGTCGTCTGCAGACAGATTTTTTACTGCAGTAATGGTGTCACACATACACACAGCTCCCAGATTAGTCTATTCTTATTTTTACACACACATGCATACATGTCAAACTTCACCTCCGTCATCATCAGTCATCAACACTCATTCCTCATCACAGGAGGATTTGTTTAAAATCTGCTCACTTCATTGACTCCACTTGTTCTAGATTTGATAGAGTTTGTCTGTTTGGTTCCTTCAACAAAAAGTCAATTACTCCATTTCAAAAATTTGCTCATTCACTTTTTGACTGACTGCTAAAAGCGCTCACTGCAGCTTTGTACCACTTGTCTTTTCCAGTCAACGCGGATAAAGACCAGTCATTGGTGCTCGAGTCTTAAACAACATCATTAACTGGAGGATACCTCTGTCTCTTGTCGGGCCATGCAACAACAGAACCACGGGCCTGTCCGTCCATTTGAGTCAGGGAGTTGGAGCGGTTTCTGAGACCTAGCCAAAAACAAACACACCAAATATTCAAGTATAAAAACAGCTGCAGGTCTACATCATAAAACAGTGACATGCACAAACATTACCTGTACCGTCCTCTCCTTGCTGCTTCTGTTGCCTCTGTCTGAGGGGCAGGAGAGGGTGTGAAGGGCTGAAGGTGGGGCCCCCTTTACTGAAAGACAAAAAGCACAATGTCTTCCGTTAAGTATAAACATCCATTAAGTGTACACACTCTTTTAGGAGAGCGGAGAAGCAGAGAGACCTCATTGGACTGGTCGAGTGTGCAGGTCCAAGACACCAACACCATGAAGCTTCTTCCTCAATTCAGTGAACCCAGACACGTTTAAACCCGAATAAAAACAGCTAACTATGCTAACTATGATTAAACACGCAGATTAAATAACAGTTTATTCTTGAGAGCAACAATCTGTTGTTGAACTGGATGAGGAAGGAAACAAAGGATTAGAGGTGGAGGGCACATGAGAATATTGACCCACCCTTGTAGGGCGACTGAAACTGCTTAAGGACAGGTTGATGATGAGTGAAATGAAAAGGAAAGAGAGTGAAGACTTACAGGGGGTCAGTTTCTTCAGGGTGCAGGAAGTACCTGTTACAGACTTCCGGGCTGCTCTGGCTGTCAGCCGCACCGGGGCTCACCAGGAAGCTGCGCTTGGTGGCGTTGGAGATAGGCACTGATGGACGGGCACTCTTGGGCTGAGCTGCAGCTCGAGCTAAGGAGAAGGAGGTTGACTGTGTCAGAATACAGAGGCTCCACATTCGCTTCAATCTAACTCTACGATTAAGACCAGTGACCATGCACAGCCTCAAGTGGAGACAAACACAAGAACTGGAGGAAACTAACCACCTCAGGCTAATACATGACTTGACAAAGAGGAAAGTTTCTGCTTGTTTTGGCTCCACTGCTCTGAGAGGCTAACTGCCCACATCTCATGAAAAATGGATTTGATTCACATTGAGTTCTCGTTGCAAAACACTGTTAATTGTTGGCCACTTCTACTGGAGAACAAAGCAAAAGTCGGCCTGATCTTTACAAGTGATCTTGACAGCAGACATTTTTTGAATGCTAAAAGTCAGCGTTTAAAGTAGCAGAGAAAGAATATTCACATCACAAACAGTTACAGAGATGAGAGAGAACGAAAAAGAGAAGGAGGGAGGGATGAGAGGAGCTGTGCTGCTTACCATCTTTGAACTCTTGGAGATCTCTAGGCTGGACAAACTCTGGCTTGACTGTCTCAAACCACCAGAACAGCTCAGCAATGAACACCATCACATTGTGCTGCAAGGGGAGAAACAAGACATCAATCAAAACATTTTAGATCATCTTCAGTCTATAAAGGCTCCACAGATGGTCGACAGGTTACATGCTGACAGTGGTGAGTTTTTTCTGCCCGCTTCGCAGATACGTCTGAAAGCACTGTGTGTTTGTTTGTTTGTTTATTGGTGTGTTTGTTTATTTGTTTGTTTGTGTGTTTGTCTATGTGTTTATTTGTGTGTACGTTTGTTTATTGGTGTGTTTGTTCATTTGTTTTTTGTGTGTTTGTTTGTTTGTTTATTAGTGTGTACGTTTGTTTGTGTGTCTTTGTTTAGTTTTTGTGTTTGTTTGTTTATTTTTTTGTGTGTTTGTTTGTTTTACCTTGAGCACCAGCGGCGAGTAGAGCATGTCCTCCGTGGTCAGATAGAAGCTCTTGTTCAGATACTCGCTGGCAAACTCTCGGAGTAGCTGAATGTTGTAAAGGCTATCAGCAATGGAGGGCACTTCCTTCAGGCAAATATCTGATCAGACAGACACATCAGGACACAACTCAATGACCCAGTGGCTATAAATGTCACACTGACTTGACAGGGACAGTAAGCTATGTGCAAGTCCCAGAAATAGAATCACACTTGGATATTGAATTCAATGTGTTAGCAAAGAAAGCTTGGTGTCGACTACGATAGGTCTCTGGAGGTCTACTGATACTCAGAAGGTATTGAACTCAGGCTCTTTGGCGTGGCCGTACCCTCCAGCTTCATGAGGTCTGGACAGTAGTAGTGGACCACCGTGAGCATCGCAGCTCCATCACAAACATCTCTCATGAGGTCTTCCAGCAGTGGGAAGAAGGGAAGCTGTCGGCCTGAAGCGTGCTCCCTACGATACCGCACCTAACCAGCAAGGGGGGGAGAGGATGGGGGTTAAAGGAGAAGACAACCAGAATAAGAAATAAAAGTCACAGCAACAACACACAACCACGGTACTACCACTGATACATTCATCCAAAAACATCCTAAATGCAGTGACCAGGTTCACAAGTACAGACCTCCTCTTCTACTTCTGAACTAGTCAAGCATATATTGATTATGGATGTTTCAGCTCCGTCGATGCTCTTGACTATCAAATCAAGGTTCTCCCCAGCAAATTTAAAAGGTTTTATTCTTATTGAAAGCCAATACTCCTCTTTAAACAGCAAGTTTAGTCTGCTTTAAAGAAATGAGGCTGACTGACAACACTGGTCAGTTCAGTTTAGGGGAGAACCCTGAAGACTGTTAAGTATGGATAAATGGAGGTGAAGGTGTTATGAACAACACAGAGTGGATGGTTGGTCAGCCGTCTTCAGGCCATAGTGAGAGAGAGGGTAGTTAGAAAAGGAGCCCAGTCAAAGTAGGCAACATGAGCCTCCTGACTGGGAGAGTAACTGGGGGGATCACTGGCCCACTTATTGGAATGAGCATATGGTTAGTGGAGAAACTCACTCAACCCAGCTGCATTAGGGCTGGACATGTACAGCTAACAAGTGCAGGCATTTGTAAGATTTACTTCAGTTTCCACAGTTCATTGGCCAAATTGAATTGGGCATATTAACAAAATACATTGATTCAAAAAGGCATTTACCAACTACACAGACTCAAGTGCACATCAACTGCAGACCTACATAAGAATTAAGGCAGTATAATTATGGAGCACAGGAGCACTTCACTTTCTGGAACCGCTGCTTGTAACTCCAGATGCTTCGACATGATTTACAGAGATTCACCTCACACAGGGAAAACACTCCCTTGTAAGAACTAATCAAACTGACAACTCTGCTGCACTAAAAAGAGACTCAAAGACAGTTCATCTAAGTGATTTAGAAATGAAGAACCATTCACAGTGTCAGTTTTTCTGCTCTAGGTTCAGACTGCACAAGCTGTTTTTCCTTCTTGCACCCCTGTTTGTCTTTGTGTCATTAACTTGAAATCTGTCACTTGCTACCCACAGCTCTTTGCAGGACTCCCTGAGCTCTCTTGTTTTTGCAGGTTCCTCTGGATTGTTGCTTCAGATGGCCTGCTGCTGTGGACCTGCCTGACTCCAGCTGCTTCAACAAGCTGCCTGAGCCAATACAAACTTAATGCATGTATATCAGAAGTAAGGTGTGTGTCCACTGGTCTCTTTATGAAACAAAAAGTTTAGCAAAACCTGACAACTTTCAAAGTGTTGTAACTACAGCACCAACATGGTATCAAAAGCACTTAAAAGAAGATTTTTCTAACTATGAACAGTGTCATAACTATTATTAGGGATGTAACGATAGCGTCGATATTATGAGAATGCTGGAACAAAAGTGTTTCAAAACCATCACGGGGGTCGACCAATACTGGTTTTCCAGGGCTGATACAGTTTTATTTATAAGCAGTTGATAAGACCAATAACCAGTAGTTGGAACTGATTTGCAATCACAGGAAGATGAAAAACTTTGGTCTAATATTACAAACTCTGCAAACTGTAGTTCCCCAACTATCCACTCGAGGCTGGTTGCAGACGCACCAGAGACCGCAAATCCACTGAGCAAAGAAAGCCTGCTTTAAGAGTAGGGCTGCAGCTATTGAATATTGTAATCGAGTACTCTACTACCAAATATTCCATCGATTAATCGAGTGATCGGATAGAACATCATTTTTTCAAGTTGAAGTGCAATTGTCGCGGAACAATCGCAAACAAGCGTGTGAAGTAGCGGACTGCAATGATCGTAAGAATGAAAGCTTGTTATGATATTAGCTTTCATCATGTCCCTAAAGACATTTGTGTCCGAGAGCTGAATAGCTCCTATGTTACCTGCTTCTGCGACTACACCAGCAATGTTAGGCTACAAGCTAGCGTGAGGAGTGTGCAGAGCAGCGCTGTCTCTGCCCACTACTCAAAGGAAAAGTGCTAATGATCTACTGTAGCTCTGCAGAAGAGCAGCCCCTCTCATCATTCATTTTTTCTGCTCCGCAAAACATAAAACTGCACTTACTCTTCCTTCTACCGTGATGACGTAAGCGCGTTGTCACCTTGAAAATAATCCGAGCGAAACAGCGACAATTTGAGCTCATAAACGAGTACTCGAGGCAGAGAAAATTCCTCAATCATTTTTTTGTAATTGAGGTACTCCAGGAATCATTTCACCCCTATTTAACAGCCAAATTAACATGTTTGACAAAGAAGTTAATAGTTTTGGTCTGATAGCTCATGGCTCCTACAACACCCATTTTACTCTCTTTATATCACGTTTCTTTGATAGTTATTCAGGTTACAAGATCGGCGAATCAGAGGCAAGGCTGACTAGACTGACAGGTGGGCACAATGTGGTTTAAAACAGTATTTCCAATATGGCAATCGCCACCAATGGGCTACAAAACTCCACTTCACAAACCCTGGTGAGACATCACCAAGGCTACGCCCATTTATTATACAGTCTATGGTTTGACTTTCTCTTGAAGTCCAGTTTACACTGGTCATGTACCATTAGAGCTGACGATTAATCAAATTTTAATCATGATTTCGATTTTGGCTTTTTACAATCATAAAAACATTATAATCAAAGAAAAACGATTAATGTGCTGCACGGCGCGGCATGTAAGTTCCTGTGTTAGAAAAACACTTTGAATGCACCCCTGTTACATGCAGCTGCAGCAAGCATGTGACGTGTGTGGATCACTAATATGAGGAGTAAGCGATTGATAACATGGCAGAAAGGCAGCCTTTGGTTGAGAAGACAGGAAGGACAACTTCAGTAATCTAGAAACATTTTGGCTTCAAGTTGACGGATGTCGAGCAAAAGGAAATTGTTTGTTAAGTTTGTCACGCTGTCATGTGTGCTCCCCGAGGCAATCTGACCAACTTTAGGTTTTCCTTATATGCAATTAACCGTGGCTGTAGCTCTGACTCATATGTATCAGTATATGCCCGCGCACATGGGCGCTGTAATGTGGAGCACGCACGCAAAGTATTTGCATAAGCAAGTTATTGTCAGCGATCACACAGCCTGATCCTTAAAGTTAAGTTTTGTTTGTTCAATAAATACTCAGGTTTTGAAATCAATGACTAATTATGAATGTTTGAATGTTTATTAACAGTGATTTCAATATCACTCAAAATAATCATGATTATTACTTTTGCCATAATCGTCCAGCCCTATTTACCATCATGTAGTCTGTCATGTCTGTTGATCAAGTCGTGGCATGATTTTGTTATGTGTTCGCCAAATCCCAAACAGAGACAAAGGTGACAGACAGAAATTGCACTGTCAGACTTTGGCATAAACTGTACTTGAATGCTTTGAACAAATGTTTCATCAAAACTGAAACATTTGTTTACTGGAGTCAACAGTTTCACTCACAGTTGAGTCACACGGTTTTGTGATATCTGGCAAATCAGATAGTAAAGGTCTGATAAAGAGAATAGGCCAACTACCAGCCTGATGTACCCGCGATTGTGTAAATGATCGGTCTTCCAGGCAAAGAGTGTGATGGATCAGAGCAGAGAGAAGAGGGAACTATAGAAACCATCATTCTGTGTGTGCACTCTCCTCACTGTCTCAGATCAGTGCAGCAGAAATAGTGTAAACCAGCGTTAGTGACGATGCAGACCCAAGGACAGCTGCTGGGATGCACAGTGTCAGAAATTCAAATCAAAGAGTGTTTTTAAAAATACCTCAGCAAAAACTTTTAACCTCAAACACTGAGCCACTCAAAAACACAGGTCACAGGTGAAACTACCAAAACAAACTAAAGAGGCTGGACTAGCACAGAGGTTTGACGTGAAGGACTTCTGCTGGCTAAGAGTTCACACTGTACCCATTTGGAGAGCTCCTCTGGCTCCAGCATGCTGTGGGCCAGCTTGTGCATGACATCGGGCTGACACACACATACACAAACAAAGCAAAGATACTGTCAGAGGAGACTGTGGAAACAGTGTGTGCGTTTGAGTGTGTGTGTGTGAAAGAGAAAGAGAAAGCAGAAAAAAGAGACCGGAGGGAGGGATGACAAAGCAGATCAGTGAGAGGTGGTGTCCAGTGATGGGACTGCAAAGCAGAGGAGAGGTGTGGGCATGGATTTGCTCCTATTCTCACTGGGCAAGCAAATACCACACACACGCACAGCCAGTACACATGGCCTACTTTAGCTTGAAATGAGATAGCATACATTATGTAGTTACAACAAAATCTTTGGAGCACTTTGTTCACAGCCTGAATAACCTTACACCTGTGTGGTACATCTGCAGAGTAAATCAAAAGAAGAGTAAGCTCCTCCCCCTTGCTGACACGCCGGCTACAAGCAGCACAGAATGAGCTTTAATGAGCCATGGTGGTGTGTGCGCGCACATCAACACAGAACTACGCGTGCAAGGGGGAGAGGGGGGAGAAAATGGGGTTAAGGGGGTTAAGGGGGCTGGCATCCAACTTACAGGGACAAGCTTCCAATACCATTTGGATGGAGACTATCCAGTTTGCAGGGACAAGAGAGGGGAAGGGGATAGATGAGGGACAGGAGCAGAGAGATTAACAGGTCAGAGACAAAAGGATTGGATCTGCTTCCGGGTCACACAGAGAAAGAGAGAGCAGGGTCAGAATAAGTCCAAAAGATGCCATCACGTTGACAAACTCCTTATCAAAACAAAAGATGCCTTTGGTGGCCTGGAACCAAGTTCTGGTCATAAAGACTTTTATCCACCTGGATCAAAACTTGATGGTGAGTTCCTTCTAAAAGCCTCCAAAAGCCACAAAGAAGGTGTCACCAGTGTGGACCGGAAACCAAAAACTTTTCAGGCTTTTCTCCTGTAAAAGAATCAAACAGAAAGAATGGGAAAAGGCTTTACCTTTTGGTGGCTGGGGGACTCGAGCGGGTGGTGCTTAACCTTATGTTCCCTTTCTGTCATCTCCCTCATCTTCATATTAACCTGCAGAGGAAAAAGTAAAACATGAATATGCAGCATGTGTTTGCACATCTTTAGATTGTGTCATCCTCTTGCCATCTTTGACACATTTTCTTGGATCTTGAGCTTCTTTGCATTCTCAAATCTTGTTGCACTCTTATATGACCTCCTGTCCGATGTTTTTTTTTTTTTTGAGCCAGAATCTATTGTGTTCCGAGTCTAAATGAGAATGGAGAGGGAGGGCAGAATAAAGCCCTTTTAGAGACATAGTTAGATCAGCACAGTGTCAATATAAAACCACACTCAGTGTTCATGAACGGACCGCTACATTTATTAAAAGGGCGTTTTTTTCCCAACCCAAAGGTGTGTCAGCCCATTATAACAATGCTTGGTAAATCTGCTTGCCAGTGCAGCCCTGGACATGAATCCCTCTGCTCCTCACAGTCAATACAAGTGGAAGTGAGACTTATTTGGAGGCTTGACTAAACAGATAGGACAAAGCAAGCTCAACACGGCAGACAGCAAGGTGACAGTTTAATACTAATGAGCCAGAATTGTCACATAAACATCAATGTGGTTTATCATCAGTTATAAGTCTCATGGCAGATTTTTCTCACAGCACAAATGTGTGGTCAAAGTGAACTGTTTGGGCAGTGGATGCAGAGTCATTTTTGTTCAGAGAGCAAAGTAAGCTCTAGCTTCAAAGTTACTCTGACTTTGCATGGGATGAATTGAAGCTCAGGAGGGGCACTGCTACGTGTAATATTTCTCTTTCATGTGTCACCTGATCTGTTTCTCTCTCTTCCTGCAGTCTTTGATATCCTCACACAAACTTGAAAAAAGCAGCAGTCAAATCTGTGTCCCCAGAAGAAATCCACCGTAGAAAATCCGGTTTCTCTCTGATCTTGTTCTTCAGTTATGGTCACCAGCTTTCCACTTATGGCACATTATTAATATAAGCTTCCTAGATAACTACATATAAAACAGATTTACTAACACCTTTAATGTCAATGACTTTGATTGGTCTAAGTGCCTGAAATAATACCAATTACTTATCACATTTTCTAGCAATTTACCAACAAATATGTCAGACATTGCCTTATATTACGACAAGGCAAGCACTAAAATAACTTTTATGGATGTAGCCATCTTGTTTCAGGCCTCTGATTTTGCTTTTTACCGACTTGGTAACTGAAATGCTGGGACCTCAGGTGTGACGTCGTTTTCACCCCCGCATCTGACTTCTGAAGTAACTCGAATGCAGCAAAACTTTCTCCTGCTCTATGATGTCACCTCTGCCTACCTCATTGGACAAACAGTTAGGTTTATTTTCCCAATATCATAGGTTTGACTTCAAATTAACAATTAATTTGAAAAAAATCAATACTTGGTCAGTGAGACGATACGATATATATCACCAGACAAAATATCACGATGCTATGCTGCATCGATTTTTTTCTCCCACCCCTAGCACATACTAATGTTAGTGACTGAGGTGAGAAAATTCAGCTGCTTGGGGACAGAAATGGCTCATCAGCAGAGGGTGACACCTTCCCTCTCCCAGAAAGCGACAGTGTTTGACATCAGGATGATTTATGGACACACTGAGTCATGGCTTTTGCTGCCTCGGGCTTTGAAAGACGAGTGCAACATGAGCCTGAGCCTCTTGTGTGTGTGCAGCAGATTCACACTCCTATCTCCTGTCGGCTGTATGAGCAGCAGTGACTGACACTGACCAGCCATAAGATCAGGAAAACCTGGGTTACTGAGTACAACAGTCATACTCCAAATTTGGCTTCATTTTTAAATTTTTTTTAAAGTTTTTTTTAACTTGATCCGACAGGGGGTTATTACAGAAGTCAGAGTATTCACCACAGCACCACCAGCACCCTCTAAAACTTGAACAACTACTTTAAAAGGACAATCCGTACCTGTCAGACCATGTCAACAAAACTGAAAATATAGGGACTTTGTTACGCCCTCTTTCTTCTTCATCAACTGCGGAGTGTAAACTGAGTGTTTAGGCCAATTTTAGTCTGACTGAGACATACAGATTGATCCCCCACCCCATTATTTCACACATGCAAACAAAGTGATAGTATGAGACTGCTTATTTTGCATTTCTGATCACCTTGTTGATCCAGAAGACCATGGCATCCTCTAGGTCAAAGGGCAGCTCCTTAGAGGCACTGAAGGTGGAGAAGCGTTTGACAGAAGCCACCACTTTCTCAATGCTGATCATCTCCACCGTGTAAGCCATCATCAGGGCATCGATCATGGGCATGTGAGCACTCTGCATGAGGGAGAAAGAGAGACACAGGACGGCTCAATTTTATTGGATTTTTTTACCCAGTTTCCAAAGTAATTAGCATCAAAGCTGGAGGCAAATGAGACGGCAATCCGATGCAGATTTAACCAAACAAACTAAAACTGCGTACCTTATTTGTGTAGAATAAAAACTGATCACATGTTCACTCTCAGGGACTGTGCTAAAAAAAACTTCTTTATATTCAAGTGCAAAAAGTGTATCAAACATTTATTGAGTATACCCTCTCTGATGATAGGCCAGTTTACTAAAGTTTGTCCAGCTGTCTTCGGAGCCAAAAAAATCAGCGTACACCTTGGCCATAAAGACAGTGTTATAAGTCGTTGTCTGTGATATAAACTGTCAGTGGCCTGTGGATTCTGTACAGTAGGCTGTGGATAAATGGATTAGATTATATTGATTACAGGACCGTCTGTTGTCCTGAGGTTCCTGTAGCTTTAAATAACCAACCAAGGTTAATCAAAAGTTAAACCTCTCGTCCTACACAATAGATGCCTGCCCTTAAACCCACTTTCTTAGTCCTAATGCGATCAAGAGCAGCGGCAGACTCTTCTTTTCAAGTGTCCTGACACCTGGTTACTCTCAGGTAGAAACACTGTCTTTTGAGAGTCATCACCTGCCAAATAATAAAAAACCTGCTGAATTACCCCCGTGGACATGAATCTATCTCTTTTAAAATGAAGGTTTGTTACTAATGGTTACTTGTGATCCCAAACAAAACAATGAAGAAGTAGCAACAGAATCCATTACAGAGCATGTACAGACATGATATTGTTTGAGTAAGGCCTCTGTGTAACATGCTGCTTACCTAATCCAATTTCTGATGGAAGTGCTCAGAGATTAAGCTTGTTAACAGAACAAATGAGAGCTATTCAGAGCTCTCACCACGGCAGAACCTCCACGGACAATAACAGAAAACATCTACTTCCAGGCAAACAACAACACTCTCATTAATAAGAGGGAGAAGAGAGGATGAAGACTGCGATGAGGAAGACGGAGGTACTCTGTCTGCTTCTGCTGGCTCATGGGATTCATGTTGGCAGCAGGGACGGTTCTGCTGAGCTGTTTCATGGTTTTACAGGGAATATAAGCCTTACAGCAATTCCACATCAAGTCTGATTCTCTTTAGACCAGCCAGATTTCCAGTCAAGGCTGCTTTAGCTCTACCTTTAAGTAAGTTCATCAATAACTTGATCTTCCTACTCCATTCATATCTCTATGGATTTATTACTCTGATCTTTAATTTTGTGCTATTTGTCTGTAGAGAAGAGAAAGATGGGTAAACATAACTCAAACACAAAATGGCTAATTTGCCGGTAAAAGCATGGGCTATGGAGTCAGTGTGCACCTGTGATAGAAGACATACATGCAACAAGATAATGCAGCACAGGAAAACTCTTGTAACTCAGGGTGTCCTGTATTTATTTACTACTTTAGTGTCAGCGAGTAAAGCTCAGTACTTAACAAAAGGGCAAACACAACAACAGCATGGTGTGTGCACCTCCTCTTTTGTTCTCCTTCAACACTTCCTCTGCTCTTCATCAGTATACCGTGGAGCTCCACAGGGAGCAGGGGCTGCTGTTGCCCTAAGCTTTATGAGAGTGTGAGCACTGACTGACTGACTGACACACACACACGCACGCACGCACGCACGCACGCACGCACTTCAAGAGGACGTGCTATGATGGGTCAACACACCCAGCTGTTGACCCGACGAGAGTCAAAGGAGCAGCCTGCCCAGTCTTATTCATTCACACACACACACACACAGACACAAGCAGAAAATGCGGGCTGCTATGGAAACGCCTTGTCAAGTCAGCAAACTTGGGGGGGGGGGGGTCCAACAGTCCATCAGTGATAAGTAGTTTCCTCACTCGGCTTTGTGTCTGGCTGCTCACACATGGGCCTGCGTGGATTATTCTGTCAGGCTGCTGGGGGGGAACACTGAGACACACACACACACACACCCCTGACTCGCCAGCCTGCAGAGAGGAGGACCTGCTCTACACATCATCACTGGTTACCATGGTAACAAAAGGGTAAGAAGATGGCTGGAAGCAAATGAGCTGGTTGGTGTTCATTCTTTCCTGCATGAAGTGTTCTGAAAAGTCGAGTCACCAGTCTTTTTGCATGATCACACACGACTTCTTAGAAAATAGTTATTGTCCCCAAAATCAACTAAAGATCAGCTGAAAATCAGGACTGGATCAACGGCAGCAAAGACTTTCATGAGCCAGCTTTCAGCCAATACAAATATGCAGCTGAAAAACAAACTCCAACAATAACCTCTATTCTTATATTGACCCCAGATTAACCCTCTTAACAATTTTGCACCTCAGATGCCTGTTCTGAAAGGTCACAGGCTTTTGATGGTGTATGAGGATTAGTACATTCTTTCTTTGGTGGAAAGTCTACACGCCAAACAGGAACACTGCTCACTTTTGGCTCTCTGAAAAACATCAGGGAAGGTACAATTTCAGACTCTACTTTATTCTACTTTTTCTCTATTTGATTTTCTTATACTACTGTTTTATTTTGTTGTATGATTGAAAATTTAACCAAGAGGAAATCTGAGCAGATCTACAAGCAAACGTTCACTAAACAATGTCTAAAAGGTAAAAAAATGTATGAGTTGGTTTGTTTTCCTTGCTAATATAAAAGGTCCTTACACACCAGGACCGTTTTTTTTCAAACCCGTAACCTGTCAATACAAGCGTTCACATCAGCGACTCATTTATTTTTTCGGATCACGGTCGATTTATTAAGTTTTGCATACTGTGTGTCCACTTCTGACCAATCAGATTGCGTGTTGTTGTGACGTCTGATTCACCGGTATATCCAACATGGCCAACCGGCTGATTGTTTACATGTCGGAGAACAGAGTGCTTTTTAATAAAACACACAAACTTTACAAAGATAACGACCTGAAGGACAACTTGTGGAGAGTCATAGAGTCGAATCTCTTATATGACGATACTTTGTGTGCTTTAACAGTTTGCTAAACGTCTTTGTTGTCACTTTCATCTGTGCTTATGTAAACTAACAGTTGTTACCATAGTTTCATGTGCTTATCTTATCGCCTCTGATTGGCTATAAGTGCTGACCGTTTAGCTTAAAAGTGTAATGATGTTTCCAGCTTTTCTAGCCAATCTTCCCCGGGATGCGTCCGCCCCGGACGCATCCCAGTTTGATTGCTGAGGCCTGGTTGTAAAGGTTTCAGGAGGAAGAACAGCCCTCCAAAGACTAAAAACAACATTTCCATAGCAAAATAACACACACAATACCAACTCTAATCACAGCCTTATCTTGCATGAATGTCCGTGTATGACCAGCATGAGTAATATTCAAATTACACTTCTACATTTGAATCATAACTGATAAGAGTGCAGTCAAATCACTGGAGACCGTTCCACTGAGTCAAGCAGCATTATGTGTCTGAACCTCATTGAAATACAGTGTTTGCTGTGAAACTCCAGAAGAGGCGTCTTGGATGAGGTCTTGGCTGTAATGACTGGTTGGTTTGAAGTGCCTGCTGCTTTTCCACTGCTTTTGTCACTGAGGTGAGATAATACATCAGAGGTAGGAAGAGCCGGGGATGTCACAGGTAAGTGTTTACAGCCTCTGGCCCGGTTTAACCCTGATTTGACAGGCAATCTGTACGACTGCAAAATCATAGCCTGTCCTAAGCTGAGTGAGTCTAACCAAAACAGAGTGAACACATCAGTTAAACAGAACCTGCTTTCCAACAAATGTCACTCCACTCACCATTTTGATGGGCACACAGGCCAGGTCCTCGTCCGTGACAGGTGTATCATCACTCTCCACCACGTAAATGCCCTTCCTGGACAAAGCCTGGATAACTGACAGGTGGGACTGAAGAGACACCGCCTGCTCCGTCTTGAGGATGAGGGCACAGACGCGGCAGTAGAGCTCACAGGAGAGCAGCAGGCGGATGACTGGGGGCTTTATGTGTTCCTGGTCGTACTGGTCTGTGTAGAACGGGTCCCTCAAGTCCTCTGGGATATGGTCTGAAATAAAAAGACTTGTTAGTTGAACTGTGTCAGACCATTTGTGACCTGGCAGACAGGACTGACGTGGATTAGCCAATGAGGAATATAGTTTAAGGATGAATAATGGAGCAGGAAAATGATGAATCTTTAATGCTAACATCTCGCTCGTCTGATCCTACACACATCAAAATTCTACAGTGTCAACAGGCCAGAGGAATGTGCCAAACCTTAGCCACTTGAGTTTACCTGAAGCAAACATGGCCATTTGTAGTTACAAGTCACAGCTTATTGCTTCAGAGGTACTCTGGGAAACCAATTCTTGCAAAACAGAAGCATCAGAGCAGGTGGCATGGTGAGTTTAAACTCACCATGCCACCCACACATGGGAGTCTGTAGCTTTGGACGTGAGGTCATTTTAAAACCAGAACCCACAGCCATATAAGGGCAAGGGATGAAGCGCTTCACTTCTGGCATGCACAGACCAAATATACGCTGCTGGATAAACCTTTGATTGAGGCTGAAAAAGGGTCCAAAATGTTGCACAAAACCTGTCCTAAAAAACCTGCAACACACAAACCATGTGGTGGCAGAAATATCCCTCTTCTGTTAAATCTGTGTCTGAGCTGCAGAAACACAGCATAAGCCATATTTGCGTGTGTGCGTGTGTGCATGTGTGCGTGTGTGCGCGTGTGTGATGTGTTCTTAGTGTCTGCTCTGACTGACGGGATAAAGAGAGCTACTCATCAGCAATCTCCTGCTCACAAAAACAGGAGGGCAGGCAGGCTGCTTCTTGCAGCGTCTTTTGTGGATGATAATTCACCACTAGCATCAAAGCTGTACAGCAAAAGTCAGGAAGCAAACAAAACGTGGATTTGATATGCATCTAAACGTGGTGGAAAAGAAAAGGAATTATGAGTTATAACTGAGCAGGACTGAACATGTTTGTGTGAAGCTGCTCAGTTCTGGAGATTCAAGATTCATAAGTCATTGAAAATATGTCTAAAAACAAATACAACCTTAAAATTTACTACTCTTGACATTTCTCTCGAGCTATGTTTCTGTTGTTTTGTAATCTTGATGGTTTCATATGATGCATCAAAACAAAACAATGTAGCTTGTTAGCAGGTGTTTGAAACAAGAGCCATAATACCATCAAACATTACAGAAATACTACCACTAAAATAGACTGTGTGGTACGATCACAAACTTCACCATCATGAGGGCTTCCCTGCCTCTCCAAACATTTCTTCTTTGTTACTGTAATCTGCCTAAAGCAAAGTGACAGGCTCCTCTCTTCTGATGTTCAGAAAGCTTTTCTGATTTGGATCATGATGGTGTACTACAGCCTTGTCAAGTTATTTAGGCCCTAATCCTGAGGCTTTAATTCAACCTATCCTTTCACCTAACTTCCACATGTTACTTAATTCATATAGTACTGCACTGCAGAGTCAATCTATAGCTAAAACAGCAGCATAGCATTACTAGCAGGCTGAGGCAGAACACTGTACTTGACATTTTGTCAGCTGTTCTTTTTTCCTACTGATGCAAATCCATTAATTCCAACCCTAATGTCCAACATGTCAGTGAGAAAATGGGCAGCATTTGTCTTGATGCGATAAACCTTCCTAATAATGCAACTAAGAAGATCTGTTATGTAAGAATGAGACTGCACTGCTTACAAAATGATAAACCATGCAGCTTATGACAGTCAATCACATCCATCCCTGTGTATTATGTTCCACTGGGCTTACTGCTGCCAACCACCATGCATACACACATGCTGCAAATACGGCTGTTATTGTGAAACAGCATTTATCTGTTAGGCATCATCCCCCTCAGCAGTGCTGGTCATTCCTGGAGAGCTGCGTCTGAGTAAATAAAGCCATTAGCACAGTGGCAGTGATTGTGAGTGAAAACAAAGGGGGCTGGTTAGGGCGAGACTTTACGTTTGACTTCACTCTCACAGACACTGATGTTGTGTGGCAGCTGCCCCCCCACTCTCCTGCCACCACAAGCCAGGCAGACAAATGCTGGGATGGGATGGAGCAGGAGGATAGGGGCCTGGCAGCGAGACTAAGGAAGTGCTACAGCAGAGTCATCCACCCGTGAGCAGCACCAGACCGCTATCAGCACAAGCAAGGGAGAGAGCAGGGTGAGGACCGGCGGTGTGCCTGCAGCCATGACAGGTGCTCGCTCTCGCCAGCAGTGCTGTCTGGCTGTCTGTAGCTTGTTCAGGCGGGGAGCAGCTGCGGCGCATGCAGAGGGCAGTGGGACAGGAGGGCATGTACACAGACCCTGACCTGCATTACTGACGGCCAAACAGGAACCCCCCGCTGATGATGAGATGCACCTGAATCCCTGACAACCCTACTGAGCCACAGCAGCATGTCTGAATGTGGATTAACGACACTCTCTCTGTTTAAATGGCACGTTTTGCATCTGGGCAGCATTAATGATGTAGCATACTCCATATGAGCCACGGGGTGAACATCAAATGGACCTAGTTTATACAGTTCCCATGGGGGGGTGGTAATTGTGGCTGCACCTGAGGGATGCTCCCTCTGGGCCAGCAAAGCTGTGGGGTTACTGTATGCTCTCTATTGTAGCTGAACAGCATCCCCACCCATATGTAGGCAATGCATCGTTCTTGTTTATCCAGGGATGCTGTTACGCTGCATCTTCCAGCCAGCATGGTTAACTAGGGATTATGATAACAGACATAAAACAACAAGAAAATACCTACAAGACTTGATGCGAGTCTAAATAATGAGACTGAAAGTAAATAGAGCAAAAAAGCAACAAGAGCTTTCTAATTACAACCTGGGTCATCATCCAAACCCATATCTTACATGTTTTTAAAGCTTGAGTTACAAAACAGAATCTTTATAATGACCACATGTACTCAAACAACTGCAGAATAGAAAGCAAAGCTTGTAGAAGTTTCTAGAATAATTACAGCTGATCTGGACAGAGACTCCACTGATACAGCAAACGTGCAAAGCAGTATAGCTGAGGCTGGGGAGGACAACAGTGAAATGTTGTGATAAGGGCATAGCATCAAGAAAATCAAAGGTCAATAGAAGCCCTACACTGAAAGCACTGAATGGTGGCATCATGAGATGTTAATCCAGATGACTGAACTCCTGCCAAACAGTGCGGATGATCTCAGTCTCCTTGTTTCAGTTTAGAGGTTAAACATTTATTATGCTAGCAAAGTCTCTCAGAAAAATCAGGCCAACGTTCGTCTCACACAACAACAGAGTTAATAAATACACAGAGAAAGATGTGACTTTAACATACTGGACTGTGAGGCCTTTAATAATGTGCACTTAATTTGAAAACAGAACAACACTACTGACTAGATATGGAGGGCCGAAATCTCCAATGTCACCACCTAGGATCCATGTTTTACCAGGGGATTAACCAACCTGGGCGCTTAATAATGTGGGGTTAGTGTGTAACGAAAACTAACATGCAAAAGAAAGAAAATCCTACACATCTAATCATACATGACCAGCATAATCACTTAACCATGCCTCGTTCCAGCACTTCTCTAAGTTACTTTGGTAAGCGCATGTCTATGCTACAACTGCAGCCAGCAATTAGCCACAGTTAATCATATGAAAACGACAAACTTGCAGTAAAGGGCAACTAAGTGTTTCTGATCTCATCCCCATACTATCAATAATAACAGAAAACAATCTTTAGCCTAAAAATGCTGAATCAATAAGCATCCAAGAAAACTAGGAAATGTATTCCTCTTAACAGTGATTTACTGCTGAGGTTATATATTAGTCTGCAAATAAGGTTAGAAAATTTTCCAATCAATTTCATCCTAAGACTAAGGACGTAAAAAAGGATTGACACTCATGACTCGTTGGTAAAAATGTCCATATCAGGTAGAGATAAATGTGTGGTCTCATACTACATTCATCTATCTGTGTTGTGTTTTCGGTTTGAAGGGTGTTTCGATGCAAATCAACTGGCAAAATGTGTTGCACACAGCTGAGATGCTCTGCAAGGGGCTGCAGCTGTGCGCAAGCTCGTTTTGAGGAGAAATACACAACAGCTGCTACTACAGACAGCGAGATTTGGATCTTTTGACCAGGACATTACCCAATCTTTGGATTGCCTGGTGAAAAGTCAATGCGGACTAATTTTCCAGACTGGCAAAGCTAGCATTTAACATGAGTGCTTCCAGTGCGTGTTTTCTGCAGCTGGACTGATTGTGACACCCAACAATGTTTTCATGCAGCTGATTTATCAAGAAGAACAAGTATGTAGAAAACTGGACACTGTGAGTCTGAAAAGTTCTTCTGTTCGCCTCTCTTGTCACAGCAATTCCATTTTCAAAGTCATTTGAGCCTCGCCCTACATATAAGTCCACAGAGATTACTTTTATGGGCCTTCTCTACGCATTAGTGTGTCACACAAGTATTACACCTCTATAAGTTCTGTAGCTTTGCAGTACCGCCATTTATATCCAGTATGTGGCTGTGGAAAACATTAGGGGTGGGAGAAAAAAAACAATACAGTATAGTATCACAATATTTTGTCTGGTGATATATCGTATCGTCTCTGACCAAGTATCCATTTTTTCAAATTAATTGCTAAAATGAAGATAAATCTATGATAATGGAAAAATAAAATCAACTGTTTGTCTAGTAATGTTGGCAAAGGCGACATCATAGAACAGGAGAAAGTTAGTGCAACAAATACAGCAGCACATAGAGAAAGACATTAGGAATGCAAGCAGGGCACAAATGAGATGGACCTGACACATAAAGTTTGCAAAAAGTGCTACATGAAAATAAAATACTGTGTAAATAAGACAATCATAAAAGAAAGAAACATGCTAAATTAGCTAAACAGTTGAAAAAATTGTGTATATCATAATATATTGTATCGCAATTCTCATTGTATTGAAAAATGTTAAAAATCACCTTTCCTTTTTAATGACTAATTCATATTTTATTATAAGCATTTCAAAAAATCCATCAGAGAGAAACTTTGAATTTGCATTCCTATGAGTGAGTTTTGCAAAATCCTGATTCATGATACAGTAAATACTCTTGAATAAAGATTATTATTCATTACTCTACGTGCAACATTTGTGGCAGTGGTGGAAATTGTGTTCTAGTTGAAGAACATGGCAGGGCAGATATTTGGCTCTTCTCACCTAAATGCAACAACAGTAAGTTGTACAGTCAGCAAATATCTTTTGTATTAGAGAGTTATAAAACAGGTAGGGCCATGGGAAGCACAAAATATCACAATATTTGAAACAGTTTCCTTATCAGTTACAAAAGGGCAAAACCAACTATCAAGAAGCAGCCCATATCATGGTACTTCCCGAGAAAGAAAATGTGCTCAACTGACAGTCACAAAGACATGGACCCTGACGGTTGAATTCAAACAATTGCACTCAGTCCTGAAATCTATTCAAATCCTGACTGCTGAAACCACCGACAAGACAGGGAAATCTGGCCTAAAGGCCTACTTCCTAATGCTGTTACCATCTTAACAGGGAGTGAGTGACTGGCAGAGTAGATCAGTATTTTCCATGCTCTGAGTACAGTCTCACAAATATAGCCTAATCCTCACTCACTGCCTGTCACTGGGCCTACTTTGGGTTCAATCTCACTGGCCACCAAACAAGAATGGAAGGATCTGGTGAGTCACTGACACAGGCTTTAGTAGCAAAATGTCAGGGCAGAATTTTCATGTTGGCTTGACTGCTCACATACACAAATATTCCTTCCCTTTCCTTGTCAATATGTCACAACGGAAGCTCTACACAATCTGCTGACAACGGTATGTGGAAAACAGTAAACAGTAAACACACTGTTGCAGCAATAACATCCGAAATAGCCCAGAGAATAGGAGGAAAATATGCTGTAGTATCTCATGGTGTTTTTAATACCCTGTGTTTAGAAATGCGATAGCTGTTAGCAGTCTCACTTTCTCTATATACAGTTTTTTTAATGCATCATAGAGCCAACCATAAATATGAGTAAATAGTTGGTGTTTTTGTGATGTAAATGTTGGGTACATTACTTACCGATGCCATATGCTTTTGCAAACAGCCACCTCAGGTTGGCAGCTATTTTTGCCCTGGCGGAGTCATACATCTCCAACGGTACCACATCCATTGTACCTTCTGCAGTGCCAGTCAAATCCACTTTTCTCCTGGTACTGTCCCCACCAGCACACAAATCAACATCCATCCTTAAATAAAAAGAAATAAAATAAATAAAAAGAATTTGAAACATGACATTACAGTCACAAATATGCTGAATGCACTGCTGATTCAGAAGCACAATCAAATAACAGGGCATAAACCCACATCCACAAGCCAAAACTGCCCCCAGCATGGCTTGTGTAAGTAGCCAGACACCCTTAATATGAGTAATTAATAACTTCCGCTGGTGGTTAATTATAATGATTATTTTTATCATTACTGTTAAGAAAAATACTTTTTTGAGTGAAACTGTAAATCCTTCCTTTAGTGGCCAACTGGGCTTTCAATTGGTGGCTGGGACATAAGTATTTACCGTAAGTACCATTCTAGCAGGAATGATCACATTGGTTATGTCAACTTTGAAATGAGAGTCTTTACAGTCTTGTGAACCCGCTGTGAGGCCATGGTAAAACAAAACAGAGCTTAAAATGTGAGAGCAACTCTTCAAAACCTCCACTCTCAAACAATAGACATCCCTTCTCCCAGTTAATTTCCTCATGAGGTGCATTAAGAAAGATTTGAGGGAAAGACAGCAAAGGGGAGTTGCTGGCTAATAAGTACTTGTAAAGACATGACTTCTCAGTGCTTATTAGGTGATATAACACTCTGAACACCTGAGCAATCTAATGCAATCCCATACAACAGATGCACCATGAACTCTTCCATCCGAAAGCCTTTACATGTTTATTTTTTTAGTTTACTTGATCAGACAGGTGATCATCTGTCTGAGTGTCTGTGTCAACAAAAACTCACACTGACGAGTCTTTGTCGAGGCAGAACTTAAAGCAGACTCACTACTGTACTCAGTTGCACTGGATCCCGAAGGTGTTTCTAATGTTATGACTGGCTGATATACTGTTTACAACTTTCACTCATGGATAGTTTGCGCAAGGCTTTTAAGCACACAGGGAGTGTCACATATTAAAGAAATATGGTGAGACGCTGCATTGTTAATTGCACATTGAAGAAGTTATTGTAAAGGCATCACTGCACAATAAAGATGAGGGGACAAATTGATTTATAGAGTAAGAGGCACACATGAATTATTTAAATTTGTGAACACGTACATTTTTTTAAATTGGCTGTGATAATGTGGTTGAGTAGGGAAATTGTTGATCAGTTTGAATATCTTCTGTAAAATAATGACTTAGGACTTGAGGAAAATTTGTAAAAAGTAGCTGCCAATTATTAAGAGATGAGTACAAATTTTAGAGATGAGGTGCACCTATCTGCTTACACACACTACTGCACTAAGGTCCTTGCTGCTGACTTGATCCCTCCGGGAAAAACTCACTTAAGTACCTGCTTTGATACCTGTGAGCGTTACCCTCCCACCCTGCCACTGTGTTGTCCATCACGGCCCGAAGCAGGCTACTTAGACAAGCTAGGTAATTACTAATTAGTCAAATTAGCTAGACTTCTGCTTTTCTAATTGCTTCTTTTCTCAGGGGCCACCCGTTATGTGACACTGACCAGATTTGTTTAGCTGTAGGTTGGCTAAGCGGCCATTCATGCAAATGTGAAGCAGCTCACCAACTAAACGGCTAACGGTTAGCCTGCACCGCATTCATCGACCCCATGAATGACGTTAGCTAGCTGGCAGGACATTACCTTGAAAGGTGTGGTGTATTTCCAAGTCACCCTTCAGTTTCCAAGGGGTAATGATTCAACCAAGGACCTGCCCCGCTTTACAGTGGCCCGTAGAGTGGAAAATACCCCCGCAGCAGCGACGCATTGTAGCCAGCTAATAGTGCTAGCAGCGAGGGAGGCGAGTCTGAATGGTCTCCTCCCAGCAACAAGAGCCTTTTCGCGGCCTGCGTGACAACCGCTCCACGGCAGTTTAATGAACGGCAGACGGAAAAGGAAGGGTTCCCCAATAATGAGTCACGACGTACAGTTTAAAAATCCCTCAGTTTGTCGTATGCCTCATGTTAGTCCATATTTGTAGATATCCTGGTAGGTCGGGCTGTGCAGCGAGACCCGGTGGAGTGTTCGCGCTCTGCCCATAGAAATGTAATTATCGTCCCAGCCTTCAGAAAAGCAACATCTGCGCATGCGTGATCACCTTCCAGACTGTTATTAGTAATACTGGTTATAATGGCCGAAATTAAACCAACAGCACCCAATGTTTCTACTTGTATTGCCTTTACTTTGGGATCTTAAAGTCATATATTAGTTCAGTTACTGTTATCTTACTTTTGATTTATTTTTTATTTGTTACGATAATTTAAGTTTTATTCAACTTTCCCTACAGAGTGACTAAATGTGAAGTTTTTCCTTCTAAATTGTTTATTAAGTTAAATGCGAATTCCCCATGTTTGCACACCCTTTTTATTAATCCTGGCCTGTTTTGTTCTTCGTGATATTACCTGACAACGCCATCTAGCGATAGTATTTGCTATCACAATTTGAAACGTTTTAGTAAAAATAGAAATAGTAAGAGAGAGTAAACAGGTTACATGTGACAACAACTGATTTTTTTATTATATCAGTTTTAAAACAGGCATTGCTCATTTGAATAGATATATACACATGGATGGGGTTTCACAAAACAGCAGTGTATTATCCTTACTGATGTCACTTATCTTCTGTCACTTTATAAATATAATACAAACAAATGACATTTAACAGGATGTAAATTAGCAACCTCAACAATTTTAACTCTTCACTAATTACACCATAGATAGCTATCAAAGGGGCAGGTTGCAGTGTTTTGCCAGGCTTGGCTGAGATTGATCGAAAGACTGAAGGCCAGAGACCATACAAAGATGGATATGACCAAAACATGTGTCCCAAAGAAACAGGAGAACATTGACATCTGAAACAGATTGATACAACATTAGAGAATAACTTAGACGGTCTGTCATTAAAATAATGCAACCTGTGGACAACCTTAAGCTGAATCAATCCATGTCTAATACAGGGAGAAGATGTGTGTATAAGCACAGTTGTAGGGTAATTTTCAGATGTTTTCCAGTATTATTTCTCTAACTTCTCCTTCCCACGCCGCCTTGATCTTGTCCTTTGTACAAGGGCAGCTATCCAGAACTCATACATTTATTTTTGATATTGCTCTTATATTGAGTGGATTTACATTAAGGACTAAATACAGTAGGTCTTTAAAGGATGGAACATAGGATTCAGTGGAAAAATGGGAACCATTGGGAATTAATGAAGAAACCTGGGCACAACAGTCATCTTCACTGCATTCATCTGTCCTGCCAGTGAGAGTGAAAGTTTCAACTACTCACCCAAATCAATTTTGGTACAGTCTAAAATAGACCTGTAGTTTTACTGAAAAATAGCCTTAATTTAACCTGCCATTTCTGGTAAGTAAATTTGTTATTTTCAGTTTCAAAAGGCGAATTTTCATTAGTGATGTGTTTTGCTAGATTATTCAATGAAATAATATAAGATTTTGACAAAATTCCTCTATACCCTGATATGCTACTGAATTTTTGCAGCCAGTGAAAAAGTTTTATGGTTTGTTTCACCCCTGGATACTCTTAATATTGCCATCTGATCTAATAGCAATTGCTGGTGGTTAATTCACAATATCAAACAAAAAAGGCAACAGACAGCAACCTCTGTAGAGTGAAAAATATTCAGAGATCAAGCCATCTGTCCCAACTGCAGCCATAGGTGTTGAATATGGGACTTTGATCCACCTAGAAAAAAATGGGCCTCATTCTGTGAAAGGATGGGTCCATTTGACTTTTCATTTGAAGACAACCTGGGAAACACCCATATTTTTACGATTTTCACATACAATAATCACAGTAAACGATACATTTGACTGTTAACAGTCAGCAGGATGAGAGTTTTTGTAAGACAAACTACATTAGCGTGTACAGGACAAATTACACAAAGACTTCTTTGTCCTCAAGGGACGCCCGAATTCACACAAACAAAAAGTTCCTGACGGTAACCGTGAAATTTGTGCTGTTTTTTATTCTCCTAAAATAGACTTCATAAAGTATGTCCTCAAATACAAAATAAAATCGATCTTCGGTTTTACTGGTATTGGAGGTCTTTTGACCTTGCCCACTTGCCATATAACTAAACTTTCTGTGACGCATGCGCGGTGACAGCTACTTGCTCTTCAGTAGCACATTCTGGTTATACAGTTAGCTGGGGCTAACAGGCTAGTCCCCTACTGTAGTTGAAACGGTCCGATCCAGGACCAGATTCGTCCCCCTCTGACTCGGTCTGTACAGTTAACCTGGCACTGGTGCTGAAAGGGCGCTGACTGCAGAGGTAACAGCTGTTTGTGTTAGCATCGGCAACTAGCTTTAGCTCGGCTCCACTAACAGAGAATCAAAACAGAGGCTGAGAGCTGGACAACATGGCGACGGAGGAGAAGAAACCAGAGACAGAAAATATTAAACAGTCTTCTTCATCAGCAGGATCAGGCAGCAAGGTGAGTCTGCTGGACTGGCAGTGTTTTGAGGGACTGGGCTGTGGTATTAGTTTATCGACCAGCTGCCTAACAGCTGATGGGTTTGGTCTTTGGTGTAAACAGAGCTGATTACTATATGTGTGTGTGTGTCCATGTTTAACGCCTGAATACTAATTTATGCTTGCATCAGCACTGAAGGAATATATAAAACAGCAGATTAATTTACAGTACAGTACAGTACATGTGATTATGCTGGATAACTGTCCATCACTGTCCTGTTAAACGAACCTTTTGGAGGTCCAAATATATATTCCTATTTCCAAAACACTTACAGGCAATAGAAAATGACAACATAGCAAATTTTATCCAATTCTTCATTGAAAGGATAACTGCTCTACGGCGAAACGTCTGCAAGCAAATCTAGATACACTTTTAATGAAGAATCGGATAACCATGACCTGGATGAATGAGAACCTTCAACCTACACAGACAAAACAGATTCTGATGGTTTTCAACAGGTTGGTAACATCTCTGGGTTTAAAAAAGGGCATTACAGGGAGACCGAGTCCCTCAGAAGTGAAGTGGGACCAAACAAATCAGTTTTAAAGTCATGTTCTGTAGCAGGAAACTGCAAAAAAAAATTATTGGTGGTTAGCACTATCACCTCACAGCAAGAAGGTCCAGGGTTCGAAACCGGGTCAGGGCGTTTCTGTGTGGAGTTTGCATGTTCTCCCTCTGCCTGCGTGCGTTTACTCTGGGTACTCCGGTTTCCTCCCACATCCCAAAACCATGCAAAAATGGTTTTAGGTTAATTGGTCACTTCCAAATTGCCCGTAGGTGTGAATGTGAGTGTGGATGGATGTTCGTCTCTATGTGTCAGTCCTGCGATGAACTGGCGACTGGCCCGAAGATGCTGAGATAGGCTCCAGCCCCCCCAACAGGATAGGCGGTGGATGGATGGATATTGTCAGTTCATAGTGAGGTCAGCCTTGGTTACATCTGGGAAGGCACCATTGATACTGAAGGATATGTACAAGTTTAGGTGCAAACACAGTGATAAACAAGCCCCAGTCCAGCCTTTTGACGTTTGCTGTGCTATTTTTGCACTATTTTCAATCAAATACAGCTCTAAGCTGATCAGTAAACCGTCAAAATCTGTTTCTATAATCTTACTTGTTTTCAACAGCCTCAAACTGAGATGTTTGTTAATATATTCTGGCTAAATTAAAGGGTCTAACTGCAGTGACTGTGTCTGTGTTTTCAGTCTAATCCGGCCAAACCGAACTACACAGTCAAGTTCACACTGGCTGGACACACAAAGGCCGTCTCTTCTGTCAAGTTCAGCCCTAATGGAGAATGGCTGGCCAGCTCCTGTGAGGGCCACACACACACACACACACTTTTTATTTAAGTTTTCACTTCTTCCTGTCAGCAATACAAAATCACATCAAACAGTGAACAACAAAGATACATTTAACATATAGAAAATATTGTTGTTCATGACAGCTGGTGAAGAATGGAGGTTATACTGGTCAAACTGGTCAGCTGTAATGGTTAGGGTTAGTTACTAATAGATTTAATTAAATGTTGAAAAAAAGCAAATTTTACCAAAACTTTTTATTGGAAGAGATCACCAGTGTGTCAGAAATGAATTAGGACTTTCCAAATACATGTGTCATAGTCAGATATACTGTAGTAGTTGTTTGTACTGGTGGTATGTTCAAGAACAATCAGAAATCTGACAACTTTAATGCTGAGTTGTATATCAGAATTAGAGATTACACTGAAGTTGAACAGGTGAAAGAATGTGTATTTGTGTGTCAGTCCAAAAACACACTAGTGACTTACTAGGTTGCTGTAACCATGGTAACGTCTTTGTGCAGCCGCTGATAAGCTGATCAAGATTTGGGGAGCATTTGATGGCAAGTTTGAGAAATCCATTGTGGGACACAAACTGGTGAGTGATCTCATGACCCTGTTTCAAAAATCCTCAGGATATGGGCCAGTTCTGGTTCTGATTCTTGATCTGACCATTTGTGTGTGCGTATGTGCGTGCGTGCGTGCGTGCGTGCGTACATGCGTGTGTGTTTGATTTTAGGGGATCTCTGATGTCTCCTGGTCCTCAGACTCTAACCTGCTGGTTTCTGCATCTGATGATAAAACACTTAAGATCTGGGACAACAACTCGGTAAGGAAGACTCAAACATACACTCAAGTGGTCAACTGGTGATGCTTTTTGAGACCACAAATGCTGAATAACAGCCTCATAACACAAACACACTGTACATATACGTACATATATAGGATCATTTCATTACAGTCTGACTTTACAACTCGTGATGGTTACTGCATGTGTTTTGACACAGACTGCAGAGCTACTGTCACTTATATCTTTCCTTAAGCTTGTGGTGAATATGACTTTTCAGTTTGATGGACCTAAATGAGGTGCATTGACATTTAATTTGCAAAGAAATTGATTCACCTGGAACATTTTCTCAAAGTGAAAACTTTCATTCACCGTAGGTGGATTTTCACATCTTTGGTTCATTGAATTCAACTTGTTTAAATCTGCAGGAAACATTTCTTTGTTCAGCTCTTACAGAGTCGTGACTTAAACACACCTAGAGTATAAATATCTAAATGTCTTTCATGAGCTGTGCTGCAGCGCCACCTGCTGGTAGACTGCCTCTTTCACCTCACATGGCAACCTCAGATCTGGATGAATAGTGAGGAAAAGCTGTGCTGTTTATTGATTGACCATTTGCTAAACTGTTATATCTATCCATAATGTGTGTGATTATTAGATAAATATCCTAACAATGTAACGCTTAGCTCCAAATAATGTTTAAAGTCAAATCAGTGTGCTGAGTATGAAGGTACTGTTTGATTAGATGTTTTCAGACCTGCTGCCTGACTCTGAATATCTGATTGTTCCCTCAGGGGAAGTGTCTGAAGACGTTGAAGGGTCACAGTAACTACGTCTTCTGCTGTAATTTCAACCCTCAGTCCAACCTGGTGGTGTCGGGATCGGTACGCTTTTTACCCATTCACTAAGTTCCTGCTGTCTGCTTCCGACTTCATGAAATCAAACCTGACTCTGTGTTTGTGTGTTTGTGTGTGGGGGGGTTTAGTTTGATGAGAGTGTTCGAATCTGGGATGTGAAGACCGGGAAATGTCTGAAGACTCTGCCGGCCCACTCTGACCCTGTCTCTGCTGTAAGTTTTGACCACTGATCCCCTTCCCCCCTTGTTGAAAAGTTACAATCTCAGCCTGTTATGTTCTCTGACCTTTGACCCTGTGTTTGTGTCTCCAGGTTCACTTTAACAGAGATGGTTCGCTTATTGTCTCCAGCAGCTATGATGGTCTCTGGTATGTCTACACACAGTTGAGACACTGTCATGTATGTAACAGCATCCAAACACCTGCAGAATGAATCATGATGGCATTGTTTCTGTCTGTCTGCAGTCGTATCTGGGACACAGCATCAGGACAGTGTCTGAAGACTCTGATTGGTGAGTAAATCTGCTTAATACTCAAGCAGGAAAGAATAGTATCCTGTTTCTTCTTAAAAAGTCAGGTTCAAACAATTCCTGGGGACGTGTCAAGTTGTAAGCTGTCTCTCTCTCCTCAGATGACGACAATCCTCCTGTGTCCTTTGTCAAATTTTCTCCGAACGGGAAATACATCCTCGCTGCCACACTGGACAAGTCAGTATCCCAACCTAATTACTGTCTGAACAAAGTGGGTTTCAGGGGTCACCAGAGGTCATATGTAGTACACCTGACCTCGTCATGTCCATCACTTATTACCATCCTTACTAACTCTGCTCTGTGGTTTTCAGCACGTTGAAGCTTTGGGACTACAGCAAAGGAAAGGTACTGACTGTCTGTCCAGTCTGTCCATGTAAAGGTCTTTGTCTCTACCTGTGGATCCTCAGCCATCTAACACTGTCTGTCCCCTCCTTGTGTTCCCAGTGTTTGAAGACGTACACCGGCCATAAAAACGAGAAATACTGCATTTTTGCAAACTTCTCTGTCACAGGAGGGAAGGTGAGAGTTTCTGTTGTGGTTAAAAATACTCCACACTTGAAGCTTGTAGTCTCAAGTTGATGACTTTCATCCCTTATTGGAAAAAACATGCTATGTTTTAACATGAGTGTCAGTGTCAGGTGGTTTCACTTTTTGACCTCTGTGTTTCAGTGGATCGTGTCTGGCTCTGAGGACAGCATGGTTTACATCTGGAACCTTCAGACCAAAGAAATAGTTCAGAAACTACAAGGACACACAGGTATGACCTCTGGCTTCACAGCATGAGTCTGACCGAGACTGTGTTTCTAGGGCCATTTCTTAGTCCCTGCCTTTGTTTCCTTGTATTTGTCTCCTGAGTCTGTTTCCTGGTGTTTGTCCTCTGAGATACTCTGTCCTACTCCCTGTCTTTGTGTTCTGGTCTTTTTCTTCTAGCACCTGACCTGACTTTGACTCCTGTACCCTGAATTTGTCTATTAGTTTTGTACTTTAAAGTCCCAAATTGTGGATTTGTCTTCTCTTCTTTGACTGTTGTCCTCTGTCTTCCATCCTTTTACTTAGACCTAATTAATCCTGTTTGATCAGGTTTCACAAATGTTGATTACAGGAGGTAGTAGAAAAAGCTTTTTCTCTCTGATTTGTGTGTTTTTCTGTCTCTCTGTGCAGACGTGGTGATCTCAACCGCATGTCATCCGACAGAAAACATCATTGCTTCAGCCGCTCTGGAAAATGACAAAACCATCAAACTGTGGAAGAGTGACTGTTAGACTGCAGGAGACCTGATCCTCAACCATCCCCTGTCCTGTTTGACTCCACAGATTTACTAATAATCCACAGAAACACAGTTTAATCTCACCTGATGGGAACACTTACAGAGAGCCATGAACACACTGTTAGTCCATGTGTCGTCTCTTTCACATTAAGAGACTTTCAGAGCCACAAAGAGACGAAATCATCTTCCTTCTGGGATTTTTTTAATGTTGAAAACTTTCAAAGAAAGTTTTTTTAATTTAAGACTTTTGTGTGTTCTTTTATGTATGTTGTTTGGCTTGATTGTTAAAACACAATTAGTGCAAAATCGTTGTTTTGAATATTTGAAAAAGCACAGACAAGTAGAAGATCATGTAGAATGAATGACTTTTCACAGGAAGTTATTTACATTTGAGAAAAAGAAAAAATAGAATAAAATACCCAAGTGATTATGTCCTGTACATGCATGAAAACCCAGCACATCTTTCCCAGTTAATTTAATCATAAAAGCAGAACTAAAGTCTTCAAACCATTTCTTAATATAAATAAAGCATATAAATTACATGGTACAGTATACAATACAGTAACTGTATGTGTGTTTGTGGCTCTCTGTCTTGTGGGATCATCTGATTGGACAACAAGCAGCAGCTCTTCATCATAACCATCTGCACGCTCCTCGTACTGTCTCCTCAACCTTCAATCAGCTGAACAAGTAAAAAGATGACTAATGTGTGGAAGGAATTTTTCAGTTATTTGTAAATAAAGAATTTTGAATATGAGCCACCCTGGTGTGTGTGAATGACTTTGTTTTTATTTACTAATAGCAGCGCTGTTTTAAAGGTGGTTGTGATGGCAGGTTCTGTCATGCTGAAGACAAGTGAAGTCAGTGACTAAAAAAAAGACTCCAGACAGGGCTGTACAGACACATGAAAAAGTTTTTAATTCTTTTAAACAAAACTGTTACAGAGATCAAACATTCTTCTCCCGTCTTTTCTCATTTTTTCTGCTGTCATTTTCTTCACAGATCCTCAGAAGTGAACTTAAACTCCTGTCCTGATTTTCCCTTGAAGCATCAGTCAGTCACACCACAGCACTGACTTTACAAAATTGATTTAAAGAAAAGGAAAAAAATCTGAAAAGTTTAACAAACTGACATACTCCTGAGAAGAATAAGGGCGACAAAGAAATTGAGGTCACACTTTTTTCCAACTGACTTATTCTGATGTTGAAAAAAGTCAGAATTCTGCCTTTTTTTCTCAGAAGTCTGAAATCAAAGCAGAATTATAACTTAAGTGTCCGAATTCTCAAAGAAATTAGGCTATGTTCACACTGCAGGTCAATTCCAATTTTTTAACCATATGTGACACATATCAGATTTTTTCATGTAAGTGTGAACAGTGCAATTCCGATTTTTTTAAAATCTGCCCCAGGCCTCTTTTGTATGTGGATATAAATCGGATCTGTATCTGGTGTGACTGCAGTGTGGACGTATAGGTCGCGTTCATCCAACCTATACATCATCAACATGCGACAAACGTCACCATTGTTCAACAACACAAACAGGTGCGGAAAGCAATTTGCATGCAGGTCACTTCACGGACGCATTCCGTTCAAATTAGATGCTGCATTCGTTGTTGTAATGTGAACGACTGCACAAAAAGATCGGATTTAACACAAAATCCGAATTGTGCATTATAACCTGCAGTGTGAACATAGCCGTAGAATTCTGACTTCTTGGAACTCTTGACTTTAAAATTTAGAATTCTGGAATTAGGAAAAAAAGTCAATATGGATTTACTTTCACTTTTTCTTGGAATTTCATCTCGAGACTCAAAATTGTGATAAAAAAAGTCAGAATTCTGCCTTAATTTTTTGAATTTTAAGAATAGAAAAAAATCTGACTTTAAACCCAGATTTGTATGGAAAAAACTTAAAGGAAAAGAAATGATTCTGCTTTAAAACTCAGAATTCTGGGATTAGACAAAAAGTCCGAAAATTTATGTTGTGAATTTATTTGGACTTTTTTGTTTGGAATAACGACTTTTAACAATTTGTGGGAAAAGCCAGAATGCTTACTTTAATCTGATTTCTGAGTTTTTTTACTTTTTCAAAGAATTCTGAAATTGAATCCAATTGAGAACCATTCCCAACCCGACTTTTCTCAAAACTCCGACATTAAACTCAGAATTCTGGGACTAAAAAAAATGTCAGAAAATTGATTATTTTTAACCTTTTCTCTGAATTCTGACTTTACAAACTGAAGAAAAAAAGTCAACATTTTGACCTCTACTCTAATTAACTCTAATATTAATTTTGACAAAGAAAACCAGTTGGTGGCTCTTATCCCTTGCATACATGTACTTTTTCTTTTAACAGTCATCTTTACAAATTCCTGAGATTCACAACTGGAGACAGTCTTGACAAAATGCAATTTGGTTAAGATAATGAGATGATGCAAAAATAAGTAGCTTATTTGACCTGAAACACTGGATTTCACCTACAGAGAAACCAGATATTTCACTAATCTTTCAACTTGTCATCATAATAGTCAACAAACTGTAAGCTGTGACAGGGGCGAGGTAACTGTTAAGTAACTTTAAGCATTTAGCTGACTGTGATGTAACTGTTTAAGCTGTAAGCTAACAGTTACAGCAGTCGGCTAACGTAAAATTAGTTAACTGCAGTAGTTGATTAATAATGCTCACAGTAGTACACTAACTGTTACCGCATCAAACCCTTTGTTAAAGTGCAACTAGCTCCAAATTCCTATGAACAGTTTTTAACTGTTTCTGAGGCAAACACAAATTGAGAGCAGGGGTTTAAATTGACCTAGAGGGGCTAACGGAACCTTCATAAAAAAAGAGGAACAATTCTAATTTCTTTTTAACAACTAAAACCTCTATCATGTGTGGCAAAAGACTACCTGATCATCTTCAAAACAAATGAGTTATTTAAAAAAAAAAAAAAAAAACTTGTTCAGGGTTCCAAAGAGAAAGTTGCTGTTTGCACCACAAGCCTTTTTAATACCAGGCTGTAAACATGTTTATTTCTGTTGTAGAAAACAGGTTTGTGAAGAAGGGTGTTAATAAGGTTTCCCAGGCTTTTGGGGCCAGCCTCCAGGGGACACTTGAGGAACTGCAGTTTTAGAACTTCCACACTGGCTTAATTTTCAACATAAGGTATTGTTGCTTTGCCAAAGTTCCTGCCTGTTCATCTTAAAATGAGACTGCACATGTTGGGAACAAAAAAAGGCAATGAGATTTACCATCTTGTCCACAAGGGGTGCCACAATCAACACAAACCAAAAGTTCCTCACACAGCTTTTAATGTTGCTTTTATCCATTCAGGTTGGGATTAGAATTAAAGCAGCTGTGAAGTATTTTCAATTTCATTTTATTAAGGATAGCCCCTTGAGATGCAGCATCTTGTTTTTTGAAGGGGCACTTTCTAATTCAGCTTTAGCCAGTAAATCAGCATCTGTCGAGCGGAAGAATCATTCAGAACCAGTTTTAACTGTAAAAATCCAGTATCCAGCATATGTTGCCCTAGGGAAGAGAAAAGTCCAGGCAAAAACTCTTACGTTCAAATTCTTAAAAACTACATCCAAGTTAAAAAAAAAAATCCCTTATGTGCCATTACAAATGGGCATCAGCAGGACTTCAGAGTCCAGACAGACAAGTCTTACTCCCAGCTGAACCTCTCGAAACCAGTTCAGAGGAGTGGAGCCCAGCGCAGCGTGCCGATGGAGATGAGGGTCTGGCAAGTAGCAGAGTCCAACCACACTGACTCCACCAGGCTAAAGTGCAGGAAACCGAGAGCAAAACCACAACCCACATCAGACAGGTGATGTTTACCCAGCAGCACACGGGATATGCCAACCAAGAGTGCCCAGAGGTAGAGCAGGATCCTGAGAGGGACCTGTAGGACAGATGAGACAGTATTACTAAGGTAAAGGAGGAGTCTGTTTTCTCAAGCACAGGCCATAGAACTACCATAAGTAAACCAACTGACCGCCAGCACCAGATGGTTAAGCAGGAACTTGGACACCATGACGGCTCGACTGGCGTGGGCTGCTGGGAAAGAATACAAGTCCATTGCGATGATATCCAAAATCCCCGGAGGGTAATCCCATGGTCCTCTGCGTTTGACCAGCTTCTGCATCCCAGCCACTGTCATCAGGTCTAGGATCAGGGCTGCAGGGGGGAGAAACAGGTCACATGTTGGACAGAATCATGTCCGACGCCCAACTTCCCTGTTTTAAATATTTGGTTTCTTACCCAAGAGCAGGTTGACGAGGACTTCTTGTCCCGCCAATGTGTTGCTCCTCCACAGACAGATCAGAGTCCCAAAGAACCAAGTGAAGGCATGTCCAGTGAGGGCCAGAAGGCTCACCATGGACCGCAGGGGGGCCCCTGAACCATGGGCTCTCGCACATATACCCAGACGCTTCGACAGGCTGATGTCGATGGCTAGCAGAGAGTTGATGGCAATCCCTCGAAACGAAGGATTCAGCTGCATACAGTCCTCCTTTACGGCCCCTTCAGATCCTGAGGCCCCCTCTGAGGAGTCTCTCGACCCCCTGAGGACATGGGGACAAAAGCTAAGAAAATATGGCAGTGCGTGGTACAGACTCAAAATGTAAAACGATTTTATATTAAAAGCTTTTAAGTCATTTTAACTCTAAAATATGTGAAACGGGTCAGAACATCTATATTGGTTTTTAGTCAAGATACTTTGTTGATACTATTTTGAATGTTTTAAATAATCACACTGTCGTCCTCCTGGGTCCAAATTATCACAGTGTCTATATAAAGTTAGTGCTATTCTAAAGAATAAGGAACAGAGAATTATTAAACATGTTTCTCAAAGAGCTGCTTATGTAAGCAATACAACGATTTCAAGCACATTTAAAGTTCTGAGTTTTCATGAAGTTTCTAGTCCTCTAAATACTGCCAGGACTCTGAACATTCAAAGTAAAGTTCTGTAGGTTCAGACTCAGGATCATGTGCAGGTCCAGGATCACTGAATGTGTCTGACTCTAAATGTGAGCTGTGATTTCAGTGGGCCAAGCCTCTGAGCCTTACCTCACTCCTGGGTCCTCCTGCTGACTGTGCTGTCTGAACGCGGCTCTCCTCGGACCCCCGCTCCCTCGCCCCTCCCCCGCCCCTTGCTCCCTGCGGGGAGGCTGGTTCAGGGACAGAAACTCGGGCCGGTTCAGGACGTTGTTCCGGTCCCTGGCCCGGCTCCGAGCCTGATTGCCGGGCATGACGGCGGACGGTCCTGAAGTGTTGGAGGTGCTATGGTGTTCAGCACAGACTGCAGGACTGTGACGGATCAGGTCTGAGACTCTGAGGGACTCTGCTATAAATAGACCAGCTGGCCTTCTTCTTCTGCTGTCAGCTGTTCAGAGAGAGGGAGCGAGAGAGGCTGGAAAAACACTGCAAACACACACACATTCTCACACACACACACACACACACACACACACACACATTCACATTCTCACACACACACACACACACACACACACACACACACACACACACACACACACACTATACAATACAGGCCAACAGAGCGTGCTGTCATATTAAAGGAACACTCCTCCAGTTTCACATGTCAAAGGTCAGTGTTTGAATCACGGTCATGTTGTGTTCAGGTCATGTCGCAGTTATCATAACGAACTCCCAAACTGACAGAGTCATGGCTTTGAGAAAAGATCAGTTAAGATCTCAGACATCAATCCTCTGAAAACCACTTCCATGAAAAAATAGCTTTGGCACAAATATTTAGGAAACTACAACAACAGCAGTGAATAATGTATAAAATTTTGCAGGATCGTCAAAAAACAAAAAACAAAGAGGGCTTGTTTGAGGACCTTCCTGTGGAAGAGTCCTCTTTATTTCAGGAAAAAAAGAAAAAATGTGTTATAGACTTAAACAGAGAGAACAAATAATGAAAATTTCAGCTGAGAGTTTTTCCTCAAAGCTCCTGTGAGGAACTTTTGGTTTGTGTCAACTTTGGTGCCCCCTGTGGACAAAACAGTCTTGCTTATCTCATTACAGCATATTAAAACCCTAGTAAGGAGTTTTAGTCGATTGTGAAACAGACTGCCTTTTTAAATGATGCCTTTTGTGACACACAAAAGCAAACAAAACTGGAACAAGGCTGACACTTTGATGTGTGCATTTTTTAATGCCTGTATGAAAGGGGGTTGGTGTCACCAATAGACTGTATATACTATGGACAACTTGGTTCCGCCTTCCATCAGTATATGGATTTGAAGCCAAAAAGCTACTGGTATTTCCGTGATTTTTCTTCATTTCCTGAAACCGGTATTGCGCAGTGGCGTTGTACGCATTCAGTGGGAGAGTCGCCGAGAGTCGCTGTGATGACGCTCGGCTCAAACAGTGTAACCCCGGGTGAGCTATGCAGTCTTTGTACGCCCATAGGCTGTATCAAGTGTCAATCATAGAAAACATGAACCCCCTAATAACTTTTAAAAACGGAGCTGCACAGAAAAAAGAGGACTTGAGCACAAACCAGTCTTATAGTAACTACATGTCAACATCACAAGCAGGGGGGAGAAAAATGTATGTTCTGTGCAATAACTTTCTCAAGTTTGTCCACAGCTTCATAAGCTTTGCTGGCGGAGGGCAGGATTCATGACCTACAGTATACTGCAGCCTGTCAACAGAGAGTGCTGTTCTTGCGGTTGCTTCACCCAGCGAGGAGGCAGACACTGTCTATTCTATATAAAGTCTATGGTCAGACTAGATGACTGATGGAACAGTGATAAAACGGTCATAGCTAATGTCCTCAGTGATTGTTTAAAAAGTGGGTGACAAAGAGATAAGAGGTATTGCTTTTTCCATAGAAAGACACAAAAATGACACTGACAGGAAGTTACCCATAGGAGCTTTGACATTTTTTTGAATAAGGTTAAAGCAAACAATGAACAAAATGCACGGGAATGTAGCACCATCCTTATAAACTTTTATAAAATTATCTTTTTGCCATCAGTCAAAAAACTCAAAGCCTATTTTAAGACCTGGAGGCTTTGAAGTTGAAGGACCAAGTGATGTTGTTGCAACTTCTGCTGCTCCAACTATGTTCGTAATGTGTCTAAAATAAAAATGATTATATGCTGAAGCAGCAGAGGAACATTTTATACTGAACACGCTGTTTAACATCTGCACCACATCATGTCACATCTGTTTCTGGCTAAGTTTGTCTCTCTGAACTCCGCAGAGCTTCTCTGCCTCCAACAGTCCAGAGAGTCTGCTGCTACAGAGTCATATAGAATATCATCTGGCTGCTAAACTGGACCAGACTGGACCCGGTCCAGGCTAAATACAGAGCAGTCCAGGTTCCCCCTGCACAGCCTCTCCCTCTGTAAAAATGTTTGACTTAACACCAAATGTAAAAATAATGCAGATATTTTAATTCATCTTTTGAATTTGTTTTAAAGTCTTTAACTGGTGGTTTCTCTTTTTAGATTGTAATTTAGTGAGACGTCATGTTTACTGAGAAAATGGATTTATGAAATCCACGGAGGATTTATAAATGAGGGTGGGGTAGGTGTCCATGATTAAAGCTTCTTCCTCACATGATTCAGATTGTGAACTTAATAAGTCATCTGTTGACATTTCTTTAAAAATTAAATAGGACTTCATGAAAACACCTCCTGGGAACCTTTATGGGGAAGTCACGTATTCCTATCCGGACCCTCTTAGCAAACGCACCGTTGCCATTGGATGCAGCAGCAGCTTCGGTAGCATGCTAACACTGCTAAAAACATAGACATCACAATCGTGGCTAACGCAGCTAAAAGTGAATAAGACGAAGGAGATAAAACGTCCCCTTTTGCTCTATGACGTCATGGGTGGTCGGCGTAGTGGCGTCATCACTGAGGTAAATGACCGTTACGTTTTCTGTAACTACCTGATCTAACAGCTGGATTAGCTGTCAAGTCTTTATACTCAGTGGTGGTCAGCAGGTTTAGCTGTTAGCTTACGGGTGGCTGCCTTGTTATATTTTGTCAAATGCAAAAAAAATGTTATAACGCAGCTGTATTAAATACTTAGATCTTATTGGTCAGTACTTCACAGCAACGGTCTGTTGTTTTGATGATAGCGTACTGTTGCTATGGAGAACAGTTGCTAAGTTTGGGGGCTCTGGTGGACGGGTTTTAATCTTCAAAACGTCGGGTAAATTTGGCATTGATTTATCCATGTTGGGATACAAAGAGAGCAGAGTAACTGGGGGACTAGCTGGAGATTTTAAAGACATAAAACCTGTCAACTTTAAAACTATGGATGGAGAAAAAAACTAAAAACAACGTGGTCTTTCACATGGGGGTGTTTGAGGGCTGGTAAATGATTCCAGACTCTGCGATGAGACAGAAAAACTCAGTCTGGAAGTGTTTAATCTGTTTTGTCTTCATCTTCAAACTCTGACCTGGTTTTGCTCCATCAGGTTCCGTCCCAGGATCAGATGACCCCCTGAACTTTCCAGGTGTTTGACCATGACAGAAATGGACCTGGATCTGGACCACTACAGACCCAGCATTGGCACCATCCCTCCTGTCACCATGCTTGATTTTTTCCCCCTGAACCCTCCAACATGTCCGACTCTAATCCAGCAGCTGTAGAGGAAAAACCACTGAGGTCTCCTGGTCCCAGTCGGCCCCCTCTGGCAGAGAAGGCTCTGTCAGAGGCTTATGGCCGACTCAGGTACCGAGACACGTCCCTGCTGATCTGGCAGCAGCAGCAGCATGACCTGCAGACAGCCCCTCCCTCTAACTACCTGAGCCGCAGCCAGTCTGCATTGTACAGCAGCTTTGGGAACCAAGCTGTGGTGGTCCGGGACAAGAAGAACCTGGAGGACGCAGAGGGGCGTTCCAGGATCTGCAGTGTCATGTAATCAAGAACCAGAAAGCTGGAAAGACTAAGTAAGACAATAACAGTAAGACTGAGTTCTCTGACTGAGTTCTTGCTGTCGTTTACAGGTGGATCAGATATCTTGTGGTTCTTTGGACCTTGAAGGAGTTTCTTTAAATCCACAATTTCTATGAGGTTTTTCATTTGTGGCCCTTAAAATGATCCTTTCCTGCGTTTTCCCCCTCCTTCTTAGCTTTAATGTTCTGATTTCAGCAATGTCGAAATCTCCTGTGATCCAAAGGAAAAGACTGATTTGAAACATAAAACCCACAAAACACATATTGAAACGTTTTTGTTGTGAACTCTGTCAGAAATGTTTGTTTTTTTGCCAAGTTTATTTCTTTTACGTGCAGCTGTCAGGATCAGGGTCAAAAACAGCTTCCAGGTTTGACTTAAAATTCCGGATTTATTAGCAAAAGAGAAAAATCTGAGGAAAAGTGTTAATACCAAACAAATCCAGGTTTATGAAAGTAGTAAATCTTATATTGCAACACCAACAAGGATATTAAAAGTACTGTTAACACTATGACTTTGTACTTTCAAGTTATTTGATGGAGAGTTTTTGCTCTTCTCTGCCAGGACAGCTCAAATATGTTTAAGAGTAGAGGATGAGAGGAAACAAGTGTCAAGACTGGGAATCAAACAAGCAGCTGCAGCATTAAGGACTACAAGTCTGTGTCAATGAGCCAAATAAATCCCCACTCTAAATAACAAACAGAATTACAACAGAGTAGTAAAGCCAGTATGTGACAACAATAATATTAATAGCTCCATATATAACTAGATTGAAGTCATAATTTTAGAATAATCACGAGTTTTTAACCACTTTATTACACAAAGGGATATTATTATGAGATAAAAGTCATCAATGTCCAAGTTTTTAGTTGTAAAAGATTATAGTAAATTTAATACAAGATCAAAGTCATTTAATTGAAAGTAACGTCATCATATAATGTTTTAAAAGTCATCATGTAATGGGGATAAAGATATAGTTTTTCACTCGTCATTAATCAAGTTTGAAATCATTTTAAATTACGAGTTTTTACTCCTTATGAGATAGAAGTCAGTATCGTACAGAAATGAAGTCATTACGAGATGACCTTCTTTACTGTGGCCCTTATTTTGAGTTTTAGTTAGAATAAAGCTGGAAAAACTCCACCGAAATCCTTTGATTTGGGCTTCAACCACAGAGTTCATTCTTATATATCTGAAGTAATCAGTGAATGTCAGTATTAAACTTTATCTTTACTGTTTCTTAGATCAAACTTAACTTATGAAATAAGTAAAAAAAAGAAAGAAAAAGGTCCAGATGTTTTCCAGAGAAGATTCACCTCACTCTGATGTGAGTTTGATAAAGTTTGTTTCACTGACAGATCTAATGAGGTCTGAAATTCAGGTTCAGTATGGTTCCCCACAGCTGAAAGTGTGGTTCATGTGCATTGTGGGAAATGTAGGTGTTACAAATTAATCATAACTCAAAGGTTTTTAGATGTAAACTTCAATGTAGCAGTTTAACTACACAGTCTGTTTTTTTTTTTACTGCAGAAATAAACATTTTACTCTTGAGAGAATGATTCTTGATTTAAGATAACAAGGTATAGAAGATTCTAGCTTAGTTATTCTAGCAACCTTTAGAAGTGATTAAAACAGTAGTACCTTTAGTGTCCACTTGAGGCTGGCTCCAAAGAAACCCCATTTCAAAGGACATTTCTGCAGCAAAAATATATCTTTCACACAAACAGTTCATCCATATAAACAACTGCTCCTCTGCCACAAGGTGTCCCCCAGGGTTTGGTACTTGGACCCTCTCATTTATTCTTTACATGCTCCCCTTTCCAAATGTACATTTCCACCAGATCAATCACCCATTACTTGTACTGACACCTGAGCCTAATATCAATAATCACATGATCAGCGGGAGCCACTGATACAGAGAGCTTGCCTGATGTGAATGAAGAGTGGAGTCAGTGTTTCAGTTTATGTGTTTATTTATGAAAACAAAGGAACTCAGAAAATAAGGATCCCATATCAGTAATTACATCAAATAATTCACTTGTTGATTTTTCGTTGGTTCGTCCTCTCTCTCTCTCTCTCTCTTTCTCTCTCTTTGTGTCTCTACTCTATTGAGCGGAGTTTAGATCTAAACCTCAGACAGCTACTATACAGCTACTATACAGTGCTCAAACATACGGAAGAAAGAACGTACGGCCGGAGTGCATGCAAATACATAAAATCACTTTTTTCCTTTTTCTTATTAAAATACAAAAATTAACTATTAGCATCAAAGCTCGACCATCAACTAAAAAACAAACAGAGGAGGGTTACTGTGGCAACAAGCTGTCCGACTGTCCGCCTCTCTTTCTGTCAGTCACACCAGGGGGAAATATTTTTGTTCATGGATCCTGTAACTTTTTAAACAGATTTAGGTTCATAATGTCAAAAGTTAGGTTTTCTATCTGATTTCTGACACGTTTTTCAGTCTTAAAAAAAGCACAAATTACCGTAAAAGGACGTCAATCACAATCAAACATATAAACCATCTTTAACTCAACTTAGCAACTCTGTCTGCTGATGGAGACCATGAAATTGAGTTGAACGCTTTGGGAAAAGGGAGAATTGAACTGAAAAGAGCAGGAAGATCAGCTATAAGAATGTAGAGAAAGGTAATCGAATGATCAATCAAAATTTCCACTTCCAAGTTCACTGTCCTCCAATAATCCACAGATAGGTAATGTTCATAATCCCAGAGGAGGGAGGATCTAAAAGAAGCCTGAGAGGCAAAAACGGAGGGCAAAATAACCTCATCTACTCAACCCCAAACACAAAAATCTGTCTAGTTGTTGAAATTTAAAGTTTAAGTTCTATTAGTGAAATAAAAGACAAGTGAGAAACCCCAATAGAATAATTTTCTGTATGCAGAGCTCAAAGGTAGAAGCCTCAACACACCTGCTGTGATTCAAACTGGAAACAGAGACAGACAGGTGGACAGGTGAGCAGAAAAGTCACGGTTAGATCTGATTGGTTCGATTGGATTGTTTGATCTGATCGGCAGCACTGCAGCGAAACCAGATCGGACACGGAAAAGATAATCACACTATCGCAGCCCCTTGCACCCACCCTGTTTGTCTGAGTGTGATGTGTTCAAAATGTGGGAAAATCAAATGTTCTCCCAGAAAAAAACCTTAGGTTAGCCTCAAATGATTTCAGAATTTAAGATCACAGCCTCTCAAACTTCAACCCTAATGGGGCATCTTGTTTTTGATTTGTTTCCCTTTAAATCGCCTTAAACCCACCCAGCCCCCTGACCTCTTCATTGGCTGCAACACAAACAGAAAATCACTGATATCAGCCGCAATCATCAACAAAGTGGGCAACACTTAATTCAGTAAAAAAAAAAAAAACATTTCCCTCATGATTTTAAAACAACCTCTTACTTTGAAAAGCACTTCCTGCTGCAGTAGCAAGACGACCCATAGAGTTTTGCTTCACAATTTGTATTTTGGACATTTGAAGACAAAATAATTGATATAAAAATAAAACAGCTGCTTTTCTCTCAGCGACAGTTTGCAGCAGTTGCAGCTTTTCTGAAATCTCTAAACATTCTTATACTTTTGTTAGTAATGTTTGAACACCCTGAAAAATCAACTAAAATAATCCTTTTAAGAACTAAGACATTTCAAACAAAAACCCAGAACTGATCAGTCACCTTTGTTGGATCTGAGGCAGGGTGGGGGCTGCACAGCATGAGTGGTTTTGTTTTATTTTGGCAGGGGTCTGGGTTTTAGTGGGTGGGTGGGTGGAGCAGGACAGCGGTACGTACAAACACATTTTTATATAGAGAACCTTATAAGACACAAGTTCAGCACACAACCTGAAAAAAATCAAAACTGAAAAATAAAGGAAATGTAGTGTTAAAAAAAATTAAAGAAGTTTGTCTCGCTTTCAGCTGACAGGGCCGGCGGCGCTTAGTAAAGAGGATCAGGGTCATTGCACCCCCTTCCCCTCTCCTTCACTGTTGACCCCAGGGACTGACAGTAAGTTGTGGGTTGGTGTTGAGGGACCAGCAGAGGACAGGTTAGGGCTCAGAGGGTTTCACTCAAAATCCCGACTGCAGGGATGAAACTGCTGCTTCTATGTGTCTATGAAGGTTCACATTCATCCGAGTCACAGCAATTCAGGAATTCTTCTAAAATGGCAACAGGACTAGTTAAGGCAATCTTGAAGACTTTTCACCTCCCCTCTAGAGGGGTTATTCACTACTAATTGCAAATTGAAGATAAACAGTCTTAGGCTTCCTCCTCTGTGCAGGGATGGTTTGTTCAGCTTGCCCAAGATGGAAGAAGTCCAGCTGCCATTTTAGAAGAAATCCTGTATTCTTGGAGCACAAATATTCCCTCCAAAGATGGTCTTAAACTCATCCATCAGATCTCGAACACCTCTTAAAAATACCTGCAGAGACTTGAAACTTAGTGCAGAGAGAAACTGAAGGACAATCACAGCTAAAGAAAATCAGTTTTGGCTGTTGAGAAAAACTTGATAAACTAAACCTTAGAATTTCAGGTATTTGCAGACATCTACACAAAGGTCGTTTTAGCGATTTCAGACGTCACACCTCATCAATAAGACATCTTTTATTGTCAAATCATGAATTTGTCATGGATATAAAACTCAAAATCCCCATGGAACCAGAATGCACCTTCCTCACCGACATGTATTCAGATCTGAGGTTGGACGTTTTCGGCTTATTTCTCAAGCCACCAAAGTTGAAACTGTTTATTTGCATCAGTTAAACACACCAACAAACACCTTGAAATCAAACGCTGTCATCTGCAGAGGGATGTGAAATCTTTGCTTTAGTCACCTTCTCTGAGAATGGTGTCCAAGTTAATGTCAGTGCTGCTCATTCAAGCTGCTTTGGGGTGACTGGAGTCCAGCTTTACCACCTCCTTTTGTTCTCTTTGGAAACCTGTGGTCTTCAGAAGTAAAATTTCCACATTGTGCACAAAAGAACACTTTGGACAAATTGATCATTTCATGCAAATTTTTTTGTGTGTGCACATTATCTGTTTCATGAGTTATTTTGTGCACAAGATCATTTTTCCTACTGACAGTTATTAAGTGTGCACAAGAGCTTAAGTTGATGTCTCATATGCAGAAAAACTTAATTTGAAAACTAAAAACATTTAACAGACTAAACATGATATAATAGCTTTTGATGTCTTGAGAACAAACTGTGACAGATCTTCAGCAGAATCAACAGCTCAATAGAATGTTGCAGATACTCAAATTTTCCACTCGGGCCGGTTAAATATTTCAGCAAGTGATAAAACCAAAAAGAACTGTAAACTCTTAGCCTGCTGTACTAACACTGCTCCCTGAATCTCTCTGCAGCAAGTTTCAGGTCCCAAATTATTGATTCGAAGCAGTTTTGGTGTTTATGAACAACTGCAGGTTTTAACTCCATAATCTGGGCTGGTATATTTCTGCTTAAATACAAACAGTTTAACTGATTACGGACTCCATGAGACGTCACCCTTGGATTCACTCCAGAAATCGTTTTTTTCTTTCTTTTTCCCAGAGGTGACTGATCAATCACTATGGAGACATAGATTTGAGTAAAACCCACTGAGGTCACCATCCTCTCCTCTCATATGATGCTCTGTTGATGCTTCTGGAATGTTTTCAGAGGTCAGGGGTCACAGCCAGCCGTCCAAGAAAAAGGAGAAGAAGAACGCCGGCAATACAGCGACAGGTGAGTGTTCAGAGAAGATCAATATGTCTCCCAGACAGAGAGGCAGACAGGTGGCCTGTCTCTCATCCACATGTCTCCCTCCTCCTCTCCCTCCTTTTTTTTCTTCTTCTCTTCCAGGTAAAATTTTTACTTTCTTCTTCTTCTCTTCTTTCTTTTTGCATTCCTCCAGAAAGAACAAAAAAATAAAAATAAAAACAACACTAGGAGCTAAAAAACAGGTCAGCCTATTTACATACAGTCTCCAAGTCTGGGCGTGTGTGTGTATGTGTAAGTGTGTGTGTGTGTTCATCTGTGTGGGTTTATAGATGGATGTGTTTGTCTATGTGTGTGTGTACATGGAGGTGTGTTTTCAGAAGTTCAGAGTGTGTATCTCTGTCCTTTGCTTGTGTGAGTGTTTGTTCAGGATGAAAGTTTACATGGTTGTGTGTGTGTGTTAGTCTCTGTCTGCATGTGTTAACTGTATAGATGTGTTTGTGTGTGTAGAGTGGATAAACCTCTGTGTTTGTGTCTGTGTGTGTGTTCAGTAACATGTATGTGTTTATATGTATGATGTGTTTGGGTATGTTCAGTCTGTGTCGGAGGAGGAGGAGGTTCCTGTTGAGGAGCTGTCATCAGAGGAGGAAGAGGAGCTGCCACTCAAACGACTAGCCCCGCCTCCTGAGGCCCCACCTCCTGCTGCTTTCTCTGGGGAAAGAAAGAGAAAGAAAAAGAAAGAAAGAGAAAGGTGAGGGTTAGTAATCAAAAGTATGTCCACCATGTTCGTCCTTAAAGAGACAGTACTACGCTCATTTTAGACTATAATGTCGGGTGACAGAGTTGGCCTGGCACTGACCTGAAAACTCTCACAGTGCATAAAATAAACTATAGGAAATTAACTATAGGAATGAACCCTTTTTGGACCCTGAACACACAAGCACTTCCAGCAGTTCCAAAGGCAAACCTTAGTTCAGGTCAGAGTGCACCTACATAAAGCCAAGTAGATCCACAAATATACACAAAATCCCAGCATGGACCCAACAACTGAAGAGGGACCTTAACCAGACCACGAGATAACCTCAAGTTAAGGTTGCATGATTAATCAATTTCAAATTGTAATTGGATTCTTTGATTATGACGGTGTAAAAAAAATATTAAATCCTCAAACCAATTGTCCTCTGTATCATGTCTCGCGCCTCCAGGCCACCATAGGCTCCCTCTTCCTGCGCGAGCGCTCCCCAGTTCTCACACACACCAGTATTAACAAACATGGCGTTTGCAAAAGAAGACGATTATTATGAGGCTAATAAGAACAAGAGCAAGTCAGTAGAGTAGAATTGGTACGGCTTTGCAAAGTCTGTCTGAAGGCGGTATCAACCTGTCCATACAGAAACTAAATCAGGAGTAAGCGCAAATGTTTTTTGTCAAATTGGCATTTCATCCACACGGAAACAGTGATTCGGGTGACTGTAAACAGTACTTTTTGAAAACAGGTACGAGGGTGCATAAATCTCTAAACAACTACCATTTCATCTCTGTGTGGATGCCGTGTGGATCTCTCTAAACAATTTTGTGACACACAGCGTAACTCTTTTATGGCAGCTGCGCCTGCTCGGCCAAAACAACCTTTAAACGCACCTCTGTACTCTTCCTATGTCTATTTAGCATTTCCTCGACAGCGTTACAGCCCCACTTACTGGCTTGGCATACGCACTTAAACGTTTTCAGTGGTTTCATTTTGAGAGATGATGGAAAAACTTTTTATTGATGTAAATTTTGGTGAAGTTTCACTGAATAAAAAATCTAAATAGAAAATCGAGTTTTCAGAGAAAAAAAATCATGATTTTATTTTTGGCCAAAATTGTGCAGCCCTACCTCCAGTAGCTTCTCCGAAATTACCTGAGTTACTCCCCAAAAGAACTCCAACAGCAGTATCAGGACCACACCAGAACAGTACCAGGGATAATACTAAAGCCTTGTGGAGCAGAACCATGTTAGTGCCCAAGCAGTGTCAGGTATGTACCCCCACACTGCCTGAGATATATCCTAGTGGACTCTAGCACTGTCTGGAATAAAAATCAAGCCGTATCAGGAGGACTACACTAGAACAGTGCCAGATATACTCAAGCTGTGCAGTGAAGGACCTTTAGCCGTTGCACAGGATGTTCACAAGCAACGCTTGGCATTTCTGCTGCAGAGCGAGACACACTCCTGAGCAGACCTGAAATCTGGGACTTCAGAGCAGTGTCAGGCATGTGTCCACTGTCAGGGATACCCCTTGAGCAGACCAAAGCAGTACCAGATGTGTGTCAGAGCACTGCTCTGGATGCACCTGAGTGAAGCCAAGCAGGGCCTGGGATTAGCCCATACAGTGTAGCAGATACTGTATGAAGGGGTTAAACCAAAATATCCTCAAGTGGGACTTGGGGTTCCCTGAGTGATTATTACTGATGTCTTCAGAACATGTCACAGATATATGCAAGACAAGTAAACCACCACATGGTTCCATTCCTTCCTCCTTTCTCTTGATACTTTTCTATGAAGAGCACAAGGACAAGAACTTCAGCTGTCTCAGAACTTCACAGAGGTTGTGCTTGAGAGTGACATGTATGAATGCATCAAGGGCCGGTCTCAAAATCACTGTGGTCACACTAAGATGTCACAAGCTACAAAGGTTATAACTAACTAGCAACCTTGGCCAAACCTGACCCAGTTTTTACCCTTGCCAGTCCAAGCCAATGGATAGTAAAAGCCATATCAAGAGTTGAGAGAAGGCGATGAACAAGTGCAGACCTGAGGTCCTCATAGATAACTGGATAGGAAAGTCATTTTGGTTTTTAAAGTTCACAGAGTAAATATTTAGTGGCAGTCATGCGTTAACTTACGCAGTAGCTTCCTTTGCTTCTTCTGCAGGCAGGATTTGACGTAACGTTCTAGCTCTCTGAGTGTGGAGGGTTTTAGGGTTTCAAAGTCAATCTCAATCTCATCGGGGTTGGAGTCCCTCAGAGACGGCTCTCTTGACTGGATGATGTGGACAACGCGTCCCAGTTTCTCCCCTGGCAGTCGGTTTATATCAAGACTCAGCTGGCGCTTCTCATCATATGTCATTGGCAGGGATGACTCTTCGCCATCTTCACCGTTGGCTGAGCCGCCGCCTGAAGCTTTACTGCCTTTCTTGGGTTGCCTGGAAACAGAGTAAGTCATATTTTAATTCAAATATATATAAAAAAGAAGTGGCTTTAATTTGTGATCACTTAAAGAGAAACAAAGCTTATTTTCCGGATTCATACCTTGTGGCAGTCACCGTGCTGTTTGCTTTCCTTGCTGGCGCTTTCTTCTGATTGGCTGGTTTGGGCTGTTGAGCGGTGGCCTTAGGTTTCTTCTCTTCTTCCAACTTGCCTTTGTTCCCTTTGTCTTTGTCCTTCTCCTTCTTCTTTTCTTTGTCTTTCTTCTCTTTCTTCTTCTTTGGCTTGCTGACTGGAGCCTGGGACAGGACGGCCAGCTGCTCGTGCACTGCCTTCAACTGATGAAATATACTAATTATCAATACCTTCACCTCTAAAAACATATGGAAACTCCTTCAGAAAGGAAATCACAGAAAAATCTATAAATCAAGCATTTAAAACTGACACACTACCCTTGCACATAAAAATGAATCAATCACCAGAATTTCTCAACTTCAAATAAATCTACAATGATATTAAAAAAGTAGAAAACCAGGATGTTCTTGACCTGTGATTGGTCGGCAGCACCAACCTGCTCCTGAAGCTCAGCCAATCGTGTGGCTCGCTCCTCCTCTGAGTCAGATGATTCGTCGGAGGAGGAGTTGTTGCTGCTGTCGGAGGAGGCGGTGCTTTTACTGACCAATGGAGTTGTAGATGGGACTGATGCTTCCAGACCCTCATCTGGGATTTTGGCAAAACGCATCTCAAACACATCCTGAGGAGAGAGTGAAGGAATGATTATGATTGGGCTACAGGGATCATCTGGCTTTAGGCGATTCTGAAACAGTTCTGGATGTAATATGTACCTGTAGTTTGCGGGCCATGGCCACCACCTCATGATCTGGAGGGTTGTACTTGTAACAGTTGGAGAACATTAACCTGACATCAGTTGCAAAACTTTGTGGATCATTGTACTCTCCTTTATCCATCTTTTTCTGTTGGGAAGAAGGAAGAGATTTTAGAAATCCGGCAACAACCAACTTGGTCCTTGTCTAAACAATTCCTCCATGGGTCAAAATTCTAAGAAATTCTGAAATAATGACAAACTCTAAAAGGTCCTTTCACACCGGGACCGTTTTTGTCGTGCGATTATTTCGGACGTCAATATTTTTTTTCGAATCCGTATCCTGTCAATACAAACATTCACATCAGCAATGTTTTCCCGTCCTGCGATATTACGGCATTTATTTTTTCGGATCACAGTCGATTTTTCTGAAGTTTCGCATACTGTGTGTCCACTTCTGACCAATCAGATTGTGTGTTGTTGCGACATCTGATCCACCGGTATATCCAACATGGCCGACCGGCTGATTGTTTACGTGTCGGAGAACATAGAGCTTTTTGATAAAAAACACAAACATTACAAAGATAACGACCTGAAGGACAACTTGTGGGGAGTCAAAGCATCGGATCTCTCATATGACGATGGTTTGTGTGCTTTAACAGTTTAATAAACGTCTTTGTTTTAACTTTCATCTGTGCTAAGTAACTTTAGCTCGTAAGCTAACCTGTTCAGATACAACACTGTCTCAAACTCAATCGTAGCGTTATTGTCACAGCACCATTAGCTGTTGGCTGTTACCTTATATTTATGGATTATAGTTTAATGTGCTTATCTGGTACTGGCCCCAACTCAGTACATGCTATCATGACAGACAGCCATCTCAACACTAGTGTTTAATCAGAACTACAAAACAGTCAGTCTGGTGTTGTGGCAGTCTTCTTGCTTTCACCCCTGCCCGGATGCGTCTTTCCCCCCCCGGAAAGTCGCAAAATCACATCGGGCTTGATGTGTATAGTCAGTCGCATCAAAATTTGCCTCTGGATATTTCGTAATTCTGGATCTATATTTGTGTCGGCCCCGGTGTGTATGGACCTTAAGAACTGAGAAGTTGAGATCAGATTTCTGTAAAGATAAACTTATACTCAAGCATTTTAACTCTTAGGAAAGCTCCTCAAGTTTAAAGCTGACAGGAGAAGTTACGAGGCTGAGGAGGAAATAGGAGAAATAGGAGCAATCCACTCATAGCTGCATTCACATCTACAAGCCAATGCAACAACGCTCCAAAAGCAAGTTTTTGTGAGATAATGCAAAAGGAAAAATGGAGAGGGTTCCCCTAAATCATACTGAATATGGGCAAATAACTTGAGCACCCTTGCATGCATTCTTGTGCTTCAGAGGGTTTTTTTTTTTTTTTTTAATATTTCTTCTGCTGAAATATGAACATAACGTGCAACACTGTATTGGTCCCAACCCGTTCTATGGGTACTTTGTACAATGCAGATTGTGTCTAAAAAGCAGTTCCAAATGTGTTAAAGCCCTACTGTTATGAGCAGCCCCTGTTATAGATAAAAGCTAATTTTTACAATAAGTAAAAACTTAAGAAAAAACAAAGAAGCAAACTTGAATGAAAGGGATGGAGGTTTACGTTATCTACAGTTAGCTTTACAAATGTGGAAGACTTCATTCACTAGATCAGATTTACAACTTGGGAAGCCATCACCCTCTTGCTGCCTGTTTGCAGTGAATAATTCATGCATTAGTTACCCGGACGGTGCTGAGGTCCATGGGGTGTTTGATGATGTCATGGTAGTCGTGCAGCTCCAATGCCTCAGCATCCACCGGCTTGTAGAATGGCCAGGCGTAAGCTGCATGTTTCTTAGAGAGCATCTCCTTCAAGATGGCGTCGCAGTGCTTCATCTGCTCACCCAGCTTACCGCCCTTCCGACCCCCAACTGCCCCTCCTCCTGCTCCCACCTCGCCCCCTGCCAGCTCCTCCACCGTCTCCCTGCGGGTCTTGGCGGGGCGGGCGGAGGCTTCACGCCGCGATGAGCCTAGTTTGGCTGGTTTGTTGTCCTGAGCGGACGGAGAGTCTGCACGGCCTGCAGAGATGGCTGATGTGGTGGGAGTGGTCGTGTCGGCTTTCCGCTTCACACCTTTCTTCTGTTAGAGCCAGAAACATGCAAAAAGACAGGCACGTAGGGACAAAAAAAGAGAGGCAGGAAGGTTTTGGGGGGTGGACAAAGAAGAAGTTGATTGGCAGGTACGATTAAGAATAGAGAAGGACGGGGGGAGAGAGAAAAGGAGGTGAGAACAGAAAAGACAAACAGGTAAACGGAAAAGTAAAGGGAGACACAAAGAGGTAAAGAGAGACAAAGAAACACAAAATTCAGTCTAGTTGAAGTTCTCTATTATATTTTGATCCATGTGAAGCTGCCCTAAACTACACTCAGTTACCTTGACAACAGGCTGTGCCGACGGCATCATGGTTGTCGGGGGCTGTGGAGCAGAAACAGGGGGTGTGGTCTGGACAGGTGTGGGTGTGGTGGAGATGACAGGTGTTTGAGAGGGAGAAGGGGACGGGTAAGAGGGTGGAGAGGAGGCTGAAGACTCCGCCTGCTGACTCACTGAGACACAGACACCAAGAGAGCGCCGTTAATACATGAATCCACTTACATTTTTGGGTTTTCCATGAAGTGACTACAATCTGAGTAATAACACCTAAACAATGATGACCTTTAGGAGTAGCAGAATTAGAGCTGGTATCACACTAAAGTACCTGTAGTGGCAGCAGCGGGCTGTTTGCTCTTGTTCTTTCCTTTAGGAGCTGGAGGCAACAGAGCGACTTCTTCTTGAGGCATCTGGGCAACTTTCTGCAGAAAGATTTTCTCCAAAGCCTGTGCCATCAGGACGATGTCATCTGTAGGCTGTAAACACAAACATCACGTTTACAAAAATATAAGATGCTCTGGACAATATCATTAAACCTGACTTCTATCAGCTGGGTACACATTACATGAATCAGATTTCCTCCTCACTTAGCTGCGACTGACTCTTTGACCAGAACTCACACTCAGTGACCAAGTCTGATCTCGTAGATGTACCTCCAGCTGTAGCTGAGATAATGATTTTCAGCCTTATCCAAGATCAAAACCTCTGGTCCTTTAACTCTTGTATCACTTTCAATATTTACTTTCAATCTTTTTCTCATTTTGTTGTATAGAGTTTGTCACCCATAGGAGTATTATTTCATGAAGGACATCAGTCTATGGAGGTAAGCCTTTCTAGAAATCATAATTACAAATTAAGTAATGGAAGATCAAAACTCTTTCCTACATCCCTGATAATACAAATGGAGAGAGTAGTGGTGTGATACAGAGTATTTCTGTACTGAGTGCATTATTTGGACACAGGATATCGGTTTACCAAGATACCCCCTTTTAAAAATTGATAATAAAAGTTACATATCGGTGAACAAAACATGCTGCCTATTCCAATGGCAAACCTATCCCTGTCTATGACCTGAAAACATGAAGCCCAAGATGACAACCATTTTTAACCAAGTCGCAAAACTAAACAGAACGCCAGTTGCACAAGAAACATCAACTGTATCAGTTAAGAAGAGGTGGCACTGGAAAGTATCACAGTTACAACTTTCAGATATTTCATCTGTGAATTACAACCATGCATATGTCCACTCGGCCCCTGAACCTGTGGCTGCAGGTTAGGCTGCACAGTATCAGTGACAGCACCTGAATAACTGCAGTAAACCTCCTGTAATTGTGTTGGTACCTTGTTGTAGATATAACAGTTGGTGAACATGGTGTTGAAGTCCTGCATGGCCTCGCTGGCACTCCAATAATAATTGTTCTCCAGACGTTTCTTGATAGTCCCCATGTCCATCGGGTTCTTGATGACCTTGTGGTAGTCCTGGAAACATGTGCAAGTGAAGCACAGGCGAGGTTAGCTTAGCTTGGAACAGAGGAAGTGGAAAAGAGCAAGCTAAGCTACAGTTTGTTTTGTGAAAACTTAGGTGAACTCACCGCCAAGCAGAGTTTGATGGCGTCGACAGGTTGGTAGAAAGGCCAGGCAAACTGATGCTTCCATAATGTTTTCACCACCACGTTCTGCATGTACTGCAGCTGGTTGGTCTTCCTGATGGACACAAACATACAGAACACACAGCATGTAAAAGCCATAATAAAAGTCCCAAAACGTAAGCAGAGCAGGAGAAAAGGACATTTAGATAAAGCTATATGAGTACAGGAATGCTTCATATGACCAGCAGTGCGCAAGGATTGAAAGTTGATTCCCAGTTTGAGGCAAGCAAATCTGATGAAATATCAATGTATGAGGCGATGTAGAGGATGTGTAGATAATAAAATAGGATGGGTTTGAGGATTACTCCAAGTGTTCTTACCTGCCAGGTTTGGTTGGATTTGTGACCTCAGGTGGGGGCGGGTTGGTGAGAGGGGGGCTGGGGGGCGCAGCCTCGGGGGCGTCCGACATTGTGGACGACGGTGACGCAGCAATGCACTGTGGGACAGCAGTGTTTAACCAGAAGATAAAAAAAAAATAACAACTCCCCCGTGGTCTGAGGGTGTGTGTGTATGTGTGTGAGGGCACACAGGTGATTGTTCGCGTGTGTTCAGTTCAGGTGTTGATGTTGATGATCCTGCAGCTCAATGTTTCCCCAAAGGAGACAAACTCCCATCGCACGACCTGATAAAGAGAGAGAGAGAGAGAGTGAGAGAGAAAGAGAAAGAGAGTGAGATTTTAGCATAATCATCAACAGACTCAGATAAGCGTAATTACTTAAGTAAAAAAAAAATATATAATAATAATCACTCTCTACAAAAACTTGTTAAAACCTGCATAAGCACTCCAGGTAACATGATGGTCATTCATTTGCAGGGCTCGACAGTGTGACTGTTTCACTCACATTTGCGACTAAAAATAGATGTGTGTGAATTGTAAAATGTATTTAGGGTCACATGTGTGCATGTGCCCCTAAATACATCAGCTAAAAAAAATCAGCCGAAGCAAGAAATGTATTTTTTTTCATGTAAATACCGTGGTGAAGTTAGTTTTAGGTTGGATATTGGACGGAGTTTCATTGTGGATCTACCGGTGTCTTCTCACTCTCAATAACCGGAAATAGCAACAGCAGCGTGGTTAAATCTACTCGGCATCCTCGCTGTCGACGTCGGGTGTTGAATAAGGGACAATCAATAAATTACCGGTTGATGTTCTCAGAAAAGGCTGTTTTCCCTCAATAGCTTCCATGTCATATGACCAACTGACCTAAAATTGATTTCAAAGACTGGTACTTAAGTCCACCAACAAGACAAACATTATTTGATCAGTTTTTATTGTGCCCATAAAATTCTTTGTGTGCTCCTTCCCTAGGAGCACATGTGCGCCTTGTGAAAAAAGTTAGTTTGAAGCCCTGATTGGTCAGTAAATTGTTAAAGCTCCAGAAATTTCTGTTCTGAAGCTGCTCAGTTTTCATGGTATTCAAGGAGGACTTGAAGTAATGAAGTAAAATACTGATCTATCAAATTACATCTGAAAACAGAAATGTTGGTGGCACAGCGTATGGAATACTCGTAAGGGTTCAGTGTAAGCAGACACCTTCAGGCCTTACAAAAGTCAAGCATCAAAGTGCTACAGTTCCTCAAATGTCCACTTGAAATTTGCATCTTTAGGAGTACTGCCACTTACTTTGGCCTAGCAGCCAGTCATTAGCTAGTTAGTGCTTGTGGTCACTACAGCCTCTCTCTTATCCCTTAGCTTTTCAGACACACAACTGTCTTATCCCACTCCTCTCCCTGCTCTCCTCTCCCACCCGTAGCTACCTGATAGTTTGTAGTGCTGCAGCATGACATGCTTCATATACATGAACTCTAGCAAGATTTGCAACTTTCTCATGCTCCCCAGGTTTGTTGCACATCCATCTGAGCTAATAATTAATTTAAAGTGAGAGCTGTTTGAGAGAAAAGTACATCAAAGGCCCTGCTGTGAAGAAAAGAAGGAAGGAAAAATGAAAGTAAAGAAGACATACAGAAAGGAAGAAAGAAAGAAAGATGAAAGAAAGGAAGGACGGAAGAGAGAAAAAGGACAGAAAAATAGGAATAAAGAAAGAAAGGAATAAGTAAGAAAGAAAAGAAAGAAAGAAAAAAGGAAGGAATAGAGAAAAAGGACAAAAATATGGGAAGAGAGAAAGAAAAAATAAGGAAAGAAAGAAAGAAAGGAATAAGTAAGAAAGAAAAGAAAGAAAGAAGGAAGAAAGACAAAGAAAAAAAAAGAAAGAAAGAAAGGAGGGTGTGCTCCATTCATCATATTGGACAAAACAAGCGCAACAGTGCAGGCAGCGCAGCAATTTAAGGCTTTGACACTCCAGCAAGCCATAGGTAATATCTCTAAGGACGCGTTATACAGTCAATGGCTGACAGAGTATTAAACAGCTTCTGCTCTGATAATCACTCACTTTAGCGATCATCAATCAGACTGGTAGACTGATGCAAATGTCACCCTTTTGGAGATAATCTTCTGCATTTTATCGGATAAGAGTTTATATAGTGAGGTCTGGAATGAAAGCATAGGCTCATGGTACAGCTGATATATTTTGCAATGAGGACACACCTCTGTTTTTTTAGTCAACCATAAATAAAGTCTTACTGATCAGTTTAATGGTAATAACTTTCTAAACTAATGTTAAGCAGAAAACAGATACAAAGTATCACAAAGACCATCTTTTCTTGTTAATTAACCCCACAGCACAGAGCTGAGGAAAACAAAACTCGACTTTTAACTCCACGTCTTTCCCAAAGTAGTTTTAAATCACTTCAATCTGACTTTTTCAGAAAACACAAAGGCAGGTTTCAATTTCAGGTCCATGATATCAGCCCTACAAAGGCGGCTCAGATTGCACATTTGCACCAAAGTTTTGTCCTTTTGTAGATTTGGCTGTAACAACACACTATGTTGTTTGGAATGTAATGACCTTTTGGTGGCACACATGATAAATTTCTCTTTTAGTTAATAAAAACACCTTTGTCTGGTTTCTTAAGACAAAATAGAAAGATCACATGCATGCAGATCAACCATCAGAATTCAACCACTAACATGTTGGCTGCCTTTGATTGGCTGAATGACAATCACCCACAGCATGGCAATTAAATTTATCTGCTGGCACAATGTCTCCTGGATATTATGGTATTATTTATTTATTTATGGATTTGCTTATTTTATAATTAATAATGACACACAACACAAGCATTCATACCCATCCTGTTCCAGCAAGTCAACGCGCCGTGACTAACGTGCTCAAACATCCTGGCTTAACAAGTTTCTCTGGTTGATACCTACATCTCAGGGTCACCTGTCTATCAGAGGAGCTAAGGTCTCCAGTCTGAGCACTTGGGACCCCAAGGTCATCCTCTTTACAACTACATTCAACAGGTCACAGAAACGTAAACAAAGTCAGCATTTAGGTCGTTAAGTTGTACCTCCAAATGGGTTTACTTTACAAGTAGGGCTGAATGATTGACTACATTTGTGATTACATCGCGAAATGATAAAACACGGTTTTCCATCTGCAAAGGCTGCGATTTTGACTGGTCACATGACATACGAGCGAGCGGAGCAGAGCTGATAATAGAGTCAACACTGCACTCTGTCGCACCATGGCCTAACTCCCCCCCAGAAGCTGAACCTGCAGAAAGTTTAGTACTAAAGCGGAGCAGCACGGCAGTTGTGTGGATTTATTTTGGCAAAAAAAGATGCTGCTGTGCAACATGTGCAGAAACTGTCATGCTGCTGCTGCTACATCAGGAAGTAACACTACAAACCTTTATCAACGCTTAAAAAAACGCAACAAAGCCATGTGCGATAGTTGAATGGCTAAAACACCTGCGACCAGCGCTTCAACTTCAAACCACGTTTGCATAACGACGGAAAACGCATCCAATTCGATGATGAGAGCACAGCTGAATGAATAGACCCGACTCCAGTGTTTTGGGCACAGATTACATCTTGCCATTGGTATGTAGATTAGCATCATGACGTATATAATGGCGCATGCATGTGTGTGAGCAATAGTGTGTGAGCAGAGAGCCTGTGTGTGTGTGAATTGATAATTGTCAGAAAGAACAATTTATGTATAATAAATCTGATATTGTTTACAATAAAACAGATTGATTTATTGTTTGTGTTTGTTGAAAAATACATCAGAAGAGGACCTTGAAAAAAATACTTAACATATTAAATCGCAATATTGAGGGGGAAAAAAATGCAATTATATTTTTTTCCAAAATCGTTCAGCCCTATTTACAAGTCTGATTTACAACCACAGACCGTGTGAAAAACTCCTCTTAACCAACACCTACTCTTATTTTTTTTTTTGGGGGGGATGCTAGGTTTGGTCTCACTTTTGTTGGATTGTGCATGTCATCTCAACTTGAACTCTACTGGAGTTGCCCCCTGTAACAGCTCTTTATAAGTTTGGTGAGGTTTTATGTTGAGGAAATAGAGCGTCTAACAAGACAAAACTACATACTAAGAGTTTGTAAAACTTGTATCTGCTCCGAAAAGCAGCACATTATCTTGTTAAACCACCTAAATATGCCCCAACTCCCTGTTCTTGTCCCTGTGTCCTTGATCATCATCAAATCAAAAATCTGTAATGGTGTGACACCCTATCCTCCCTACTCCAAAAGACGGGCTGAAATCATCAATGCATCACTTTTCATTTGGTGAAAGACAACGCCTTAAATATTCATTTAAACTTGAGATAATGTTTTACCACGACAACTAAGCTTCAGTCCAGCAGATTCACATTGGATTCAGATGGAGCAATATCATCAGTCTCAGTTTGATGCACAGATTTTAATGTTAGTCAGAATTTTTACCACTGAAGTAAAAGCTGAGCTTAGTTGGTTTCTTTTGGGTTTTGACTACAGTTTTCTTTATGATTTTCCTTTACAAGGTGCAACAAATTCAGGTAAAGAAAAGGCTTGGGGGATCGAGAACAGGCTCCAACTTTAACAGTTCTTGATTTCCAAGATTTGTGGGCCTATAATCATTGAATTTAGTTCTGCTTTTGGGTTCTTATTTTGAGGTAAAAAATGTGGTCAGAAGTGGATTATGGCAAACCACAACTAAGAGAGTTTGGCTACAAATAAGTGCACAAAGTGTGGCAAAGAAGGAATGCACTGTATTCAACACGCTGCAGTCTGCTCTTCACAAAAGCACCCTGGCCATAGCACACAGTACATGCTGCAGCAGTGTCCTGTTGCACTCAGGTACTGGGTTGAGCCTATGTCCATATTTATACTGAGATAAAACACAATCATGTCTACAAATGATTCAAAAACATTTTTGTTTGTTACGAGTTCAGAGTGCACCTCAACACCGGCAGTCAAGCCTAGCATGATCAAGGACCTCATAATTTAATTCAGTGTCAATTCATGGGGTCTTGCCATAAATGTAAAATACAAAGTGACAATAAAATAGCAGTCAACCAATCATCTGTGGACTATTTGAATTGGTTTGTAGAAATCTGACTCCAACATGAATTTTACTGTTGAATTACCCCCAACATAGACTAACAAAGTACATTACATCATAGAGTATAGCCCATGGCCCTCTCTATGTTCGTGCTTTCAAGCCAAACAAGGCCGAACATACATAGCAGAGCTTCAACTTCCGACCCAGAAAGACAGTCAGAAAGTGTCTACCATACTGGCAGATTAAATAGTCTGCTGGAGCATGTGTGAGACTGGATTCACTGCATGTTTAATACAGCACAGATCAACATTACATTCTCACACTAATTGATCTGTAAAAAGTCTAAAAGGCAATTTACACCCCACTGAGAGAGAGGAAACTGTGCAAAACAGCACCCTGTATGGATGTCAGAATTTTGGCAGCCTCATGCAAACAATTTGCCATGACGTTTTTTCATCCATTTTTCAGACTTGAATCAGTAGGAGCAGAATTGCCTCTAAAATATATAGAAAAGTGGGGTGGTAACTTTTTATTTAAACTGTTCAACTGAAGTCAACAACAAAAAAAGTCGGCAGTAGTTAAGCAACAAGTCAGCTGCTTTGCCAACAGCCAGCTGTTATGGATGGATTGATTCCAGGATTGTCTATATTGATGCTGAATTGGGAAAAATATAATGCAATGCATTGCCTATTAACACAGCCCTTGTCAGCAAAGAGACTTCTATGCAATCAAACTGCTGAGAAGAAAAGGGACGATCAACAGCGATTCCATAAATTTTGTAAGTGCAAGCACTGCAATGCTACCCCGTGGACCAATCACAGGGCTTGCAGTGTGCATTGTTTTGAATTGTAGCTTCACTTTTGAGCGAGTGAGTGTAGGCTATGCGCTGTCAAGTTTTTTCAAAAAGTTGAATTATAACAAATATGTAACATGATATGTTTAAATCTTTTTGTATACCTGGTGATAGCTTTTTTACAGGTCTCTGGCAAGGGCCTGCAGTTTGCCATTCCACCACTCCACAGTGATGCCTCCTATGCCACCTCTGGTAAGTGGCAAGCCAACAGATGAGGCCACAAAGTTTTTGTCATTGACAAGCTAAATTACTGCTTTGTACAATTTCATATGGCTATCTTTTTGCCTTATTTTCCTATCAATGGTGTACAATCGAGAGTACTCCCACAAAGCAACTCTCGGGTGTCGTGACAGTACATTGGTGCAGCTTTGGTTGGCAGTGACCTCTAATTTTGTATATTGAATACAGTATTTGTTCACGTGGAGAGGGCAGGGATGGCCAGATTATGATGAGAGCGCCCCCTGTTGGATCATATGGCAGGCGACACTGTGAGTCAAACAACTTATTACTGTTCATATGCGCTTCCCCTCTCAGACTAAAAAGTGACAGCACTACTAAGCGTAGCTTTAATGCTGACGTATAAAATAGATTTGATCGGAAAATATTGAGGGATGCCACTGCTACTTACAGTGAAACAGAGATGAACTGGACTCAGGCAAAGGACATCATATGGACATCTTAGACTTATACCAAGAAGAGAAAGTAGCGGAGCCCTGTTAAGTTTTGAGGTAAATTTTTAGGTATATTTGTCTCTCTGAATGATGTGTTTTTAAGTCTTAGTTCAAAGCAGAAACAGCATTCATGAGCAGAAATGTATCCTGACAGTCCTGTTTCTTTAAGACTGGAAGCCACCCAAAAACAGCTCCTGACATTCACAACCATCATGTTCTCAGAATTGGTCAAAACAACTTCTAAAATCCTAACCACCAGAGTCCAGCAGCCCTGTTTCCTGCTTTACTATAATCTTCAATCACTACCTGAGATGATGCACATAAACATGTCCCCTCTCAGACCTCCGGAGTGTTTTACACCAGGATCCCGAACCACACGAAAACCAGATGATGAGCTGGTCTAAAACACACACCTCAGTGTTTACTAACAGATCAACTAGCCTCCTACTTGTCTGTCAGCCATCAAACACATCTTAATCCTTCTCGATACAGTTCGGATCACAGCCCAGTCCAGCACGGATCCACAGATGTTAGAGTCCGCCTGCATGCTGCGGCTAACGGACGAGCTAACGGCTAACAGACCGACAAACTCCTAAAATACACTCAACAACATCCCCATCCACAGTCAAGTATACATAGTTGGTAATTTACGACTGATTTAAGGCTTCAAATCCGTGCTGTGTGCCGCTGCTGCCTGGCTGTGAGTGTTTTGCAGGCTAACGAAACATCCCATTTATCCTGCTTTAAAAAGATGGCGGGCAAGCGAATATAAGCTAGGTGGCTAACCGAGCTAGGCTACTTACCGAGGACGCAAAGTGTAATTAATCTGTTTTAAGTCGATAGGAGAGGTGCCTTAGTACACGCTGGGGTTTAATTATCAACTTTTGTCTGTTAATGACACGAATAAAGATCCTACCAACGCGCGTTGGCGTCATTCTGTGCAGTTATAAACGCTCGGTGTTTGGTTAGCTAATGAGCCGTTAGCCTGTTAGCTGAGCTTTGTCTGAAGGCGCCGAGCGGACAGTCAGGCTCCGACACACCGACACACACTCACAGAAAACCCCCCTTAGCTCCGTTAACCTGCCGATAACATTATAACCCGGCACGGGGAGGTGTTTACTTTGTGTTTGGGTCCTCCGATGGGTCCAGCGGCGGGCTCCGGTCCGTTTTCAGGGAGATTTTTATTTAGCGAAGTAGCATAATAGATGAGTTATCAGCTGTCTACCTTCAGCGCAGCCGCAGTGATGAGTAGCATCATGGATGTTATTGTGATCTGATTGGCTGTAAGCCTTACTAAGACTCTGTGATTGGTTGCAGGGTATTTGGGTGGCTATGATTTGTTGCTGGGGGATATGAACTGCTGGGATTTGCCGGTCAGTTAGTTGGAGTGCGGTGAGTGGCTGAAGTAATTACTAGTCTGCTGTGATTGGCTGGAGAGGTTTAAGTTTTCAGAATGGCGCAGTAATTTGAACTACGTTTCCCAACATGCAGAGCGGAAGCAGAGAGTAAGGGGCCCACAGATATTCATATCGATGGAGGAGCCAGTCTGGCGCGATTCATATCGATGGAGGAGCCAGTCTGGCGCGTTTGATTTGACATTATTTTTGAAGTTTTGCAGCAACAATTGATCATTTGACATTCATATTTGACATTAAATAGATTTCCCTCGTATTCTGGCAGAGGTTTGTATTAGTTTTCCCCATGGCCATCCTGCACCTAAACCACGAATGTCCCTGTCACGGGTTGTGTTTTAACAGACTTATTGTAGTGTCTGTGCATTTCATTTTGAACTATTTTCTTGTCTTGGTCATTGGAGACTTTGGACAAACGCTCTTGTTGAGTCCTATAACAATTAAATTTAACAGTTTCAATTGTTTCCACTCTGTTGAGTCACTTTGAAGTGTTAAAAATTCTATACAACAGTATAGATTTTAAAAAATTCTTTAATGCATTAAAACTATTGTGAGGGGTGGGTTTCAGTTGAGGAGAATAAACAGCCCTGTTGTTACAATTTCCACTTTAAATATTTAAAACGAATTATGTGTTTGACTGTAAAAAGTACACAGTGAGATTTTTTGTTAAAAGACACTTTTTAAGTATGTAAAAATAAGATAAGCAAAGAGTGCATTCTCCATAGGGGGGCGCCACAATCAAGTAAATAGCTGTAAACATTATCATTGGCCACTTGCCATGGCGTTTTGTCTATTGTTTTGATACATGGTAGGTCACGAGCTGAAAGGGGAATTGTTGCCACCCACCATTGTGGAGGCAGACATACTCCTGTCAATAAAATTGCCCAGTTGAGCTTTGATTGCAGCTCACTTACATGTCCTGACAGTTGTCTGTGCTCGTAGAAAGAAAGTTTTACCTTTTTTTTTAAGTCTTTTCTCTAGCATGCAGAGAACACTGAGGCTTTCAGTCGGATTGAGCTGTGTACGTGGAGAAAAAAAAAGAATCTTTAACCTTGTTATCAGGTATGTCAGTCCGGCCACGAGAAATTTGATTTAGTGTTATTTCAGTTGGGCTAATGTGTTTAGATGACTTCTAAAAGTTTTTATGTTGGATCAATTCAAATATGGTCATTTTTTAACATACTAAGTGTCAAAAACTTATGTTCCCTCTGCTGTAATTTTATGCATATGTAATGGCTCAAATTATACTGTATGTTGCTTGATGGATGTATAATACACAGGTCAAATAACCTACATAAAACCTAACTGACAAAACTTAGCACGCAGGGATTGTCTATGATGTTTAACTCTTTGCATCATGTTTCTGGACTTTATCTGACTTTTCTGTATTTTTGTACTGATAAGGAGCCTGCAGATGAACCATCAAAGCTGTCCTTTTGGACTGTAGATAGCACAATCTGAATTTATACAGAATTCTTTACTTACCTTTGTATTGAGGCAAATGTTGGAGATGACCTACGATCTCACATCTGAATTCCATCAGCTGGATATAGTTTATGTGCCTCCACGATTCAAAAACTTTAAGTCTGCAGTCACTGAAGTAGATGTGTCTTTTAAAAACACTGTAAATAGCGTAAATAAGTTGTGAAGTTAAGTTGTAAAGAAGTTGTGTATAGGCTCCCTCTGGTCAAACTGGCATATAACCATTCAGCCAGAGCAATGTGTAACCTGCAGATAAGAGGTAAGAGAGAATCAACCTGCAAGGGAGACTCGATTTGTTTGATTAGAGTCCATTTCTTTCCTCTTAGCCATGTCCCTGTATGTAATCCTGTCTAAAACTGTAGTCTGACTTTGGTCCAAACACCTTTAAACTTTCTAGACTGAATTTTAAAGCTGTCAGAATTAACATACCTTGAATCTGAAAATGGCTTCCACTTTGTCTCTGCACAGTTAAGCACCAGTTTCGGGTAATGTAGGTGGTTTTGAAGTTAGTCAGATGTTTGCTGAGGATTTAGAGTGGCGTCATGGATTGGCAGAAGTGTAAAGGACAGTGTCATCAGCATAAAGTGTAAAAAGCAGTTGCTCATTGAATTTGTGATATTATTTGAATGAATTGAGAACAGCATTGGTCTGAGAACTGACCCCTGAGGAACTCCCTTTGTGATGCTGAGAAAATAGGATTAAGCATTGCCGATTTTGACACACTGAAGTTTGTCTGAGAGGCGATTTTGAAATCCCTTGAAGCTGTTTGTGGAAAACTGTGACACATACTATTCATCTAAAATTTGGCCATTTAATAGCATTTTATTACAATGTAACAAAAAGACAAAACATAAGACATAAAGACTGGGTACTGGTGCATTGTATTAAATTTGAAGTAATAATAAACTAGAATATTATGCAGTCTGTGACATATTGCGCAGTCTGCATACAAATGTGAAATTGTTTAGAAAAATTTCTGAAGTTGTTTTGTTTTTGAAGAATGACTTGATATGTGATATGAATTATGGCATTTTTATACATCTGATTATTTTTTGGGGGGGACTGGGCATCTTCTAGATGTAAAAAACAGTTTATAGCAGTTGCACAACAAAACCAGATCCTTTATGGCTCGTAATGCTGTCACAGGACAAACTCTGTCTGATAGGTTACTTGCTAAAGTGAGTTAAACTGCTTCTTACAAAAGACCCATGGACAGAGGTTCAGTGGCAGAGGTATCCATCCAAAGTTATGTGAAACACACACACTGATAAACTTTGAAGCCTTCAAACGACTTCAGTCTAAATAGCTAAATATATGAGTTTGTCCTGAAGAGGGCGCTGCAGGAAAGACAGAGATTAGGTCCAACAGAGAAGACAGAAACATAAGTCTGATTATCAAGAAGCTTTATTGTTGCTATCAGAGTGAGTATTATCATCATCATCATCATCATTTGTCCTGTTGCTATGGGCCTGTGTGCTGGACTGCAGGAGGCTGTTAACATGCAGCAGAGCCGAGCAGACAGACAGACAGACTGGAGGACAGACAGGTAGAGGTTCAGACGGACAGACAGACAGAGGTAGGCTGGACAGATAGGTAGACAAACCAAGGGGGTAGAGAGGTAGACGGGTGGTTAGGTAGTGAGGTAGGGGAACAGAGAGACAGTTAGGGACAGACAAAAAGGTAGACCGGTGGGGACAGACAGGTAGTAGGGAGAAAGGTGGAAAGATAAAGTGAGAGATAGGCAGGTAGGTTGGAAAAAAGGAGGGTCAAGACAGGTGGACAGATAGACAGGTAGGAAGACAGGAAGACCACAGGTAAAGACAGGTACAAAAGGTAGTGAGGGAAAGAGAGACATAAAGACAGAGGAAAAGGAAAGACAGACACATAGACAGGTGAGCTGAAAGACAGCCTAGAAAGGAGGACAGAAAGGTTGAGACAAGTAAGAGGGCGCACACAGGAGGATGGACAGGTACAGACATAAGGACAAAAGAGAGGGAGACAGGTAGAGACAGACAGAAAGGTAGCACCAGATAGGTGGTGACAGACGGGTAAGGACAGAACGGTGGGTAAGGGACCAAAAGGTAGTAATAGATGAGGACAGACAGGTAGAGACAGAAAGGTTGGTAAGGGACAAGCAGGTAGAGACAGAAAGGTGGGCAAAGGACAGGTAGAAACATTTCCTTGAGGATGGACAGGTAGTGCCAGGTAGGTGGGGGTTGGGCTGGAGGACGGACAGGTAGGGACAGGTAGGTAGAGACAGGTTGGTTGGGGACAGGTAGCTATTGTGTTATTTACATACAGGTAGGCAGATGCGATAGAAAGCTTATTGGCTGTCTTCCAGAGGCTCCGCCCCCCTCTCCTCTGTTTCGGCCAACCCCCTCTGAGGTGGGGCAGGCTCTGCAGGCTGAGGAGAGGGGTGTGAGGAGGAGGAGGAGGAAGAGGAGGCGGAGGAGGACAGGGAGAGAGGATTATCTGGGGGTTGTTCAGTCTGTGATCTACCTCCCCCCTCTGCCTCTCCTCCGTTCATTCCTTCTTCTGCCTGAGCCCCACCTGTGCCTCCCCCTCCTCCCCCACGGGACCCAGCGAACTGCAGGTGAGGCAGGAGGGCTGCTGGGGCCTCCTTCTCCCTCTCTCTCTCCCCTGCTGCCTCCCGCTCACGTCGTTCAGCATATAGCGGAGCCTCCAAGCCGAGGTAGGAGGCGCTGAGCTGCCGCAGATCCAGCTCGAAGGGGCTGCCGCTGGACTGAACTCCTGCCTCTCCCCCCTGACCTCCTCCTGCTCCTCTCTTGGCCTTGCGGGGATGTGGGGAGCTGGAGGCGGGGAGGCTGTCAGGGAGGAGGGACTGGATCTTTGGGAGCCAGCGTTTACGGACTCTGCGGGCGTTGGTGCACATGTCAGCTGCAATGACGTTCATCTCACTCTCCTTAAAGTTAGGAGCGAAGTTTTGACAGTAGACTGAGGAGGAGAAGGAGTGGAGGGGAGGGAGAGGTAGAGGAGAGGGAGAGGGGTAGGAGAAGAAAAGGGAGGAGAAGGAGAGGGAGAGGAAAATAGGAGAGCAAAGGAGAAGAAATGGAAAGGCAGTTTAAAAGAGAAAAGACAGAAGAGAAGGAGAAGAGAGAGTAATGGGAATAGGATGGAAATTAGTAGAGAGAACAAAAACAAAGGGAAAAGAAAAAAGGGAGAAAAAATAAAAGGGGAAGGAAGAGGGGAAAGGAGAGAAAGAAGAAAATAAAAATGGAAGGGGAAAGAGTGAAAAAAATAAAGGAGGGGAATGGGTACAATAGGAAAGAGGCAAAAGGGAGAAAAGAACAGAAGAAAACAGGAGAAAAAATAGGAGGGGAATAAAAAGAGGAAGATAGGGAGAAAAGAAGAGAAAGGGGGAATGATAGAGAGGGTAGAAGAAAAGAAGCAAAAGTGAGAAGAGGAATAGAGATAAAAAAGGCAAAAGGAAAAAAACGAAGTAGAAAGAGAGCAAGGGATGTAAAACAAAAAGGGGAGAAGACATCAAAAGAGCAGTGAGAGAAAAGGGGAAACGGAAGTGAAAGACAATGATTAAGGTAAAGACAGTGAAAGAATAAAAGCATAAGAAGAAGGAGAATAGACGCAGAAAAGGGATTACAGAAAAAAGACAAAATGAATAAAAATAGAAGAAGCAACAAGACAGGAGGACAATGAGGAGGAAAAGAGGGAGAGGGAAAATTAAAAAGGATAAAAGGAGGAAGTATGACGTTGAGGAGGAAGAAAAGAAAGAACAAGAGTAAAACAGAGATGGAAAACAGAGAAAAAGAAGGAGTAGTAAAAAGACAGGAGGAAAACACAAAAGAAAAGAGTACAGAGGAGGAGAGAAGAAAGACGAAAAGAAGGACAGAGACATTTTAGAAGGAAAATGATGAGAACAGAAAGTGAAAGAATAATGTAAAAGAAAAGAAAATAGGGGAAAGAAGTCAAGAAACAGGCGAGAAAAAGGAGGAGTGACAGGGAGGTAAAGTGAAAATGAGGGGGTAGAAAAAGGAGAATATGGAGGAGAAAGAAGATGGGAAAAGAACGATCAATACAAGGAGGAGGAGGAAGAAAGAATAGAAAAGAAGAAATGGAAAAAGAGGGAATGCAATGTATTACCCAGAAAGAAAAAGGGGGGAAGAGGACACAGTGAGGACCAAAGTTGAGGAGGAAAAGGAGTTGCAGAGAGAGAGGAAGAGCAAGAACAAGGGAAAGAGGAGGAGGAAAAAGAGGGTAAATACATGGAGGAGGAAGAAGAGGAGAAAAAATAGAGAAGGAGGATGAAAGAGAGGAAGAGCAGAGGTAGGAGTAAGAAGAGAACGAGGAAAAGGTGTAGGAGGAGAAAGAGAAAGAGGAGGAAGAACAATTTGAGAGAAAAAAAGTCTCAACATTTTCAAAATACAGTAAAAAGATATAAATCAATGAGTCAGACTGTGTGTGTGTGTGTGTGTGTGTGTGTGTGTGTGTGTGTGTGTGTGTGTGTGTGTGTGTGTATTCATGTGTGTCCATGTGTGTATGTGTGTGTGTTTGTGTCTCACGTTTGACGGTGTTTAACACTCGGTTGTCCAGGGGTTTTCGGCTTGGATCATTGGTGGAGGAACGGATTCCTGTCCCACAGCTATTGGCCAGAGTGTTTCTATGGATACCATAACAACCCAATCAGCACCTATACCAAGCTTTAGATTACCTCGCTCACCCTCTCTCTCTCTCTCTCTCTCTCTGAGACAATGTGACAGAGCTGTTATGTAAAGCAGCAGCTGGATCCTGAAGGAGGCTCAGTGTCAGGATGTTCTTCAAGTTTGAACACAGTCTGCAGATGTCACATGACATCTAATGATGTCACACAGGTCTGCTTATGTCACATCACATCTAATGATGCTAAAGAATGTCACATGTTGCTGACAATCACTAATGATGTCACATAATGCCTGTTTACGCCTCTAATATCATGATGTCTGTCACCTGATGTAACACCCTGGCTGTGTCCGAAATCACTCACTACTCCCTTACGAGAGCACTATTTCGAGAATATGCTGTTATCCTGGGTGAAAACTTACATACTCTATACAGTGGACTCATTGATTCCAGCAATGCACTGTGAATATTTGCATACAACCAATGGTCACTAACCGAGCAATATATCCCATCATGCATTTTCATTTTTTGAATAAAAATGTTGAGATGAGGGAAAGTTTTTCAGTCATTGGCATCAGGGATCAGCACACCTAGCCTGTCTGGGCCATCCTGTTGCGTGAATCACTTGTCATTCCTTCCCACAACAGTCTGGACTTCGGCCCATTGGGAGCGTGTATTCCCGGTCAGAAAATAACCGGGCCAATCAGAGACCGTGTTTCCACTGTTACCCGGACAACAGGGAAAGGCAGCCCCTGATTGGTCCATGTGTAGATGGTGACGTCTAACACATGCTGCAGGACTTTTCAAAGCGCCGTTCATTCAGAACGCCGTTAATTCTGCAGTTGACTTTGCAAAGTTGGCAGAAATCGTTTATATCCGCAGAAGACGTCGGATCTAAACGATTTCTGCCGACTTTACAAAGTCAACTGCAGAATTAACGCGTTCTGAATGATGGCGCTTTAAAAAGTCCCGCAGCATGTGTTAGACGTCACCATCTACACATGGACCAATCAGGGGCTGCCTTTCCCTGTTGTCCGGGTAACAGTGGAAACACGGTCTCTGATTGGCCCGGTTATTTTCTGACCGGGAATACACGCTCCCAATGGGCCGAAGTCCAGACTGTTGTGGGAAGGAACAGCAAGTGATTCACGCAACAAGATGGCCCAGCCAGGCTACAGCACACCCAGGCCTACTGTCTCTACTGCCAAAAGGCTTACATTGCTTATCCATGCAGGTGGTGGGCCTGACCACCAGACCCTCACAAAACCCTCCACTATGATATGATGGTGATTCTTAGGGAGAACCCTCTGGCAATAGGGTGGTTTGCAGCTTAAAGTCAGCAGCTCAAACCCTGCAGGGGAATTCTGGACTGCTTTCTCCAGATGGGAACTGAATCTTTACCCACACTCTTGGAGTTCAAGGATTTCAAGGTTTTGTTCACAGGATTGAAAGGCAGATCATTCAGTGTTAACAGCACTGCAAGTGTTGCACCAGACCATCATGGTGAAAAGAGAGCTAAGCAGAAAAGCAAAGCTTCCCTCATCTATGATCAGGAACTCTGAGTTGTGACCGAAAGACTAAGATTGCGTATTTAAGTGGCTAAATGAGTTTTTACTGAAGGATGTCTGGGCTCAGCTTTAGAGACAGGGTTAGAAGCTCAGACATCCAGAGGGAGTTCGGCGTAGATGGTCGGGGCATTTGATAAGGATGCCTCCCTTTGGGGGTGGTCCAGGCACATCCAACTGGGGTAAGCCCAGGGCTTGCTGAACGGGATACATATCCCAGCCGACCTGAGAATGCTTTGGGATCCCAAAGGGTGAGCTGGAAAGTGTTTCTGGGGACGGGGGGTTTTGGGTCAACTTACTTGGACTGCTGCCCCTATGACCCAACCCCAGATGAGCCCCCATCCCCACCGAAGAAAAATGGATGGATAGTTAGATGACGGAATGATTTCGGACACAACCATTGTCTGCTGATGTGTGAAATCGATTGTTTGGGTTGAGGTCTGAGTTGACATCACTGTACTTTTGCTTTATAAAAAAGAAAAGTGTAACATGTCATATCATGCAACATGAAAGTAGGAGTACTCTGTTTTCTTAAGTTTCACTGCTCCTCTAAGCAGGTAACAGCTTAGTCACTGTCTGCACAAACCACTTACAATTCTAACCGACTGAGTATGTACAAAATTTACTACCACTTGGATTGAAGGCACCTTCAAGCAGCCAAAACTGGATACATGCACAGAGGAAACAAGGTAAAGCTTATGTATGAGGGAATGGAAGCTGCTTACATCATCCAAAAATAAAACATGGGCTTACATTTTTGGACCAAGTTAACATGTTCAAATAGTTCTGTTATAACTCACCTGTCAAAGAATGTAGCCAGCAGTCTCCTGAGCAGCACCTTGTGTTTGACTCCAGCACACAGGTGACAGTTCATCAGCTGACCTCGAGTCATGAACACACCTGAACCTGAACACACACACACACACACACACACACACACACACACACACACACACACACACACACACACACACACACACACACACACGTACGTATGTGTATACATGTATATACATTTTTTTCCCAATAATAATTTTATTGAAAAAGGTGATGTTTAATGTCTCAGTGTACTCTGAAATTAATGCATAGAACAAATAAACGATTGAAGTTACAAAAAGAAATCATAGAATCAATTTAGAAACAAAAATGTATTCTAAACTTTTGACTCATCAAAGTAGCCACCTTTGACAGATATAACAGCTGAACACACTATTGGCATTCTTTCTACAATGGAAATCAAATATTCTTTAGAAAGTTCTTCCCATAGACTGTATATAGAATGGATGCCGTCTGCCTCCTTGCTGGGTGAAGCAACTCTAAGAACAGCACACCCTGGTGACGGGCTGCAGTATAGGTCATAAATCCCGCCTCCACCAGCCATCCTTATGGGGCTGTGGACAAATTTAAGGTAAACTTAAAATTTTTCTCCCCCCTGCTTGCGATGTTGGCATGTAGTTCTTGTAAGACTGGTTTGTGCTCAAGTCCTCTTTTTCTGTACAGCTCCATTTTTAAAAGTTGTTAGGGAGTTCATGTTTTTGATGATTGACTTGATACAGCCTATGGGCGTACGAAGATTGTGTAGCTCACCCGGGGGATTCGCTGTTTGAGCCGAGTGTCATCACAGCAACTCTTGGCGACTCTTCCACCGGATGCGCACAATGCTACTCAGCAAGTGGTGGAGTGCGTACAATGCTACTGCGCAATGTTAGGTTCAGGAAGTGGAGAAAAAACGCGGAATTACCTAGAGCTTTTCGGCTTCAAATCCATATACTAGCGGAAAGCGGAACCAAGCTGTCCATTGTATATACAGTCTATGGTTCTTCCCAACTCTGTTGCAGAAGTTTCCATAAACGTGTAGCACTTGTAGATTGCTTTGCTTTCACTCTTCTGTCCAGTTCATCCTTAACCAGCTCGATGGGGTTTAAGTCTAGAGACTGTGCTGGCCACTCTATGTTTTCGAGCTTACCATCTTGTTCTTTTTTTCTTAAGGTAGTTCTGGTATAGCTTGGACTTATGTTTTAGGTCATTATCTTGCTGTAGGATGAATCCGTGACCAACTAGGTGCAACCCAGAGGGTACTGCATGGCTGTGAATGCTGTGGTAGCCGTTTTGGTTCAGGGTGCCTTTTACTCTGTACAAGTCACCAACCCTGGATCCAGCCAAACAGCCCCAGACCATCATACTTCCTCCTCCATGTTTGACAGTTGACGTCACACACTGAGGAACCATCCTTTCGCGTCCTCAATGGCGTACAAAAATCCTGCGTGAGGAACAGAAGATTTCAACTTTTGATTCATCAGTCCAGAACACCTTCTTCCAGTCTTCAGTCGTCCATTGGCTGTGTTTCATTGCCCAGGCAAGCCTCTTTTTCTTATTCTGAAGTCTCAGCATTGGCTTTTCTTGCTGCAACTTGACCCATCAAACCTGCAGCTCTAAGTCTTCTCTTCACAGTCGAAACTGAGACTTCCTTACTGCGATCACTAGTACGCTGTGCTTGAAGCTGTTGTCCAATCAGCCGCCTATCACCGAAACTGTTGACTCTCAGAAACTTGTCTTCTGATGCTGTTGTGGCTCTGGGTCTGCCACACCTCTGCCTGTCAGCATTTCCTCCAGTTTCTGAGCACCATTTGATGGTAAACTCACTGACACCTTGACTGTCTTGGCAATTTCTCTGTAGGAAAGACCTACAATTTTAAGTGTTATGATGGTCTGTGTCTCTTCTATCATTAATTGCCTTTTCCTTGCCAATTATATAGTAACATACTTCTTTCTGCAGTACACTACTGTTCAAACAATGCTCACAATGGTATGGTACCACAGTGTGTTCCAACCAGGGTTGTCAACAAATATTCTAAATCCGAATATATATTCGAATATTAACAAAAAACAATATTCGAATGTGAAAATTAATATTCGAATATTAAATAAACAGCAGGAAAAAACTGAGAGGAAGAACAACGAAGAAAAAAAACGGCAGCTGCTTTGCAAGTTAGCGCACTGTAACGACGGGAAAGGACAGGTCACAGGATCTGCACCTGCAGTGAGACTCGACAAAAACTGCCGTGGCACATGCAGCGAGAGATGGAGGGAATGTTTGGAGCTACAATGTACATTATTTTCAGTTTTGGCTAACCTTACCTTTTTATATTTACCTCTGGTAGTTCACCACTATCCTGTGTACCCTTTCAAGCTGTTCATTGGACTTGAACTACTTAATTTTCAATGAAAAAATGGAAAAATTGGGGTGTTCTAAAACTTTTGAGCGGTCATGTATATATTTTAAATATAAAATGCCACTTTGGTCCAAAAGCTTTCAGTGAACCAGCCTCTGCCTTTGAAGGGTTTGGTTACTCAGATTAATTACATGACTTGAACAGGCACAAGCGCTTCCATTTGTATTGGGTTATTCATGTCACAGGGTTCAAAGCTATCAGTACTGGAATGTGTATAGAAAATAGTAGAATCACTCCACATTGTATATACTTTTCAACTTTTAGACTTAACTGAAACATTTAATGTTCTGCTCATGCTAAATACCTACAAAAGCTCAAGTGGATTAAAGTTATCCTACCAGCCACAAGTTCCACCTTCTCTCCAGGGTCTCCTTCGGTGTAAAGTGATGGGTGGCAGCGATACCCAATTTGACTGATCAAACTGGCCGGCAGAGCCATGTTGTCCCGACCAACCAGCACGCAGGGCCGACGCTCGTTAGCCAACGGGAGGGACAGCATCTCCATCTTCTCTTGGACTGGACGAATGGAAAAATAGTGAGAGGTTCAGGATTACCAGGAAGCAAATTTAGGGAGTGTGATCTATAGATTGCTGGTATCAACCAGATAAAGCTCCAATAAAACCACCTGCAGACAAAATCAGATCGTATCATATCGGAGAACTCTGCAGCACAAATTGGATCTGAATTTCAAGACCTACTATTACTGATAAAACTTATGTGCCTGCTCTAAGTTGGTGGTTCATTACCCCCCTTATAAAGTGCATAGTTTGATTGGACTGCATCATAGTGTTACTTACTGTAGGGGTTGCCAGGATGTCCATAGATGTGTTGGTAGAGTCCTGGATGGACACTACTCCCATAGTAATCCTCCTCTAGCTCCTCCTCTGTAGCAGGGTGAGAGGGAGGCGAGTCTGTGGGAAGGCTGGAGCCTCCTGGACTAGAGCGCCCCCCTCCCGCCAGCAGGTAAGATTGCAGCCCCGGAACTAAACCTCCACCTGCGCCCAAGTAACACAGAGTGCTGCTCCTGGAGGACTGGAGATCACCAGCAATGTCGACTCTGAACAAAACGAAGACAGGACTGTTTTCCAAGTACAAAGCAGTTGGCCTCTGAAGTCAGACACCAAGTCTAACATTTTAGCAGCCAGAGCTTCAAGTTACAGGTCCCTGAAGGTACTAGATGCAATTACCAGACCTACCCTACAACCAGAGTCAAGCCAGATCCACATTACGATCAGTCTTTCGGAAGTGTTGTCAGCTTTCAAAAGTTAAGATGATGCACAGATGCTCATGTGCAGAAGGAAGTCTGTTCACTGACATTTGTCCTGTCCTTTTGATATAATCCACAATTTCTAATGTCCCTACTGATGGTAGGAAATGTGTCCTCAAATGTTAACCTGTCTACAAACATGCAGTAGGTACTAAGGGTTTGCAGTTTGAAAACATGCAGGCAACCTCTGGTGGTGCAAAATGGAGTGAATGCAGAAGTGTAAAACTGCAGCTCTGCCAGCTGGAGCCTGTTTTAAAGGTCCATTTCAAAGCAGAAAAACCTGTTTTCTATCGCTCATTTACTGAGGTAAATTTGTATATAAGTTAGCCTTTCAGATTATCTGAAGCCTTAAAGTTATGTGGTATATTCCTTTTGAGTTACAGGCTGCTTTCTGATGGATATTTAAGGTCAAATAAGGAAGGTTTTCTGTGTGTTTATTCCCTAGAAGTCAACACTTTGGTTTATTACACACTGGAAATCAGGCCTCCTGCATCAAAAGTCGTTTTTGTTTACCACATCTTCTACAAGCAAACTCTGATATTTTTCCACATCACCTGCTTTCCTTTGATCATCTCTTAATAATGGCTACACCTGCAACACATTTCAGCTTACATATGACTCAGAATAAGCTGTTGCAGAGACTGATCTTTAAGTTTCAGTCTGGTGCATTTAGTCTCAGTGAAATAGCAGAGAAAACTAAAAGCATATTTTTGCCTCCCTGGAGTCTATTATAGACTCTCCTCCTGTTATTGCTGTTTTTCTCATTATTAACTAGAGGCTTTTGGATCATTTTAGCTTAAAAAACGCTGTCAAACAAAGACAGGAAGCAGTCTGGCTTTGGTGGTACTGTTGAACACATGCAGACATTCAAAAGTGTCAAAAAGGTCTGAAATGCTGCTCTCGCCTGGTCCTAACCTGACCTGGACTTCTGTTTGTCCTCACCTGCCCTCCTCGCCTCCTCCCCCTCCTCCTGCTCCTCCTACCCCATTCTCATCGGCAGGGGGAGTATCGGCTCTCTCCTGTTTGATCCTGCTGACGGCCAGCAGCAGCTCCTCTGGGCTCAAAGCCGGCTGGTCTGGACTGGCCTGCAGCTGGGGGGCGCTGTTCTGCTGCTGAACCATCTGGGTGTCAAAGCCCCCGAGCTCATCTGCTGAGGTCGTCTGTAATGCATCATTATTGTTAAAGAGGGGGTGTCATTCTCTGATTTACACACATTATTATAACATTCAGACTAAACTAACAAACTTAAAATAATATGATTATCACATTTTCTATCTTTTTAAGTGGTTATTTTCTCTAGACAAACCTCTGTGGGTGTGGCCTAACTCACCTGTGAGTCACAACAGAGGGGTGAGGAGGAGGAGGAGGCCTTCATCATCATCAGCTCCATGCCTCGCTCCACAATGTTCTGGATCTGCAGGTATCCAGCGGTGTACATGAGCACCAGCTGCTCGCTGGCAGCCATGCTGAGGCGCCCAGTGTAGCAGAACGCCAAAATCTGCTGGAAACACGTTGGCGTGACTGAAGACGGCAGCTCGAACACCGCCTGAGCAGAGGAGGATGAAGAGGATGAAGAAGAGGAGTCAGCTGCAGAGCTGAATAGGTCTCTGAAGTAGAGTGAGGAAGCGGCGAGAACAGCCCGGTGCGCTTTGAAGGCCTGGCCCTGCACCAGGATGGAGACGTCGCAGTAGTGACCCAGCAGCCGCTGCTCGTTCAGGCTGCCCAGCACGCTGCTGCCAAAGTCCGGGATCTCCACCTGCAGGAGCCCCTCAGACATGGTGGACGGCAAGGAGGAGGATGGGACCAAAAGTGACTGAGGGTTAGAACAAGCTGGTGACAAGGAGGAGACGGTCCTGCCCAGCCAGAGGTCAGAGTGTTTAAGTGTCAGGGATCCTGAAGATGCTACCTCCAAAACAATTCAGATCCATGTTGTTGCAGAGAAAACAGTGAGCTCAGAGGTCAGAGGTCAGGCCTGAGAGAGTCAGAGAGGAGGTTGGTGTTGAGGTCAGAGGTGTTGAGTCTGAGCTGGACAGCCAGGAGAAGACTGTGGATCATCAGGATGGAGGTCAGCTTCTAACAGAGGGACAGCTAGAACATGAGGAGGAGGGAGGAGGTGGAAGAGGAAGGAGAGAGGGGTGAGGAGGGGGAGGGAGAGTTTTACACAACGACAGCTTCACACCTTCTCATCTTCATGCAGAACAAACTGAGAATAACATCAACATCTGACACCTCTGTTTTTTCAAGCTTATCCTCCTCTATCTCTTTTTTCATACAATAATTTTGACCATTTATGCAAAAGGCTGTAGGAAACATAAAAAAACTGCTGAAAGTGGCACAAAAAAAGAAGTTTCAGCTGCAGAAAATAGTTCCAAACAGTACTGTAATGCAGTGCTTGTGTAATATTTTTTACCACTGGTCCTCCATGCAGACTGGCCTCTGTCTAGACTCTTTCTAAGCTCCTCCCCTTCATGACATCACTGTTGCTGACTCAGGTGCTCATCTTCTTCACTGAATCTATATTTCCTCTTCGGCTGAACAAATCTGTGTCTGCTCTGCGCTGTTAAAAATCCAACAGAAAGTCCCAGGCTGTGAGGAAGACAGAGCTCCATCTCTGCAGAGGCTCTCCTCAACTGTAAGCCTCTGATTTGCACAAATATTTGAAATGTTATGGAGCAATGAAATCCAATCTCTATAATTTAAAATATCATCTTCATCTAATGAGTTTGGTGGTCTAAATAAAAAGAAAACGCAGTCTGCTGCACCACACTTTGCAGAAAAGAAGCTCTATGCCATAATTAATATCAGACAAGTGTTTCGAGACTGAATAACTTCCCACAGACGACCTTCATCTGTTCACTGTAATCAACACAAACACCTCTACTTCACTTTCACTGAGCTTTTTTTTCCATACTGCAGAGAGAAACACAACCAATACAAATCAGCTGATTTAAACTCTGTTCATAAACACTTAAGGTAAGAAGTGCTGCACCGATGACCACATTCAAATAGCAGGTGTTTTTGTCCTTTCTCTTTTCTCTTTTAGAAAGTGTAATTATACTTAATAAAGGCCTCATTCACCTGACAAGTCCAAAAAATGGCTAATTTGAAGATGATACATGCTGAAAATTAGAGCTGAATTTCTTGTTTAAGTTAAAATACAAGCTGCAAATGGGAAAAGAAAAAATATGAAATTTTCTTATTTAAAGACACTTAAAATGTAACTATTTTAAATTTTGTTTTTTAATTTTTCGATTATTTAATCTTAAAAAATATTCTTATTTCTTTAAATTAGACATTTTTTTCAGTTACATATTTCAATTATATAATTTTATTCTGTTTATTTATTTATTCATTTATCATTTGGTTAAAATTATTAATTACTTAATTGATCATGGCTTACTTATTTATTTTCATTTTGTATTAATGTATTTGTAACAGAGGTCAGTTGTTATTTATCTATTTATTTGCATTTTGTTTATTTATTGATTGTTTAGTATGAAAATGATTATAGATATTTTTCTGTATTAGTCAAACAAAAACACCTACTAAGATATGTTACTTTCCAGTGTGTTGTACAAAAGGGCAAAGTTTTCAAAAACTGGACAATGTAAAATCTGTTAGATTAAGGCTACAACAATGTTTAACACATACGAAGCAGCCACAATCACTTAAGTGTGGAAAAACAATCAGGATAAGGGATAAATAAATGATAACAGATTCCAGATGTAGATTAAGGCATCCCACAAGGAATAAGTTAGGTCCCCTGTGCCTTACTATTATAAAGCAATCAAACTGTTTTAAAACTACTTGGTTGCATTAAAACTAGTGGATTAGGTCAAATCAAATCATGAAAACTTGTTAGAAGTTGTAAACTGTGCAGTATTCAGTGGAGTTTAGCAGGGTAAACTGAAATGAAATATGATGTTCATTAGAATATTTACTAAGAAGTGGCCAAGCGGCTTAATATAAAAACCCTTTTTTGTATTTTTGACCTAGAATGAGCCTTTCATTAGGAGTGGGTGCTCTTTCATGGGTGAGCAAGGTAGTAATAAAACTGGAATCTAAAACCTAGCTGTTTCTAAATACGTCCTTTTCCACATCCTGCACTTTCGAAAGAAAAAGAAATTATAAATTGTAATAATTAAAATATTTGAAGCACAGATTTTGGTGCCCCTAGTGGAGGCCTCATGTACAGCTCTACATTGATAGACTGGATTTGATTATCTTTAAAAGAATGTTTCTTAAGGAGATTAATATGATCCAAATTTTATTTATAAAACCAGGAACAAAAGAAGACCCTTACTTTGGCACAATTTTTTTGTAAAACCTAGATCATTCTCATCCAGACTAAACCTTTTTAAAAACTTTAGGTCCCTCCGTCTGTTTTTACACAGATGACAACATCCTGTGTATTACACACCTGACAGAAATGGCTGTCTCTGCATCTGATGAACTCTAGACTGTTAACTTAAAGCTTCTACTTAGCTCCAAAAAGAAAGACTGTTTCTTTTTATAAGCCTAAAAAATACAGTACATGATGAGTAATTTGTTTAGACAGCAGATCCTGTCGTCTTTGCCAGTTCCTCTCATCCTCACACTCCTACACTGGTTTAAAGTTACATTTGGAAATGATTTTCAAAACTTTTCTCTATCGGGCTTTGTGCCTGTTTAATTAGGTAACTGATAAGTCTCTACCTGTGAAGATCAGGAAGATACAACAGCCCCCATTAAAATATGTTTGAATGCATCTCTTTTTTTTCTATTGTTTTCCTCAGACTCTTTCTCCCTGGAGTCAGCTCATGATTTGTGCAGGTTAATAGATCTTGATCAAACATGTTTATTGCTTTCTAAATTTGCCACCCAGTCAGAAAAAAACATGACTTACTGTTTCCCCTTGTCAAGATGTCAAGTGTTAAAAGATGGCTGGAAGCTCAGTGTCTGTTCATTCCCCTGTTCATTAATCTTTGCTCAACTTTTGACTACAAAATATGGAAACTTTTGGCACCAAAAACCTGAAACTGGCAACAGCAAAAAAGTAGAACCTGAGTCTACCAAATGTTTGTCCACAAACTGGTGGGTGAAGTCACTTCTTAGGTCCAGTTTTATACACAAAAGCGGCCAGCAGTGTTTAAACAAACTCCATCAACTGTTTTTTTTTCCCTCTGACAAATTTTCTTGAGTTTTAAAGGCACTATGAGGAGTTTTAAACTGTTACTGGAATTCTACTACTGCTGCCTTTTTGAGTCTTTTTCAAAGCCACTGAGACCATCAGCAAAAAGGCTGACAGACTCTTGTAATTTTTAAAGCCTTAAAACCACTGTGAGGGGGTAGGTGTTGGACCATGACTGACAGCAGGCTACAGAAACAGCTTTTTTTTACTGTTTGTCCAAGGCAATTACCCACTTCACTTAAAAATAATAATGATAACAGGATGACATCTGAAAACATTACCTAAACAGAGCCAAAGATAAGAGGTTTCACTTTATCCAAAGGGGCGCCAAATTCAATACAAACAAAAGGTTCCTCACAGCAGCTTTAACCATGTGCTCTATAGCTTTGGCTGTTTGTTAATTCAATCTCTCTCTGAATAAAATAAAGTATTTTTCCTAATTTAAACACAACAACCCCCATAAGTGAATCAAGTCTGCTGTCCAATCGGATTATAAACCATGAAATCCTTACATAGACCTGCTCAAACTGGAGCGGAAATTATGACTTGATACCAACAAGCTATAACTTTGTTTTTGTTACTGATAAAGTGACTCAATCCACAGAGACAGACCTAGCAAGCAAAGCTACAACAATCTCATGTTCTCAGTGTGCAGGGAAATTTTCAGTTCGACCTCACTGCAGGGTGAGCAGTACAATCACTCAGCTCGTGTTTTTTCATTTAGTTCCTGTTTGTGTGACATAACTATGTTGTTGTCCTTCACAGACACACTCAGTTATTCATTATTATCATATTTATTATTCATAATGGCACAGTGACGGCAGCTGTTTACTTCCTGCTATAAACACATGGAGGGAGAACACTGTAGAGCTGCAGCCTTTCTATGAGTCAGGTGATATCATATAATCGTGCTCCAGAACAGAACCAAAGTGCAGCCCAGAGGAGTTCACTCTAACACAGTCTGCTACAGGACAGTTGAACAGAGACCAAATAAAAGTCCAGTTTTTGCACACAGTGGTTCCTTTAAGTTTTTTTGCAGGGCTCCTCTGCAGAGATTAAAATATTGTCAAGCTCCTCCGACCCCTTTACCATGCATATGCAGACAAGCATATATCCTAAAGCTATATGCACCAACAGACAGTCATACTCCTCCTTTGCAAACTAATTCCTATACAGAATTATCTGAAATGTTCTCTGCAAAACATCCTGCATATACTCAAAGAAGTGTCTTGGCAATTCAGGCCTTTTTTAATCATGCAATATCTAAAAACTAGTCATTTTTCTGAACTTGTCAGGTGAATGTAGCTGAAATTAAGACCGATAAGACACTTTTTCTTGAGATACTAAACAACACTGAAGAAGACCAGTTTTCTTTCCCAGTGCCTAAAAAAACAGCCAGCCATTTGTGAAAAAAAGGCAATTAAAGGGACCTTATAAAGAGAGGTCCATAATAAACTCATGAGCTCAAAAGTGACAAATGGTAGCAGCCTCTCCCCTGAAGGTATGACCCTGGATCATTTGTTGTCCTTATCATTAGCCTTATGATTAACCGGTAGACCATTTACAATATCAGCCATGCTTGCCAACAGTACAGAATGGTGGCCCCATGGCCCTGCTTTCAAAACTCCAGGTACCCCCTTGGGGTCCCATTCCCCAGTTTGGAAAACACTGATCCACCATATTCTACCACTTTTCAACACAACACGGTCCAGGTCAGTCAAGTGTCATGAAGAATAGCCTATGAGAAGTGAGTCTATCCTAGTGTAAGCTAGTGCAGTCCAGTGTAGTCCTGTCTAGACCAGTACACTAGGGTATGGTTAAGTCCAATCCATTCCAGTCTACAACACCAGATCACAGTAGAGTCTGATACAGTTCAGTCCAGCAAAGTACAGCACAATCCAATTCAGTCTTGTAAAGGTCTGGCTTATCTGGAGCAGCACACACCAGACTAGCATAGCTAAATTTCTCCTAGCCAGGTAGTAGACCAGCTTGACCTGGTCTACTACTAGAGCGTCAAGTTCAGTGCAGTACAATGGTAGCCAGTCTAACCCAGTCTGGTGCAGTACAGAACAGTCCAGTTGGGTTTGGACACAAAAATACAGCAGAAATAAGTCATGCCTATTCTAGTTTATAACAGTCATGTCCTCCTGACTTAAGGCCAATTCAGTGCAGCGAAGTCCAGCAGAGTTCAGTAAGGTTCAGATCAGTCCATTGTGGATGAATAAGGTTTAGGCAGGTGTAAACTGGTTATTTCTGACAGGGTCATGTGTGGAAGGTTCTTGTCAACTGTTTCTAGTCTTGGATGGTTAAATTGGCTTGACTCAGATTCACCCTGGTTTTCGGTTTTAGTTTACTACTGTAAAATCCAGTCCAGTACGAGTAAGTCTGGTAGTAAAATGCAGTGAAATCCAGTAGAGTCCCGTTCACTCCATATTGGTCTTTGAGAGTCTAAGTGAGGTCTAAGAGAGTCCAGTCTTGCACAGCACATACACAGGGTCTGGTCCATTCCAGTCTAGTGTAGCTAAGTCCTGGTATACTTAAGTTAAGCCAAGTCGAGGATAGCAGAGTCCAGTCCAATAGAGTCAGATCTAGACAAACCCAGTAGACTGTTGTCCTGTTTATTCTGGGCTGATACAGTAAAGTCCAATCAAGTCTATTCTGGTTTGGTACAGGTAAGTCTGCTTAATCAAGGTCCACTCCAGATCTTCTTGGTTTTGCAGAGTCCCGTTGAGGCTAGTGTACTGCACTAAACACAGGTTCAGAGTAGTAGAGTCAAGTATAGTCTTGTCAAGTACAGTTTGGTCCAGACAAGTCCAGTCCAGAGGAGTTTCATATGATATGGTTTGGTTGATTCCAGTTTGTTCTGGTGCACTTGAGGCATGTTGTGTCTGGCAGAGTCCAGTGCAGTCCCATCCCTGTTTGTAGAGTTCAGTCAAGCCTTGTCCTGTCAACTATACTGAAGTCCAGTCCAGAGCAGAAAAGTCCAGTAAATTCCGGTCTGCTACCTTTTGGTCTGGTATCCTGGATGGCCATCCCACTCTTCAAAAGCAGAGTCAAGTCTGGAACAGTGTTATACAGTCCACTGAAGTCATGTCCAGACCAGTGCAGTTAAGTCTAGTCCAGATCAGTTTGAGACTGTTACATCAAGTCAGGTAAAGTAGAGTCCAGTGAGGTCAATGCCGTCACATTCTGGACTTGTCTAGTTTGGTTCACTGTATTACAGTCTATTTTGGTCAAGTGTAATCTACTCTAGTTCAGCACGGTCCAGGAGAGTCTAGCCTTTTCCACTATGGTCCAGTGCAAGTAAGTCCTTTCCTGTTTATTTGTGTCTAGTTCTGTACAGCCTAGTCTGGTTAAGCACAAAAATGATCCTGAAGTCCTGTCATTTTTAACTCTTCAGTACATACTCTAGTCCAGTAAATTCTAAATTATGGGGAGGAGACGAGTAACAGGGACCCACTCTGTCTAGGCATTAGAAGTTCATTCTAGTAGAGAAGTCCAGCAAAGTTTATTCCACTCCATTCTTGTCTAGGGCAGAACAGTAGTCCTGTTTGTTTGTCAATACTGATGCCAAGTCTAGTTTAGCAGGATTTTTGCATTCTGGTGCAGCCAAGTCCTAAAAACTCGAGTCGAGCTCAAGCCTGGTACAGTAGAATCCAGGAGGTACTAGTCTGGTGGGAAGGGATCTATCTGATTTAGTACAGAAAAGTCTAGTCTTCATCATTAGGGTAAAATCTAGTCAAATATGGTCTAGTCTAGTCAGTCTAGTCTTAAACTGTTTAGTCCAGTTTAGTCAAGTCTACTCTAGTGCGGGAAAAATCTCAATTCTCCTGTCTGGATAGGTGGAGTGTAGTCCATTGCTACAGCAAAGTTCTATGTAGTCTAACAGATTCCAGCTTTGCACAACTAATTCCAGCAGGGTCCAGTCCAGGCTGGTCTAGTATATTTACGTACATTCTAGTGTTGTGGTCCATTCTGAAGGAGCAGCTTCTTTTTAAATCTAATACTCCAGTCCAGTACAGTGAAATCTAGTTTGGTCTCATTGTCTAGTAAGTTGCATTATATTCTAGTCCTGTCTAGAAATCTACTCTAGTACAGTAGATTCTAGTTTAGTGAGCCATATCTAATCGGGTAAAGTCTAATCCAGTCAGTCTTGTCCAGTAAAATCGAGAACAGATTAAATTAATCTAGTCAAGCCTAGTGCAGTAAGGAACAATCTAGTCCAGTCTATTCAAATCAAGAATAGCTACATCCAACAGAGTTCAGTCCTATTATTCTGGAGTCTAGTACATTAGATTCTAGTCTAGTGTTCCAGTCTAGCAGTGTGGATTCTTTGGGGTCTATTTGCCTAGTCTAGTACAGTATAATCTAGTTTGGACTGGTAGTCCAGTCTTGTTCAATATAATCCAGTCTAGTCTAGTGATCTGGTCTAGTATAGTAGATTCTTGTTTCATCAGACTCATCTAGACTAGTATAGTCAAATCTAGATAGAGTAGTCCAAACTTGTCCAATGCAGTCAATCCCAGCCTAGAACAGCTACGTCCAGTCTTGTACTTTGGTGGTAAGTTCAGCTGCTTCCAGTCCAGTTTAGTTCACTGTATTTTAGTCTAGTCTAATGGTCCTGTCAAGTCTAATGGTCCTGTCAAGTACAATGCATCTAAGCTCAGTCTAGAAGTTCAGTCTAGTGCAATAGATTCCAGTCCAGTCTGACAGTCTGGTCTGGCACAGTAATTTCTAGTCTAGTCTGGTACAGTAGATTCCAGTTTGGTCTGGTGGTCCAGTTTGAACAGCAAAGTTCATTTGAGTCACATCCAAGTGAGTTTGATCTCCTTCAGAGTTTAGTTTTATTATTGTTTACAGTGCGACTGCAGCAGAGAGACAGACAGTCTGAGCAGACAGACAGACAGACAGTTAGACAGGCAGCGTGGGGTCTACAGTGTCCTCAGACAGAGAGGAGGCTCAGACAGAAAGACAGGCAGGTGAACAAAGAGACAGACAGCTGTTTAAAAAGAAACAAACACTTTCAGAGTCCAGACAGACAGACAGACAGGCAGACAGACAGACAGTACAGTTACAGTTAGGAGGAGGATGGATGTAAGACAGTCAGACAGACCAGTGAACACAAGGACAGACAGCCACAGCTCCTTACCTCCTCTTTGCTCCTCTCTCTCCTCTGCTTCTCCTCCATGCAGCAGGCAGGACGGCTGGCTGGGAGAGGTTTTCTTCTTCTCCTCTGCTCAGTCAACGCATCGTCTGGTGTGTCACAGGAGGGGGGGGTGGGTGAGGAGGGGGGAGGACGGGGGAGGAAAAGGAGGAGGAGGAGGGGGGAGGCAGAGACACAGCAGACAGCCGAGGAGGAGGAGGAGGAGGGAGGAGGGAGGAAGAGGAGGAGTCATCTGAGGACAGCGAGGGAGCTAATGCGGCTAACTGCCCTGCAGAGGACGAGAGAGAGGGAGAGAGAGAGAAGGGGCGAGAGACACAGATGAGGGGTGAGGAGAGAGAAGGGTGAGCAAGCATACATTAAAGTGCTCATCTGCTATAGGGAAGAACAAACTGCAAGGTTGAAGATTAAAGACACAAAAATACACTAAATCAACACACATGTACACTGTCAAACACACACAGATACACACGAACACACTCTTAGGATTTGTGTGAGAGTGTTTGTCTCTGTGTGTGTGCGTGTGTGTGTGTGTGTGGTGAGTGAGTTTGTGTGGCATGACTTGGCCAAATGCACAGCGCTGCATTGCAGTGCCGAGGCTGAGTTGGCATGCCGAGTACATAGCGTGCATACTGCGACTGTGTGCCAGGCTGAGACACACACACACACACACTCACACACACACACATAGACGCAGCAGCAGCTTTTTGCAGCCTCAGCTCCCATCATCACAGCTCAGAGTAGTTTCTAACATGAAAGAGAGACAGTTAAACAGAGACAGACAGCTCCATATAGAGAGACAGACATACCATCCTTGTCTGCATGCCCGTCTGTCTCTCTGTAACTGTTCCCAAAGACACAGACAGGCAGACACACAGACAGGTAGAGTGTCTGTATTTAAAGTTCTCCATCCAATATTAAAGAGAGAGGGAAAAGAGTGGGAGGATGGGTGAGGATGTTGAGGCTAAATAAGGACTTATACAGTAGCTGCTGTGTGTGCTTGTGAGTGTGTGTGTTTGTGTTGTCAGTCTGCAGACCCCCATTAGCTCCACCTGGTGTCACTGTGTCATCAGATCACAAGTTCTTTTTTTTTTTTGCAGTCACACCTAATATAAAAAATGTCCTCGTTTTCTCCCAGACTGCTGCACTGAGATCAGAACTTTATATTCAAATGAATTGGGTGTGGTCTCAAAAGTGATGCCAATGCAGAAGTAACTTAAAGCTGCATTTCCTTTAAAAGGCCAGCAGAGGGGAGGAACTCCATTGTGTAAGGCATAATGGAAAAAACTGCCTACCTCTCAGTATATATAACACCTATTGTCACAATTTCTGACTTTAAGGAGGTGGTATTAAACCTTTTCATGTCTTAAACAAAATGTAAGTTAAATGTCAGATGTCTCAGTTAGATTTGTAGATTTTATGTTGAATTTTGTGATCCATGGTTAGGTATATATGGAGCTTCTAACCTATTTTTTTTTGTCTTTTCATCATCTCTAAGGTTATCGAGCTTTACAACTCCTGAGCTGAGCTGTCCTCGTCCTCTGTTGTCTCCTGAGCCTTTTTAAGTCCAGGCAGTGAATGATTGTACACCTGGGAACTTGACAGTACTAAACATGGCCATAGTCTCCGATTGTGAGGCACATGTATTGGAGTAACCCCAAGTTGAAACTGCAGGCTGCTCTGAAAGGCACATAACAAATACACAAAAGGAACATAATAGTTGCTCAAACTGTTATTCCCTGGTTGTTGAATCTCTTTAAAAAGATGAATTAGACAACACTTACCAAACACAAGCAGCATGCTCAATTCCTTGTCCTGTTCAAAATCTACCAAGCCAGTCCATCCTATTATGCTCTTGCTTCATAATTTGGCATTTAAACAGGAAAACACAGCTTTGTAGCATGGCAACAGTTGAGGGGTCTCCAAGAGTGCTAAGGGATCTTAAGTAGACGGTAACTGAAATGAAGCATTTTACACAGAGACTGAAACGCATCTTTAAAGACACTTGATAATGGTTTACTACAATAGGCATAATAAATATATTCTTCTTAAAAAGAGCAAGTGGGCTAATCATTGTGCAATAGTTTTAAGTTAGCATTATTTAACATCCCAAACATAGATATGTAAGAGCTGAGACTATATGACCCTATGTTTTGGTGGACACTTCAAAAAAAAGTAGCAAATATCAGCATGTTAGTGACACAATAACTATAGAGGCTACGTGCTACAGTGTTAACCTAGGCGGTAAATATAGCCTACCTTACAGTAAACATAGTTTCTGTGACGGTTTGAACCTTTGTCCAATAATTAATCAAAAGGTAATGCTAGCATGCTAACACGTTTTAAACACTAGCAGTTTAGCAGTGACCTCAACACAATGAGCTTTATGTTAACAACAATAACGCAGTTTTAACATGCAAGTACACACAGTAAACTTGGTAAAAGTAACCTGCTGTTAATAGTTACCATAATCACTGAGATTTAAATGCTAGCACGCTTACCTTTAACTGTTAATATCCCGAAAAACTTCGCGCCATGTTCCGGTCCTCAAACAAGTGGTAGGAAATTTAAACTTAAACTTAAATGTCGGCTAAAGAGGAACCAGTCATGTGACCACAGATAACTGTTCTTTCTCTGTTTTGTTTTCTAGGTCAGCTAACAGTGTCTTATTTCTATTCCTTTCGTATCTTCTTGTTGGTTAATTTTTTTTTCCTTAATTCTTTTTCATGAGTGACTTCCATGCTGTATGGATGATCTTTGTATTTGTCTGTCACTGTGCTTCCATTTTTTGTTTTTTCCCTTGATCTGCCAGGGACTATAGATGAAAATTAGCCATTGGCTAAATCTGGTATAGTTATATTTTATGTTCGTTAATGTGCATTGTCCCTTTTACATAAATAAATGAAATGAAAAATTAGTCCTCATTTAAAGCGACACTGTATCTCCAAAGTGCACCTCATTAGGGTAAAATTATAATATATTTTTTTCTTTAGATTTTGACTGTATTTCTGAGTATAGTTATTTACAGGCAGTCTATTTAGGGGCTGATAGAAGGGTTTTGCATTCACTTAAGAAAAACCGTTTTATTTTTATTGTTATAGTATTTTATTATTAAGATAATTATGTTCGCAATCAGAATAACATAGCAGACCGTTTTGTCTTCAGTGAATGAAACGGACGGAAGAAAAAAAAACGTGCGGTTGACCGGAATCAATTATCTCGAATTCATGAAAACATTTTATGTTTTATCTTACTTTGTATTGCCTAATTTCAGGATATTATCTTGGAATTACGTGATTTTTTTTTATTAAATATTTTTGCGATGAGGGGCAACATATCTCTGTAATTGTGAGACATTTGTATGGATGAAGTAAATTGCTATTTTATGAGTCAAGGAGCAATGTGATTAATCAATCCCGTTAAAACGGCAGAAAACAAGGTAGAACGTTATTTACAAAACAGTTATCTTGTTTTTCTGAGATAATTAATTCCTTCATTCAGAAAAAAAAAATCAGGATTTTTATCTGAAGTTGATACTGCAATTAAAAAAAGTCATTAAACTAATTTAGGTCCTGTTTTTGTTCCTTCACATATAAAGCAAATAAATAAATACAGAATGGTTTAAAAACATAACATAGACACTTAAAGTTGTCTTCCTTACTTAACTACATTTGGTTTATATTATGGACTGTATGAAAAATTAGATTTTTAATCCCAAAGATGGTTGGCATCATGTAAAAAATGCCTTTGGGTGAACCTGGACACAGACAGAGAGGTGAGGGACCGCTGTCCTGGCAAACAGCTACAAACACAACGCAGCAACTTATCTGTGCCCCTAACTATGCAAATTAATGTACAACTCTTACCCTCTCTATTATCTTAAGATGCATACTAAAATTCATTTTTCATACAGTTCGGGTTAATAAACAGCTGAAAACGTTTTTTAATGGGGTCGTAAACATGTTTACATGAGCAATGTAACATAAGCTCAGATGGAGTTTCCTATAATTTTGCAGCCATTCCTGTGTCAACACTTGCACTTCCACATTGGCTTTATTTTTCAACACCGGATGCCCCAAAAGGTCAAAGTTCAAGCTGTTACTTTCACCTCCAGCAGCCTTTTTAAAACAGCTGGCTTCAAATCTTCAGTCTGACTGCCAGCTGCGTCTTTCTTCAGTAGCTACAGGCAGCGCTTCTTATCTTGGACCAGAAACCTGCAGCAAAGATTTGTCAGAGCAAGCTGCAGCAACATGATTTATTAAGTCAGATTATTTACATCTCATTAACACAAATAATCAGAAAATAAGGGAGCTTTGAAGAGAAGAAGGAGAGTCAGCCTCTCTGAACAGTCTGTTTTCTGTTTGTTTGGTGCTGCAGTGAAGCTGCTAGACAGTCAGACGGTGTGTTCAGACACCGGCAGATGAAAAAAAAAAAAAATCAGGTTTCAGGTCTTCATCCTTAGAGACTAAACAGTTTTTAGCAGGAGGATCCTCGAGGGAGTCCACAGCAGCAGCAGCTCTGTCACCAAGAAACTAAAACCAAGAATATCCTCCTCAGAAACAAACAAACTGCCATTAAATAAATAAATAAAAACACTAAAGCGACACTGCAATTCACCAGACTGTGCACACTTGATGTCACAGGTTAAGTTCACAACCCCTTAAAAAAAAAACAACTCTTAAACTGAAAGAAAAATTAATGCTCTTCCAAAAATAACTTTTTAAGGTATAAGACAAACAAAATCAGCTAAAGGGAAAGTAATGCAAAGGAGAACATGTTATAAATCAAATGAGTGTATGGCCTTTATAACAATGATGACTCTGCACATTTAGGAAAACAATCTGATCATTAAAAGTCTATCACAGGAATTAAATATCCAAACAATAAATAGTTCCCAAGAAAAGTTACTCCTTCACACCTTCAAAAAAAAAGAAAAAAAAGAATGACTTCTTAAAATTAAAAAAACGTATATGAGAACTTTTACTCCTGGTGTTTTGAAATTGAAGTCTGAGTTTTTCTTCTTTCATTTATGCCTTTTTATAATACACAAAAGCAAACAAGACCCCCAGCAACAAGAGTGGTGATTATTATGGGTCACTTTTCAGATGCCTCAAAATTGATGTGAAGGGAGAGATGTCTGCAGGATGAGATTTTTGTTGTATGTAGAGGACAAGGAAAGCAAAAACTGCATTGTCCACAGGGAGCACCAAAGTTGACACAAACCTCACAGGGTCCTCACAGGAGCTTTAGGCTTTGAGGGCTCCAGTTGAAACTTTTCAACCATCATTGCACCTGGTTGTCATCCTTTTTGCATTTAATTATTTAAGTATTTTTTGTTTTAGGTTTTTAGATTTCTCGTTCATGTCAAAAAAGTAAATTAGCGTCCTATCTGTGGGGAACTGTTTCAGCTGAGAATTTTTTGTTTGGATATCTAACAGTTACTGCTGCAAATGAGCAACCCATTTTTTATTTTAAGTTTTCATTTGCCCTCATGCATTAAAAAATCTGGATAAAATGGTTTTGTAGTTTGGCATTAGAAGATTTTTAAACCGGATAACATGATAATGTTGAGAAAAGAGTCCCTATGATATCAAATATCAGCTTGGTTAAGGGGCAGGACTTCTAATGGTAAGGTAATGAACACACATAACAAGCTCTAAATCAAAGACCTAAAAGGCTTTCAAGTGTGTTTAAATTAAGCAATTTTTGTGTAATTTCATGAAAAAGTGTTCACAGTAATGCCTCTCGGTGTAAAAACTCAGTTTGAATGTCTTAGTTTTCTTTCTTTGTGCTTTTTAATATCACGTTAGTTTGTTTGAGCCGCTGATATTCTTGCTGTTTGACAGTAAACGATAAAAATGATGACATTGACTTAAATGACCAAAACTTCAGTAAAAATGTGTAATAATTGTTGATTTGAAATGTCAAGTCTTGATCAGTGAATTGTTGGAGTGCTGGACGATAGTAACCAGCTCTGACAGAGAAAAGTATACTACATGTCTGCAGAGCAAGCAGCTGCAGTTTCACAATCATAAATGTCAGACTGCAGCTTTAGGACCCTTATGTAGTTGTGGCAGTAATGGTTAGGGTTATGGTTCAAGTTACACACCAAAAATTATTACTTTTCACACTAAAAATACAGCTCTGGTGAACCATTGCTAACAAGTGTTTCGGAATTGCAACCTTAGAAACAGGGTCCTGAATCTGCAGCATCTGGTTCTGCAGACACATACTCCTCTCCAGTCCTGCAAACCAGGCAATGGCAGGCAATGGCAGCAGAGCTAGTGAGTGCAACAACAGTGTTCAACTCTCCTCTTACATATGTTTGGAGGTGTGTCAACTGCGAACTACAACTCCTTCATTTCTGACTGTGGATTTGAAGGGACAATTTCATTCAGCTGTATAAATATAGAATGGAAAATATCACATTTCCCCTCTGGGATAAATAAAATTCTTTTTATCTTAAAGTTCTTATCTTTAATGCACCATCTGTAGATCAAAATTTTGGGTCAACCTGCTATAGTCTCCATTAAGTAGCTGAGTGATAAGCATGATAATGTATAGTGAGAGGGTGGTTGTGCAAATCAGAACCCCAAGATGCTGCAACAAGACCTCATCATCTGGTCCTGCTCACTGTCAGAACTATACCTAGCATGACCACCTGATCACCTAAAAATTATCCTTCGCTTATTTGTGTTTGCATATACACTAAAATCCTGAACATTTGGAGATGTTTTTTCAAATGGGACTCCATGTGTAAAGAAACATTTTTCACCCAGATTTTGACCAGACATGTTCCTGTGAACCTCCTTCAGAAATTTCTGCTAGTCACACAAGTGTGAAGACAAAATTTAGGGAAATTTCCAGGCAAGCTGTCCTGAAGTTCAGGACAGCCAGCCTGGGAAAAGGCTTGAAAATCCAGTTTTGTTTCTGTGGATGTGCAGTATCAAAACTTAACATGATATCAGCTCTACATCAGTATCCATACAGTCCATGACTGAGATGATTTTTGGTCGGTTTCAAAGAGCTATCACACACTTTTACAAACCTAAACTCTCATGTATGGTCTATCCAAACAGCTCTTTCAACGCAACAACACAACACCAGAGGGCGCTAAATACACGCCCACACTGACTCATTAAAAATTCTGCTGATCAATCAATGAGTCAGCCTCTGCAGCCACCATCAGGACGGCTCCATGATTCACAGTTAGAAAAACACACACTCATGTGCATACAAATCAAACTTACACACCAGTGTTTGTGTAAAAGGGGGCGGGGCCTGAGAGAACAGGTGTGTCACCTGTCGGAAGGTTAAACACATGGCACAAAGTGAACACAGAGAAACCAGTCCGGTCCAGTTCAGTTCTGGGTCTGGCAGGTTCAGTTCAGGTCTGAAAACACACTGGGTCACTTGATCAAATCCAGGGTTTGAAACATAAAATAAAATAAATTAATCCAGACCTAAAAATACAGTCCAGGTTTAAAACAGGTTCTTTACAATGGGAAAATCTAGACCTGGTTCCATTTCTGTGCCTCCTAAATCCTTGGAAGGCTGTCTCTGATTTGGGTGGACTGGTCCTTTACACCCACTGAACAACACCAGCCTGGTTCTTTTTAAACTGGTCTGACCTGGTCTGGTTCTAGTCAGACGTGCAGGCGGGAGTATCTGAGTTTCCACCTCCTGGATCGAACTTTGAAGAAGAAGAAGAGGAGCATGAGGAAGAGGCAGGAGCAGACGTACAGGACCACACAAAGACTCATGTCCACACTATTAAAACCCAGACCCAGAATCCAAACACCTCCTCCACCTGCACCTCCTGCTCCTCCCTCTTTCCTGACTTTTACCCCCAGGTCCAGAGCCTCCCCCCTCCCATCCCCCCTCAAAGCCTTATCCACAGGTTGAGGCATCTCCTTTTGCTTCTCCTCAGCTTTCCTCTGCGGCTCCTTCTTTTCTTCTCCTTCTTCTCCTCTGTGCTCCTCCTCAGGCTGGCTGGTCTGTTTGACAGCAACAGGGTCAGGGTTCGGAGGAGGTGCAGGGAGTCTAGGGGGAGTCACAGAGTATTTGGGGGAAAGGTTGGCGGCTCCATAGTGCTGACGTAGGAAGAGAAGGACGTTTTCTTGGTTCCAGACGTGGACACCGTTTTTCTCCTCATGGCAAGAGGAGCAGAGGGAGGGGCTCGGCCATGGAGCTTTGGGGAACAGGGGGTCATCACTCAGAGAGCCTGGAGGGAAAGAAGAGAAGGGTACTCTGATTAATATAAAAGATCAGAATAAATAACCTGTCAGAGTCTTTGTCATTAGGAGTGTAACCATACACTGAACCCATCATGATTCGAAACGATACGATACGATGAAATGCGATATGATATGATACATGATGTGGGGTTTACTCCGTTTTTTGTCACAAATTTCAAGGGAGTTGGTAAAAGTCAGATTATGTTTTGACATGATTCTTTAAATCTTTTTTTAGACTCAAATGACAATGAAGAATTCCTAATTTCTTTAATTCAAGGCTATGCACCCACTGGAATAGATCCACGTCTTTGTCCAAATGAATTAACCCTAAAACTATCCTCAAAAATCATATCTACATTTTGTATAAATTAAACTTAAAAAATATCAGTTACAAAACATTGTAAATAAAATAAAATAAAGGCATGGGTTTACTGAGGGACATCTTATTAACTAAACAAGGTAGCAGCCTGTGTTCCTGGCTTGATATTCTGATATAGTTGCAAGATCTGATTGGTTGGTTGCAGTATGAGTGGTCTGCTATTTCTCTACAGCAGGCTGTTGCTGTGACAATCAGCCCTAATCACAGACTCTTGATCACATTGATGCACAGAAGAGTTTGACGACTGTGACGAGCTTAACATTTGAGTGCATGTGTTCATGTGTAAACATACCAGCCAGTCTGTTGTTGACCCTGTTGTGTTGGTTCCACAGCCACAGGATCTGCTCCTCTTTGTTATTCACTTTGTCCATACTCTCTTCTGCCGCCTCCTCGAAGTGTCTCCCACACTCTTTGCAGCCGAAGAACGTCCGGATGTACCGACGCATCACCTGCAGCACCGGCGCTGCCTCATGCTGCAGACCTGCAAACAAGTACCGGGGAGTGAGACAGTCATGTGACAGATAGACCTCTATGATAGGTGTGTGTGTGTGGGTTTGTACCTGTGTAATCCAGCGCAGTGGGCATGGTGTCGTGTTGGACGGTGAGGACGTGGAACAGAGTCCAGAGGGAACATGGGTAACCTCGCAGACCTGGTCTGCTGCCCTGGCAACCAACCCAGCGAAGCTCTGACCCTAGAAACACTCCTGAGATCTGAGGCAGAAAACGACAAGTCAGCTGCTGCTTGGTGTGTGATTTCAGTGCATTTTGTGTGTGTGTGTGTGTGTGTGTGTGTGTGTGTGTGTGTGTGTGTGTGTGTGTGTGTATCTCACCCTCATCTTGTTGTCCACCAGGTCCAGGACAGCCTGATAAGGGATTCGCTGCAGCGGCATACTAAGCAGCCAATCAGACAGAGTCTCCATTAGCTTTACCACAGAACCTCCACCTGGATACAGCTGCACAGGTAAAGAGGAAAACAGACATGTCAGCTTCAGGTTCATGGTGTCAGTTTTTCCAGCCCTAGGAGGGCAAATGCAGATATGATGCTGATTATTTCAAAACACCATTTATCAGCCAACTGATACACTGGGCTACCATAATTGTTACCTTTGCAACCACAGTCACAAAATCTTTGAATATCTTTAGCTCCTCCCCCTCCAGGGAATTATGGGTAGCCAGCTCGACTCTCAGCAGGTAATGGAGGGCTGACTCCAGATCAGCTGTGTACACCTTCGACCTGCAGAGAAACACAAACAGGTTTACTGAGGTTTCAAAGACAATCTGGGCCGGGCAGAGCCGAGCTGATCTGACCGAGTCTCTGACCTGTCGAAGTCTCTCCACGGATCGCCGATCATTTTGTCAGACAGCACCCCCATCTGGCCTCCGTTGGAAATGCTGCTGCTACTGATACTCGACTTCAACTTGCGCTGAACTCCAGGTAATGTCCTCAACAGAGAGGAGAAGAAGAAACGCAACCGCTTCTCACTGAAGGAGGAGGAGAAGAAGAGGAGAAGGAGGGGAAGTACAAAAAGGGTGAGGAAGAAGGGGTGGAGGAGGAAGACGTACAAAGGACAAATTATAGAAGAAAATAAAAGGTAAAGGAGGAAGAAAAGGGATAAAAAGGAGGAGTGGAAGAAGGAGGTGGTGTGTGAAAGAAAAGAAGAAGAATGAGGAAGAGGGGGGAAGAGAAGAATATTGACAGGGGTACCAAGACAGTTTATTAAAAAAAGAAGAAGATGGAAAAGTAGGGAGAAACATTCAGAAGAGGGGGAAAAGAAAGGGACAAAAAGAAGGGAGGAAGAGAAGGAGACGACATACACTGTTTACCATAAAAATCTGAGTTCATTAAATATAAGAACTTCAACTCTGCAAACAAATGTAATCTCTTTAAAACTGATTTATTGACTCAGCAAACAGCAGCTTCTGTCTCAACATTTACTCTTTTTAACTTGGAGCGACTCACTTTCACCTGAGGAGACCAAATTATGTGTGCGTGTGTGTGTGTGCGTGTGTCAGTGTTAACACATTTAGTCATTTTTGCCCTTTTAGTTTTGTTCAATAAAAAGTCAAAGTGTTTTAAATTTGTATCAAGGTTGTACCAAGTAGTAGACAGGAAAATATTTGGCCTTTCAAGGGACTGAATCAACAGATTTCTGTCCAGCTATCAGCAGTTATTTAAATAGAAAAACACACACAAGTTTAAAATAGAGCACTTATTCCATGACCTACAGTCTAATAATCATGAAAATAAATTTAAAGCCATGGCTGACATTTCTGTCAGAAGTGACACTGAACTAGATTATTCTGAACATCATGACAGAACTTAGATTTGACTCAAGACAGTGACCGTTTTAGATTGAAGGTGCTGCATTTAGGATGGGACAAACCTGTTCTCTTTTAGAGAGGATGATGGTAACATCCACTTTGTAAATGCTGATGCTGGTGTCATGGAAAAAGTATTACAACTGGAGTTTCAATGTCTGGCAGTCCTCCTACAACTGTTTTAACTCATCATCAAAACAAAACAAATACTTGTCTGAGTTTTTCTGTATGTTTGAGTGATATGACATATGCTCACTTACACATGCAGGATTGTGTGTGTCCCGTTTGGGTGCAGCAGATAGACAGAGGGGAAGGTGGAGATCTTGAGAGCATCCAGCAGGGGGAGGTCTGAGCTCAAAGCTCTCTTTACCTCCACACCTGAGAACTGCAGCAGGTCCAGGATCACCTGAGAGACAGACAGACAGTTGAACCTTTAAGCTTGGGTGTTTTTAGGGCCAATATTGGTATTCTTATAGAGACGTTTTCTGACTGAAATTTACTGATGCCTTTTCATGATACTAATAGCAAAGAGGACCCTCAGGAGTAGGTGTGAGGAGAGACCAAAGGGACCAGAGTCAGCAGGATGATATTTTCTGTCAAAAATCACAACTTGAGCATGTAGAGAACAGTCGGTGTAACTATGATCACAGTATGGCTTTGCTTTATAGCTTGTGTTTTTGATCTCTGATTGTTGCTCATATAACTACAAAAAACTGCCAGTCATAGCAGCCTTTAGCTCGTCCAGTAAGCTGCCTGTGTGGCTGACTTTGACCAGTTTTGTAGGTTTTAATATCAGGATAGTGTCAGTGTTTATCTAGACCCTGAAGTGATTATAGAAAAGCAAATATCTGGATCAACGTTATAACATGAAATCGAATCCTGAAATTTAGTGATAGTGTTTTTTCAGAAGGATTTATTTAACTTTGGTTAAAAATATGCCATTTAAAACACCTGGAAAAGACCCTTCAATTTCTTTGGATTTTGCACCCCCCTGTGGACAAAGTATGAAGTCTCATTTTTAATAGGATCTTTCCCGTCTGTATTAAACCTTAAGAACAACCAGACCGTGGTTTTAAGCTGAGCACCATGTTCTTTGCACACTTTTAAATTTTATAATAAAGGGTGGGTACTGATGCCACTCTGCAGGAACTATACTAAAGACACTGGAGCATCTGCAACACTACACATGTGTTCAATTTAAATTGAGAAAACTGCCTCTGAACAGCCTGGATTTGTACATCACATCAGATATTATTCAATCCTCCTGCAGATGAAACTAGCTTTAAAACTAACTAAGGCTCAGCAGTTGTGATGTGCATGGTCCAAGTCAAATAAACTAATTAAATAAACTAAACATCTACGAGGACATGCCCTACAAGGCACTGGGTGTCAAAACATCCTGTAGCAAGGCTGCTGTTAGTTGGACAAGCAAAGAAAACTGGAGTGAGACTGACAAACAGTTGCTTAATTTGAAGCCATTTGGACTCCTCAAAGATCTAAGTGATCCTTAAGACACCCACCTGGCCCTAAAATCCTGACATTACTATATAACTTTAAGACGATAGATTTCCCATCTAAAATCTGTGTGTGTGTTTATTTTTCACCCTCCATACCCATTTACCTACCTCCCGACCAACGTAGGAGTCTGGCTCCTCGATGATGATGGCTGTGTAATGATCTGACCTTTGACCTAAGAGAGACAGCAGCTCCACAGAGCTACAAATAGACAAACATATAAATCAGCTCCTCACAAAAAAAAAAAAACCTAGACAATTATTCTGTCGGGGTCTGGGTGGTTCTGGTTCTGGTACCTGTACGGCCTCAGAGGAGGACAGTGATCGGGCCAGTTCAGCTTGGTGTGATTCTGGAGGATGTTTACCATCAGCTGCCTCACTGACTGGATCTCTCTGTCTGCACCTGGAGGGACAAGAGGCAGAGAGACAGGTGAACTGCTAAGGAGTGAATGACAAATATCTCCTTCTTCTTTTGCAGTCATCCCTGTGCCATTGTTAAACAGCTCATATTAAAGACAGGTGTGGTTTGATATTTTAAAACCATTTTTCAGAGTAAGACAGGTTGGTTGAGGTAGGATGGTACGAAACAGGTATTGTGACACAGGTGTTGTTTGAGAGTGCCGGTGTACACAGTAACTGAAAGGCAGGTGGTGAGTCTCACCTCTGTAAATGGTCCCTCTGTTTGTCTCTGGACTGTGAGCGTGAAAGTACTGCAGACAGATGGAGAAAGTTATTCGGTTTATACTGTGAAGATGTAATAAAGCAACAGATACTCTGTGGAAGAACTAACTCAGTAATGTCACATACTTTGAATGTTGGGTAGAACTTGATGCCGTACTCTTTACACACATCAAAGTTTTCCTCCTGAGCGCAGTCCAACACTGCCACGCTGATCGCCTGCTGCCAGTCTGAGAAAGAGAGAGAGAAAGAGAGACAGAGAGAGAGTGAGAGAGAAAGAGAGAGAGAGGGAGGGATGGAGGGAGGGAGGAAGGGAAGGGAGGTTACAGGGTTTTACAGCAGAGGAGCATCTTTGGTTTCAACAGGTATTACAGCAATCCAATCCTAGAGGCTCAAAAACAAGAACACAGCAGCTTCCAGTCTGAGGAAGAAACAGGAAAAGCTAAAACAGCCTCATCCTGATTTTCTTTTCTTCTTTGCATCTAAACCTTGTTAATTTCACATTTTGATTCACACTCTGTTTTGTTACCCTCACACAAATATTTAAATGGTGCTGTGTTTTTTTTTAATGTTGTGTTGATTCTGGAGACTTCTGGAGTATTGCCTGCCTTTTTAAACCTCTGTTCTTTGTTTTTAATGATGTCAAACAGTCCGAGACTGAGTAAACTCAAAGTCTGAACCATGTCATGTTCTTGTTTAAAGTCAGCTGTACTTAGTATAAGTCAACCAAATCGTATACACAGATTACATCTGTTCACAAAGTTACTTTGGCTTCAATAATGCACTATTATCTTTGTCTTTTGTTGAGATGTGCTCTCACTTCGTTCTTTGTTTCTAGACGTTATGATTCCTTTTGTCATTATCTTGTCAATCTTGACGTCATGTCACATGACCCTAATCAGCAAATTGGTCACAAGTATGCTGTCTCTAATTAAAACAGCTGAGCGTGCGTGTGGTGGCTCACTCAGCAAGAAAACACTTGTGTGTTATGTGTGTTTTTACGTTAAACGTTGAGCAGAAAAACCCATTCTGCTAACATCTTTGAGGAGAAAAGCTCCTCATGTTGCCTTTACTCTGACAGCACTATAGATATATGGCTGTATTAGATTGTTTTTGTTGTATCAGTGTGTTTTCTGCTTAATGTTGCTTCTCGGGGAGGAGGAGCTTATTCAGAATAATTAATAAACTTCCCGAGTAAGCTCCACCTCCCTTAAAATTCCATTATTGTTGATGTTTTTTACGTTTGTTACTTCAGTGTTTACCTCTGAAAGCAAAAGTGTGTGTCTGTAGTTGTGTCTATGTGTGCATTGTTTCCCAGCTGTCTGTCTCTCAAGGGGGCAGCGGGGTCTTTTTGTCTCAGATGTCCTTTGACTCCGACAGCAGGTCCTTACAAAGAAAGTGTGTGTGTGCGCATGTGTGTGTGAGTGTGTGTGTGCATGTGTGTGTGTGTTACAGAGGCAGCTGGTCTCAGTGGAGTGATTCCCCTGAGAGTTCTGGGGCAGATGGAGACTAAACCCAGCAGACTGGTTCCCACAGGTTATGTGTGTGTTGTGTGTGTATGTGTGTGTGTGTGTGTGTGTGTGTATGTGTGCACGTGTCTGTGCAGGTTTTTGCACAAGTTGGAAATACAAACAAATGAAGTGAATTTTCTTCAGATGCTGCAGATGAGAAAACCAGATCGCTCCGTCCCGACTGTAATCACAAGCTTATCATGTTCTTACATAAATAATTTAATGCTGCAGCTGTTAGCAGCTTCAGTTTTCTCAGTAAAAAGTCTACTTTTAAATCAACTTTTAGTTTTTTTGTTTGTCTGTTTCAAGCTTGTGATAGTATGAAAAAAGAAAACAATCACTGGATTGACTGATAATGATGGAAATAGAGCCTTGATGATGTGTTATATACTTTTAAACTTCACTCACACTATTTGTGGGATAGAATTTGGAAATTCACCAAAATATTGCTGAGCAACTCTGTGAATTTTTGAACTGAAATGTAGCTAAACCTATTTTAAGTTCATATGACCAGATGAGGACATGACTTTTGCTACTGTCTTAAAGCTCCTGTGAGAAACATTTGGCTGTGTTACATTTGGCACCCCCTGTAGACAAAGCAGTACCTCTAATCTCTGTACAGACTGAGACCTGCACTTGTGTAAGCTATGTTCTCTGGCCAACACAAATACATCACTCATCAGACATCACTACCATGAAAAGTGTACAAATCTAGAGCTGTTTGCCTGTTGTTGTGTTAAATAAAATCAGTCCTACCGGCTACAACCTTCTCACAGGGGCTTTAACATCAGATATTCCACATTATTTTACATACTCAAGCAATAAAAGTGAGAAAAGTGAGAGGAATATCACATGTAGAGCACCTGAAGCAATCTGCTATTTGTATTCTGTGATATGTTAGCCCTGTATGTTAGCCCTGTGATAGGCTGGCAGTCTGTTGAAGGTTTACCTTGCCTCTCATCCAATAACAGAAGGGATGTGTTGTCATCTTATTGTTATTTTCAATCACCTGCTGGGTATCATGTATTACTTCCTTTACTGCCTGATGGCATAAACCCAAATTTTGTTTTACTTCCTTGAATTGTTTCCTCTTTAGATGACATGTCAGCTTCTCTGATTGCTGAAACATCAGCCTATGTTTAAGATGCCTCCTCACCCGCTTCTTCTGTTTGTCTGACAACTGTTGTTTAATTACCTTTAATGTTGCACAAAGTTTTAACTGTCATCAGGATCGAAAATTAAACATTTAAATGCTCTCTCAGCCTTTGCACGTCAGCCTGACAAATCAAGACCTATCACACCCTTACGTGGTTAAAAAGCTGTCACATGGTGTAGATTTCTGAATCTTACACAAGCTCGGAAATGAACCAACTGTGTCCAAGATCAATACAAACTGTGTGAAAAAAAAATCTATTTCAATTAAAAGTCTCCCTAAGTCATTACTGGGCTCACTAACAAGCCTGTTGTTTGCAGTTACATCGCATCATTTCTGTTAGCACCACTACCTGTTAGCTCCACAGAGCTAATCAGAGCTAATATCCTCTAAGCAGCTCAAACGGATGCTGGTGGTTCAAAGGAAACTTGTAGTTTAAGCTTCTTTTCCCCCTCCATGAAAGATTATTCCACTCGGTAAGTCAAATAATACATGCCTCCTATATTCTCGCCACCATTCAGTGACAAATCTGGGTAACTTAAACCTTAAATTCCGTTATTATTGCGGAAACAGGTTTTCGGCTAGTCTTGTACGGCTGCACTCAGAACTTGATTAGAAAAACAGCGACTTTACAGTGGCTCTCAAACAGCTCCATAATGGCGAGTTACGTGACGCTGAACTGAGAGTTTGTTACAATACAATGTGTATTTTTAGCTTGTATCAATGCCGAACCGAAGAGGGAGATAACAACCAGAAAACACGGCAAGTGATACTTGAGCACCCATCTCTGTATAGTGATACAACAGGAATGTAATACACAGCAGCGGTTTGAATGGAGTTTGGTGCTGCTGTTCATGTACGGGAACAAAACGAAGCATGGCTGGGGTACCTTTGACGTCCTGGGCCAGAGCCTTCCAGGTGCTGGAGTACTGGATGCAGTGTCCACACCAGGAGGAGAAGAACTGGACCAGCCATGCCGAGGATGAGTTACTGACCGTGGGTTTCAGGCTGCTGCTGCCAAGGATCACCAGCGGGTCTTGCTCCGTGTACAGCCGGGCTGCGGTTCCATGACACCCGGGGAGGAGACAGAGGACGACAACCGCTTTGAACCAGAAACTGGGCATCCCTGCCGTCCAGGAGAATGACACGCTGAGGACAGAGTGTCAGAGATCTGGAGAGCTCCTACCGAAAACAAGCAGATGGATCGGGGGAGACATGAGAGCAGCTGCTCTGCTAACAGCTACGTGTGTTTACAGCAGAGATCCACAGGATAAACAGATGTCTCACTCTGCAGATGTTTCCGTTAAAAGTAATCAGAAAGGGTTAATACAGTTTATGGGTTCAACACAACACCGCAGTTCCCAAACAAAAGTACATTTGAAAACAAAGTTTGTCAATGAAAGTAACAGAGATTTTAAAAGAACGAATGAACACGTTAAATCGTAGAACATTTTCCTGAACTGTTTGAGTTGCTATGGTAACAGCCCGACTGTCTCCTCGAGTACAGCTAAAATTATTAAACTCTCAGTGAGTTTTTTGTTCAATAGACGATCTCTGCGAATCTGAGCTTGACGCGTTGACTGACGTAAAAACCGTGCTGCTTTCGCTGCCCATAAAAATCGGATGCCTAAAAGTCAGCGACAAGAAGCAAAAAGGGCCTGTTCGAAGAACACTGGGGTGATCTGAACATATTCAGTGTTGAAAGTCACTGTTTAAACTTAAACTGTCTTCAAATGTAAGGCATACATTGAGACCATAAAAGTGTAAAGACACTTCATATTTAGATCTGTTCAAGAGGAATACCTTTTTCCAACGTAGTCCTGAATGCAACTCCGTTGTCTACTGCCTCCTGTGGACCGGCTGTGTAAGTATTTAGAAAGTGCTGATTTACCTATCCGAGAACTTTATCCTTTTTTTATTTTTATTTTTACTATGTACGAAAACAAAACAGCCTTAATGTAGAGGAAATCAAAAATTAATCAAAAATATCTCGTTGGACTATTTTTTCCCCTCTGACAGTTAAACGCTTACGGTTAGCGTTCTGTCTCCACAGCAACGGATCAGCCCGACGCCAAAGGACACTGAAACAGGTCATTATCGGTAATTTAACGACTTATTTTCCCTTTTAATGAGCAGTAAACTGTGTATTTATATGTAACTCGGTGGTTTTACCAGTACTGAGCATATGTATCTGCTGATGTAACACAGGAGAAGGTTTGGATATGAATTTTGCTTTAAAATGCCGCCTTTTATTTAACGTTTCATTGGTTGATGTTCATTTTAACAGCATTAATCACAAAGAACTAAATTACAGCTTGTTTGAAGAAACTTTATGGCCGTTAAATTTACACTATGTTAAAAAACGGTTAATTTAGATTATTTGGGCCCAAGAGCTTACTTATACACTCTAAAACACGGGTCTTATTCCACTTTTGGCCTGAATTTTGCTGTTAAATTAAGTACTTTACCGTTTCTTTTTACATCAAACACAGTGTTGATAAATTTACATAGTTTATTAATTGTAACCCTCAATTCTACCTGTTTTAAGAGCTCTGGTTGCAACATTGTGATATAAATCTTTTGAATTAATCTGTTGGATGTGCAACTGATATTTTTTAAGCAGCTAACGCTTAAAATGGTCTCACAGCATTGAGTTCCTAAGCTTTTACCATCAGAAAAGAGCAGATTTTGTATTTGAAAAATGCATTCTTTGTTGATACATTTCATATCATAATGAAATGTATACATTATTTAAATCCCAGTAGCTTCAATAAATACACTTACATGCTGAAAGACACCTATAACTTTTTAAAACAGCCCTATCTCTCACAAACCAACAGGAGGTCAGAGGTCAGCTCAGATAGTTGTTCTTCAGATGGTGCAAATTAAAGTCTATGTGAGAAACTTGGTTTGTGTCAACTTTGGTGCCACCCATAAATATTCTTTGCTTATCCTATCCTCTACATGTAAAAGTAAGGCCTCCTAAAAGTCTCATTCTGTTGACTAAAACATACCATTCAGATGATTACCTGGTGTGTAAAAATATAAGAATTTTTCTACAGCAGCTCCTCTTACTCCTACCTCCTAGTGCCAGTTTCAGGTATTAGAAAATATAATACAGAAATCGCCAGTCTTGTTGCTGATGGCCTTGTTTGCTTTTGTATGCCATAAAAAGGCATCAATAAGAATTTCAGTTTGTCTCATAAATGCCAAAATCTCCACTGGAGCTTTTAGTAAAGGTTGTCTTCCTCTTTTGGGCCCTGTCCTGTCAGAAAACTGTCTCTCTGCTCTTCATCAGCTGATGTTATGATTGCTCACAGAAGAAGCATGTCTTCACCAAGACTTGGTGTGGTCAGAGACTCCATGCTGATCAATCCACGGCTCATACAGGTAAAGCACATACTCATATATCATCATTAAAAAACCGTTTGGTTATAGTTATAGTTTACACTGAGCTTAACTGAAAGGCTTTATTGTGAAAGAGCTGGTGGTCTTTTCCTCTGAAGGACAGGTAGTTGTCATTCTTTTAAGTCAGTGTCATATAAACCTTGACTTAAGACCGAGAATTGTCTAAGGATGAAGCATGAAGTCTTCTGCTGAATGTAAGATTACCTCATGTACACTAGATGGCAGCACAGCTTTGAATGAGAAAACTGCAGCAGGTCTAATTAATTTGCTGAGGGGCCTCGGAGCAAACGAGGATCTGCAGGGCACTAAGTGACCTCCTTCTCCACACACACTTACAATCCAGTATTTCCTTCCCTGTTTTCTGTGGGTGGGGGATTTTCCTGCAGCTCAAGCTTTGCTTTCTGAACATTGAGGAGTAAACACCACATGAACCCTCCTGTAGCTGTACTGATGAAATGTTTGTATGGTAATCCTCTTCAGGTCAGAGCCTACAAAGACAGATCTTTTAGAGGGTTTTCTTTCTTCCACACAGCAGCTTGTGTCACTTTACTCCTTTTAAAACCAGCTGATGAAAATAAAATGCGCTGTTTAGCAAATACAATGATGTTCTCTTTCCTGTGTGCAGGCGCCTCTGGGTAAGTCCATGTCCAGAGGTCTGTCACTTCCCGGTCCGGACTTCACGTATGGAACCACAAGCAGCTCGATTAGAGGTGGAGGCATGGCTGAGGGTAAGCCCCGTCCATTCTCGAGTTATCTGAAATGCATACTAAATACACTAGAAGCATAAAAAGTTAATGAAGGTATTAATCTGAACATGTCACATAAAGAACTTAAATACTGGCAATATAGTTGCGAAGAGATACTACAGAAACCTGTTGACATTCACAGATTTGAATGATAACAGAGTAAATTTGCCTAAGACATATTGTAAATTCCCATATATGTAATATATATAAAAGGACGTTCAACATCAAGTTTGCGTTTGTAGTTCTGACAAACTGACACCAGAGGAGGAGGAGACAGAGATTCAGCAAACTGACAAATTCAGCAAAGTCCTTTCCTTTTAATGATGCTACTGTCTGAGAATTACGCGCTGAATGGTAAATCTACCTGCGCTTGGCAAGGAGGGGGTGTTCAGTTTGGACCCGATTAGACATATTAGCACTCTGTTAGCTGTTGAAATAGGGAAGACAAAACAGGAGGATTTTCGAGTGAGTGTGTGTGTATGTGAGGTTCAGCAGCGGTCATCTGTCACAGTGTGTTTGCATGAAATAAACATGCCTTCGGGCAACAAATCACTGCTGTCACTCTCTGACTCTCTCTCTCTCTCTCTCTCTCACACACACACACACACACACACACACACACACACACACACACACACACACACACACACACACACACACACAGCTGTAGTCAGTTCCAGCTTTGTGAGGACATTTATAGTCTCTGTTTTTCTTGTTTTGTGAAGTGTTTCTCTCTGATGAGCTGCTCCGCTGTGAAGCGCTCAGACTCTCTGATGGTCTGAGATCAGGTCTTTAGTTTTTATGATCCTTAAATCTGAGACAAACTGCCAATTTGTACCCAAGTTATTTTAATCAGAGCTTCACTTTTGTCTGGATTTTAACAGGGATAGTCTTAACAGATTTATTCTTGTTTGTCCCTACACCGTGATTTTATTCAGCTGTTGACTCTTTATTATGATCGTTGTTTTGTTTTTCTTCTGTCTTTTAAACTTGATTGCATTTCTGACTTTAACCTGCCTGGATCCTTAATTATTTCTGCTAATGGTCTACATTGTTACTTTGTGTTTCTTTAACAAACTTTCGGTCAGTTCTTGATGTACAGTATTTGTGACTCGTTCGACTCTCATGTAAGCGCTAAATGTTGCACCAAATTAACACCAATGGTTTTGGGTGTTAAAAATAACTGCAGAGGCATAATGGCTTTTAATGGTTTTGATCTAGTTCATTATTTTAGGTCATAAAGAGACAAAAATATTAATTTCAGTGTTTTGAACAACCCGTTAAAAACTCCCTACAGGAGCTTCAAGAGGAAACAATAAACTGTAAAAACATTTAGGACAGTTAAACGAATTTTAACATATTAACTGTATTGAACCTTTCCATATCAACTTATCTTAAACAAACTTTAATCCAGGAATAATACTTTTAGAGAAAAAGAAGAACTTTATTTAGCCCCGAAGGAAAATTCAATTTTCTGTTGTCTCACATCATATGTCTCTAAAAGTTATCTAATATTTACATAAGAGTTATAAAGCCTGATGGCTGTTGCTACAAAAGATCCTCTGAATCTTTCTGTCCTGCAGCGAAGAGAGAGGAGCCGTCCACCACCATTGGCCCTTTGGTCCATCAAGGTGTTGTAAAGTGGGTGACCCATGTTCTTTAGAATAGACTCCACCTTCCTCAGTGTAGATCTCTCCACCACATCATCCACTGAGTCCAGCTTGAGTCCAACCACAGAGCCAGCCTTTTTCCACCAGTTTATTCAGACGTCTTGCATCTTTGTGTTTGATGTTTCCTCCCCAGCAGACTGCAGCGTAGAACAGAACACTTGCCACCACATCTGCAGCATCTTACTACAGATGTCTATTGATCGGAGTCTTCTCAGGCAAAAGAGGCGGCTCTGCCCCTTTCTGTAGATGAAGTCAGTTTCAGCTTCTTGTTCATTTCTGATACATGCCACAATAGCGGTGTCATTTGAGTATATCTGGATGTGGCAGGACTCAGTGCTGTATTTGAAGTCTGACGTATACATTGTGAACAGGAATGGCGCCAGCACTGTCCCTTGTGGAGCCCCTGTACAGCTCATTAATGTCCCAGGACCACAGCTTGTCTGTGTTCTTTGTATGCAAACTGCAGGGAATCCAGTTTGTCTTTGACCTCAAGACTCAGAGGGCATAGAATCAGCCGCTCCAGGGTTTTCATGACGTGTGAAGTGAGGGCCACTGGTCTGTAGTCATTGAGTTCAGCAGGACATTTTATTTTTGGTACTGGCACAATGCAGGATGTTTTCCACAGAGTAGGTACTCGCCCCAGCGGTAGACTTAGGTTGAAGATCCTGTGGAGAGGTTGACACAGTTCTGCAGCACAGTCTCTAAGCAGCCTTGTAAATACACCATCTGGACCACCTGCCTTTCCAGGGCAAAGTCTTCCAAGCTCCATTCTCACCCTTGTTTCGGTGACAGACAAGGATTGGTGCTCTAGGAGGGAGGTAGTTGAAGTGGTTGAGACATTTGAACAAGATGGAGGAGGAAGGGGAGATGTTGTAGTGGAGATTTGTTGCGGAGAGGAAGGTGGAGTGCAGTGGAAGTGGGTGTGACAGCAATGTCAAATCTGTTGAAGAACAGGTTGAGTTCATCAGCTCTTTTCACATCACCCACCACTGGCTGTCTTTTCTTTTGACTGCTGTGTCCAGAGATGGTACTGATTCCTCTCCACACTTCAAGGATGTTGCTGTGTTGTAGATTCTTCTCTATCTTCTTTTTGTACTCCAGCTTTGCCATCTTCAGTCTCCTCTTCAACTCTTGTTGCACTTGTTTGAGTCATTCTTTGTCACCATCTTTAAAAGCTTTCTTTTTCTGGTTAAGGATTGCTTTTATGTAACTTGTGATCCAGGGTTTATTGTTGAGGAAACAACGAACAGTTTTTGTGGGTATAACTGTGTCTCTACAGAAGTTGACATATTTAGTAAAGCGGTCAACCTGTCTGTCAATGTTCATACTATCCACATCTGTTTCTAGCAGCACATTCCAGTCTGTTGATTTAAAACAGTCCCTTAGAGCTTCACTGGCTTGAGGTGTCCATCTTCTAATTTTGACTTTGGTCACAGTCTGCCTCAGCACACAAGGTCTGTAGACCAAGTTTAATCTGACTTGCCCAATGGTGGTAAGTCAGTGGCTCTGTAGACTTCTTTGAAGTTGGCATACATCAGATCCAGGGTTTTGTTTTCTCTGGTAGGACAGTTAACAAACTGTGTGAATCCAGTTAAGTGAGAGGAGAGGGTGATATGGTTGAAGTCTCCCGATATTATTATTAGTGCCTCAGGGTGTTGAGTCTGTAGCCTGGCTACACGATTATGCAAAACATCGCATGGAATTTCTGCAGTTGATTTGGGTGTGATGTAAACAACTATTGTTATGATATGACTGAATTCTCTTGGAACACAGTATTGCCGAAGAGCAACAGCCAACAGTTCAATATCTGGACAACACGACTTCTCCTTGACAGTTATGTGTGAAGGGTTACACCATCTCTGGTTGACAAATAAAGCCAGACCTCCTCCTTTCTTCTTGCCACAAGCTTGAGCATCTCTGTCTGACCTTATGAGAGTGAAGCCAGTTAGATCCACACTGGAGTCCGAGTTGTTTTGATTCAACCAGTTTTCAGTAAAACACAGGAGACTGCACTCACAGTATGCTTTCTCAGTCTTCACCAATATCTCCATCTCATTGCTTTTGTTGGGCAGAGAGTTGATGTTTCCCATGACGATTGATGGAAGAAAGGGTTTATATCGCCACCGCCTAGCATTCAGCTTTGCCTTCACCTTTGCACCAGCACGGCAACCATGATAATACCTCCTGATGTCCTCTGAAATTGTATGTTGTTGTCCAGATTTGCTTTTCCCAATGAAAGGATCTCTTCTCTTGAGTAAACTCTTTGCCCAGCAGAAGTATCCATCAGCAGCCAACAAAATGACAACAAAAATGTGAAAAAAATCTAGCAAAAATTACAGATAATACAGAGAGACCAGACTTGCAGCAACCTCTCATTTGAATGAAAGGGTCAGGTGAACCTACAGTCTCTTAAGTTGGTGCAGTAATGCCTGCTGGGAGTTGCAGTCTTTGTACTTTGTACCTTTGTTTTGTCAGTTCTATCCAGCTGGAAGGTCCAGCCCAGCCGAGAAGACTCTGCTCCCCATCGGACCCTTGTCCCTCACTTTGTGTCTCTGAATCGCGATGCAGTAAAATCTGGTGTGGTAACATCCAAAGAGCTGAGTCAGTACAGGGCTCAGAGGGCTGAGGCCATGAGCCAAAGCCACGCCCCCAGGAAGAAAGACACCCTGGCTTCACGGCGCCTGGTTGTGCCTGACATCACATTTGGAGTCCCAAACAGGTCAGAGAGTTATCCACAGGGCTGATCATTGATTTCTGATTGAGTAATGATAACAGGATCTATCCCTCAGGCCATCGACTCCTCTGGAGGACCTCCTGTCTCATCAGTACGGCCGCCGCTGGCTGGATCAGCAGCTGAGCAGGAGTCAAAACTGCATCCAGCAGCAGCAGAAGCTACAAAGGGTGAGGGACAGATATAGCGTGTGTTTGATTAAGTGATACTTTGGGGACTCAATAGTGGGGCGAAGGTTGACGCAGGTCCTAAAGACCACCATAAGGTCTGTTAATAAGTGAATATTAGGATTTGATGTCTTTATATGAAATGATTGTAACTGCACATTTGGACTTGGCCTTTGTTTTAAGGGTTGTGGGGTTAAGTCACAGTGGGGGTCAAGGTCAGGGCAGTGTGTGGGAGAAATCCAAGTCCATGCATGACCCATAAACATATCTGTGTGTGCAGATAAAATCCAAAGACAACCGGACCAGCCTACTGAGGAGGAGCAAACCTTTACCAGTCACACAGACTCCGTTCAAACTACCTCGCTTTGCACAGGTAATGATGCAGACTGTGTGAGGTGCTGAAATCTCACAAAATCTGATGATTAATTGGTTCAGATTAATGTGAAAGTTGCAGCCCCTGTTAAAATTAATGGTGGCCATAAAAATAAAAACAGAAGGTCTTGTGCTCTGCCCCCTACTGGTGATAACACAGAATAGCCCCCACAGCTTATACTGATGCAGACTTACTTTATGGACCAAAAACAGTCCATCAGAGAGTCTCAAATTTTACCCACTGAAACTTCCTTTTCAGCTTTATCCTTATCCCTCTCTCCTTTACGCTAGTGTCATTTTGCTCCCCTCTCCTCCCCCTCAGGTTGGTCCTGCTCTCGACACCTTCAGGGACCAGGAAGCTCGTCAACGGGCATTCAAGACCCATCAGTCAGACTCTGTGTCCAGGAGAGGAGTTCAGGGTCTGGGAACATACAGTTTGGACTGATCTGAGATGGGAACAGATAGGACTTGTCTCAGAATAAGTCAACATTAATATGAATAAAAACTGAGAAGTATATCTTCACTCTTTGTAGTCTCTCCATACACATGTGATTCAAAGATTTTCCACCAAAACCCTTTTAGAAATTAGCCTGAAACCCAAACTGATGAAACTGTGGTCACAAAGACATCACTGGGGATAGGTGGAGTCCCCCAGGGCTCTACTCTAAGATCTTTATGTTTTTAGGATCTGTAGATAGCCTTTGTGACCACTTAATTCATGCACTGTGGGTGCAATAATGTGAACAATGCCTGTGTTGATTGTTATCTTACATTGCATTCCTTTAATTGGTTCAATCACTTCTTTTTGTACATGGGTGTGTTTACCTGATCAGGTGTGTGGCAGGATTCATATTCCCTGACTGTATTTTTCAAAATTCCTTGAAAATCATCAAAACTGCCTTAATTTCATAAGATAATAAATAAAATGTATTAAATCAAACATTGAAATCCTTCTATCTGGATACCCTGGAATATTTTAAAACACATACCATGTTGAGATATATGTTTCATTTTATGAGGCTGTTTGCCAAAACTAAATATAGATTGTAAGCGCCACATTTTAAACTCTGTGTTTGCGGAGTCAGTTTGTTTTCTAATATCCTACTACAAAAGGAAAGGAGCCTTTTGCAGCGCCCTCTGGTGCCCAGGAGACATGGTGCATGTTTAAAACGCTATACAGCCTTGGCATCACTTCTCCAACCTCTAGGCTTGACCACTAGCTTGGAGGATGGATAGGAATAATAATATATATACCTTTGCACCAGTTTTATGTCTCAGTTTTTTTGCTCAGCTTTTTCAATGCATATTTAAATATTTGATTTTTCTGTTTTGAACTTGTTTTTGATGTTTAGTGATCATTTTCACTTTAAAACCCATTTTAACTTCTACCTGAGCTACAAACACAGTTACAGAAAAACAGAAATCAGGAGGGGGTGTTTCTGATTTTACAGACTCTCTCTCCCTCTTTCACACTCTCTCACATACACTGGATATCAGCAGGAGGAGGAGCTGTTTAATATATTTATATGTCTTCATTTAAACACAGCAAACCTCTCTGCGTGGATCTATCAGCTCAGTTTCTCACCTTTGTCAATAACCCCTCCTTGCCAATTTAACTCGTTTTGCTTTCATACCGCTTTTTTAATATTTAAGAAAACCTCACTCTATACCTGGACAAATTATGTCAAACTTATGTCAAAACTTTAGCGCCCTATTTTCAGCACCAGGATGTCTGCGTTTTCTGCCGTTATGTTTCTTCTCACCATCTGACTGAAACACACCTGAGCTCGTTTGGAGATGGAGGTTTCTGCCTTCGGAGCAGCCTCCAGGTTCCACATCGACTCCCTGCTCTCCCTCAGGCCGCCCGGAGCGCTCCTCAGCCGGCCAGAACCTCTGGAGCTCAGCCCGGGCAGCAGCAGCGGGTGTTCTGCGCCTCCCTCCCCGCGAAGAGAGCCTGTTCCCCGGATAGAGTCTAATCACCTGCAGCAGCTCCAGCCCCGCAGCGTCAGCTCCTCTTTTCTGATCCGGGATATCTTAGCGGACTGTCAGCCTTATTCAGACCCGACACAGGTCTACTCCGAACAGGGACAGCTCTATGAGATCCCGGGACAGCCTGAACTCGAACCACAACCGTTCCAGTCCGGACCGGAAGAGGACTTTCAGGATAAAAGTCATAGTAGTTCGTCGTCGGACAGTGAGTGCAGAGGTAAGAGAGCGAGTAAATTAAAAATCTGTTTTGGGCTTTATTTGTTTTAATTCTACTATTCAGAAAAACAACACACTAACTTTGAATTGGGCCCAAACCAAAGGAAATTCATTTAATCGTTTTTTCTTCTTTTCTCCTTTTTTAATTAAGAATTAAAATAGAAAAACACTGATTTTCAATACAAAACTGGAAAGCCTTTAAAAAAAAAGTTTGAGTATATCAATATGATTTTAAAAAGTGTGTTTAGGATATTTAAAAAATTCACATGATTTAAATGACATTTTTACAGGCTCGCGTGGCAGTTTAAAAGGCAAAACACGTGGTATTAAGCTGCATATTAAACACGAGAGGTAGATTTATTTTGCCTTTTTTATTTTCCGCAAAATCGATCAACTATAACACGAATTTAATTGATCTGGTCTTATACTGTCGGAGGTTTTTAGTCACATTTTGTTTCGCTCTGAGTTCATTGTATTGTGCTAATAATAACGATAATTACAAGACAACAACAACAACAACAACAACAACAACAACAATAATAATAATAATAATAATAATAATAATAATAATAATAATCTGATGGCCAAATACGCCATATTATAAAACCGTATCAATAATTTTGAATAAGACTCAGGAGTAACTGTATGTTTCAGCATCCACTCAGCCTCTTTGTTTCAACACTTTTGGCTGCTTCTTCTTAAATATTTAATTTTATTTCATCTAATCCCCTGTGGTAGAATAGATGTGCGGTAAAAAAAAAAAAAAGGAGGCGTATTTATTCTGTTGGTTTTGATGTCAGAGCTGTTCATTTATTATTCATCATAAAGTGTCATTAGGCCTTTAGAGAGCTGCTGTTTTTATGGATAACATTAGAGTCAACATGATGTCAGATTTATCTGAAACATTTCATGTTAGATAAACCAGAAAAAAATCAGTATGTTAAGATATAAATTAGGCAATACGGGTTGGCTATTTTTTATGAATCTATTAACTTGAAATTGTTCTAACAAATACTCACTTGTTATTGCGCATTTTATTTTTTCAAAGCGGTTGTTTAGAAAAGGGCTGCATAAATAAGGGTTATTATGATCATTTTTGTTATTATTGTAGTTGTGAACTGAATCATTTAAATATAAATTCGGTTCAGTTATTGACGTTAACTCTATGTTTTCAGCCTTTAGCCTAAAAACTGTAGACCTGCATGCATGCACTATTAGGTATTTTTAAACTTCAGGACTGAATCACCTGACAGGTCTGATGTGATGTTTTTATCTGCCTTACAATCACACAGTACAGGGCGGGGCTTCGGACTTGGCCTCCTGTCGCCTGAAGAAACCCCGTAAAGCCCGGACAGCATTCAGCGACCAACAGCTGTCCAGGCTGGAGAGAAGCTTCCAGAAGCAGAAATACCTGAGCGTCCAGGACCGCATGGAGCTGGCTGCTTCACTGCAGTTGAGTGACACCCAGGTCAAAACCTGGTACCAGAACAGGAGGTAAAAACGCACACAGGTAACACTGAAACACCAAACATGTATGATTCAAGATCAGGCGACAAGTAGTCAACCCTTTAAATAGGATAGGAGGTAGCACATAAAACAGCTATAGAAAGAACCTTTAGAAGATCCAGTACCGAAAGAGGATGACAGGATGTAGGACACATTTAAAACACTGTGTAATAAGAAAGTTAAGTCTACAGGGAACAGACCAACATAGATTTTATACAAAGATGACTGACATCACAGCCTTCTTCAAAAGTGAAACCAAAACATTTGTAACAATCCTTTCTGCCTGCCTGCTGTGTGGAGGAGATAAACCCTAAACCCCTCCACCTCCATGTCAACAGATGGGACATGGGTCAGCCTGAAAGACAGATATACACATCAGACTTGCTTTCTGCAGTTACTGTTAGTTCCTATAATGCAAGATTATGTGCAAGTGCTCTTTTCTCACAAGTTTTAGTTTTAATGAATAGTTAATGCTTTTAATAGGGATTTAGCACCAAAATTTACAGCTCTGTTCGTCGGGGTGAACAATAGTGACAAAAATAATATTAATAATGAAAAATAAAAAATAATGCTACATTCCAGGGCATTTTGCATTCCTCCAATGATGCGTAAATGAGGCAAAAACTCTGAAATCACCAGAGCAAGTATTGAGCTCAACTCAAGTATAAACTAACTATTTTGAACTGCCATTCAGGATTTATTTTGAGTAAAAGTAAATCCTGAAGTAAATCCTGTATCCTGAGTAAAAATTATCATAACAAGAACATTTCAAATGAACCCTCTTCCTCAGTGTAAACAACAGTGACTCTGCCAGAGTCTGCCTGGGTGCGTTTTTGTTTTGCTGCTTGGCTGTGATCAAATCAACCACAGAGTATTGATACAATAGTACTAATACTTTCATATATTACTATTAAAAATATATCAGTACTGAATTAACCCTATCACCAAACATTTGTGACCAATTGGTTTTCAGTAATTTTCTGTCACTACTTTGCTGGGAAAGGACCTGTGTCACATGACTGCGGAGACCAATTAGACATTAGAAACATGTTCTCATTGCACACACACATTTTCCCTTTAGTCCCTGTCAAACCTCGTGGATGAGACAGAGCTGTCGAATATGGGAAAAATAACCTTCAATGAATCAGATCAGGAGATAAATGTAGAAAAAAATACTGGAATCAATCTCCTCTAGTGTAAAGAATTGTATAATAAAATTTTAAAAGTAAAGAAAAGGAAATATTTGACATATTTGTCTCTTTGTTTGAATCAAGTATCACTGCAGACAGACACATGTGAGACATTTCAGGATTAATAATAAACACGCTGTGATCAATAATTCAGCAGTGTGTGCTGTAATTAATGATCAATATTTAATGCTGAAACAAATCTGGAGCTTTTAGTGCAGAATCTCTGAGAGGACAGAGAGCAAGGGAGACGCTGATTTTTTATTTATTGATTTATTTTTATTGTTCCCAGACTGCCAAGGATGCTGCTCTGTGATTGGCTGATGGTCTACATAATTACCATCAGCTCCAGTTTTTTTATTAAGGGGAGGAGAGGGAGAGCCAACATGTGTTAAACCCTATTTTATATTTATTATTCATTTAAAATATTGAACTAGAGAGAACAAATGAATGAACTGTGTTTCCTCCATCAGAACGAAGTGGAAGCGTCAGTCAGCTGTCGGTCTGGAGCTTCTCGCCGAAGCCGGACGGATGTTCCTGCCCTCTCACTTCCTGTATCCTCCTGCCCCGCCCACAATGGATATGTACCTGTACAGACACCACGCCCACCAACACCACCAAGCCCCGCCACTGCTGCCCCACATCCTGACCCACACTGAGCCGCACCTCCGCTGACAACTGATGATTCTCAGCAGAGTGAAAGTAAAATGACTTTGGATTCCAGCAGGAACACGGTTTCAAGTTCCTGGAACAACATTTTGGGGTGACAATTATCTCAAATGACGGAGGCTTTGGTGTTCATTGAGAAGAAAATGTAAGGAGAAACCTTCAGACGTAACAGAATCATTTTTTTCTTGTCCTAAAAAGTATAATCCGTAAGGACGGTGACCTCACAAATCCACTTCCTACATTCAGTACAGTCAAAAAACAGACACACATCTGTGTTTCTGAATATTTCTGTATTTTTAACTTTGAAATAAATATGCAATTTCTCTTGAGTGCTTCTGTTCTGATATTTTCTGTCATTTCAATGTAAATAATTGCTCAAATAAGGTCCTGGGTTTGGACTCTCTCTGGTCCTCTCTCTTTGTGTGAAAGGCTCCAGTTTGTAAAAAAGGGGTTGACATAATTGACGCTCTAGTTCATTCAGCATCATACATTTCTTACTATTAGAGAATCAGCAGTCAGAGGACCGTCATACGTTTGCCTGATGAATGATAAATGACGTCTGATTAACATTTAATCAGCTATCAGAGTCGTTGGTGGTTAATTTCTCTCTCCACAGACTGCTGGACTTGTTTCAGTCTAGGGCCCGATCAGACGTTTGAACACTTAATTCAGAATAAGAGCAATCAGCTGATGAAATATTAACCAGCAGGTGAAATATTAATGTGGTTAAAAGGCAGCGATTACACATCAGACTGACCAGAACACTCTGAATAAGTGCAGCACAAACAAACAAGCTTTTATTTCTCAAACCTCCACTTTTAAAGTTCCACTGCACTTTTATTTATCAGCTTTATTGAATTATTTAGACTTATCTATATATTTTTGATGCTTTTTGACGGCACCGTCCTTTAGAGTGGGAATATTTTTAAAAGCACGGTCCAGTGGGGACAAGAGAGTTTTGGTTATTTTGAAGCTGACGTGCGGACGGACTTCAGAAACAAATATGAACACAAATACAGCGTGTCAGTATGCGCCAGAGCCAGAGAGGCTGAAAGCTGCTGACTCTCAAGTGAAGTCAAATGTGGGGCCACAAAAAACCTGCAGTCCACCAGTTTCCTCTCTAGGAAACCATTTCAAGCCCAGTTATAAATTCCCACTTTCACTATGAAATAAAACATGTTCACAGCTCAATAAGAGAAATATAAAACGCTTTTATTTTTACTGCTTCAACAAACTCACTGAGCTGTAAAAATATGTTTTTCATTCATAAATATCACACAGATGTTAACAACAATAAAAACTGAAACATTGTTGTTTATGACAGATAAGACAGGAGTCAGGATTCACATTTTAGCAGCTACAAAATATTGAAACAGCTCTTTAGATTTTTTTTAAAGATAATCATAATTTCATCATATTTATGTGACTGTTTTTGGAGAGTTTTCAAAATGCTTTGAAGTGAACTGTTAAAGCCAGCGAGCCGTGTGTACGAATGTTGGATTTCTCATCAGGGAAGTCTTTGACTTGGTTTTAATCACCATAAAAAACCAAGTCAAAGGAAGGAGACTAACTTTCAACCAATCACAAGCTCTCAACCCTCACGTCAAAACTTTTCCATGACTTTTTCAGGGTTTTCCAGGACTCAGCCCCCCTGTTTGTAAGCCTGGAAACCTCCCTGCATAAGGATCACTGTGATCTTTTTGAACAGCGTGACCAGCAGTGTCAGCCTTTCAGTTATGTTTCTCTGCAGCTGCTTCACCTCCTCATTTCTCCTCCTCTTCTTCTTCTCCTGGCTGACCAAATTTCTTCTTCTTTCTCTTTTTCTTCTTCTTGGCGTCTCCTCCCTCCATCCCGCTGGAGAACTCGGAGCGAAACAAACTGAGCTCCCTCTGACCGGGAGAAAAACTGAGGAGAGTGGAAACAGAAACGTTTCTTTACAGCTGAAGAAGAAGAGGAGGTGAAATCACAGTCCCTCCTTATAAAGGTGAGTTTAAAAAAACAGGGTTATACAGTTAGCGTGCTATTTATGACATCCACATCTCAAACATGAGCTCCCTCTGCCTTGAATTAACTTAACACCTGAACGCACTATCACACAGCTAACCCAAAGGATTGTGGGATACTGATGAGACTGGACATAAACACAGACCTGTAATTATGTCTCTGTTGACCGTGTGCACAAACTGTACAAGCTGTGAGGACAGTCAGAGTGTGTGTGTGTGTGTGTGGTAGGACCATGTCCGGACAAGCCTGCTGTGAGGAGCAGCTGTTAATAACAACAACAAACACACACCTACACAAACATAAATACACACAAACAGTAAACATGAGCATGTCTGCAGAGAGCAGCTTTAATTATGGATAAGAGTGTGTGTTTTAATGTGTGTGTTACTTTCAGACCCCTCAGTAGAAGGTGTGTGTTAATGAGCACTCACATGTGTCAGACATACACACACGGCAGAGTGTGTGCACACCCATATACAGTATGTGTATTTATACATCAGTAGGTATGTTCTAATTTTACAGCTCAGCTTTAGAAATGAGGGTCAGGTCAGTGAGTGTATGAAAATCTGTTTAAAATTAAAGCATATTTTGAATAGAACCTAAACTTAATACAGGACACTGTATGAAGAGCCCACCCTCCTCAGAAACACCTTTAATCTGCAGGTAAAACTGCACAGCGTTCTCCATCACTCTCACCTCTTCTCTCCAGCTCTGCTCTGTCCTTTATTCTGGTTTTTGACTGGACTCCTGGCCTGGTTCTTCTTCTGGTACTTGTTCAGGTGCTGGTTCTTGGTCCCAGGGCCCTTAGAGGGGCCCGTGACGGCGCTCAGGCCCTGTGGAGCGTCTCGTAGGCCGAAGCTCTTTGCGGTGTGTCCCAGGTGGAGAGAGCGGATGTGGAAGACATGTTTGAGGTGTGCGGGGTAGGTGGTGTATGCTCGCAGGAAGGACTGCAGTGCTGATGACATCACAGGGACAGGTGTGAATAATGATGGTACATAGGTATGTAGATGAATAAGGACTCCCAGATACACCTGAAGCCTGAACTCACCTTTCTTTGCATTCTGCACCGAGTGAATGTCAGAGTGAACAAAGTTTTCAAACTCTGTCTGCAGAACCGTCGCTCGCTCTCTGGTCTCCTGCTCCAGAGCTTTAGATGAACTCTGGGGGGGGGGGGCAATAAGTGAAAAAAGAAGACCATCATAAAAAAGCAGAAAGGGAAAAAATAAAAACTGACAAAAAATGAAGAATTAAAAAGTAAAAGAAGAAAAATGCAAAGGAAAAAGAATAAAAAAAGAAAAAAACGAAAAGAGAAAAATATGGAGAAATTATAAATGTTGAAAAAATAAAAGGAGAAGAGAATAAAATGAGTGACAGAATACAAGAAAGAAATCATAAAAAGATGACAAGAACTAAAATGAATTTAGGAAAAAAGACAGAAAATGGGGAAAAAGACAGACAGAAGGAGATAGATAGAGAGGTAAATGGTTAAATAAAGGGGGTAAGAAAAAAACAGAAAAAAACAATAAATGGAAAGAAAGAAATGAATTTATCTATCTTCCTATATTAAAGCTCTGGTGAGTGGCTTTCATACTGCGTCAAATGTGGCAACCCATCTGGAATAAAAGAGGGTCTGATCTTGTCCTGTACATGTGTCTACTTCGTTCTCTCTGCTGACTTTTCAATGTCTAACATTTATTTCAGGATAAACCTTCGACTGTTTGGGCCATTAAAAGGTCCAAGTATTCATTTCGGTCAGTTTCACTGTATTTAGAAATTCCTCACAGGAGTTTGAGCAGCGCTCCAGAGACATCATGGAAAGTGTTCAGTGAGGCGGGATGACAGTGTTACAGAGGTACCACTGAGAGGGAAGAGTGCCCTGACTCTCCAGCTGATCATTTTGAGGACGCTGAGCAGCTGTTTGTGTTTAAAGCTGTGCGTATGATAAATGTTCAACAGATGGATGTGTTTAAATAAAGGTTAAATCTAAATCAGTGTGATGATGTCCCAGAGTCAGCAGCTTAAATCTGTGCTGACGGGACACAAACATCAGATCATCACAAACACAAACTGAAGCCTGAACCTGCAGTTTTCTCCTGTTTGAACCTGCAGCAGGGCTCACATCAGGTTCCTTTAGAAAGAGCTTCAATGAAAGTGTCTGAACCAATCCTTCACAAACACGTCCCCCCGCTGCTTTTACCGTCACCGCAAGTCTTTTTACTGAGTCTTTGTGGAGCTCTCCAGTCTGACACTGGCACGTTCAGGGGTTTTAGAAACAAGTGATACAAAAAAAACCTTGTCATCATCAGAGAAACAGCAGGTGGTTTCACAGTCTGAGCCTCTGCTGTTTGTTAGTTCAGACTATCAGAGGAGTCTAGCAGAATCCTGACCCGCTGTAACACCCCAGAACCCCCGAAATCACAGGAAACCCGTAAAGAAAGCTGACCTCTACAAAACACCAACACACCAAAAAACTGAGCTCTCCCCTGAACACCTCTAAAAACTTTTTTAAAACCCTCTAAGAGCCAAAAAGGTATTTTTGTTGAATCACTGTAGATTTTTAAGTGAGTGCAGATATTTTAATTCTAAACTTAATGAGAGCTTATCTTTATAATCAAACAACACCAGTTAAACAAAAGTTTTATTGACTTCACCCTGAAAAAAAAAAAATTAACCCCCAAAACAATACTTCAATGTTTTACTCTGTTATGTTGTATTCTATCCAACTACTTTAAAATTTATTCTTTTATTTCAGTTCGACTAAAATTGTTCATTCCATTCAATATCATTCTATCCTTTTATTTTTCTATTCTATTCTGTTCCATTTTAAGCTTTAATATATAGTAATACATTTTTGTGTTTTATCACATTTAATTTTTTACAATTCTAAAACATGTTTATTCTATCATATTTTTCTTTTCTATTCTTTTTTCCACTGTATTCTTTTATTCCACCATTATTTTCTCTATTCTACTTATTTTCTATGTTTTTCAATTCTGTTTTATTTGTTTTCTGTTGTATTTTTTACGCTTGGCCAACAAGTGTTGGCTCAAACTCAAACTGGCTTTAAGTTCTTCACTGACATTTTACTTGACTTATTGTCACAAGTCATCTGAACCATTTGGGAGTCTGTTTTAAAGTGAAATCCTTTGAAACCCCTCTGACAACTTGAACTCCTTTAAAACATCCAAGAACGGCCAGGAACCCAAAAAGACCCTAATATACAAGGATGAAATTCTGGAAAAGCCTTGGAGTTTGCGTGACTCAGCTGAGGACCCCAGCTAAGATCTCAGGACCATTGAAACAAGTTAGAATCCCAGGTGTAGAGGTTTTTTTTTTTTACCTTGCTGTGATATTTGCCTCGTCCTTTGTAGGTGTCATCCAGCATCAAACAGGAGAGGATGTCCAACAGTTTCATCTCTGATAGGCTAAAACACAACAAGACCCATCCACACAGTCAAAACACAGAGGTGAACACACATCAAATTTCACCTTTGTGGCTCTACTTTGTGTGTCTGGGGTTGAGATTGGATGATATAGCTGTTAGTGTACAGACCTGATGTTGTGATTGGCTAGCTCAGCGATGAAGGCGGTCTCAGCAGGAGTGAGAAACAGGAGGCTGCTTCCACTTCCTCCAATACGAGCTGTCCGACCGACACGGTGAACGTACTCAGCTGCTGATGTTGGAGGGGTATACTGCAGACACACACAAACACACACACACACACACACGTTTGCTTTCTTTTTGCTAGTTTTAAGCTTGTTTTGTTACAAGTTGGATGAAAAAAATCTTTAAACTAGCAAAAGAGGCTGTAAAGTCAGAAGGAAAACGTTCACAGACTCAATCCATCAAGTCAAAAGATGGCCTATTTTCTCATAAACCTGATGAACCTCTAGTAGGACTTCTCTTTTCAAACACTGCTTACAATCAAAAAGGAGATTTGTCACACTGATGGTTGAAAGAGGAGGAGCTAAAACTTCATACCTGAATGATCCAGGTAACCTGAGGAAGGTCCAGACCTCTGGCTGCAACATCCTGCAACACATGTTTTCAATTTTTAATCATTACATCATCATTACAACACTCATCGTACAGCACAGAAACAGGAAAACTGACCGTGCAGAACAGGACTCCAGATTTAGACGCTGAAAACTCCTGAAAGACTTCAGAGCGCTCCTGCAGGAGAAACAAGCACACACCAATCACGAGCATGGAGAGATGAAGAGCAGAGCTTTGGCTGGGAGCTTACTCTTGTGGAGGTGCTTCTCTATCAGAGCCACTCCAGACACCACCTGTTCCTGTCTAGCATTTCACATTCGACAGCAAAGCCTCACCTCCTGCTTCATGTTACCATGAAGACGTGTGAAGCTGAGCCGAGGCTTCTGATTGGTCGAGGGCCCAGAGAGGACAGAGGTGAAGAGAGAGTAGAGGAACTCAACGGCTTCACAGCTCGAGACAAAAATGATGAGTTTGTTGTTCTGAGAAAACTGTAGGACCAAAAAAAAGACAGTGGATGATGGTTTATGGCTGAAACATTCAACTTCAAACATTATTTTTTGTTTGATAGGGTCTTGTCTAAATTCATATGGATGAAATGCATTTAAAATGGATCTTCTCTTTGTTTACCTTGCATTTGTCCAGTATGAAAGCAGCCAAACAAACCAGTCTGATCTTACTGGGAACCATCACCACAAACTGTTTCAGAGCCTCTGGCATGGCAAAACTCTCTGATTGGCTGGCTGTGCTGAGGTCAGAGGAAGGGGCTGTGAGGTCAGAGGAAGCAGGGCCAGAGATGTGGATGCTGACAGGGTTGTTCAGACAAATATCTGCTAACCTAGTCACACCTGAAACACAGAGGAAAGTTTCACCAATCATAGTTTGTTCTGGCTCAACAAAATCCAACATCTGTGTTTAAATAAAAACTCTTCATTGATCCACTCACCACTTGTCAGTGTAGCAGAGAGGAGGACGTTCTGTCTGCTCGGTCCTGTAGAGTTCAGACTGTTTAAAATGACAGTCAGATCCTTCTCAAAACCCAGGTCCAGTGTCCTGTAAACACACACACAGGTACATAGATAGGTGAAATGATGGTCATGACAGTTCTGAATCCCCAGCAACATGCGAAACTCTCTAACAAGATGCCATTGAGTGCAAAAACCTAACTGGAACTGATACAAGAGCCCAAAAACCTGATGAAGTTGTGAGTTAATGTCAGCCTGTAATGCAACTTATAGTAACGGTTTCACCTGGCTACAATTTCCAATATGCTCTTAACTGTCTGCACTCTGTTCAAAAGTGAATAACAATGGAAACAGAGTTCCTCAAGGCTCTATTCTTGGCCCTCTTTGGTTTCATTACAACTTGTCTTCTTAAACTCAAAATATGAATAACAGCAACAACAAAGTGAGGGCATTTTTGGATACAAAGGGTTAAGTACCAGCACAGCGCTTGAACTGATCTAAAAAGCCACAAAAAAATAGTTTACAGGCTAAGACACAAGCAAAAAAAGTCTCTGCAATAGAGGCCATAAGTGGTCAAAACAATCACCAGTCCTTGATTATCATCAGTGCTGTTGGCGAAAATGAAGAACTAGAGTGCGTGCTGCTGTTTTCATTCAGGTTTTTTAATGTTAGCATCTATTGTTTTAACTATTTACATATTTATTAAACACAGTCTCTTTTTGAATTATCTCATTTTGTAAACTTTTAACAGCATTTAAACCCTGTCTACTTGCTAAAATTAAAACACTCTTAACCATCTGCACTCTGTTTAAATGTAAATAATGAAACAGAAATGGGAATTCCCCAAGGCTTTTTTTCTTGGTCCTCTTTGGTTTCAGTTTGACATGCATCCTCTGGCTCAAATTATGAGTATCAGAAACAGCAACAACAAAGTCTCTCTCAAAACTCACACGAATGACTGTCAAGAAAAATGCTTATCACTGAGTACAACTTCACGTTAACCTTTTTTTTTTTTTAAATATGGGCACCTTTTGTGTAGTTTACAAACTTACATCTGTGTAAAGTTTCATAAGTAGATCTCTTTAGATATCAGTTTCAACAAACTCATCCAAGGAAGCAGCTGACCAGCAATTTGTTGCATTCCAGTTTTTAAAAGTTTGGACTTAAGAACCCATATTACTGTACTCATGGTTTGGAAAATACAAAAACAAACTTAGACCATGCCTCATCCTGTTGGTTATCCAACTATATTTACACAGTTGATCAGAGAAAACATTTGTACGAGGCTTAAAAGTGTTTTTAGTCACAGAGCTGGTAGTTACCGATCGGCCTCGTCTAGGATGAGCCAGCGAACAGCACTGAAGGCGATGCTCAGCGTGTTTTTAATGTGATCCACCAGACGCCCGGGAGTGGAGACCAGGATGTTGATACCTTTCCGCAACCTGGAGAGACGACAAACACTCAGAATGGGGGGAAGAGAGGAGAAGAAGAAAAAAAAGGGCAAGTGAAGGACTGGAGTAGGAAAATGATGGTGAAGGAAAGTTAAATGAAGAAGAGGAGGAGGACTGGAAACAAACAAAGAGCATATATAGAAAGAAGTGGTGAAGCTTACAGTGAACAGGTGAGTAGAGGGATCAGTACCTGGCCTTCTCTGCTTTCCTCTTCTCTCCTCCCATCAGGACACCGGGGACGATCCAGGTAAATGGCTACAGAGAGAGATAGAAAGGGGAAGGGGTTATAATTATTCTGGGAATGTAAAAATCCGTAAAGAACAAATGTGATGCATCGAGCTCTGATTATTTCCATCTTACCTTCAGAAGCTTCTGGAAGGTCTGAAATGTCTGCTGGGCGAGCTGATGGACAAGAATCAAAGGAGCTTGTCATCATTTCATTTATCTTTTTTGCCTTTAACATGAAACTAAGATCAGACCAAACCTCTCTGGTGGGAACGATGACGAGCGCCAGAGGACCATCGGACCTGCTGATTTTCGGCTGGACTACCTGCAGACTCTGAACCACAGGAACGGCGTAGGACAGGGTTTTACCTGCAGAGACAGAGCCCATTGCTTATTACTCTATTCGGCTCAACTTTATGTGCTTCACAAAAAAAAGAGACAAAATTCACAACAACAACTAAGATAATAAAAGACTAAAGCAATGCACCACAAACTAATATTTTCAACAGACACAATATTGTGCCGTAAGCCTACGCTGTCAGAGCTCTCCTCTGGTGGAGGACCAGAACAAGGGTATATATGTGTCTCACCTGATCCTGTCTGAGATCGCACTACAGCGTCTTGTCCTGACAGAAGAACTGGAATAGTCTGCTTCTGCACACTGAAAAAACACACAAACAAACACTGTAAGAAAAAAGAAAATGAGAGGGGTCTGGCTGCAGGCCTCCACTAAGAGGACCCACCTCCACTGAGAGGACCCACACTACTTAAAAGGACCCAAGGTGACGTTTTTTTCTCAGGTGCTCCAGTTTGTTTGACATGGTCATCCCGTTTTGTATTTTGTCTTTGTTGAACTCATAAATACACAAAAAAACATATTAACATTATATACAAAAAATAAAGCCCCAAGAATAAAATATATATTCACACAAGATAAAACTACGTACTCCCCGGTGTAATCACTTTTTAGTTTAAAGGCTTTAAATCAAGTTAGGACATAAAAAAGAAATGTACTCCTGGTATATTTGCTTTTATTTTGAAAGGCTTCAAACAACTTCCTCAGTGAAGGTGGGTCCCCTCAGTGGAGGTCTGCAGCGAGACTGTCTTGAAGAAAGTTGTTTTGAAGTCCAACCAAGGTCTGTGACACGACCAAATGTGGGGAGATGGTCTGAGCCGCTGTGCTAATCAGGGATAACCCTGTTCAAACCATTTTCCCACAAATCCAAAGGCCTAGAAATGTTATTTTCGAATTCTATGACTTTTCAAGGTTTCTCACTAGTGTGCAAACCCTGACCTTATCATTTGTACAAGTTCAGATTTGAACTTCAGATAAGAAGATAAGAGTGCACAGTGCAGCTCCATGCAGCAGAGAGAAGAGATGCAGACAGCTCGACTCCACAGTTTGATGAAAAACAACAACTGCACATAGCTGCAAAAATTTATAAGCTTTGATGGTTTCAGTGGCTGCAATCCATTTTAAGGAATCCCCACTTAAGTGTACAAACTCACCTAGTCACCGTGGAAACATTCAGGACTTTATTGAGGGTTGCCACCTGGAAAACAGAAACCAGCCATCAGGAATCTTAAAGATTCACATACATAGAATTACTGGACAGATTAGAATATCAAATTGTAAATGCAGCTAATCAAAGCAAGCTAACTTAGCGTAACAGAATGAATGTGTGAGAGTGTGTTTGTGTGTTACCAGGTGTGGGTGCAGGTCCAGGTCTGAAAATGAGTCACTGGTGAAAATCTTCTCTTTTATCTGAGAGACAGCAGGTCTGAATCCGGACGTAAGGGAGGAGAGGAAGTCAAAACAAAGGAGGATAGGTTGAGAGTGAAGAAAAGAACGTAGAAAAGAAATAAAAAACAGCAAAAAGAAAAGGGAGTAAAGAGGAAATTTGATTAATTACTGGCCAATAAAATCTAGCAGTGCCAGTCATTGTCAGAATCTTAGAAGCCATTCAGAGCAGGAGCTGCGGACCTGTGGATCTCTGGGATCTCAGGGTTGTGTTTGAACAGAGAAGAAGTCTTGATATTGCTCCTTCCTGTCTCCTTCACTCCATCCTTCTTCCTCTCCCTCTCTTTTTTCTTCTTCTGTGGTGTTGGCCTGTTGGTCTGCTCTGTGGGTGGAGACTGAAACATGCAGAGATAATCATCAAGACGATCCTTGATCATGCAGTTCTCTTTCACAGCAGTGTAGTCTGGAGCTTCAGAACTGATTTTAGGTGCGACAGGTGTGAGCAGCGTTTACCTGAGCATGTGCATCCTTCTTCCCCTTCTCCTCTTCTTCCTCTGCTGTGTCACTGAGCTGCAGTCTCCTCTGTTTGAAGGAGCCTCCCTTCTTCTGCTCCTCCTCTGTGGAGCTGGATTTCCTCTTCCCTGCTCGCTGCTTCTTCTGGAGGATCAAACAGACAAATAAAATCTACCTTTTCACATGCTGATTGTTGTTTTTCATTAACCATGAGTGTTAATGACGTCCAGCTTTAAAACAACAATAATAAAAGGTGGTTCTTCTTACCATGGCCCATCTCTGCTGAGCAGTCAAGGGTTTCCTCCTGGGTGACGATAAGGAAGGAAAACTGCTGCTGATGTTCAGACACAGCTGCTCCCCCTCTGATGCCATCATTTACACACCTGAAGCACACAGGATAAACTCATAGGTGACAGATACTATGTTTGCACACAAACTGCATCACATTTCCCAGTTAGATAAACTGTTTAAAACCTGGTTTTCATTATCAGAAGGGTGTCAGACTCAAGCCAAACACCATTAAGAAAACCCTGTGACCTGTAAAAGGTGACCTATAAAATAACTGAGCAGAGCTTTAATTAAACGTAAATTATCAACTTGATACTCTTAACTGTTGAGTTATTACCACACATACAATACAGGCGGATAATCGCAACAGTCTGTTTTAGATATGCATTAACAGATACTATAGACACATGTTTTACCCGTTACGGTTATCGTGTGTTAGACAGAGGACATGGGCAGAAAACCTAACTTTAATAAGCCCATTATCAGATCTCGTTAAAAATACAAATTGTACAAACTAGCAACATCAAACTCAAGCCGAATTGTAGAGGGACTCTTTTCAATGCAATCTGAGTTAAAACTTTAGGTGATCACGAGTGTTTAAATGTACGACCTTTTCGGAGCGCGTGATTGACAAATTTCTAAATGGAATTCTGTGTCATGTCCCGTAAGGAATACCGCTGCTACAAATTGCGTCTCCAGCAGCGTTACCTCCGATTTTAATCGAAATTCCGATGCAAAGATAGCCTAAATGTGCCGCAATGTTGCCATCAACAACGTTAAATTAACACATTACAACAGTATCAGACCTCCCACACAGACACACACATAAACACGTGTGTGTGTGTTTTTGTGGCTCAGGCTCTGTAGTAGCGCAGCAGCTAACACTAACATCATGCTAACAGTATCCTTTGAAAAAAAAAGTTTAAAGATATGTTGGATGAAAAACACCCGCAAATACTTACTGTTAAACCCTCAGATTCACAACACGCGTGGTTAACGCTTCCTTTTACGTCACCGGAGCCCCGCCCCTGTCACAGCTGTTTTGTTGGGCATGCGCATTAGCCTTTCTCCTACTATTGGAGGATTTTCGATTTCAGCGGGTAATTTTCTCCTTATCATCGTAAACAAAGTAAGTTTCAGTGCCAGCTTACTCAATATATGTATATATTATATGCATATTTTATGTCCTGAAACATGACCTTTGAGTACATAAGATAAAAATGAAGTGCCCTTTCCTGGATAAAATGTAAACAAAGTGCCCTCTGCTCTTCTCTTGATTAAAACACTGTGAAAAACAGCCCACTTTTTCTCATTGTAGTGAATAACATAAAACAAAGTTCCATCTGCAAGCCCTCCCAGTAAATAAAATGTAAACAAAGCACATCCCAGATGCCCAAGTTTTTTTTTCTAATTGTGCCCCTTATACTCCGTTGTATTTAAGAGATAATTATACTAATAATTATCTTCAATCACGAAAAATAACCTCCACTTTACTTCGAGAGATATTTATATTCCATTGAGATTAAAATAAATTAAAGATAATATTAAACTTTTAGATGTAACCTACCAGTGTAAGGGTTTTTCTAAAGTAAACAGCATTTTAAATCTCCATGGTAACCTGTAACGATGTAAAAACTTTAAATCATTACAAGCAAAAGAGAGCGGTCATTTCTGAAGATCAAATCTGAAGAGAACAGCACGAAAAACTTAAGCGGCTCACGAACTTACAACTTTTGACGGCTTCATCGTAAATATAACCTCACCAGACGACTAAGGACTTGGACAAACACCTCTAACCAACACCTGAACAGAAAGGACAACATCTACGACATGGAGACCGTAAGATTTCATGACAATATTATCATACAAACTTGTGTTACTGTCGAGACTTTCGTGATGGTTAAGCGATGCATCGACAAGGATTAAGTGTGTGCATGGATATTTACAGTGTTTATGACTTTAATGTGACAGGCATTATCAAAACTAGAAAAATTGCATTTCCTTGCAGAAAATGCGTGGAAATGCTGAGTGCTGAAAGCCGAAAAAGCAATGCTAAACTGCTAATAAAACATGGAGGAAGGTTTAAATGTAAAATTGGTTAAAGAGCTGGAGAAAGAAAAGTAGAAGTTAGATGAAAGTGAAAATTGCTGAAGTACAAATAGTATGAATGTGCTTCATAAATTAAAATTGCATTCATGCTAAATAAGGCTAGAAAAACTGTCTGAAATTGCAACAAAAAAATTGTATAAGGAAGAAAATTACCTTAAAACACAGAAAAGCAAGAAGCGGCATAAGTTTAAGTTGAAGTACTAGAAGAAGTATGATAATAGGTAGTTGTACTAGTGATATTAGTAGTCATGTAAGCAGTAGAAGTAGTTTTAGAATAGAAGTAGAAGTCAAAGCAGTAGAGCTCGTGGTTGAAGTAAAAAAAATATTAAGAGAAGCAAGAGCAGTGGAGGTAGAAGTGAAGATACAAGTTAAAGTGATATAAGTAGTAATTGTAGTGGTAGAACTGGGATTTTGTTTGAAGAATTAAAACATACATAAATAATGGGAATGACTTTGAAGTGGGAAAAATTTAAAATAATTAGAAGTCCTAAAGTGTTAAACAGGTTTGAAGTATCAGAAAGGTTTGAATGAGTTTGGATTTGTCTGACGAATTTAATAATGCATGAATAATGAGAATAATTTTAAGTGGGGAAAAGTTAAATAAAAAAAATCCTGAGTACAGCCCATAATGTCCTCAATGAGCGGAATTTTTGAAGCCCAGAATGGTTTCTGTAGCTCAAAGTTTGTGGGTGGAGATAGGTGGTGATGCAGACACATATTAACTGTGTGTACAAGCAGGTCTTTTAGACACAGACACACACACGCACACACATTGTCAGACTGTGTGTGTCTCGTTAATGATTGCATCCTAAACAGCTGTGAGATCAAAGGCATTAACTGACCTACTGTTTGAATGAGAAGCTCTGGACTTCTTCATGTAGCACGATTTCCTTATATCCCAGAATGAAAATAAGAAAATCGTACGAATCCTCCGCCCTTCATGAACACAATGAATGTGGCCACAACAGCGAGTTAAAAGTCTAGACGTTCGGATGGTTATCTTAAAAGTGATGCATTGACAACAGTTTCTAACCTCACAAATAACTTTGTAGAGATGAACAAACCCTTCAAAGGTGGTCTGATTTGCTTTTTAAGGCCACACAGAGGCATTCCTATCAATATCAGTCAGTTATAATCGGCTGAAAATTCCCCACAGTAGCTTTAACATGAAGTCACTTGTACATGAAAATCAGTATATCTGCTAAAAAGGCCCGGCCCCTTTTTTTTTTTCCCCCTTGAAACACACTCATAGTCTGTTCCTCAGTCTTTGAATCATTTATTTATATATAAAGAAGCGCTGTAATGCTGTAGAATAGCCAACTTGATTTTTTTACTTTAAATTTAAATGAAAAGAGCAGTTTAATACACACTTTCTGTACCAGATTTAATGTGGAGGTTGATATCTCAAGAAAGTTATGGTTTGAGTTAGCTTGAGGTTATCGCTTTCATCCCCTTTTTAACTTTATGTTCTTACTTGGGACATGTTTTTATTGGCATTGTAAGTCAATAAGGATTATTGGCAGTGCTGGTAATGTGAATTAAAAACTCTGAGTGTTGTGTTGGTCAAATCTCGTGTCCTTAAATTCAATCCCACTTCGATCTCAATACTGATTTTTGCTAAAATAACCTTCTTTTCCACGTTTGAGGTCAACTGTAAAATAGGATTCAGTACAAGTAGATTACTAGCCCCACACACTTGTAGCTCTTTGCTGTTCATTGTTATTAAGTGGAAATGCTGATTAAACATTTCCACTCATTGTTCTTCCCGTCGGCCATTTTGTTTATTATTATTATTGCAATTATCATTATTATTATTATTATTATTATTATTATTATTATTATTCGGCTAATTTTCGTCCGCTTCTAACATCTTCCTACTTTGTGCTATTTAAACCATTCAAACTTTAAACTGTTCCACTCCTTCAGGACATGAGGGCTCATACTTTTTACCTTTCCACTTTTTATACATGGGATTTAAGGAAATCACGCTATGGGAAGAAGTTCAGAGGCCCTAAATTCGATGAAGTTAGGCAGCTTCTCATTCAAACAGTACGTCAGTTAATGCCTTTGATGTCTGACACCTGTTAAAATGCAACACACACACACACACCTTCTCTTTACTTGATGCTTTTGTAATAACCTGGTTACAACCTGTGACATTACCTGGTAATAACCTGGTTATAACCTGAGACATTACCTGGTAATAACCTGGTAATTACCTGGTAATAACCTGAGACATTACCTGGTAATAACCTGGTTATAACCTGAGAAATTACCTGGTAAGAACCTGGTTATAACCTGAGACAATACCTGGTAATAACCTGGTAATTACCTGGTAAAAACCTGAGACATTACCTGGTAATAACCTGGTTATAACCTGAGACAATACCTGGTAATAACCTGGTAATAACCTGGTAATTACCTGGTAATAACCTGAGACATTACCTGGTAATAACCTGGTTATAACCTGATACAATACCTGGTAATAACCTGGTAATTACCTGGTAAAAACCTGAGACATTACCTGGTAATAACCTGGTTGTAATCCGAGACAATACCTGGTAATAACCTGGTAATTACCTGGTAATAACCTGAGACATTACCTGGTAAAAACCTGGTTATAACCTGATACAATACCTGGTAATAACCTGATAATAACCTGGTAATTACATGGTAATAACCCGAGACATTACCTGGTAATAACCTGGTTATAACCTGAGACATTACCTGGTAATAACCTGGTTATAACCTGAGACAATACCTGGTAATAACCTGGTTATTACCTGGTAATAACCTGAGACATAACCTGGTAATAACCTGGTAATTACCTGGTAATAACCTGAGACATTACCTGGTAATAACCTGGTTATAACCTGAGACATTACCTGGTAATAGCCTGGTTATAACCTGAGACATTACTTGGTTATAACCTGGTTATAACCTGAGACATTACCTGGTTATAACCTGATTACTACCTGGTTATTACCTGGTAATAACCTGGTAATAACCTGAGACAATACCTGGTAATAACCTGGTAATTACCTGGTAATAACCTGAGACATTACCTGGTAATAACCTGGTTATAACCTGAGACATTACCTGGTAATAGCCTGGTTATAACCTGAGACATTACTTGGTTATAACCTGGTAATAACCTGAGACATTACCTGGTTATAACCTGGTTATTACCAGGTAATGTCTCAGGTAATTTCTGGTAATAACCAGGTTATGACCTGGATATTACCTGGTTATAACCTGAGACATTACCTGGTTACAACCTGGTTATATCCTGAGACATTACCTGGTTATAACCTGATTATATCCTGAGACATTACCTGGTTATAACATGGTTATATCATGAGACATTACCTGGCTATAACCTGAGACATTACCTGGTTATAACCAGGTTATAACCTGGGTTATAACCAGGTTATAACCTGTTTATAACCTGGTTAAATCCTGAGACACTACCTGGTTGTAACCTGGTTATATCTTGCGACATCACCTGGTTATAACCTAGTTATATCCTGAGACATAAGCTGGTTATAACCTGGTTATATCCTGAGACATTACTTGGTTATAACCTGGTTATAAGCTGGGCATTACTTGGTTATGACCTGGTTATATCCTGAGACATTAACTGGTTATAACCTAGTTAAATCCTGAGACATTACCTGGTTGTAACCTGGTTATATCCTGAGACATTACCCAGTTATAACCTGGTTATAACCTAGTTATATCCTGAGACATTACCTGGTTATAACCTGGTTATAACCTGGTTATGTCCTGAAACATTACCTGGTTATAACCTGGTTATATCCTGAGACATTACTTCGTTATAACCTGGTTATATCCTGGGACATAACCTGGTTATTACCTATTTATATCCTAAGACATTACCTGGTTATAACCTGGTTATATCCTGAGACATTACCTGGTTATAACCTGGTTATAACCTGAGACATTACCTGGTTACAACCTGGTTATATCCTGAGACATTACCTGGTTATAACCTGGTTATAACCTGAGACATTACCTGGTTATAACCGGATTATATCCTGAGACATTACCTGGTTAAAACATGGTTATATCATGAGACATTACCTGGTTATAACCTGAGACATTACCTGGTTATAACCTGGTTATATCCTGAGACATTACCTCGTTAGAATCTGGTTATAACCTGAGACATTACCTGGTTACAACCTGGTTATATCCTGAGACATTACCTGGTTATAACCTGGTTATAACCTGAGACATTACCTGGTTATAACCGGATTATATCCTGAGACATTACCTGGTTATAACATGGTTATATCATGAGACATTACCTGGTTATATCATGAGACATTACCTGGTTATAACCTGAGACATTACCTGGTTATAACCAGGTTATAACCTGTTTATAACCTGGTTAAATCCTGAGACACTACCTGGTTGTTACCTGGTTATATCTTGCGACATCACCTGGTTATAACCTAGTTATATCCTGAGACATTACCTGGTTATAACCTGGTTATATCATGAGACATTACTTGGTTATAACCTGGTTATAAGCTGGGCATTACCTGGTTATGACCTGGTTATATCCTGAGACATTACCTGGTTATAACCTAGTTAAATCCTGAGACATTACCTCGAATGGTTTCTGTAGCTCAAAGTTTGTGGGTGGAGATAGGTGGTGATGCAGACACATATTAACTGTGTGTACAAGCAGGTCTTTTAGACACAGACACACACACGCACACACATTGTCAGACTGTGTGTGTCTCGTTAATGATTGCATCCTAAACAGCTGTGAGATCAAAGGCATTAACTGACCTACTGTTTGAATGAGAAGCTCTGGACTTCTTCATGTAGCACGATTTCCTTATATCCCAGAATGAAAATAAGAAAATCGTACGAATCCTCCGCCCTTCATGAACACAATGAATGTGGCCACAACAGCGAGTTAAAAGTCTAGACGTTCGGATGGTTATCTTAAAAGTGATGCATTGACAACAGTTTCTAACCTCACAAATAACTTTGTAGAGATGAACAAACCCTTCAAAGGTGGTCTGATTTGCTTTTTAAGGCCACACAGAGGCATTCCTATCAATATCAGTCAGTTATAATCGGCTGAAAATTCCCCACAGTAGCTTTAACATGAAGTCACTTGTACATGAAAATCAGTATATCTGCTAAAAAGGCCCGGCCCCTTTTTTTTTTCCCCCTTGAAACACACTCATAGTCTGTTCCTCAGTCTTTGAATCATTTATTTATATATAAAGAAGCGCTGTAATGCTGTAGAATAGCCAACTTGATTTTTTTACTTTAAATTTAAATGAAAAGAGCAGTTTAATACACACTTTCTGTACCAGATTTAATGTGGAGGTTGATATCTCAAGAAAGTTATGGTTTGAGTTAGCTTGAGGTTATCGCTTTCATCCCCTTTTTAACTTTATGTTCTTACTTGGGACATGTTTTTATTGAGACATTACTTGGTTATAACCTGGTTATAACCTGAGACATTACCTGGTTATAACCTGGTTACTACCTGGTTATTACCTGGTAATAACCTGGTAATAACCTGAGACAATACCTGGTAATAACCTGGTAATTACCTGGTAATAACCTGAGACATTACCTGGTAATAACCTGGTTATAACCTGAGACATTACCTGGTAATAGCCTGGTTATAACCTGAGACATTACCTGGTAATAACCTGGTTATAACCTGAGAAATTACCTGGTAAGAACCTGGTCATAACCTGAGACAATACCTGGTAATAACCTGGTAATTACCTGGTAAAAACCTGAGACATTACCTGGTAATAACCTGGTTATAACCTGAGACAATACCTGGTAATAACCTGGTAATAACCTGGTAATTACCTGGTAATAACCTGAGACATTACCTGGTAATAACCTGGTTATAACCTGATACAATACCTGGTAATAACCTGGTAATTACCTGGTAAAAACCTGAGACATTACCTGGTAATAACCTGGTTGTAATCCGAGACAATACCTGGTAATAACCTGGTAATTACCTGGTAATAACCTTAGACATTACCTGGTAAAAACCTGGTTATAACCTGATACAATACCTGGTAATAACCTGATAATAACCTGGTAATTACATGGTAATAACCCGAGACATTACCTGGTAATAACCTGGTTATAACCTGAGACATTACCTGGTAATAACCTGGTTATAACCTGAGACAATACCTGGTAATAACCTGGTTATTACCTGGTAATAACCTGAGACATAACCTGGTAATAACCTGGTAATTACCTGGTAATAACCTGAGACATTACCTGGTAATAACCTGGTTATAACCTGAGACATTACCTGGTAATAGCCTGGTTATAACCTGAGACATTACTTGGTTATAACCTGGTTATAACCTGAGACATTACCTGGTTATAACCTGGTTACTACCTGGTTATTACCTGGTAATAACCTGGTAATAACCTGAGACAATACCTGGTAATAACCTGGTAATTACCTGGTAATAACCTGAGACATTACCTGGTAATAACCTGGTTATAACCTGAGACATTACCTGGTAATAGCCTGGTTATAACCTGAGACATTACTTGGTTATAACCTGGTAATAACCTGAGACATTACCTGGTTATAACCTGGTTATTACCAGGTAATGTCTCAGGTAATTTCTGGTAATAACCAGGTTATGACCTGGATATTACCTGGTTATAACCTGAGACATTACCTGGTTACAACCTGGTTATATCCTGAGACAGCACCTGGTTATAACCTGATTATATCCTGAGACATTACCTGGTTATAACATGGTTATATCATGAGACATTACCTGGCTATAACCTGAGACATTACCTGGTTATAACCAGGTTATAACCTGGGTTATAACCAGGTTATAACCTGTTTATAACCTGGTTAAATCCTGAGACACTACCTGGTTGTAACCTGGTTATATCTTGCGACATCACCTGGTTATAACCTAGTTATATCCTGAGACATAAGCTGGTTATAACCTGGTTATATCCTGAGACATTACTTGGTTATAACCTGGTTATAAGCTGGGCATTACTTGGTTATGACCTGGTTATATCCTGAGACATTAACTGGTTATAACCTAGTTAAATCCTGAGACATTACCTGGTTGTAACCTGGTTATATCCTGAGACATTACCCGGTTATAACCTGGTTATAACCTAGTTATATCCTGAGACATTACCTGGTTATAACCTGGTTATAACCTGGTTATGTCCTGAAACATTACCTGGTTATAACCTGGTTATATCCTGAGACATTACTTCGTTATAACCTGGTTATATCCTGGGACATAACCTGGTTATTACCTATTTATATCCTAAGACATTACCTGGTTATAACCTGGTTATATCCTGAGACATTACCTGGTTATAACCTGGTTATAACCTGAGACATTACCTGGTTACAACCTGGTTATATCCTGAGACATTACCTGGTTATAACCTGGTTATAACCTAAGACATTACCTGGTTATAACCGGATTATATCCTGAGACATTACCTGGTTAAAACATGGTTATATCATGAGACATTACCTGGTTATAACCTGAGACATTACCTGGTTATAACCTGGTTATATCCTGAGACATTACCTGGTTATAAGCTGGTTATAACCTGAGACATTACCTGGTTACAACCTGGTTATATCCTGAGACATTACCTGGTTATAACCTGGTTATAACCTGAGACATTACCTGGTTATAACCGGATTATATCCTGAGACATTACCTGGTTATAACATGGTTATATCATGAGACATTACCTGGTTATATCATGAGACATTACCTGGTTATAACCTGAGACATTACCTGGTTATAACCAGGTTATAACCTGTTTATAACCTGGTTAAATCCTGAGACACTACCTGGTTGTAACCTGGTTATATCTTGCGACATCACCTGGTTATAACCTAGTTATATCCTGAGACATTACCTGGTTATATCCTGAGACATTACTTGGTTATAACCTGGTTATAAGCTGGGCATTACCTGGTTATGACCTGGTTATATCCTGAGACATTACCTGGTTATAACCTAGTTAAATCCTGAGACATTACCTCGTTGTAACCTTGTTATATCCTGAGACATTACCTGGTTATAACCTGGTTATAACCTAGTTATATCCTGAGACATTACCTGGTTATAACCTGGTTATAACCTGGTTATATCCTGAAACATTACCTGGTTATAACCTGGTTATATCCTGAGACATTACTTCGTTATAACCTGGTTATATCCTGGGACATAACCTGGTTATTACCTATTTATATACTAAGACATTACCTGGTTATAACCTGGTTATATCCTGAGACATTACCTGGTTATAACCTGGTTGTAACCGAAGACATTACATGGATATAACCAGGTTATAACCTGGTTGTAACCTAAGACATTACCTGGATATAACCAGGTTATAACCTTGTTATAACCTGAGACATTACCTTGTTATTACCTGGTTTTAACCCGGTTATAACCTGAGACATTACCTGGTTTTAACCTGGTTTTAACCTGGTTATAACCTGAGATATTACCTGGTTATAACCTGAGACATTACCTGGTTATAACCTAGTTATATCCTGAGACATTGCCAGAGGCCTGTACTACGAAGCTGGATTAACAAATCCAGGATAACTCTGGGACAACTCGCTCAACTTCACCGGATCTCCGCGATCCCGATCAGCTGTACTACGAAGCCGGTTATCAACTCCATAACTGAATCCAGTTCAGATCTGTGCGCGCACACCTAAAGGGGCTGGGGTCAGTGCCACCGGACCAATCTCCACAATGGAGAAGGCTGCACGTCATTTTTCACAGCTGAAGAACAGAGCTTTATTTTAACAGTGAGACAGACACAGCCGCTAAAAGCCGGAGGGACTGCCGGCAAAAAAAAAAAAATCACCGGTTGTGTAAATTACATTTGTGCGTTCATAAATTTATGGCCCCCTAATATATTGTCATGCAGCGTGTGTGATCACCACCATCACTGACCTCATTATTTCAGATACAACAGCAGTGGGGAAAAGAGTACGTGGGAGCAAATAAAAATAAATCTAAAAACATCCTTTAAAGTAGTTTGTAAGTTTATTGGAAGATTTTATTTGTACATATTTCAACGCATAAACAGTGATTTCCTCACACTGCCTTTTTTTTTTCTCCATCATCTGATGGTCACGTCATCTGCAGACACATTTGGGGTTAAGAGTTTTCTAATCTGCTTCAATAAATTCTGAATGATGACTAACAAATTTGAACCTGGAGCTTGGCAAATTTTAGTGTATTGCTTAGACTTCATGCTACCTGAATATTGAGGCCGTCCGAGGAAAACCTGTAACGTTCATAGAGAACGTCATCAGGTAAATCAAACAGATTTGAACAATCATGAATATAACGCTCTCGGCGAAGCGCTCCTCTCACTATCCGAGCAACGATGTCCCCGGGATCCGGCAAAAGTGGGCAAGCCATTTTCCAAGAGATCTGATTGGTCATTGGGCGGTCTTTTATACCTGCTGAGATCTTATCCTGAAACATAACCTGCTCCGGAGCAGGTTTGGCGTTCCGCGTAAGTTACCGGGGCAACGGACCCGGATAAAAAGAGATCCACCTTCGTAGTACAGAAAACCCAGAAGTTATCCAGAAGTTATCTCGCTAAGACCAAATCCAGCTTTGTAGTACAGGCCTCTGGTTATAACCTGGTTATAACATGAGACATTACCTGGTAATAACCTGGTTATAGCCTGGTTATTACCTGGTTATAACCTGAGACATTACCTGGTTATAACCTAGTTATAACCTGAGACATTACCTGGTTATAACCTGGTTATATCTTGCAACATTACCTGATTATAACCTAGTTATATCCTGAGACATTACCTGGTTATAACCTGGTTATAACCTAGTTATATCCTGAGACATTACCTGGTTATAACCTGGTTATATCCTGAGACATTACTTGGTTATAACCTGTTTATATCCTCAGACATTACCTGGTTATAACCTGGTTGTAAACTAAGACATTCCCTGGATATAACCAGGTTATGACCTGGTTATAACCTGAGGCATTACCTGGTTATAACGTGGGATTAACCTTGTTTTAACCTGAGACATTACCTGGTTATAACCTGGTTATATCCTGAGACATTACCTTGTTATAACCTGGTTATAACCTGAGACATTACTCGGTTTTAACTTGGTTATATCCTGAGACATTACCTGGTTGTAACCTGGTTATATCCTGAGACATTACCTGGTTATAACCTGGTTATAACCTGAGACATTACCTGGTTTTAAGCTGGTTATATCCTGAGACATTACCTGGTTATAACCTAGTTATATCCTGAGACATTACTTGGTTATAACCTGGTTATAACCTGAGACATTACCTGGTTATAACCTGGTTACATCCTAAGACATTACCTGGTTATAACCTGGTTATATCTTGCAACATTACCTGGTTATAACCTGGTTTTAACCTGAGACATTACCTGGTTATAACCTGGTTATATCCTGAGACATTACTTGGTTATAACCTGGTTATATCCTGAGACATTACCTGGTTAAAACTTGGTTATAACCTGAGACATTACCTGGTTATAACCTGGTTATATCTTGAGACATTACCTGGTTATAACCTAGTTATATCCTGAGACATTACCTGGTTATAACCTGGTTATAACCTGGTTCTATCGTGAGACATTACCTGGTTATAACCTAGTTATATCCTGAGACATTACCTAGTTATACCCTGGTTATAACCTGGTTAAATCCTGAGACATTACTTGGTTATAACCTGGTTATATCCCGGAACATCACCTGGTTATTACCTAGTTATATCCTAAGATATTACCTGGTTATAACCTGGTTATATCCTGAGACATTACCTGGTTATAACCTGGTTGTAAACTCAGACATTACCTGGATATAACCAGGTTATAACCTGGTTATAACCTGAGACATTATCTGGTTATAACGTGGTTTTTACCTGGTTATAACCTGAGACATTACCTGGTTACAACCTGGTTATATCCTGAGACATTACATGGTTATAACCTGGTTATAACCTGAGACATTACCTGGTTAAAACCTGGTTATATCCTGAGACATTACCTGGTTATAACCGGATTATATCCTGAGACATTACCTGGTTATAACCTGGTTATAACCTGGTTCTATCGTGAGACATTACCTGGTTATAACCTAGTTATATCCTGAGACATTACCTAGTTATACCCTGGTTATAACCTGGTTAAATCCTGAGACATTACTTGGTTATAACCTGGTTATATCCCGGAACATCACCTGGTTATTACCTAGTTATATCCTAAGATATTACCTGGTTATAACCTGGTTATATCCTGAGACATTACCTGGTTATAACCTGGTTGTAAACTCAGACATTACCTGGATATAACCAGGTTATAACCTGGTTATAACCTGAGACATTATCTGGTTATAACGTGGTTTTTACCTGGTTATAACCTGAGACATTACCTGGTTACAACCTGGTTATATCCTGAGACATTACATGGTTATAACCTGGTTATAACCTGAGACATTACCTGGTTAAAACCTGGTTATATCCTGAGACATTACCTGGTTATAACCGGATTATATCCTGAGACATTACCTGGTTATAACATGGTTATATCATGAGACATTACCTGGTTATAACCTGAGACATTACCTGGTTATAACCAGGTTATAACCTGGGTTATAACCAGGTTATAACCTGTTTATAACCTGGTTAAATCCTGAGACACTACCTGGTTGTAACCTGGTTATATCTTGCGACATCACCTGGTTATAACCTAGTTATATCCTGAGACATTACCTGGTTATAACCTGGTTATGAGCTGGGCATTACCTGGTTATGACCTGGTTATATCCTGAGACATTACCTGGTTATAACCTAGTTAAATCCTGAGACATTACCTGGTTGTAACCTGGTTATATCCTGAGACATTACCTGGTTATAACCTGGTTATAACCTAGTTATATCCTGAGACATTACCTGGTTATAACCTGGTTATAACCTGGTTATATCCTGAAACATTACCTGGTTATAACCTGGTTATATCCTGAAACATTACCTGGTTATAACCTGGTTATAACCTGAGACATTACCTGGTTATAACCTGGTTTTAACCTGAGACATTACTTGGTAATAACCTGTTTATAACCTGAGACATTACCTGGTTATAACCTGGTTATAACCTGAGACATTACCTGGTTATGACCTGGTTATAACCTGAGACATTACCTGGTTATAACCTGAGACATTACCCTGTTTTAACCTGGTTATAACCTGAGACATTACCCAGTAATAACCTGGTTATAACCTGATACAATACCTGGTAATAACCTGGTAATTACCTGGTAAAAACCTGAGACATTACCTGGTAATAACCTGGTTGTAATCTGAGACAATACCTGGTAATAACCTGGTAATTACCTGGTAATAACCTGAGACATTACCTGGTAATAACCTGGTTATAACCTGATACAATACCTGGTAATAACCTGATAATAACCTGGTAATTACATGGTAATAACCCGAGACATTACCTGGTAATAACCTGGTTATAACCTGAGACATTACCTGGTAATATCCTGGTTATAACCTGAGACAATACCTGGTAATAACCTGGTTATTACCTGGTAATAACCTGAGACAATACCTGGTAATAACCTGGTTATAACCTGAGACAATACCTGGTAATAACCTGGTTATAACCTGAGACATTACCTGGTAATAGCCTGGTTATAACCTGAGACATTACTTGGTTATAACCTGGTTATAACCTGAGACATTACCTGGTTACAACCTGGTTATATCCTGAGACATTACCTGGTTATAACCTGGTTATAACCTGAGACATTACCTGGTTATAACCGGATTATATCCTGAGACATTACCTGGTTATAACATGGTTATATCATGAGACATTACCTGGTTATATCATGAGACATTACCTGGTTATAACCTGAGACATTACCTGGTTATAACCAGGTTATAACCTGTTTATAACCTGGTTAAATCCTGAGACACTACCTGGTTGTAACCTGGTTATATCTTGCGACATCACCTGGTTATAACCTATTTATATCCTGAGACATTACCTGGTTATAACCTGGTTATATCCTGAGACATTACTTGGTTATAACCGGATTATATCCTGAGACATTACCTGGTTATAACCTAGTTAAATCCTGAGACATTACCTGGTTGTAACCTGGTTATATCCTGAGACATTACCTGGTTATAACCTGGTTATAACCTAGTTATATCCTGAGACATTACCTGGTTATAACCTGGTTATAACCTGGTTATATCCTGAAACATTACCTGGTTATAACCTGGTTATATCCTGAGACATTACTTCGTTATAACCTGGTTATATCCTGGGACATAACCTGGTTATTACCTATTTATATCCTAAGACATTACCTGGTTATAACCTGGTTATATCCTGAGACATTACCTGGTTATAACCTGGTTGTAACCGAAGACATTACATGGATATAACCAGGTTATAACCTGGTTGTAACCTAAGACATTACCTGGATATAACCAGGTTATAACCTTGTTATAACCTGAGACATTACCTTGTTATAACCTGGTTTTAACCCGGTTATAACCTGAGACATTACCTGGTTTTAACCTGGTTTTAACCTGGTTATAACCTGAGATATTACCTGGTTATAACCTGAGACATTACCTGGTTATAACCTAGTTATATCCTGAGACATTACCAGAGGCCTGTACTACGAAGCTGGATTAACAAATCCAGGATAACTCTGCGACAACTCGCTCAACTTCACCGGATCTCTGCGATCCCGATCAGCTGTACTACGAAGCCGGTTATCAACTCCATAACTGAATCCAGTTCAGATCTGTGCGCGCACACCTAAAGGGGGTGGGGTCAGTGCCACCGGACCAATCTCCACAATGGAGAAGGCTGCACGTCATTTTTCACAGCTGAAGAACAGAGCTTTATTTTAACAGTGAGACAGACACAGCCGCTAAAAGCCGGAGGGACTGCCGGCAAAAAAAAAAAAATCACCGGTTGTGTAAATTACATTTGTGCGTTCATAAATTTATGGCCCCCTAATATATTGTCATGCAGCGTGTGTGATCACCACCATCACTGACCTCATTATTTCAGATACAACAGCAGTGGGGAAAAGAGTACGTGGGAGCAAATAAAAATAAATCTAAAAACATCCTTTAAAGTAGTTTGTAAGTTTATTGGAAGATTTTATTTGTACATATTTCAACGCATAAACAGTGATTTCCTCACACTGCCTTTTTTTTTTCTCCATCATCTGATGGTCACGTCATCTGCAGACACATTTGGGGTTAAGAGTTTTCTAATCTGCTTCAATGAATTCTGAATGATGACTAACAAATTTGAACCTGGAGCTTGGCAAATTTTAGTGTATTGCTTAGACTTCATGCTACCTGAATATTGAGGCCGTCCGAGGAAAACCTGTAACGTTCATAGAGAACATCATCAGGTAAATCAAACAGATTTGAACAATCATGAATATAACGCTCTTGGCGAAGCGCTCCTCTCACTATCCGAGCAACGATGTCCCCGGGATCCGGCAAAAGTGGGCAAGCCATTTTCCAAGAGATCCGATTGGTCATTGGGTGGTCTTTTATACCTGCTGAGATCTTATCCTGAAACATAACCTGCCCCGGAGCAGGTTTGGCGTTCCGCGTAAGTTACCGGGGCAACGGACCCGGATAAAAAGAGATCCACCTTCGTAGTACAGAAAACCCAGAAGTTATCCAGAAGTTATCTCGCTAAGACCAAATCCAGCTTTGTAGTACAGGCCTCTGGTTATAACCTGGTTATAACATGAGACATTACCTGGTAATAACCTGGTTATAGCCTGGTTATTACCTGGTTATAACCTGAGACATTACCTGGTTATAACCTAGTTATAACCTGAGACATTACCTGGTTATAACCTGGTTATATCTTGCAACATTACCTGGTTATAACCTAGTTATATCCTGAGACATTACCTGGTTATAACCTGGTTATAACCTAGTTATATCCTGAGACATTACCTGGTTATAACCTGGTTATATCCTGAGACATTACTTGGTTATAACCTGTTTATATCCTCAGACATTACCTGGTTATAACCTGGTTGTAAACTAAGACATTCCCTGGATATAACCAGGTTATGACCTGGTTATAACCTGAGGCATTACCTGGTTATAACGTGGGATTAACCTTGTTTTAACCTGAGACATTACCTGGTTATAACCTGGTTATATCCTGAGACATTACCTTGTTATAACCTGGTTATAACCTGAGACATTACTCGGTTTTAACTTGGTTATATCCTGAGACATTACCTGGTTGTAACCTGGTTATATCCTGAGACATTACCTGGTTATAACCTAGTTATAACCTGAGACATTACCTGGTTATAACCTGGTTATATCTTGCAACATTACCTGGTTATAACCTAGTTATATCCTGAGACATTACCTGGTTATAACCTGGTTATAACCTAGTTATATCCTGAGACATTACCTGGTTATAACCTAGTTATATCCTGAGACATTACTTGGTTATAACCTGTTTATATCCTCAGACATTACCTGGTTATAACCTGGTTGTAAACTAAGACATTCCCTGGATATAACCAGGTTATGACCTGGTTATAACCTGAGGCATTACCTGGTTATAACGTGGGATTAACCTTGTTTTAACCTGAGACATTACCTGGTTATAACCTGGTTATATCCTGAGACATTACCTTGTTATAACCTGGTTATAACCTGAGACATTACTCGGTTTTAACTTGGTTATATCCTAAGACATTACCTGGTTGTAACCTGGTTATATCCTGAGACATTACCTGGTCATAACCTAGTTATATCCTGAGACATTACTTGGTTATAACCTGGTTATAACCTGAGACATTACCTGGTTTTAAGCTGGTTATATCCTGAGACATTACCTGGTTATAACCTAGTTATATCCTGAGACATTACTTGGTCATAACCTGGTTATAACCTGAGACATTACCTGGTTATAACCTGGTTACATCCTTAGACATTACCTGGTTATAACCTGGTTATATCTTGCAACATTACCTGGTTATAACCTGGTTATAACCTGAGACATTACCTGGTTATAACCTGGTTATATCCTGAGACATTACCTGGTTATAACCTGGTTATATCCTGAGACATTACCTGGTTATAACCTGGTTATAACCTGAGACATTACCTGGTTATAACTTGGTTATAACCTGAGACATTACCTGGTTATAACCTGGTTATATCTTGAGACATTACCTGGTTATAACCTAGTTATATCCTGAGACATTACCTGGTTATAACCTGGTTATAACCTGGTTATATCGTGAGACATTACCTGGTTATAACCTAGTTATATCCTGAGACATTACCTGGTTATACCCTGGTTATAACCTGGTTATATCCTGAGACATTACTTGGTTATAACCTGGTTATATCCCGGAACATCACCTGGTTATTACCTAGTTATATCCTAAGATATTACCTGGTTATAACCTGGTTATATCCTGAGACATTACCTGGTTATAACCTGGTTGTAAACTCAGACATTACCTGGATATAACCAGGTTATAACCTGGTTATAACCTGAGACATTATCTGGTTATAACGTGGTTTTTACCTGGTTATAACCTGAGACATTACCTGGTTACAACCTGGTTATATCCTGAGACATTACCTGGTTATAACCTGGTTATAACCTGAGACATTACCCGGTTATAACTTGGTTATATCCTGAGACATTACCCGGTTATAACCTGGTTATATCCTGAGACATTACCTGGTCATAACCTAGTTATATCCTGAGACATTACCTGGTTATAACCTGGTTACATCCTGAGACATTACCTGGTCATAACTTAGTTTTATCCTGAGACATTACCTGGTTTTATCCTGAGACATTACCTGGTTATAACCTGAGACATTACCTGGTTATAACCTGGTTATAACCTGAGACATTACCTGGTTATAACCTGGTTTTAACCTGAGACATTACTTGGTAATAACCTGTTTATAACCTGAGACATTACTTGGTTATAACCTGGTTATAACCTGAGACATTACCTGGTTTTAACCTGGTTATAACTTGAGATATTACCTTTTTATATAAAAAAAGAACTTTTTTCCCCCCGAAAATTTTTTAGTTAATTCTGAGATATTATTCTTGTTAATTTAGGAAACAAGAGCAGTTTTATCCTCAAATAAATGCAGTAGGCCTTTGTGTTGAAGCACTCTAAATTCAGTCAAACATTAATCTCAAATATACCTCAAGGTAGGATAAAAAAAACATGTTAAAAATAACTTTGACTGCATTAATCAGGTAAAAAGTAAAGATTTTATGGCGTTTCCGGGTTAAAATTGTGTAATTTCCTGTGGTTTTAGTCAACATCAAAGCAGAGCAGTGGATTAGCTCTGGTGTTAGCCACCCGAGTGTACCCGAATGTAATGGCGTTTACTATGGCTATGTGCTGTTCGAGACTCAAATGTTTCGGTCGCCATATCTACTAATTTCAAAACATGTCTGTTTCTCACGCATTTAAATGAACATGTTGATGTCCACCAAGTTGCACCTCTTTAACTATGGAACAGGTAGGAATCAACTGAGTTCCTCCGAGAGTTCAGAAGCTGCGTGCCACGCGCAAGCCAATCAAATAAAGTATATCTACTGAACAGCCAATCAAAAAGCAGCATTGCTGTATCCGGGTGGATTTTGATGTCTTACGGTTTGACTACAGAAGAAGACAGACACTCGCCGTAATAGAGCAGGTTTTTATAAGGACGAGATTGACCCGATGATTACAGTAAGTCAGTAACCTACACATGCAGAGACCTCAACACCTCATGGCATATAAACTCATATGATAAACTAAAGCCCTATGCTATTGCTATTAACAGCTGTATTGACGGATTTAGCCTCTGTACAGCCATTTCCAGCCATTTTCCCCTCCACAAAAGCAGCATTTCTCATATATCTCAAATATAAGTTCTGATACTCACGACAGTGTAATGCTCATGTACCAAAGGATTAAGTATCTCCATGTTTCTGATACCTATACTAAAGTACAATTCATCTAAATGCTCAACAGTGCTGATTTTAACAACTCTCCTTCACAACAGGTAACTTTACGACTTAATACTGATATTAATGACTTTATTCTGTTTTTTTTTTCTAATTGTGCCCCTTATACTCCGTTGTATTTAAGAGATAATTATACTAATAATTATCTTCAATCCCCCCAAGGAAATCTCACTCTAAGCTTAGTTCAAAACTTGAGAGCCCTGAAATGTCCTCTTCTACAATCCCAGCCATTAAAATGTAAACATAGTACCCTCTTTTAACATTTAAGTGTATGAAGTGTAGACAAAGTGCCTTTAATTTGCCCCACCGCTCCCTTGAATCTAAACAATATCAATATCTAAACAGAATAAAATATAAAAAGCCCTTTTCCTACAATTCTAGTAAAACATATATAAATAAAGTTCCCTCCTTCCTACTATTCTAGAAGAAAAAATGTAGACAAATTGCTCTCTGTGTGCACTATCAGGGAGTAAGATGTAAATAAAGTGACCTTCAGATGTCCCACTACTGAATAAATTGTAAACAAACAGCTGAAGTTGAGTTTTTTAGCCTTCCAGAGGACGATGATTATGCCGTTTCATATAAATGAATAAAACAGAATCCAAAGTCTCTCTGGATCTTTTCAATGGGTAGAATGTAAAGCAAGGTTCACTTTGGTTTTCCCACTGGTGGATAAGATATAAATGTAATCTACAAAACATTGATAAAATATAAACAAAGAGATCTCTAGATGCCCCTTCTAGTGTGATCAAGTGACCTACTGTTTATTTACAGTATACACTTTGTGTTCATATTTTCCTCCAAAACAGCCTGTAAGCCTTTAACCATAGAATATCTCATTAAATAGAAGAAGAAGAAGGAGAAGAACTTTATTGATCCCCAAAGGGAAATTCAATTGTCTGTTGTCTCACGTAATATGTCTATAAAAGTTATCTATTATTTACAAAAGAGTATTATTTAAAAAAGATCTTCTGAATCTTTCTGTCCTACAGCGAAGAGAGAGAAGCCGTCCACCACCATTTGCCCTTTGGTCCATTAAGGTGTTGTGAAGTGGGTGATCCATGTTCTTGAGAATAGTCTCCACCTTCCTCAGTGTAGATCTCTCCACCACATCATCTACTGAGTCCAGCTTGAGTCCAACCACAGAGCCAGCCTTTTTCACCAGTTTATTCAGACGTCCTGTATCTTTGTGTTTGATGTTTCCTCCCCAGCAGACTGCACCATAGAACAGAACACCACACTGCCACCACAGACTGATAAAACATCTGCAGCGTCTTACTACAGACTTCTTTGTATTCTTTGTATGCAAACTGCAGGGAGTCCAGTTTGTCTTTGACCTCAGATTTCAGAAGGCGTAGAATCAGTATAATATAGTATATATATATATATGTATATATATATATATATATATATAATAGTATAACAACCAGATGTTAATTATTCAATTTAAAACATCTTTGAGGATTTTACAGTTTGATGGGAATTTTGGCACCCCTAGTGGACATTGTCTGAAATATAAAGTCCAAGTCAGGACTAGGTCATAAATCCCGCCTCCGCCAGCAAAGCTTATGGGGCTGTGGACAAACTTTAGAAATTTATTACACAGAATATACATTTTTCTTCCCCCTGCTTGCGGTGTTGACATGTAGTTACTTTAAGACTGGTTTGTGCTCAAGTCCTCTTTTGTCTGTCAAGTTTTAAAAGTTATTAGGGGGTTCATGTTTTCTTTGATTGACACTTGATACAGCCTATGGGCGTTCAGGGATTGTGTAGCTCAACCGGGAGATACGCTTGTTTGAGCCAAGTGTCATCACAGCGACTCTCCCACTGAATGCGCACAACGATACTGCACAATGCTGGTTTTTAGGAAATGAAAAATATATTATGGAAATACACAGAGATTTTTGGCTTCAAATCCATATACAGGCGGGACCGAGTTGTCCATTGTATATACAGTCTAAGGTTTGGATTTGGTATGTTTAACCATGTGGATCTAAATTTCCTTATTCCGCACAGGCAAAATTGTTGAATTTCTAAATCCAGGTTGTTCTTATCCAGACATAACCTTTTAAGAAACCAGACCCTGGTCAATGGACACACAGGCCCGATACCTGCTGCGACAGAGGAGAATTTGGGTCCAGGTGAACCTCCCCAGACTTTTTGTGTGTGACTACATTTCAAAAAACACAACAGGATAAGTCCTTGTTGGGCTTTGTTGCCTTGCTCAGAGGCTCTTGGCAGGAGAGACAGTGTTTTTCAGTCTCTGTAGGAGATGAGGACAAACTGTCCATCATCACATCAGCAGCCGTCACGTCCTATTTCCCTCCTGCTCTGCTTCCTGTTGTCGACAGGAAGACTTAAAAATAGAGCTGTCAATCACAGGGTGGGCCTGGCACCACTGGGACTCAAACCGGCGCTCAGGAGGATTAATTATAGTCATTTACCAAAATCAGCACTTTGAAACCTCGACAGATCGTCCGTGTGATTGAGCGAGTTGTGAAAATGAGTTTTCAATCAGGAGCGGCTCGTCTGCGCTGCAGGACGAAGAGTTGTGAATAAACGGAGATATTTTAACATGAAGGATTGAAGTAAACGTCCTAAACTGTGATAACTGCTTTTAGATCAGAGGAGGAGAGACATCAGCGGCTGTCAGTCACACACACACACACACACACACACACACACACACACACACACACACACACACACACACACACACACACACACACACACACACAGAGCTCATTAATAACACTGATACAAAGATGAGCCTGTCTGCCTCTCTCTGCTGAGAAGGTGTCTGGCTGCAATCTACCATCTCTCCAGGACCTCCAGGAGCCACAGGAATGATTGAAGTCCATCTCTCTTACCTTGGACAAAGAATGTCCAAGGCTCCTCCCCTGCAGTCCACCAGGACTGGAGCCTCATGCCACAATCACAGTTTATAAATATAATAGTTTAAAGTATAATAGTTTAATAGTTTAAAAATTATAAATACATGCCCCACCACTGTGCTGAGCAAGTAATGGTCCTGGTCTTGCTCACCCTGTTGGAATTTCAATTTGCATAACCACCTGCTTATTAAGAAGATAACTGAAATCAAACAAAGCAGAGACTTTTAAATGTAAAGATGCATGTCCACTCAGGGCTTCCATGGATAAGAAACGTACAGCCTCATTCTGAAACTGAGCCTCTGACCCTCACTTTCACAAACACACACTTTGATGTGTTGTTGTTGTTGTTGTTGGTGTGTGTGTGTGTGTGTGTGTGTGTGTGTGTGTGTGTGTGTGTGTGTGTAATAGGACAGCAGGAACGTCGCCTCAGGCAAGCCTCGTCTCCAGAAACTGCTCACATCTCAGAGTTCAGGTGTTTGCAGCCTTTCACACGTGTGGAAAAAAACACTGAAAATATTTTTAACCAGATGATTCAGAAACATTTATGACAGACGTCAGTTTCAGCGAGAGACAGTTAAATTAGGACACTTTTATCAGTTTTAGTGTCCAACTTTTTCAGACAAGGATGATAAGAAAAGTACAGAGACACAGTGAGTACTACAAAACTCAGTTTAATTTTATATTGATGGTGTTGTTGTGTTTACTTTCTTTCTCAGCCCAAAAGTCAGTGAAAGTTCTCCAGATGAAGAGTTCCTTTTGCTTTAACGTCATACACAGACAAATGTAATTTTTAATGCCTAAAACTGTGGTGAGGGGGTTGTTACTTTTCCCACAACAAATAATCACAAGGAGGTGTACATGTCACTGCAAAAGGCACCAGCCACTTACTTAGTCCACAGGGGGCGCCAAAATCAACACTGACAAGTTCTTTCCAGGTGCTTTAAAGATACAGTGAGTGGCTGAATCTCAATCTCCTGAGCCCTCATTTACTTAAGGGACAGCACCTGGAAAGTGATTGAGAGAATGAGGCTGCAAGGGCTTGAGTTACTGTGAATAGGAATAGGACAGCCCTTTATCGAAAGCAATGCATCATGCTACTCACAATTGCAGCTTTAGAGCTTTTCTGCCAAACATCACAATGCAATGAACTTTGGGTAATTCCATTATGCTAAGTTTGCAGAGATCCCCACTTGCAGAAAGGGTGCAGGGGTGAAGGGCTCAAAAAGTCAGCGAGAGATCCCTCACACACTTTACGATTTGACAGTGGGACAGCCCTCAGCCCTCGCAGACTTTGCAGGAGCGCGCCTTAAAGTCAGTGAGTGTGTGAGTGTGGACATTGGGATTGGGCCAGTTTGTAGGCACCCCAGAGGTAACGGTCCACGTGCACACCCAAAATATAGAGGTTATACCTCAAGAGGTTGGCCTAATTCCAGCCTGCGACCCCTGTCCCTGTCCTCTCTTTCTCCCTTTTTCCTTCTCTGTCCTCTCCATAAATAACAGCAATAAAAGCCCAAAATATAACTTTAAAAAGGTGACACTTCCTTTCAGTAATTTGTGTAAGTGAGCAGAAGGGTTGCTTGTTCTGCATAAATATGAATGTTACTGAAATATTGCCACATCAAAAGGTCACACCACCAGAACAAACAAACTCACTAACAAACTCAAAGTGCTGGAATTGTGTTTGAAAACTCTTAAATTCCCTTAAGTGTTGAGCACACATGACCTTTTAAGTGAGCGAGTAATTATGTTGCTGTGTTACAAGAGTGAGTAGTGTAAAAACCAAAATGCAGAGAAATCTTTAAAGCAGTTATGGATTGTAAAACTAAAGACCAGTAACACAGAAACATTTAATTTTCTTAAGGGAAAATAAATACATCTGTGTTGGGATTAAGTGATGGAGACAAAGTTTAGAGGAGGAAAGCAACTTTAGTATTTCTGTTCAGGTGTGTTTAGGTGTCACTCAGTCGTCAGTTTGCTCTCCAGAGTCTCAAAGACAGAGTGAGGATCCTGATCAGCGTCAACGGGAATGGCGTCTGGAAAAAAAGTCTAAGGAAAAAAGTATCATCATACTGGATAGAAAGTAAATTCTTGTAAATGTGTGTGTGTGTGTGTGTGTGTGTGTGTGTGTGTGTGTGTGTGTGTGTGTGTGTGTGTGTACCTGGAGGGAGATGATGTTTATCCTATACTGTCTCAGTCTTTGTGTTACAACCTCTGTGCAGTCCTCTGGTCTCACCTGCAGTCGGTCCTGGACCTCAGCGTTCGGAGCGGGTCGAGTCAGAGTGTGGAACCTGCAGTAAGAAATGAATACAAACAATGAATACATTACAAATAATACAAACAATAACCAACAGGTACTGGAATTGGCCTCCTTATCAAACTGGTTTCCTTACCTCTCTCCACTGACCGGATCCGTCGCTCTGAGAGTGATTCTCTCCAGACAAACGTCATCTGTCAACTCCAGGAGGAAAACTCTGTAAGGAGACAATCAAAGGTCATTGTCAGGTTATTAAGAGGTCAGAGGTCAACATCCAGCATCATAAATAAGCTGTTTAACCATCTCACAGACAAAGAGTCCTTAATATTTAAAGAGCGCTTGTATTTTAAACAGTTAATGTGTGGCTGTAGGTCCATTAGAGTGAATATTTATACAGCAGCATCAAATATTCAACAGCACTCAACATGCTGTGTGTGTGTGTGTGTGTGTGTGTGTGTGTGTGTGTGTGTGTGTGTGTGTGTGTGTGTGTGTGTGTTTGGGACTCCTGCATGCTCTTGAAAGTAGCATAAATTGTAGTAATAGTTTTAGCAGTCTGTACTCCTCTCGTCTCTTTGCCTGTTGCACTACAATATCAGGGACTACAGACAGGCAGGTTCAGCAGCAGGTCTCTTCTACTACAGAGTCATGCTGTTGCATTCCCTGTTGTCGGAATATGTTTTGCCATTGTTTTGCTGAAATATGAAGGTCTTCCCTGAAAAAGTCTTTGCCTGGATGTTGCTCCTAAACCTGTAGATATTGTTCGGCATCAATGGAGTATCAGTATTTTTTGGTGGTAGTAGTAGTAGTTGTAGTTGTTGTAAATTGTAGTACCTGCTGGGACTCCTGCAGGCTTTTGGTTAATTGAAGTGGTATTTTTAGAAGTCTAATGGGGGTGGTAGTTGTGTGTGGTACCTGTTGGGCTGATGCTGGGACTCAAGCAGGTTCTTGGCTTGCTGCAGGTCACTGGGGAAGCCGTGAAGGATCCAACCCCTGCAGCTGCAGTCGACTCGGCTCAGCCGTTCCTCCAGAACCTGCAGCACTACAGAGTCTGAAACTGGACCAAAAGGCAGATGCTGTGTTCAAGGAGAGGACCCCCCCCCCCAAAAAAAACTAAACAACTTTAAAACAGAGTTGGCGGTGTGCAAGAAAAAAGTTCCATAGAAACATTAATGCAACAACCAAATACAAAGACATTTAATTAACACTTAATTAACAATCTGCAGCTTCTGCTCAGTTACATACCTGCAGGTATTAATGTGAATAAATACTGGACTAAACCTTCAGAAAACAGGGTGAAATAGGTAATAATATAAACCAGCGGATTGGTTGAAAGCGCTGGTTTATGTAAAAAGTGATCCTCAGAACTGTTCAGTGTGATCATGAATCCTGTATCTGCTGTTATGAAAGGTGTAGAGTAGATTGTTCTATATCTGCAAGATGAACACGGCTCTGTCTGCTCTATTCTGACAGCTGCTGATTATTAAACACAGCTGCTGTGATCCAGCTGGGATCAAACACACACACATACACACATGCACTAATATGAATCTGTGAGTTGGAGAATGAAAGAGGTGGGGGAGAAGTGTGAGTGTGTCGTTAAGAAGAAGTGAAAATCCCCAGAGGGGATGCTGATTTACAGACAGGAATCAAATAGTTTTTACTTGAGTGTAAAGCCAACAAATCCAACACATTACCAGACACTGACACCACTGCAGGATCCTCTCCGTACAATATTTACTCATCTGGATGGAAGCTCTCCTACAGACACCATGACTTTTAGAGTAACTTAACTCTTGATGAGGATGGGCTTTGATAACTTTGCACATTACACAAACCTTTACCTCTGTGGTGCAACAATACCCTTTATGTAACCATGGCTATTGTTGCAATAACTTTAATGAAACACTGAAGTCTGCACGGCCCGCATCTCTCTGTCTCATGTTCTCAAGGATATAATTTTTGTTGTACAAAGTGCAATGACAATAAAAACATTCTGTTCTGTTCCTTGAGGTGACACTAATTGGTTGTCCTATTCACAATACAAGATTGTTTGTGTGTGTATGTATGTGTGCGAGTTACCTGGACTTCCATGATCCAGGTAAGGTTTAATTTTTTCACCCAGAGCTGAACCTTCAGCTGCCACAGACCTCAACAGTTGACCACAACACACTGAGATGAAAAGGGTTGAAAGAGTGACACATTATAAACCTGAAAGTGAAATTGGTTATTTTCTAAAACTGTGGGACAAAGTTGTGTTTCTAAAACTCAGACTAAACAAGAATTTCAGATCCGTCAGTGTTTGTGTGAATGACTGTGAATGTTTGCGTACCATCCACCATCTTGTATTTCTCTGACAGCAGCCTGGCCTGATGACTCTTCCCTGATCCGGGTGGACCCAACAGGAGGATTCTGGGAGTTCTGGGGCGTTGATGAGTCCGGACAAAAGCCAACACTAACGCACAATTAAACACATATGCTCAGCAAACAAAGGCTCAAATATAAAAACACAAATTACATGAGAAAACTCATCCAAAAAGGTGAATGTGTGAATGTAAATCAGTAAATCATCAGCATATTGGGTTAGTGGCCATTATAGGAAGCCTTGATCGGAAGTTTTGCTGCAGTTTAGTCCTGCCTGTTTGGTGTGTAATATAAATCAGGATGAGTTGTTTAAAGTCTCTGGATAAGTTATAATTTTGGTCTTTAATGGCCTCATCTTGAGAGGACAGGTCAGTAGACAGAGCAGGAAACTAGGAGAGAGAGTGGGGAGTGGCATATGGGAAAGGGGCTGCAGGTTAGAATCTTACAGAAGCCCCTAGCTTGAGGACGATAGCCTTTATCCACGGGACATGCAACTTCACCATAAGGCCAAATTTGTGCTTTTTTCACTAGGCCTAAAGAGAGAGCTATAGAGGATCTAAATCTAAGCCCTGGAGGATGCCAAAATATCAAACTCGAGCATCCTGATTTATCACGAAAAACTCTACAATAATGTTGAAAAATGATATCAACATTGGATAGTTTTGGCAGCTGAAATTGTGGTATAGAAGCCAGAACTAAAAGTTTTGGTATGTTTAAACCATAGACTGTGTATAGAATGAACGCCGTCTGCCTCCTTGCTGGGTGAAGCCACCCCTAGAACAGCCCCCTCTGGTGACAAGCTGCTGGCCAGGTCATAAATCCTGCCTCCTCCAGCAATCCCTATGGAGCTGTGGACAAACTTGAGAAATTAATTACACAGAATATAAATTTTTCTCCCCCCTGGTTGTGATGTTGACATGTAGTTACAGTAAGACTGGTTTGTGCTCAAGTCCTCTTTTTTCTGTGCCGCTCCGTATTTTAAAAGTTATTAGGAGTTCATGTTTTCTATGATTGACACTTAATAATAGCCTATGGGTGTACAAAGACAGCGTAGCTCACCCAGGGGATACACTGTTTGAGCCGAGTGTCATCACAGCGTCTCTCGGCGTATGTCCCACCGAATGCTTACAACGCTACTGCGCAATGTTGGTTTCAAGAAGTGCAGAAAAACACGGAAATACTGAGAGCTTTTCGGCTTCAAATCGGGATACTGGTGGAAGGCAGAACCAAGTTGTCCAAAGTATATACAGTCTATGGCTAAATAACTTTGAAAAGAAATGAATAATTATCAAGTCAAGAGGGTACATAGAAGTTAATGCAATGAGATGTACACGATTTATTTAAGTTACTGTGCTCCTGGTGTATATGTGGGTATGTTAACCTTGCTGGTAGATGTCAGCATGTGGTTGGTCACTGTTGATGATCTTCAGGACGTGCTGATAGGCTACGCTTAGACCTGTGACCTCACAGCGGTAGCGCTGCAGCTCAGCCAATAGCTCCTTCTCTGACCGACTTTGCTCTTCCTTCAGGCGCTGAGCAATGGAGTCCTCAAGAGGCCAGATGAAGGTCTTATGGTAAACATCTGCAGACAGGGAGTGAAAACATTAGTCATTACTTCATGTCAGCATATGCTGGTCATTAATGGACTCATCTGATTGGATGGATCAGTGACTAATGATGCTGTTGGACTACAGCAACTATACCTGAGGAGGGGAGGGTTTTTTTATGAGTGAATCTATGCAGCCGGATGAATCAGGACTCACCTCCTGATACTGGGTCCACTAGTTTCCCCTGGCTTCTCTCCAACAGAACATCATCAGGAGCCTCCAGCATTACTACACACACACACATTCCCATTCACAGTAGTATCAGGATAGATGTATGTAGTGGCCGTGAACACATGAACTCTTGATTGAATCTGATCTACTCTGATTTATTCTCACCAACATGCTCAGGGATGATGCCAGCCTGCTGGAGACTTCGAGCCTGCAGTCGAGTCTGAGGGATCCCCTCCAAAAGCCATCCCTGAAATACACACAAAGACAGATGCACAGATAGATGCACAGGTGAACCTGCTGATCTCTTTCCTGCCTTTTTATGCAGTCAGGACCCCATGATCTCTCCATTACCTCTAGCCTCAGAAAGTACAGGAATTTTGTCAAGACCCTGAGGGGGTTTAAAGTAGACTGTATGGGACTGAAAGTATAGACAAGATAAACCTGGTAAGTAGACTGTCCTGATAGCATTTTTTTTAGCAAGTCACTCACCAAACATGACAAAAGGATCACTTTTGTGTGATCATCAAAACCGAGCAAAGAGTGAAAATCTGTAGAAAATAAACTGAAGTTGGTGGTAAATTCCCTCGTTTCCAGAGAGCAATTTACAAGAGCTACAGCTAAATATGTGTTCTTAATGATCTAGTTGGCAAGTTAGGGACTGTGTGAATCTTAATGGACTGATACTGTTGAAATTTACAGTATAAATCTGAATCCTTAATGATCTCCCTCAAGGGTTCCTAAAAACCCATTAAGTCTATACAAAACCTCCTTCTGGACTCCTGAAACTTCCTCCAGCTCTGTTGTTGTAAACTGTCTCTGCATTAACAGTTTAAAAGTTGTACAGATGTCAGACCTGAACTAAAAACTGCTCATTAAACTCCGTCTCCTGCATACAGTCGTGATAGTGTTGTGTTTTTGTATGAAACTGAAGAGTCTGACAGCAGCTGTATCCTCTACCCGCTGCCGTCTGACAGTCACATGAAACCTAAATAAAACTAGACTGTTTAATGCAGACAGCGGCTTCATTCCCACTATGACGCTCAGGAGCATTAATCCCTCAGTGCTGCCTGCCAGGCTGAATAAAGACAACTGACAGTAGCACTGACACACACACACACGCATGTATGACAGGCTGCATGTGTGCAGCACTGAGTTTTTAATGGCTGTTAACAAATGATTAGTTATGTTACAGAGATATCTTACCCTGCTGTCAGCAACTGCAGACAACTCTGTTTAACAATGGAGGTTTGATTTTCCAGCCACGAGTGACCGCTGACAGCGAGACTGAACAGCAAAAACATCACTATCACACCTATCAATACATCCACATGCAGGACCCTGACTAATTTATACAGGAATCATGACATGATGTGGTGAATCTATTTTTTTTTTTAAAGTTCTGTCCACGTGAAAGCTCATAAACAGTTCAAAAGTTCCCATAGTTGTGTCAGGCTAATAGGTGGAGATAATGTGTATTCAGTCTGTCACATAAAATAAAGAAACATTGTGAGCATCGTATAATGACAAAGAATAGCTGTTCTTTCCCTGTTAATACGCAATTATACCAAGTACTGAGCAGATTACACTGACAGCCTGACAACTGGGGCAAGTGCAATGCATGGGAACAAAGCTTGCCATGGCTGAGGTTGGTGACTATATCAGATGAACACCTCATGATTACTGAGGCCATGAAATATTATGAAAATATTGTTAATGAATAGGGTAAACTTGAAGACAAAACAACACAATCAGTTTTCAAAAGTACCGCTTAAATGTGGACTAAGCCTAACTGAACAAATATGTCAGATGTTAGAAGGATTTTCTTTGTACAAAATTTTAAAAAGTAGTCCAATTTTGTATGCATTTTTGTATATATCTTGTCTTTGAAATCTGAAGGTGTAATTAAGTATAAAGAACTTTACCTTAGAGACTTTATTTCATTATCATTTTAACATTATAAATGATTGTATCCTTTTGAAAACATGGAGAAATAAGTAAATAAAGTGTTTAACCTATGGGGACAAATCCTTTTAATTCCACCTGCAGACCTGTAGGACCTCACACATGACGTGATGGAGATAAGAATCAAAGAAATCACCACTTTCATAAAGACTTAAAGGGACATATGACTGAGACAGCAGCCGCAATCTTGGGACGCATTGTGTAGAAAGTAGAAGTTGTGATAATAAAGACAAGTGAAGTGAGGACAGGGAGACAAGATGGCAGAGGGACGGGTAAAGTATTTAATCTGACAGGAGGAGGCGGGGTCCAGATGGGGGCTGTCAATCATCCTCCCTCCTGCATTCAGTCTGACAGTCAGAAAATAAAGACATCACACTCACACACATCCTCTCAAACACCAACACACGCAGTCCCAGGTGTGTTTGATGAGTTTAGCCTGCAGCCAAAAACAGCCATTAACAGATGAAAGTCGCTGATAATCACACACACAAGCACACACACTAAACTCTGATGCTAAATGCTAAACGCTGAAGCTAAACGCTGGAGGCTGAAAGAGGCAGCTGTTTGTAGTGTTTAGAGGAAAGACGGGAGCTGAACGCTGGTTTACTGCTGATCACTGAGAGGCTCCGAGGCACACACTGAACACCCACTTCCACACACTAAACACACACTTTTACACACTGAAAACACACCAGCTGACCGGAATAAAGTGAGAAACAGTAGATGAAGAAGTGTCACACAAAGAGATGTTGGACATGTTTTCTTGTTGTAGCCAAAGCAACTTTTAAATATAAACCTCTGGGTTCATGAGACGCTGATTTAAACATTTAACTCATATCAAAACGCAGATGAACAGCGATGAACAGCGAACAGCTGAGGATTGGAGCTCAGTTCTCCTGTGTGTATGGTCACATGGAGCTCCATCTGCACAAGTGATTTAGCCACACAGTTTGTTGTAGCTATCTACAGTCTCTTCTTCACTGCTCACACCGGTCATTTTCAGAGACCTACAGGGAGAACTGATGAACCTGAAAATGAACTGAAACCTTTTCTTGGACCCAGTTTATTACCTACAGGACCCCTTGGACCTGTTCACTGACCATTGGAGTCTTAGAGGCAATCAGTCCCACTAGGACTTTTTCCAATTTTGACTAAAATGTCCTTTCTTTATCTAAAACTCACCAAAAAGATCACATAAATTATCTGCAGCGGCCACTTAAACTTCATTGAAATCTTAAAGACTTCCTCTACAAACACAAACACCTCCTAACATCCCTGTTGAATAAGAATAAGGATAAGAATAACTTTATTACAAGCATAATAAGGTTCAGTCCTTTTGGCCACAAAATCTACTACATGGGTATGAAATCAGGAAAACAGCTAAACACTGGACCACAGTATAAAGGGACTGGAGCCTATCCCACTTTAAAGGTCAGGGCGTACCCCAGACAGGTCACCAGTCCATCACACTTACATCCACAGGTTAATAAGGGTCACCAGTTCACTCAGCAAGCATGTTTTTGGACTGGAGGAAACACACACATGCACTGGTACAAAATCCACACAGACAGGCTCCTATTTCTGGCCTCAGATACAGATCAGGAACCATCTTAAAAGCTGTCAGTTTTTACCACTGCACCATTGTGCAGCTGTTATTACTACACTAGCTACAGAAACACACTTGTTAGAAACAAAAAGCACTGACAAGGGGTCCACTGATATTACTTTTTCAGGGCCAAAACCACTTACTGTTAACACATTTGGAGTAAAAATCAGAATTTGGAAGTTACAAACTACAACCCAAAACCTTTTTGAAATGCCTTTTGCAATTTTTTAATCTGCTGATTCCTATATGTCATAAAACTGAAGACAAAAAAGGACAAGTTAAGGAAAAGTACAGGACAAATAAAGGAGAGGTAGCAGCTGCTAGTGAGTTAGCCATAGCTGCCCTCTGAGGGATGATTAGGCACTTTGAAATTTAGAGATTTACTTGAGATTTACTGTGAATCCAGAAACACTGTTAGAGCTTCTTCAGGTTACTGAAAAGTTGAATATTTACACTTTTAATAGTTTTTAAACTGTCTTCATTGAGTGCTGTAACCATAGACTGTATATACTATAGACAACTTGGTTCGGCCTTCCGCCAGTATATGGATTTGAAGCCGAAAAGTTCTCTGTATTTACGTGTTTTTTCTCTACTTCCTGAAACCATCATTGCTCAGTTGCGTTGTACGCACTCCACCACTTGCACAGTAGCATTGTACACATTCGGCGGGAGAGTCGCTGTGATGATGCTCAGCTTAAAACAGCGTATCCCCCGGGTGAGCTACGCGATTTTCATACACCCATAGGCTGTATCAAGTGTCAATCATAGAAAACATGAACCCCCTAATAACTTTTAAAAATGGAGCTGTACAGAAAAAAGAGGACTTGAGCACAAACCAGTCTTACAGTAACTACATGTCAACATCACAACCAGGGGTGAGAAAAATTCATATTCTGTGTAATAAATTTTTAAAGTTTGTCCACAGCTCCATGGGGATTGCTGGTGGAGGCGGGATTTATGACCTATACTGCAGCACATCACCAGAGGGTGCTGTTCTCGGAGTGGCTTCACCCAGCGGGGAGGGAGATGGCATCCATTCTATATACAGTCTATGGCTGTAATTTACAATCTACCAGGAATATTACCCTTCAAAATAAAAGCATAATCAGACCATACAGGAAACAATTCAAACAGAAGAGGTAGTGTCTTCTGTAAAGTGGATAAATCATATTTTCAGTTAGAAAAGATAACGACATGTAAGGTGATTGTGTCTGGTTACGTTTTTATAGTATAGTGTTTTGCTCCATCCTTGTCTTTGACAGATTGTGCTATTTTATTTTTCGAGTTTTACGCAAATATCCCGATATCATGTCACAGCCTATTTTGGTCATGATAATTGAGAGGCGAAAATCTGATATCGAGACAGCCCTGAATCACATACAGAAGTTCACTGTTAACCATTTACATTTACAACAAAACAGCAGAGAGACGGGTAGAGTATTTAATCTGACAGGAGGTTGCATGAACATCAAATGGTCATGAGTGACCAGAGTGTGGGCGAGGCATCAGGTAGGACAAAGTAGTGTGAAATAACAGGCCAAGAGGGCAGCACAACCATCTGTAAAAGGCTGGTACAGATAACCAGACAACATTGGTCCAGACAATCACCTAACACTGATTTTCAGTCTCCCCTAACACTTTAAAAGTCCTTGTTAGTCCTCCACAACACCCCAAATGACTACTAGAACTGAGGACTCTAAGCACTAAGAACTCAATCTGTGTTTATGAGGAAGGACACTCCACAGACCACAAGGCCATCCTGAATCAGTACTTGAACTTCCCTAAACACTTGATTACTGACACTTTCAAACTTTGAAAAGCAAACTTTGAGCACCTCTGTGAGTTTTTTCCTCCAGAACCTCCAAAGGAACATTCAAACCATCCAAAGTAAATCAAGACTCTTCTCTTAGACCACCTTTGTGCCTGACATGACTTCTGGATTCTCTCTCAGACTGTCTTGTTTGTTCCCACTCAAACTCTCCTTCCCTGTATGTGTTTTAATGCCTCACATTCACTGTAAAGGTATTTGAATAAAGGGCAGACGTTCAATCAGACAGATAAGTGCAGTTGTGAGCTTCAGTTTGTGTTGTTGTTTTTGTGTGAGTGTTGCTGACAGCAGCTTCACGTTCTTTAATTCTCTTAAACTGATCAGAAACCGGCGCTCGCTGTCCTGATGAACGCTGACAGGAAACAGGACGTAATGCTAATGAGGAGCAGCAGAGAGGACGAGCCCGAGTGAAAATAACACCCGTGATGTGACAGCAGCACGTCTGTTTGATCAACTGATCCCCGGGGAAACACGCCAACACGCTAGTCGGCCTGCTGGGATTCGTGGTACGACACGGCAGCGACCAGAGCGCTAATTATTATCATCACAGAGGCACATCAGAGAGAGAGACAAAGAGACAAAGAGAGAGAGAGAGAGAGAGAGAGAGAGAGAGAGAGAGAGAGGCAGCTGTTCTGCTGCTACTACCAAATGGAAACAGTCTGCTCTTGGTGGTTCATTGGACGCTGTAGCTCTTTTCACTGATACACAACGCTGCTGCTGCATGTTCCCTGAAACCTTTAAGGTGGACTGAACTTTTTTCACCCTGACTTCACTCGAGACTTTACCTGCCAGCCCTTCTTAAAGTTACTGTAGGAGTGTGAGAGGGGGATTTCATGTGACTGGTATGATCTTTTATGGAGACTATAATGCAGCTTCATAATCTTCTCTGCTCCCAGTACGTTCTTTACACTCTTTCAATAATACTGTGAATATTTCTGGATATACATACTACTGAAATCAATATAAAAAACTGTCATCATAGCATCTGGCTCTGTTACTTTGCCTGTTATCACTAACCCCCTGAAACAGCATAATATGAGTGACCTAGTGTGTGATCTCATAACACTTTATAATGTTGTGAAAGTCAGAGCGGCACAGCTTATAAACACACATGGGGTTGCCATAAACACACACACTTAGACAAGCACATACACAGTGCTGTTCCACCCTGCCTGCTATATCACCACCCTCTGCCCCCCATCAATGTCAGCTGAGACCTGCAACAGAGGACCAGAGGCTTAATGACCTAAACCCACCATGATGCCTCCTTGCTTTAAAAACTGCAGAAGAGACGTAAAAAGGGAATATCCAGCTTTGACACAGCTGTATGTGAGGATTTCCTGGCAATTTTCAGTTGTTATCAATTTTTATCTTAATTTATGTATTTTTAGAAGACAGAGAGTTTTCTCCCCCTTTTCCCTTCACAGAGATTGGTGGCTCCTCCTACACCAATGCACCTGCAATCAGCGGCTACACTTAAGCTCTGCCTGGATGTCCCTCTGTGCCAGATTATTCCCACACCTGCTGTGGAATCTAGGCCAGTTTATGAGTATCGCTACTTTTGAAACTCATTCTCATTAACATGTGATTTACCATTGCCTAATTCTTGTTCTCCTCCTCACCCCTCCATGCTGCCACAACTCACTCTCAGGATCACTCACCTGCCTTCTCAGCAAACTCACTCGTCCTCACCTCACCAGGGAGCTCACACCTTGGACCAAGAACCCATTCCCCTTGTCACATCCACTTCAAATAAATCTTTAAACACTTCCTGTTGCCTCCAGTCTGCTTCTGGGTTCAACTTAGAATGCACAGTTAGGAAATCATTACAGTTTTGCTCTGAAGATACTGAGCACAAAAGACACTGAACAGATAATAAAAGCTGCCTATCTCAAAACACAGTTAGTGGACAAGTGGACACAGGCCCTTAAACAAGGACAGACTGTGATGTGTGAGTGCTGATAATGGTCTTACTCTGTTGAAGCAGTCCTTTCTGTTGAGTCTCTGTTGGATCTGTTGGACCAGAAGCTCAGCAGGAATCTCCTTCACACACAAACACATAGTATTAACAGTGTAGTTCTATCAACAGCACACATTTATTGTCTCTTGTCATCTGTATCTGATCATCACACATCTGATGTTTGCAGCTGATCGTGTTGTGATTAAATTGTAGCGTGACAGAGTATGTAAGTTAGCTGGAGGTCAGAGGTCAACACTGTGTATGTGTGTGTGTGTGTGTACCTGATCTTTGAGTGTGTGTTGGCATACCTGTGCGCTCAGCTCTGTCTGGTTCTGCAGTAAACTGTCTACAGTCACACGAACAGCTCTCAGCTCTTCACTCAGCTTTTTGGCCTGATGGACGACAACAATGACAAAAGACTCACACTCTCTGGTTACTAGTCCTCTATATTTGATTCCCTGTCCAAGATATTTAATAGACCAATAAACCTGAACCCTCTCACCACCATACTCGGTATTCAATGTGAGAATGATCATCTTTCTAGATTCCTTCTGATTGCACTGCTTTTGTAACCCTTTTAGCAAGAAGGATAATTTTACTTAATTGGAAACAGACTGCCCCACCCTCCTACAAACATTGGGTGAGAGATACACAACAACTCCTGAGGCTAGAAAAGATCAGAGTGGCTCTACGATGTCCTAAAGATCATTTCAGAAGGATATGGCAACCTTTTATTACATTTTTGCTCAAACAAACATGAGGCTTTGTCCTACATCTCATCCATGATGTCCTTTATTATTACTACTGAAAATCACTTTTTTTTTGTTTTTTAATTTTACTATAATTAGATTTTTTCTTACTTGTCCCCAAGGGTGGGGGATGGGAAAAAAAGTTTGTTCTTGCATTTTTGTATATATGCTGTTACATTTTCTGGAAAATCGATAAATGAAGTGTGAAAAAAGGTGTTACAGACTAAAAATACGACTTAATAAACAGCCGTCAAAGATGTTTGAGACAATGCAAACATTAGCACCCAAGTATAAAAAAGGAGAAATGGTGGCATTAAAAAACACATTTCACCTCTCAGACATTAGCTAGAGCTGTTTATTCTGAACAAGAGTAAGCTCAAGCAGACCACACAAAGACCCTCACCACTGTTTGCTTTCCAACAGCAGGAGGACCGAGCACCATGATCCTGGGAGCTGATGCACAAAAAGGGAGAGAGGCAGACAGATAAGGCAGAGAGACAGACAGAGAGACACACAGGCAGTGAGGCTTTGACATGAACAAAAGGTCACAGTGAAAACAAAACTTCAGAGTCTTAATAAAAGTCAAATATTCATGAACTAAAGTTTTTTTGGGGACAAAAGGGTGGAGTTTTAAGTATTCAAAATGTATTCAACAAGGTCCAAGAGGTTTTGCGTTTTATGAAAACATTTAAAGAAATGATCTTGTTGTTGGAAGAAATAAGAAAATACAAAAAGAACAAAACAAAAAACAAAACAACAAACAACAAAAAAACAAAAAAACTTGTGGGCCTCTTTCAAATTCAGTACCATTACTGCAGCACTTAGAGTACTCCCTCAACAAATACATGTAAGGGGCCAGGCACTGATTTCAAATTACCTGGCATGAAAAGTCATTCTCATTATAAATACACACACAAGCACTGATGGCTTCAAAATTCAGCATTATGGATTGAAGACCTTAAAAAATTCACGCTGTAATTCCACATTATTAAACGCTCACAGGGAAAATAGATCCCTAACCACCTTTTATTTGTTCTGCTGACCATCTTAAGTCTCAAAAGGGAAACTACGAAAAAATTTGTACAACATATGAACTCCTCTCTCAACTCTCTCAAGAAATTAACTCATGCACACAAATACTGGAATCTTGTGCGCACAAGTTATGATCTTGTGAAAACAAGTTTGTTGTCTTCTGCTCACTGGAGGAAACAAGCTTTTATCTTGTCAGACAGTGAAGCCATTTTGTGCATACAAGTTAAATATTGTGTGTGTAATAATTAATTTATTATTACTTTTAATTAGTATATTTGTATAAGATTATTACCTTGTGCAAACACCGTAGACATTTTCAGTGCAGAAGTAAACCCCAGTAATCCTCACAAGAAAATTATATAATGCATATTAATTAATACACTTGTCCACAAAATATATTTCTACAATGTGCACAATATGAAAGCCTATTTGGAGAAAATTATTAAGTAACATTCCTAAGTCATTTTTTAAAATCCTTTCTATATTTAATTTTAGTTCGGAAAATAGATTACATTTGACAACCAAAAGTCAAAGCACTAAAATAAGGAAGGACCAAATAAATGTGATTCTGGAGGATACTACATTTGTATCTGTGGATCACTGAAATTTGTACAATTTAAATAAAAGAATAAAACTTGAATTAAAAAGAATGAAATAAATTAAATCGAAAATGTCAGAGACATATAAGGGTCCGATATCTCAGGTTGACTGATTTCGGAGAGGACTGGCTAAAGACTCACAGCTCCATCTAGTGACTGAAGAAATAAGTGATAGCTCATTGGATATATGAGCATTTAGAGTATTTCGGCTGTCTGTGGAGTTGGACTTCAATAAAAGCAGAACACTGAAATTCTGCGGGATTTCATGTTGGAGTTCATGTTAAAGATGAATAAATGCAACTGTGTGTCTCTTGCTCTCTCTTTTTTATATCACCACCTCTTTGATACATCTAAAAACTCACTGCACAGCTCTCAGTTTTTACCTCAGAGGCACTGAGTTACTTCAGCTCAAGTAAACGTGTTGGTGTGTGTGAGGACTTACTGTCCACACTGCTCCTCTGCAGTAGGCTGATCAGATAACTGATCGGATCTTCAGGCTGATCAATCACCAGCCTGGAAAGCATGCTCTGAAACACACACACACACACACACACACACACACACACACACACACACACACACACACACACACACACACACACAGAGAGAGAGAGAGAGAGAGAGAGAGAGAGAGAGAGAGAGAGAGAGAGAGAGAGAGAGAGAGAGAGAGAGAGAGTGAATTAGTTTAGTCCTCTTGGTCTGCAGCTGCAGCTTTAAAACCAGCAGACTGACTGGTGAATACCTGCATTAGATGATAGACATTATGTTTGTCTGCGTAGACGGACATTTGTGGAGGGATCCTCACAGGTTTCACTGTCTCATCCATCACCAGCAGAATGGGGCGAGGTGATACACGTGATTGTTCTTTTTCCTGAGGACCATGAACGCACCACAGTGCCACAATTAAGATATACAGCACAAAGAAGACGACCAGTTAAAGATGGAAACCTTTTCTTGTCGTCAAAAATAAGGCAATAGTTAAATTTATCATTAAACAGTGGTCTTACAGGGAAATACGTGCTTTGTCCTGCAGTAACAGCAATACTTGCACTGAGCTAAACACAGACGGACAGAACCATATACAGTGATGTTGTTAAACTCACCTTTCTTTAAGCTAGGTTAGCTTCTCCCCGTTTTAACTCTTTCTGAACGACTGTCTGAACCGTCTTGAAACATTAACTGTTAAGAGTAAAATTCAAGAAAACCACCTGTTGCCGAACTGTTGTCACCGTCTGCTCCTCATTCACCCTGACAATCTGGTTGCTAAGAACGTTTGTTTGTCGCTAGGGGCGAACGTCATCAGCGCGCTTGCGCAGTTGAGCAGTGAGTGTTTTACATCAACGTGGCTGCATCTGTGTTTTTTTCTATGGGACTAAGATTAGTTTAAGTAAACGAGTATTAAAATACAGATGTTAATCGAGATGACTGGCCGAGAAACTCGTCTCTGTGTCATCTGTGATGGTGTAAGAAGGATTAAATGATACAATAAAGAATTACAAAATCCTTATCCAGTAATTTAATAAAAAAAAAAAGTAAACCATCATTCGTTGTATATTCATTACATGCTTACATATCACCTTTCAATGACCTTCCTTTTTCGAAATCAGATGATTATGGCTTATACTGGCTCATGTAAACCAGAAATTCAGTCTCTCATGTTACAATATTTTCTAATATCAGTCAAGAAAAGGGATTAGAAAAAACAAAAATGACTAAATTCTGGAGAGCATGTTCATTCATACACTAAGTATTTGGCTGGGGCTCTTTAACCATGCAACACTGCATCAATGTGGTGTTCTGTGGAGTAGGGGATCAGCCTGTGGCCCAGCTGAGGGTGTTATTGAAACACCAGTTGCTTTCATCACAGCCTTAATCTCAGCTGTATTTTTGGACAAGGTGTTTGTCATCTTAATGTAATCAAATGACCCATGCCAATCCCAGGTCAATCCTGACCTGAACCCATTAGAAAATGATTGACCAACCACATGTTCAGCAACCCATTTTGTGGTAATTTTGGCACTGCTGGCGGGTGCCAAGTCCAGGTAAGTGTTCCTCAAATTTGTCCAATAATACTGTCGCTTCATAATGTAGAGATGAACTGCTGTTTTCCTTTTACAAGATGAACCAGTAGTAATAAAAGTTCAAAACAATATTGTAATGTTCATGTTAAAACACTTGTGCTTGTATACTTTTTAAAACTTTATCCCTTTACCGATGTGTTTCTATGTGAGAAATTAAAGTGTATTTGTTCCACACAAGTCAAGTAACCAAACTAGAATTTTGTCTCAAGGGAAACTCTCTGAGCAGACAGATATCAGCTGCCACTGCTGTACAGTTTTCTGCCACAAACACAATGTGATCAAAAGAGAAATTTATGATAATGATTGAGCAATGATCAGCACACAAACTTTGGAGATTTTAGAAGTCTTTATTTCTAGTGTTCACAGTTTAACATTCATCTTGTCAGGCTTGTGATACACAGCTACTGGCAACAAGCACTGATACAGGTGTTTTTTGAAGAACAGCAACTTTACAACACTGAAGTTGCCATAGTGAGTTGCTGCCGAAGCATAAAAAGAAAAAAAACTAATCATGAGACTGTCATCTGTCCAGAGACCGGTTCATTCATTTGGCTGGATTCAGTCCTACAGGTAATCAGAGCAAGTCTTTGGTTTGTGGGTCATCTCTGTAACTCTAGTTTACATTCTTGACTCAAACTTAGCATCTTCAGTTTCTGGCTGAAAAGTACAGTGTGATAAGTTTGTAACCAAAGGCAAGCTGGTTTTAATGTGCGGCTATTCAAATGACAACAAAGTAAATGCAAAGATGAAAGTACACCTCAATGGCAAATGTCATTCATTTAGTCACCTGAATCAATCCTGAGCTGTTAACCTGAGGAGCTACTTTCCCAAAATCAACAACAGTTATATTTAGTCTACATGCATAAAGTTCGCTGATCATGAACTGATCAAGGCTGGTTACTGTATCTAAAGCCCTGATGTGTCATCACAAATGAACTGATTCAGATTTACAGGCTTAAGGCTGCAAGGTGAGAAACAAAATGAGTCACAAAGCGTCCTGATGTTGTTACAAAATCCATGATGACTGTCTGTCAAAGTCCATGCCAGAGGGCAAAATCAGGCAGTTTGTCTGGGGTCAATGCTCTAATGCTTCAGAAATGCTCCAAATCATGCCAGAGAAGAGGCCAGGTGGCTGATGGACAAAATATTTGGCATTTAAGCTGTTAATTAAAAGTATAAAACACCAAGAACAGAACCCCGAGGAACCCCACAACCAATTACTGACATCAACCTTGGGAGGATTTTTTCGCCCCATCTTTTCGATTTAACAAGATGATAATATGTGAAATTAAGTCACACAGCTTAGTGGAAAAAGAGTAATTGGGAAAAATCAAAACAGTATAGTTACAATAAACTGATTATTTTCCTTTTAAGGATTTATTGCACGATTCAGATCTCAGTTAGTGTTGTGATGCTGTTAAAGCACTGTGAGATGTGTTTCAAAACCAGGAACATGGCCGGCTGCAGAGAAGAGGGAAAGAGTTTGGCAACAGTAAGGCAGTTTTTTTTGTTACAGCTAATCTTGCATGGTTAATATAAGAGCTAGTAGTTTCTTAGCTAATTCGTCAGTAATAAAAATAAAAATTCAGAGCTGTTCATTTTCCCAGCTTTTCGACTTTTGAAATTGTCAGGACCTTCAGTCGCAGTCGATATCTCATTACCATTACTAAGAGATCATGAAGACCTTCTCACTAAAAGTGCTGTTAAATAGACGAGTTCTATTCTGCTAAACCAACTAACTGATACCAGTAAATGATAAATAAAGAGAAATGAACTTCTTTGGGGTTTTAGAGGTGAAATAAACGTGATAATAAATGATAGCTCTATAAATTCCAAGTGTTGGAAATTAGTAAGAGTTAAGGAAACTCAGGATTTAAAGTGTTGTGTGTTTTGTTTATAATCGTCTCCACACAGAGGTGAAACTCGCTGTTGGATCCCTTTAACGAAGCAGGTACCTCAGCTTCTGTTGACATATCAAGCCTGTTGTCAGCCACCGCTGTAGGTTAATTAAGTTAATGATAATTTTTCTGAAGTGCGACTGAAGGTCATGTAGTTCAGGAGATAAAGATAAGATGGCAACTGCAGACTGTCTGCTAGTTAACAACTTAGCAGTAGCTAGCTAATGCATAAAGCAGCAGATCTCTCTCATTTCTCTCAGCCGTCACCCTTCTCCTCCTCTCTCTATTACTTCCTTTTCATCCATTTTTCCATCCCTCCATCAGAGCTCAGGCAGGGTCTCGTCGTAGTCCATGATGCTCAGTTCATGTCTCCGCTGGCGCACAGCTAGCGTCAGGTCTGCAGGGGGCCCTGGAGGTCCACAGGTGTGATGGCTTGGTGGCTGCGTCTGAGGACTCCCTGCAAGGAGACTAACCTCCTCTACCTCACTACTCAGAGGAGGACTTCCTCTCTTAGGATCCTCCACTTCCTCCTCATCCTCCTCATCCTCCCCCTGCAGCTGCTCCTCCTCTGGTTGCTCCTCCTCTCCCTGGCTGTGATTGGTCGGTCTAAAAAGCTGCCGTGCCCGCTGCTCCAGGAAGGAGCCTACAGTCAGGGGGGACTCGATGGGGGAAAGTGAGAGGGGGGAGGAGGAGCAGGACGGGAGGTGGAGGGGGGAGGTGGAGAGAGCCTCCACGCCACCGTTTAAAATACCAACAGAGGAAGATGAGGGGCGGAGTTTGTGGCTGTCCTGAGGGGCTGGTAAGGCAACACTGCCACCGTTAGGCCTGAAAGTAGGAAGACATCACATGATGATGTCATCAGCTGTATGCCTTCAGATTGGTTGAAATCTTCATGACATCACTCAAACTAGTTTACCTGCTGGAGACGTCCTTAGGCTGGCTGTGGGAGTCCAGCTGGACTTGGCTGTACAGGTGAAGCATCTCAGTCTGCAGAGTCTGGGTGACTCTCCTCAGAGCGAGGCAGCGACTCTGACACGCCGACAGCTCCGCCCTGAAACCAAAACACCAACAATAGCTGGTCAAATATTAAAACACACCTCATACATGACATGAGTCAGGGGTTTTCGTTTCTTGCAGGTTCCTGCCCCTGCTTCTGAGGCCATATACACAACAACAAACAGATACATGTCTGTATCACTCAGCTGTCAGACTCTGACCTGCTCTGAGCTTTAGTCTCATCCAGGAGTTTCTTCTGATCCAGGATCAGCTGGTCTTTGTTGGCCAGCTGGTTCTCCAACTCTGTTATCCTGTGATTGGCTGCTTCTAGCTTCTGCCTGTGCTGGACGTCACTATCTTTCAGTCGCTGGTATTCCTTACCCACATTGCACTGCAGCATGGACATCTCCTGGAGACATCATTGATATCAATACTGTCACTACATTAAAACCAAGACCATAACACAGCTTAGGACTCAGTAAGAATAATGTTATGTTGAAGAAATGTTGACACCATGGGAACCATATCACAGACGGAGATCCTCTTTTATCTCCACAGTGTTCCTGAGTATTCAGTATATACATTGTGTTTGTGCGTGTGTCCTCACAGTCCAGTGGTGCGTCTCTCCTCCCTCCAGCTGTTCGCTTAGACCTCTGTTTGTTTCCCTCAGCAGAACAAGCTGCTGGTTCAACAGGAAGATCTGCTGCTGCAGCTGCTCACTGCTGCACAGCTGGAGACGCACAGAGAGCACAGAAGACGATATGATGTATACTTTGGGTACAAATCAGAAGTATGCTATCTCTTGGGTTTATGGTACATCAAAAGGGTTGTATACTGCTTGTCTTCAAAGCCAATCAAGGTGTCTACAAGCAAGAAAAGAACCATCCTTGACCACATCATCCATGTTTTTATAAGACCAGTTTGAGTCAGATTAAAAAAACAATTTTGTTTTAAACTATTCAATCATACTCTTTGACGTTACAGATTTTCTGTTATCCTACTGGAGTTCACCTTACCTTGAGGGACAGCTGGGTCAGCTGGTGTTCTGCATTATTAGCCTTGTTATTGGCTTTCTGAAGCTCCACCTCCACTTCTTTTAGCCTGCTCTGACACTCCTGAAGCTCACTCTGAAACAACCAATCACACCACAACTTAAAAAGACTCAATGAGAGATGGTATAACAGCTGATTCCTTAAAGAAAAAAATATGGATGGTTTTCAGCTTTTTTTCCCCACTAGTTGTTGCCAATGTCCAGGACCATAAACCAGAACACACGACATGCCAAAATACTTGGAGCTCCCCCTAGTGGCTGACTGTAGTACAGGACATGAAGCTGGTATCACTCTGATGCTTCATGTGTATCAGTGTGTAAACATGGTGTGTATCAGAGAACAGGGTTTTTAGTGTTAATGATTACCTGCAGCCTCTGGTTTTCTCTCTGCCCCTCATGTTGTTGCTGCAGCAGCTGGTGGTTGTGTGTGTGCAGCTGATTGGTTTGTGTGTGTGTGTCCTGCTGCAAGTGTGTGTATCGTCGCTGCTCTTCCTCCAGACTTGACCTCAGAGAGCGTATCTCCTCGTCCTGCACACCCAGCTGACCTTTCTGCAACACACAACCACACTTGAACATCCAGAAATGCACACAGAGAATACCCAATCCAGCTGGGACAATCTGGATCCAGAAAATCAACACTCGGCACGGGGCAGGGTCGTGTGCACAAGTGTGAGATGGTTGTGTGTTTACAAGCATGTTACCATGGCAACGGTCTGCTCCTCCAGCGCCGTGGCCTTGATGACTCTCCGCAGCAGGCGGCGGTTTCTCATGGCGTGCTGCTGACGTTTAAAACGCTCGTACTGCAGCTGACTGTGAACCAGCAACAGCTGACTCCTCAGAGACTGAAGCTCCTCCCCCTGGGTGGGGCCTGGCGCCACACACAAAAACACAAGGTCCCCTTAATGTACACACTGAGACGGAATATTCTTCTGCATTTAACAATTCTAAATGACGTCTAATGGTGATGCGGTGATGCATTTGAGGCACTGCAGGAGTCCTGGGCGTCAGAGTAGTGAGCAGCAGATTTATGACATTAGGAGGATCAGATGTGAAAATCTTGGTATCTACAGTTATCAGCGGGCTGAAGAACACACCATGACAATAAATTGACAAGCTGCTCAAGTCCAAACTAATTCACCAATTTCAGTCTCCTGCTACTTTTGTATGATCAGGTCAGATTAGTCTGGTTATTTCATGTCTGACAGTCACAGTCCCATTCAAGTACATGCTGATCTGAAGCATCAATCAATACCAAATAACAAAATGCAAAAGTAATCAATCCTCAAACACCAGAACCCATCAGCACATCCACCGCACCAAACAGAGTCTAATCTAAGGAGTTACATGATGAAAAAAAGACTTTCAAATACTGATAATACACATCAATGAACCAATCAATCAGTGAGCGTTAACCATGTTAATGAGTTAGTTTCAGGTACCTTTGGTTTTCATGCTCTGCTGTTTACCTCCAAAATGACTCCGATCCACTGACTTATTCACTCCTGACAGCCTGACAATCAAACACACACATAGATACACAAAAATATACAAGGACACACACCAATTAACAACTTTAGAAGTAGAGATTAAGGAATCGTCTGTCATAAATGACAGCAAATCAGGCCCAAGACAGTTAGAAGCTAGTGTTTCATATCTACTCAGTTATGATGTTCAGAATGATGCGGTTATGGTATGTTTCACTGTAATGTACATGTAGTTATGGAATTATAATCAACTTTTACTTTCTCATGTTACTCAAATATTTACCACACAGTTTTTCTATCTTTTACTATTCATTTTCTTCATGGTGATTGTAATACCTCCTGCTAATGTGTTCATGGGCATCATGTCCCTGGATAATCAGCTGATCCAAAACTTCCAGAGGAGAAATAGAGGTCTGCTCCTCCTCCTTGTCCTCCCCCTTATTTTCCTCTTTTTTCTCCTGCTCTCCTGCTGCTCTCTCCAGGACCTCCTACAGATAAACAACACCTTAATCCACTTTGATTTAAAATGGTTTGTCGCAAGCATAATTTTATGTTGTGTTTTTTTTAATATTCTTACTATGATTGATTTTTACTCACATTTACACATATCATATCATTGTATGGGATGCTTAATAAGGTTTTCAAATATGGTTAATTTACCTTTGTCTTCTGCTCGATGAAAAGTGTAGCAGCTCGAGGTAGAGCCAGCTCAAACAGGGCTTCATACGAAGGGGCGGACATCTGGTCCATGTGGGTGGAGTCAAATAAGGCAGAACTTCTCTCCTCTGTGGAGGGGTGATGAGGGGTCAGGCACAAGGAGGCAGAGCAGGAATGTGTGAGGAGGGCTGAGCCTAAGTAGGACTCATCTTGACTGGGGGTGGAGGTAAGGCGGACCAGCTGAGCGGAGGAAGAGGATGATGAAGGCTGCTGGGGCACTGATCTGACCTCTGGAGACAGACAGAAAGAGCGCGAACTTAACTTTGAAAAGTGTTTTATTAACTAAGTTGATCAGTTTTTTCATCTTTGTTGTGACGTTCACCTCCACTGTTGTTGTTGTTGTTGATGACATCCCTCTGTCCCTGTCCCTTCTTCTCTGTGATTGGGTGAATGGATGACCTCTCTAGATCTGCAACCTGTTTCAACTGTAAGCAGGAGAAAGAGACCCTTTCAAAATAAAAGCCTCACAGAAAAAAAAAAGGACATAGCTTGAGTTTCAGTACTTCTTTTCTCACCTGGTTGTTGTTGTCAGGAGTCAACCTGCCATCTTGTTTCTCTTCAGTCTGAGGTGTAAATGGGATGGTGGCTGATAAGGCACATTTCACACCTAGGCCCCCAAAGACAAGAAAATAAATGATATATGAACTTCAATGTGGTTGGGCAGGATAGAAGACATCTGTATTATAACAACCTCTGATGAACTGCTCTTGAGTAACATCTTCCACTTGTGTCATTAACACCATGTGGAGACATAAAATCATGCATCAAAATGGGCTGAGCATGTTGATTTTAGACAGACAGAGTCCTTGGATGCAGTATAAAACTCAGATGATAGACTTCTCCTCTTTGAATCAGTATTTTCACTACTTTTCACTTTAAACACAAATGAAACATCGCCAGATCTCTGTATGACCTACATGGTTTATGCATCACAAGGCATCTCCACATGTAGACCAAGGGATCAGATCTTGATCTGTCCTATATGCAGTAAAGGGCTGTAGAATTATTATAGCAGGGGGAAAAAGAGTCACTGTGCTTCACCTGAGAGGGACATGGTCCTGCTCAACAGGGGGGCGGAACCTGCAGCAGCAGATTCAGGAGGAGGCGTTGACAAACCACACTGTGAAGAAGGGCTCCATGTGATATCATCAGCCTGAGAACAGACAGTAAATGTAAGAAGAGGAAATAAGGAGGTGTGGAAAAGAAGGAGGGTAGGGAGGAGAGGGGAAAGAAGGATGTATGAAGGAGGAATATAGGAGTGAAACAAAAAAAAGGATCAGAGAGGGAAGGGTGGAAGGGAATAAAGGAAAGGAGGAAAAGGCTGTCAGGAAGGAAACATGGGAAGAAAAAAAAAATCAAGGAAAGGTAGAAAAGGAGGTCAAGAGGAGAGGTTTAGGATACAGATGTAGAAAAAAGGCAATGAGACAGGGAGGAAAGGAGAGGAAAATGAACGTGAATTACAGGAAATGAAGACAGCAAGAGGAGATGAATGAGGGAGAAAGTCAGAGAGGAAGGGCTGAGAAAGGTCGGATGTGAAGGAGGACTGACAATACCTGAATGTATGAGCTGTTGAGGGTCAGAGGAGCCAGAGCTGGACGACCACCTGAACCTCCTGTTCCTGAGCAACACAACAGAACTGTAACAACACAGAGAGCTAAAACATCGACTTCATGCAACGAGAGCAGAAGGGAGTTTGATAAGAATATTTAACTGAAAAGATGTGGTAAAGACTTCCACCAGGTAGAAGTGGGCGGGTACTCAAGTTTTAATTGGGTATCACACTATTATAATTCAACACTGTGTTTGTTCGTGCGAGTGTGTGTGTGTTTGTGTGTGTGTCTGACCTGAGCTGCTGACACTCTCTGGGCTGAAGTTCATATGAGGAAGCGGGGAGGAGAGTGGGGGCTGTCTGGGTGAGGAGGGGGGAGGATCCCTGAGGGAGGAGTAAATTTCCTCCTCACATGAAGACTCCAGTGGATCCAGAGACACTCTGGAGCACTCGATCACGATGTCATGGACCTCATAACACCTCCACCTGGGACAGACACAGAGTCAGTTTGAACATAATCAGTATTTCATTCGGACCTATTCATTTTTCTAAAGCTGCTGCTGACACATCAGCATCACTTCCTGAACGCTCTTTATGTTAAATGACAAATTACTGGACTAGAACTCACCTTGAGGGGTCTAGTTCGTAGTCCTGAGTCCCCGTGACCAGCTCCGGGTGAACCCTGACATGTTCCAACATCGGCTGAGGAGGGAAGAGAGATTTTACTGTCTTCTGATTATTTCTTAAAAAGTCAGACCAATGAAAAGTCTGCAAACTACAACTCTCAGAGTGCATTCCAGTGTAAAGAGGGAAAAGCCAAGGTAGGGAGAGAGATATGAAGGAGACAAGGAAGGAAAGTGAGAAAGGTAGGAGGTAGGATGTAAGGAAGGATTGATGTTACGTGAGTGTGCTTTGTACTAACTCTGAACTTAAAACAAAGATGATACCACTGGAAAAATTTAAACATTTATTCTCCTTTTTTTCTTTTCACAGTAGTTTCAGCAGCTGAGGCTCATGGGAACTGTAGTATTTACAGACTCACAGCAGCTTTTGGATCTGCTCCTGGTGTGCGTTTCAGCTCCAGCTCAAGTTATCTGAAAAACGTAGCAGCTGGTACGTACAGGAGCTATTTCTGTGCGTCATACCGGCTGTCTGGCAGCAGCACTGGAAACCAGTTCAGGATCTGTTACTGGACTGACATATGAACTCTGTTATGAGGGATGGAAACAGGAAGGGAAGTGTTGGCAAAGAAAAAGTGAAATATAATCTTTCATTTCTTCTCTTCCTCTCCTTGTTTTCTTGCATCTCTCCATACATCTCTGAAAGGAGGGACTCTGATGCAGGTGGGGGATGCATGGATGGAGTTTAGGGAGCACAGACCTACCTCAGGACACAAAGAGGTGGTGGACCTGAACCATACTGCAAACAGTAGTACACTTTAGAACAAACCTCCTGTAGGTTTATGCATAACTCTGCACTGGCACCAGAGGTTGCTGCTTGGTTTGTACTGGTTTATATTGGTCTCTGTTAGTCTGTACCTCTCTTTGATGGTCTATAGTGGTCCCTATTTGTCCTCAGAAGTCTCTGTAGGTCTGTACAGGTCTATAGGGGACTCTGCCTGTGTGTACCAACCTTGACAACCTCCTGAAAGGTGTCCAGGTTCTCCTTCATGCTGTAGTGCAGCCTCAGGTAGGAGATGAAGTTACAGGGGAACATCCCGTACAGCCGGTGGAATAGAGAGTACACACCTGCATGCAGGTGAACCAGGTGGACCACGGGGACATGACCTGCATGACACAACCAACAAAGAATGTGGACTAGTCACAGCTTGGGTTCTCTCGTCCTGCACATAGTTCAAGTGATGTCATTTTTAAAGACTCTGCAATCAGGTCTGTGTGTGTTTGTGCTACCAGGGTTTTTGAAGCTCCAGGAGGCGAGGCGTCCAAACACATCAAAGAAGTCGTATATGTGCTGTTTCCCGGCCTGAGGGATCATGGGCAGCAGAGTGATGAGAACCAGGACTCCAGTGATCAGGACTACAACATCAGTGTCAGTCTGAGGAGACAGGAAACAGATGTGAAGGGCTGTATTTACATTAGAAACCTTTAAGTCTGTGTATATCGGCTTCCACGTGATCAACATCAGCTGATTTTGGTCGGCTGCTGATGAAAAGTGTGTATTGTTATCATCGTGTATTGTTATGAGCACCAGTGTGGGAGATTCCTTCTTTACCTTAAGGCAGCGCAGCAGGGAGGGCAGCAGCGGCGAGCGGCTGATGTGATGAACCCAGGGAGGCTGTTTCCTGATCAGGTGACCCAGCAAGGTCAGACCTGCCAGTCTAGTTCCTGGTCTGTTCAGAGCCTCATTGAGCTTCTCCAGCAGGTGCTGACGGGTGAGTTCACAGAGATTATTACAGCATACACACCACCTATATGAGTGTTAATGATCAGACTGTGTGTGTGTGGGAATCAGCTGACCTTATGATGAGGCTCTCTGATGGAGGACAGCAGGAGGACGGCCTGAGAGGAAGACGAGTCCAGGTAATACTCCACCAGTGAGGAGAGGACAGTGCCTCCTTTGTCTAACATGAGAAACTACAGTCACACTGAAGGTGGAGACAGGTAAAGATGTCTGGAGCAAATTTAGTGTAACTACATCTCTACCATAACACAAAGAGAGGTAGTGAGACTGTGCTGAGGGAGGCAGACAGGTAGACTCACCTGTGTTCAGCTGCTGGTTGACTGCTGCTCTCACTTGCTCCACCTCCTGCAGCTCTGAGCTGTCCAATGAGAGCAGGAGCTCATTGATACTCACCTGCTCCCTGGACATCATGAACACCTACACACATGCAAACACACACCAGGGTTATGATAGTTACACACTTTCGTTAGACTCTTTTAAACCTGTCTTTAACCATGTTTTGTCTTTCGTTGTATTTAAAACTTTCTGTTTACGCTGCAGGACCCGGGACAAACTGCTCGCACCAGTGTTGTAGTCGAGTCACCAAAACTCAAGTCTGAGTCGAGTCTCAAGTCCTCAGTGGTCAAGTCTGAGTTGAGTTTGAGTCGCCAAAGAAAATATTAGAGTCGAGTCTAAGTCCTGTGTCAGGGTCCTCTTCCCTGAGTTAAGTCCAGGCCCAGTTGAATGCACACTTTCAATTGCTGATGGCCTACTGTTTCAAATAATCCTTTTCATAAAGCAAAAAATTTGAATGCTGCAAAGCATGCTGTTACCTACATGATGTGTGCAGAAATGTCACTACTGCACATATTGCAAGGTATTTTAGCCAATTCTATGACATTTCTTCTGCATTTATGACTTATCAGGAGGCATGAAACCCACGTCATAAAACTTTCTGTATCTAACTTTTAGTAAATAAAATATTTTAATGACTATAGCCAAGAATGAGTTCAGGATGAGGAATGCTGCTGTTTGACTCCAAATTACTTACTGTGTAAACCTGGGCTGACTGTGTTACACAATTTTGATGTGCAAAAAACACATTCAATGAATATTTCAATTAGTGTCTGTTGATCTGAATTTTACAGTGTGGCAGTTAAGTAAAGATTATCTAGAAACTTTGGCTGAATTGCATAGACTGGAAAAGTTAATTAAGTTACACTACACCCAATTTATGAGAATAGTCTTTATGCTGAACGCACCTGCAGTCAGCATTTATTCACGTAATGTTGCTGAAGTACCTGTTTAAGGATGAACATTTGTGAAGTTAAAAACATGTCATATATATATTTTTTTCATATCAGTCGATATCAATGTATATCACCTAGAGCTAGGCAATATGGGAAAAAGTTTATAACAATATGTTTTTTTTTCCTATCAGTCGATATCAAAATATATCATGATATAAAAAAATCCCTTGTCAATCTTAAATGTTCCCTGTTACTCTTAAATGAAATTTAACAGTGCTTATTGGCAGCAAGTCTTTTACAATACAACAAGCTACTGACGTTTTGTCGTAAGGTGTTACGCTAGAGAAAGTGGAATGGTCGGCTGTTTCAGCTGCACAGGTGCCATGGGCTCCTTGCTCTGCTCGGGGTTTGTAACCTTTTGCATTGCGCGTGCTCTGCTGTGTGGCACTGCTTCAGGAGGTGAAAAAGATTTGAGGTATTCCCCAACTTTGTGAGAACATGTACTCGACATAATTTGCAGTGCACATTACTCTGCTTCATGTGCCAGTGTTGTCCACGATGTCATCATCTGTTAAGCCTTCATCTACATTTCTGTTGGGGGTTGCACTCATTTTCCTATTTTTCTCATCAACAGTGCTGTTGGCTTCACCTGTTAAAGTGCTATGGTTGTGTGTAGCTGCAGCCTGATACTACGCAGTCGTTTGCTACTTGGCACATGATTGGTTCAACACTAAGCGGACCCGGAACAACTCCCCTTTTCATTGGCTATTCGTATAGTCTACCAAAACATGGCAGAATGCCAACTATCGAAACGCATATTGACCATGTTTTATATTGATATTGAGGGAAATTACTTTTCTATTATATTGTTATCATTTCATCGCCCAGCCCTACCTGCATTCTAGTAATTTTTGGTGTATGTGAATCACAAACTGATGATCCTACAAGTAAAACAATAAACCTCAAATAAAGCCAGAGGCATATCACTACAAAAGGAGACAACACAAGGACTAATGTTTCGTCTCACATATCTATTAAATAATAACAAATGTTTTTACAAATAAAAAAATGAGATGTGACAGATGTCTGTTAAGGTTCAACACTGTCCCTGTCTTTTCAACAGTTCTTTTACACAATGAACATGTTGCTCTACATTTACCAGCGTTTGTGGTAAAATATTTGAAAGCTAACTGCATAATCTGTGGCATCTCCTTCGACATCTTGTTGCGCACTGTTGGTAAATGATCGCACATACAAGTAAACAAACACATGTACCCGCTGTAGGCTGAGGACAGATCTGTTATTAGGATCTTATACCGGAAAGAATTAATAAATAAAATATAAAAAATAACAAAGAATTCATTGATAAATAAGCCTGAGTCCTCCTCCAAGTCCCAATGCAGCCAGAGTCCTAGTCTGAACCCAAGTCCGAGTCATCAGCGCACAAATCCGAGTCCAGTCACAAGTTCGGCATATCTGGACTCGAGTCGGACCAAAGTCGGACTCGAGTCTGAGCCCTGGACTTGAGTAGGCTACTGGCACACCTTGCACCTTAAATCAATTTGCAGAAAGGAGTTGCAGCACTATGTATGACTTCACTTCTTCCTGTTGACAATGTGGCAAAAGTTTTTTTGTTATACAATAATTTTATATGAACTAAAATCTCTAAAAGCACAAAATTTCAGATAGGTGGTAAATAAATGACAGTGCAGTCACTTGCAGAGTAAATAAGAAGAAACGTGCCAAAACCAGCAAAACATGTACAAAAATGTAAACATCAAACAAATTAAAAAAAAAAACGTAAACAAACTGCAAAACCGTAACAGTATTAGCTAAAGTGAGAGGAAAATGTCAACAAAAGGAATAGCACGAGAGGGTTTTCAACAAGTGGTGCTGTTATAATATAGGAAAAGTAGTAAGTAAAAGTTTAAGTGAATGGGCACTGCAAGCAAAAAGTCCAAACATACCAACTGAGCATAATTTATTAAGTAAACCAGAATAGAACTCAAACACTACCACCTCAAAAAATACAAACATTGTTGTAAGTCGACGGACTGTTTACATTAACGTTTGTATTTTAAATCAGGTTTCTTTCATAATACTTTTAATAAAACTTTACTATCATACACTTCTAGGTACTGACAGCATGCTGTGACTTAAACACACCTGCTGAGGTGTATTTTGGACACCAAGATATGACAGAATGTACCTTGATACCTGGATGGCTGTGCCGTTTACTTTGCTGACTACATGTTGCGTAATCTTCTCTCTCTCTGTTTTTAGTTATAAAATAAAGTTAAAGGAGTATCTAGTCTGGATTACAGGTACTTTACCTAAACAGCTCCAGCTCCAGTTTAGGTTAAACGTTGGTTTCTAGACCCCCCCCCCCCCTCCTCCTCAAACCCGCAGCCCTGCGTCCTGACTAACTTGACTAAAACCAGCTCTCAGTTAGCAGGCTGTTGTGCTAACCTGCTAACAGCTGAGCTGTCAGTCTGATGTGTGTTTTGGAGTTCAACATGTCAGCGACCACAAAAGCTGACAGCGTTATTTTAAGGTCTGCAGCACTTCCAAAACTTTCGATCCTCAGTTACGAGCACACAGATTTTATTTTATATTTGATAAAGCATAAAAAAGTCAGCTTTATCCGGAGAGAACTCGGTTACCTTCAGACCTGTTGATCCGTGCAGGGCGCAGCCATATTGAATAGCGTGAAGCCACGCCCATCGGCGTAACCTAACACGCTTCAGCTGTCAATCAAAGTCATGCGACAAGGGGCGGGAGAAAATAAGTTTTCTTTTTTCTTTTTGTTCTCATAACATGGATAGATGAAGAATAAAATGAAAAAGGTACGTTTTTTTTCAGTGGAGGAGGAACAAAATAAGTCTTAAAGAGATTTTTCCTCTTGAAACACAGGATTACCTATAAAGTCTGACAATATTTTTTAATATAAGTTAACAAAATTGAGAAGGAATGAAGAAACAATGGATGTTATGTTCTTAGAAGTAGGCTTCACACTAAACCAGCAAATATTCTAAGCAAAAATTCAAAATTATGACTTTAATATCATATATTCTTTAGAATCAGAATTGTTAGAGAAAGTCAGAAATATGACTTTGCCACAGTTTCTGATTTTTTTTCTCCCAAAAATCCCCTCTTAGTTAGACTTTATTTTGTTAACTTATTTAGTCTAAAGAAATCCCTCCACAGTCATCACCCATATTTATATTTATTTTATGAGCATACACTTTCATAAGCAATAACATTTTTTAGTTTTGATATCATATATGTTCTTGCACTATTTACACAAAAATAATTGGTTAGAATCTTTTGCAAGCCATTTAAATCTGTTTTTATTAGGAGTTTACTTCGGTCCCAAATTTTTGGAAATTGAGGTTGTGCTATTTTATCTTTTTATTATCATGGATTTTCTACTAATGGGGCGATACTCTATGTTGATTCATAAAAGGCTGAATAAATGGAAATAAACAGTGTTTTACTGTTACAGGTCAGTTACCCTTTTTGGAAAGCTAAGTGAGTGAGGGGCTGTGAACCTGGCTGTAAATATCAGCTGCTAGATAAAAAATGATAATACATTGAAAGAAAAAACAGGCTTTTCAAGGTATGTGATAAACTTCCTGCATGTCTGGAAATAACCTTGAGTATCAGGGTGGATTTATTTCATCATACAAGACAAATGAAGGTGAGCAAGTAATCCTCAGAAATACATCAGACATATTTCTCCCGGATAGAACCAGGTTACTGTTAAGGGTTAAGTTATGAAACAGTGAAGGACCTGATAAGGAGTAACTCTGTAAATGTGTTTTGTGTTCAGTCTATACACTCTGCTGTGGGAACAGCAGGTGTGTGTTCTCACACTGCAGCTTTCTGTGCAACTTTTATCTTAAGCCAGAGTCAGTGTAACAACAAAAGCACCGACATTAAGCATCAGCTCAGACACATCGGAACTCAGGGATGTCTCCAAGGACTATGAGGGATCAGAATTTTAAACATTTGCTCTGGGGAAAATAAAGACTACAACTCTATTCTACTTTTACTACTATTATAACGAGGAGTCATTGTTTCTGGTAGTTTCACCATTTTACAGAATACATTATTTACTCAGTGCAATGATGATAAAGGATGAAAGAGACTTCTGGAATGGCTGGTTTTGGATACAGGGTTCTTGAATGTTTTAGAATGCTGGGTTCTAAAATGCTGGGAGGGCCTCAAAGGGACAGTGGCTTGAATGAAGCTCTCAAATAAAGGCTGAAATAAGGGTTTTTAATTAAAATATAATGTGAACTGTAAATCATGAAAAGTTGCAGAGAAACAATCACAACATAGACTGTATATAGTATGGACAACGTGGCTGCACTTCCCATCATTGTGTGAATTTGAAGTCAAATTGCTTTCAGTATTTCCGGGATTTGCTCCATTTCCTGAAAGCGGCATTTGTGCAGTCAAGCTCGGCGGGAGAGTCACTGTGATGATGCTCTGCTTAAATGGCGTACCCCCCCAGAAGTTTATGCAGTCTTCGTACGTCCATAGGCTGTATCAAGTATCAATGACCCCCCTAATAACTTTTCAAAATGAAGCTGCACACAGGAGGACTTGAGCACAAACCAGTCTTACAATAACGACATGCCAATATCACAAGCAGGGGGGAGAAAAACTTATTTTCTGTGTAATTAATTTCTAAAGTTTATCCACAACTCCATTAAGTTTGTTGGAGAAGGCAGGTTTTATGACCCATACTGCAGCCTGTCCCCTGTGGGTGTTCCTCTTGTGGGGGCTTTACCCAGAGAGGAGGCAGATGAAGTCCATTCTATATACAGTCTATGGATCAGATGAGGGACAATATGAAGCCCAAAAAATAAACACAGTTACCCCCTCTTTAAAGAATTACTCTCACATTATTTGTGGAGTGCCAAACTTAAGATAGATGGATAGATAATACCTTACCAGTTGGGGAGAGAAAAAAGAAGGGATGAGGGTAAACACTCTGAAACTGGCAAGGGATGTTAAGATGCACAAGGGGCTGAAAAAGAAGTCACACAAATTGAGGGAAATGGACAATCTTCAATGAGCGTTTGCTAAGTGAGAAGAAAATTTCAACGGATTAGATAGAAAAGAGTTTAAAAATGTGTACAGGTGCTGATGTTTTTTTCTGCATCTGTAACAAATGCTAATGGAAAACACACTATTGTTTGGATTCAGCTGTCATTAAAAAATTCTGTGTCATGTTAATTTGATCTTCACATACGCAACCAACAATGAATTCTGAGGAGCTAATTACATTTGGCTGTGTAATTCATTTTTCTGTATCATTAAAATCATCTTTAGCTCAAAGCTTAGTGTCACTCTGTTGTGTCTTTAGACATGAAGTAAGGGCAATAAAGTATGGTGAGTAGGCAGTGATGTTAAATAGATTGTATTTGGTATAACCATCTGCTCACTATTCACTATCCTTTACTTATTGAACATGGTACTTTCTTTTATTTTAAATATAGAAAAACTGTTGACTACATCGTCATTAGGATTGCAGAAAGTTTTTTTTTTTGCATCATCTTAATTCAATTCCCAGTAATTTCTCAAATTTGCTGCCTTTTTTAATTGCTGCTTTAATATGTTGTAAGTCAGAGTTAGAGCCAGGCTGGGCTGGACCGAGCCCACCATCACGTCCTGACTCCAGTGCATAGAGAACTACAAGAACAAGAGCTCTTCTCTTAGAATGTCAGACTGTTATTTTAAAGCTGTGTTTGCAGTAGCAGATAAGAGGTGCTGGTTGGTGTGTCGCACACAAGAGTATAAATAGCAGTTGAGCATTTCAGTAAAGGAAAACAGATAGACAGATGAGGAGGATGGTGATGTTACTTGTGCTTCTGTTCGGCGTTTGGCTGGACTTCACTTCAGCTGCAAAGGTGAGTGAGTGGCATTAAAAGTGATTTAGGATAATGAATGGAAAGTGAGAGCCAAATCCTGTCCGGATGAGAGTTTTTAATTTCTTCCAGCTGTGGAAGAACCTCCATAGGCTGGGCTTCTCCTCTTTCCAAAAATCTGCAATGATTAAGTGTGTAGAAGTTGTTGGAATCAATCAGAGCAGAGAAAACACATCAGGGACCCTCAGCAGCACCATAAGTCTCAATGTCATATATAAAATTTCTGTAAGGTGCAGCATTTTATGACAAAGTCGCACTCTTCCTTACTTACCAGTGAAATAAATCACTCTGTGTGAATATTTGCTGTAGAAAAGTATAAATCCCAAATACTTGATGCTCATTTTAAAAATGATCCCAAGGAGTCTTTTGAAAAGTTGGGGCAGTTTCTTGACATTTGAAAGTAAAATATTGTCCCATTCTTACTTGATACAAGATTTCAGCTGCTCAAGAGTTGTCCACCGGATGGCAGCATACGTTGCTGCAAACTTTGGATGCTTCTGCATTAACAGGGCCTTTCACATTGTGTAAACTACCCTTACTACCACAGATGCTAGCTTTAGAATTGAGCCCTCATGATGGACTAGGTGGTCCCTCTCCTCTTTAATTAAGAGAAAGGGGTCTGGCGTCAATGATTTCCAAGAGGAATGTCAAATTTTGATTCCTCAGACCTTAGGACAATTTTCCACCTCGCCTCAGCTGATAATAATACATCAGATTTCATATAGCCTTTTATCAGAGACCCTCAAAGCGATTTACATTGGGTTCATCATTCATTCGCTCACACAGTCACACTTTGGTGATGGTAAACTACCTTAGTAGAGGCCCTGGGGCAGACTGACGGAAACGTGGCTGCCATTTTGCGCCTACGGCCTCTCCGACCACCACCACACAACACTCACAATCATACACCAGTGGAGGACACACACTGGGAGCAAGGTGGGTTAAGTGTCTTGCCCAAGGACACAATTAACAGACTAGGGATAGGGGGGAATCGAACCGCCAACCTTCCAGTTATTGGACGACCGCTCTACCTCTAGTCACTGGTGTTTCTGGTTCATGTTTATATATGATTTCCTCGTTGCATGGTACAGTTGATGATGGATTAGGGGTGTGATTTTGAGGCCATGCAGTGATTTCTACTTCAGGTTCATGCCTTCTATCAACGTAGTGCCCAAAGACAACTTACCCAGTTTTGTTTTCTGGGCCCTGTCCCTCCTGTAAAGGGTTTCCTCCAGATCCTTTAAATCCTCTGATGATATTATGCACTGTGAATTATGAATTTGCATTTTTTTTTCATGCAGGGGAACATTATTCTGAAAATGTTGAGCAATTTTCTCTCTCAGTCACTCACAGAAGAAGAAGAAGAAGAAGAACTTTATGATCCCATCTTTATTCCAGAGAAACTTCTTCTCAAAGCAGTGGTTATGTTTGGGTTATCAAGTATTGTTGCCTGATCATGGACAAGGGGGTATTAAATGGATCCAGCCGCTAAAGAGGAACAGTTACAGGACTATTGAAGAATCACAAAGTTCCGTTCCTCTTCAGCAGTGCAAAGTGATCAGGACAAGACCAACTTCACTGACCTTTGTGTGTGAATGTGTGTGTTTGTGTGTAAAGCTAGGTGTGGTCAAGACAGAGGGGGGGCTGGTGGAGGGGAAGAATCATTGGATGGGGCTGTTCAGCTCCGTCGATGTCTTTAAAGGGATCCCTTTCGCTGATGTCCCTGGAAAGTGGGAGAAACCAAAACCTCATCCTGGATGGGATGGTAAGAAAACTAGTTTCTGAGCTCTGTGGGATCACTGTTGACAATGCAACTGGGTGGCAAAATGTGATGATCCAATTGTCAAAATAGCAACATAAAAATCAATTTATTATGAGGATGAGAAGTGTCTGAGGCTGTACATGATCTCTGAGCAAAAATTTGCATGGAGGCATAGATGCTGACAGCAGAGGGAAAACACAAGGATTCTGCCCAGCTACAAAGTAAATCCACAAACTAATCATAGATATTACACTTGGAGAAAGAAAACGGAAATTGTAAATACTGTGGTATTATTTAGCAAATAATCAAACAGCCACAACAAAAATTAATCTGAACTTCTGTTTTCAGGAGTCATGAAGGCGACTAAATATCGTGATCGCTGCTTGCAGATCACGATGTTGCAGAGAGATACCCGGGGCAGCGAAGACTGTCTTTACCTGAACATCTTTGTTCCACAGGGAAGGAAATGTAGGTAACACACTCATTATGTTACACCATTTCCATTTCTGACCATCTTGCCTGACCATAATGTTGAAATAAATGTGTGAAGGAATAGAAGTGAATCATTTGCATATTAGTGGATTTTTTTAAAAAATCCAAACATTTTGCATACAATTCACCAAAGTCGGATCAAAACATTTATGTTTTGATGCAGTTAGGGTTTTAAAACTCTGAGCGAGCTGCTTTTTATGTCACTTTCTTGTGTGTGTTTCAGCGATATTTAAATGCTAATAGTTACTTGCCATGAACAAAATATTAGGGTGGATATTTAAGTCAAAGACAATCTTAATATCAGCAGACTAAGCAATAAGGTCTCAGAGAAGTTGTCTTTAGTATTTATCAAAATTGGTAAACAGGATAAGATGGTATGTTCTGTGGTCAAACAAGGCCATTTAAAGTTGTTGTTAAGTGTTTTCGTAGTACAGGGACTGAATATTAATTTGGGGTTGAATCAAAAACAGACTTGTTCATAAAGGCAGGGACCTCTGTCATGTCTTATCCATCAGGGTAATCTAACTGTGAAGCTTCATTAGAGGTTAGAAAACATGAACAAGTCAAATCTCTGTGATGCTGATCTTGAGTAATGCTCTCTCTCCCTTCATCAGTGTCCAGCAGCCTCCCTGTGATGGTGTATCTGTTCGGTGGCGCCTTCCTATTGGGGGCATCCAATGATGCGGCCATCCTTGGTGACTCTCTGTACGACGGGAAGGAGATGGCTGACAGAGGGAAAGTCATCATCGTCTCAGTGAACTACAGAGTTGGTCCACTGGGTTTCCTCAGTACTGGAGACTCCAGGATGCCAGGTATGACCAAAAGACCAACTCTGTTGTTTTATTGTGTCTCAGTGTAATTTGGATTTTTCCAACCATCTGTATTACGTCACATTTTCACCTGCTGGTTTTCCTCCAGTTAAAATGTAAAATCTTACCTCCCATTCACAGTGTTTGACAGTGTGTCCTCAGTTGATATGGTTTGGTACCTTCTGGCTGTTTCCCAGTATGCACATGAAGAGAGAAAGGGTCTTATCAGTGTGTTTATAATTATACTCTGTTAGGTCAGCTGCTAAATTTTCCTCAGATATGCAAAATCATGTCCTGTGTTTGAACTCCATTACTGAGTTACAGTGGGTTTGTTTTGGATTGTCAGATGGGATTGTTCAGAAAGTTCAGGAACAAGTGCCCAAGCTGTGGTAGCTGTTAGAGACCAGCTTTGTCATGCTTGTCCTGGCAAATAAGCATGAGAGACAAATTAAACCTCCCCCATGGGGAGGAGTGGAAGTTCATCATATTGTACTGTCCTATTATTGCAGAGACGTCCATAAAGCTAAAGGCAGGTGGTTAACAGGTGGTCCCAGATGTCAAGATTTCCTCAATCACTACAAAGGAACAGGAAAAATGTTTTTTGTCCTTCACAGGTAACTACGGTCTGTGGGATCAGCATGCTGCCATTGCCTGGGTCCGCAGGAACATTGAGGCATTTGGAGGAAACCCTGATAACATCACCATCTTTGGCCAATCGGCTGGAGCTGCTAGTGTCAGCTACCAGGTCAGATGTTATAGTAATAGAGTAGATGCGACACAGAGATCACACACCACACAGAGCTAGTGGCATTTAGATCTCATTTCTTCCTCAGTGAGTCTCATCATGTTGATCCATGTCTGTCCATCCATCCCTGCAGATGCTGTCCCCTTACAATAAAGGGTTATTCCGCAGAGCAATCACACAGGGTGGTGTGGCCCTCAGTCCCTGGGCTCTGCAGAGGAACCCCATGGCTCTCACTAAGAAGGTCCACATTCACTTTGCTATTCTGCTTTGTGTGGATCATTTACTTTAGTCAAACCGATGTATTTCTCTCCTTACTCCCCTCCAGTGTTGTATTGATGTTTTTGTTTCCGCAGGTTGCTCGAAAAGTAGGCTGCTGGAGGACTAATGAAGATGACATGATAACTTGTCTGAAAATGTCAGATCCCATCGGTCTCACTATGGCAGGAAAAATTGATGTTCTGCTTATTCTGGGAAAAGGTCTGAACATCTTCAACAAACAAAAGAAATGATCATTGAATCACCAAGAAACATGAAAAAAATATATTTTACAGAGTCTACAGATTCATTGAAAATGTGCAGAAAATTTAGAATTATTATTTTTAATTAACAGGAAAGCTTTAACTTCCTGTTAGTAAATAATAAGCTAAGTCTGTACAGATAGTTTACTCTATTTGAGCCTCTCTCACCTTCCTGCAGGTGTGGTTATGGATCTCCTTGAATTTGCTCCAGCGATTGATGGTGATTTTATACCAGATGAACCCAGCAAGCTGTTTCACAATGCGGGTCATTTTGATTACTTGGCTGGGGTCAACAGCATGGATGGACACATCTTTGCTGGAGTTGATGTTCCTACAATCAATATGAGAAACACTACCACTGTGTGAGTACTGCATCATCATCAATGCTGGCTTAATTGTAAGAGCAAGAGTAAAGAGAACCAGGTGTGAGATAGTTGATAGATAGATAGATAGTTGACGTTGATGGGTGATATAAAATTTACCTCTGCAGCCATGATGCACTGTGGGAAAGAGAGAAATGTGACATTTCATACCAACTGATATGCATCCCATTTGGGGTTCCACAGGGTTCATATCAAGACCCATTTCTTTTTTAATGTTTTGTGTGTAGAAATTTCTAGTGGCTTAACTTGAACTCAGTCTTATCACCAATAAAGCAATGGTGATGCATGAGAATCCTAATCCTCTATTTGTCAGATTTTACCATTGAAATGTATTAAATCAAATATTGTTGCATAAATAACCACTTCCTTTATCTTTGCCTTTAAATGGTGCATTTTATGTGGTGAATCCCTGTTTACCAAAGCACAAAAGAATATGTTTTCCATCTCTGTGCAATGGTAGAAACCCTGAATGGTATTCAGGGTTTACATGTTTGAATCAAATATGCATTTATTAAAGTGGGCAGCACTACTTATCTGTACACCTATGAGTGCTAGTCATAACTGAGCTCAGCTGTCACTCACAACCAAAGCACAGAAGATGGAGAGACACAGTGATGGCCCAGTGCAAAGAGAGTCTAAAGAGCCAAATTATTCAACAACTGGGGTGGAGAAAAGAAGCTCATTTCTAGATAATGGCTGTAAATGCAGCAGAGATGTTATACAAATGTCAGTGAACTGAAATATGATGTTACAGAGTGTAATTCTCATTGATGGCAAGTCTAGAGGGTGTTTCCTAACAATGCTAGCAGTCAGAGAAAATCACATATCAATTAAGGTTGATGTGGTATCAAGTTGTCCCTAATGCCCCTTTGCTATTGCAAATCAATCATTCTCCTTGTTTAGTTTCAGACAATCAGAATCAAGTTTATGACAGAACAACAAACCTGACAAACCACACAGTGTGTCCAATGCAGAGCATGATTGGTAATGAGGTCAAATGTTGTTTTCCTGTAATATTTTTGCTCTTAAAAAATCAGTTGGGATTACCATTACAGTAATTATCAGCCAGACAGCCAGATTCTGTCTGCTTGATTGTCATTTGTCATTTTTCATTGAAATTATAAAATGAGTTCTTCTTTTTGGTGGCATTTTGAGACTAACAGCTTCCTTTTTGGATGGAGGGGACATGTTTTAGTCGTGTGACCCACTTATATTTGTTCCTCCTGTGGACTATTCAGAGGGGAGGTGAGGAGTCTGCTGATAGGTCTGACTAAAGACAAGGGGAACGCCGCTGTCTCCTCAGCTTACAGCCTTTACTCGTCACATTGGGGCTCAACTCCTGATCCGGGTGTGGTGAAGAAGACTGTAGCTGACATCGAGACTGACTTCCTCTTCCTGGTTCCCACTCAGACTGCCATCCAGCTCCACGCCAACAACACCAAGTGAGTTTGGACATTAGTGTCACTGGGTGTTTTTATTTGGTCCTGAGGGATCAGATCATGAGTGGTTTTTAATTGTATTTCCTTTTGTGGGTTTCTCTTTTTTGTCCCTCAGTGGAGCCAGTACTTACTCTTACCTGTTCAATATGAAGACTCGTATCCCAGGATTCCCTCGCTGGGTGGAGGCGGAGCATGCTGAGGATCTGCAGTACCTTTTTGGTAAACCATTTGCCACCCCAATAGTCTACTTCCCACGACACAGAGACCTGTCCAGATACATGATTGCATATTGGACCAACTTCGCCAAGACCGGGTAAACCCCCAGCATGCATTGCAAACACGCAACACTCAACACATTTAAACACAACAAGGTCCGCCTTTTTAGGTAGTATCAAAGCTCCTGTAAGGAACTTTTTGAGTTGATATTGGCACCCCCAGTAGGTGAAGTGGCAGCGTCCTTCCTAGAGTGGTTCTGATTGACTCCTGTTGTGATTTTACCACCTACTTTGTGTCCTGTTTCGGTCTTGAAAAATCTTAATGGGTCTGTTGTGGCATGAACCTATAAAGCAGCTTTATTCGAAGTCTGAACAAGTGAATAGTAGTCTCAAGTCATGTTTTTGTCAACAAATTGGATGACGTCTCTTTCATTCACCCTAAATAAACTTAAGGTTTGTTATTGCTGTGCTGACAATATGAGCTCCAAAATAGTGGCTTACTGTCAAATCGGCTCACTTTGGTAGACCAACAGCTTCCAGGGGGTTTTGCTAAAATTCAGGGGCTTTTCTAGGTCAGTGAATTTTCAGAGACTGTCCAGTTTCAGATCCAATCCCTTTCATGTGTCTTGTTTGGTTCAAACAGGTCTTAATCACTGTGTTACTGATTTGACCAGGTGTGATTTTTGAAAAAAAGTTGTGACCCTAAAGAGTATTTGGGGTAATCGACAGATTTTGTGGTTTAATAAGAAAATAAATATGTGTAAACCATCTCTCTCCTGCTCTCCAGTAATCCCAACACAGGTGAGAATAAAGTCCCAGTGGCCTGGCCCCCCTTCACCAAGTATCACCAACCCTATCTGACCATTAACCACAAGATGAGCAAGTCCTCAGTCAGGTACTAAACTAAACTCACTGAGCTGTTTTCTACTCTGTTGATATTCCTCTTCTATTTCACACGCTTACCTCTTTGTGAATGATTATTGCTACACCTAAGTGTATATGTTTTACTGTTTTTTCCACTATTCTAATGTAAATCTGTTCTATTACTTTTATTTCAATCCCTCTCTCCTATCGTAAAATAATACTGAATTCTGTTTTTGTTCTTGTTCTTCTGTATTTTGTTAAATTTGACACAAAATCTCAGAGAGATAAAGTCAAGATACATCTAAGACTCTTTGATTGATTATCATCTGTGACATCTCTGTAGCTACAACCTGAGATCAGAGTACGTCAAATACTGGACCCAAACCTACACCACTTTTCCATCCATCAGAAGTAAAGAAGATGAGGAATGATGAAAACAGGAGAACAACAGGAGAGAAGAAGACTGATTCTGCTGTCTGTTGAATAAAGTATTAACTTTAACTAACTAACTCCGCTATTTTTTAGAGCAGTTTATTGCAAATTATCTAAATTATGAGCACATGAATGAGTGAGATGATTTTTTTTTAATCAAAAAAATATATCTGACAAAGAAAAAAAAAATGAATAGAACTATTCAAAGTTACACAATAGATGAGAAAGTGAAAGTTACATTCAGATTTTAAGGTACCACAAAGACACATACTGTTGTAAACACTTTAACACTAACCCAGGGATAAGATTCTGAATATATGTCTAGTGTTCTGGTGTTTTTCCGCCTCTGCATTCATCACTGCATGGATAAGTAGACTATCAACTGAGAGGCTGCTGAGTCTCTATGTTGTGTTGTTGCTATGTTGTGATATGTTTTGATTAAAGGACAACTTAGAAATGTCAAAACCCCATACCCAGTGTCTTTGGGTATGTCGGGACAACCCAGAGGACTCTCAATACTAACCAGGTTCAGGTACGAACCACTCTGCCAGTCCCAAGTGTGGACTTTCGGACTGGACGTTTGTTATATGTGTCACAATATTCTACATGCAGGGGGTTTTGCAAACGTTAGCAGATTGACGTCATGATCAGCCTACAGACACACTCCACACCCTGTCTGTCAGAGGTGACTTCACACTTCAAGTGAAAAAGTGTGAACCGTGCAGTCAGGTCAGTTTCAGGGTGAGAGCCCCTGAAATTTTCCTGACATTTCCTCGAGTGCCTGTCTGAAAAGGACATGAGTGAAGAGTTTGGCCACCCCAGGCAAAAACGTCTGGACATACCCTTGAGTATAGGTCTGAATATTAATTGGATGCAGCTGCAGGTCTCAAAATAATCACTAGGGGGAACCTTTCTCAAAAGTATGATTTTTGAGGACTGAATTGGGTATGTAAAGGTAACAGGTGGTGAGTAGAGACACAGATGAAGATTAAGAAGCAGAAGGGCAAGTTTCTACAGAACTGAAGAATAAATTAATAAGAATAAATTAACATAGCTATAGGCATGGAGAGAGGAGGAGCGATGGAAGAGGAGGTTCATTTAGTTCTGCATCACATGTTGCAAAAGAGTGTGAGGACAGGAAACAGACATGACACACTCAACGTTCTTCTGTTCACACTCACACCACAGACAGAGAGAGAGAGAGAGAGAAGGAGAGAGGGGGTGAAAAGAAGAGAGGAAACTGAGAAAGAACAAGAGAAAGAAGGAAACAGAAAGAGGGGAAAGGTGATCGGGAGGAGAAGCTCATGAGGAGACGTGAATCGAAGAAGTCAAAAAGAAAGGAGGTGAAGAGGAGCAGAGAGGAAGAGAAAGAGAGGACATGAAGTAAGTGGCCAAGAAGTCGAGGAGGCCGGAGGAGTGAGACTTAAAGCAGAAGAGGAAGCAGAAAATCCGAAAAGAGGGTGAGAATACAGAGAAGGAGAAACAGAGAGAAAGGTAGTGCAGAGACAGGAGAAAGAGGTTTAGAAAGGGAGGAGGAGAGGTGAGGAGGACCTGTGTGTTACCATGGAGGAGGACATCAGGAAACAGGGGATGCTCTACCTGCAGCAGCAGAGGTTTGGAAAGGTGAGGCACCCACACACAGAGCTTATGCTATGCTTGTCCTTACAAATCAAGTCTATGTTAAAGAGTCACATAAAGGCCAAAGCCCTACAGACAAGATAGTTTCAACTAGATTTAGTTGATATTTTACTCAAAACTGTTCAGACTTGGAAAGAATAAATAAGATTTTAGATAGAGGAAATAGATGTGTACCATAGTACAGCTTGGCCTTGTTAAAGTAACCAATCAGGTGACAAGCATGTGTGCTAATTGTCAACAGGTGTTCTGTTGAGTTTTGCTACTTTGTCAAAAGTTGCTTCCATACCTTAAATCAAAAAGACCAATCAATCGTTTTCTATATATCCTCAATTCACAATAAGCGTCATCCCAAGATGCTTAACAAAAAAGCTAGTCTCGACCAGACTTTGTTTACAAAGACCCGATGTGAAGATGGGATAAGACTGAGTCACACCTTGTAAGATCAGACCAGTTCCAGAGACGGACAGAAGTGAGACTGGTGCATGTAATTGAAGTAGCTGGAAAGCAGACAGGTCCACATCGGCAGCGGTGATTCAGAGTAACCTATGGCGTTACTGGGGTAAGGCACTCCCAGTAAAGACTGTGGTAGTCATTCTAATGGGACATGATGATCCAAAGTTAATGACATGGACAGAAGAAATGTTCCAACTAGTGCACAACTATTTTTAAAACTTTGATAGAAGTTTGAACTGTTAGACAAATCCAAAACACGTGGTCTACGGAACATGACATGACGTGACTGAGAGCAGACCATATTTAGCTAGTATATCAGCGCACAGTCCAGGTGCTCACTGATGGCACAAATGACAAAGAGTCATGTCAACTGTATAAATATAGCTCATTTATAAACAGTTAATGTTGACCAAATTTACCAGGTGAAAGGACAGCAAGAAATCGTCAATAAATAACACAATACAGCAACAGACTTCAATCTGTCAGGATACTAATACTCTCATTTCGAAGGGAGGGCCGAAGGGAAATGAGGTGTTCAATCATGATTTTAAACTTTCTGTGAGTGAAGTAAGTTCCTCAACTATACATAGGTGTGTTTCAGGCTTAACATAAGTCAAACCGAGCAGTGTGTCTGCTCTCTTTACTCTCTTTGCTTTTCGTACTTTTATTTACACAAGTCAGCATTTTTGCCTTCTCTCATATTAAGTTCCCAAAATGTCAGTGATATACACAAGTGGCTGTAAGAGTTTGTGGGTTGGTATTTCATCAACGAAACAGTCCCTGTGAACAGGAAAAACAGATGTGACTTTCCAAAAAAACAGACATGTAAATTTACAGAAGAGACACAACAGCATAATCTTAGTATTGTTTAAAACTCAGACAGTATCAGACAAGATCTACTTATATCCTGTTTACATTCGAGGAAGATGAGCTGGAAGTCTATTTTTACTTACTTACGCCACTTATCACATGGTTGTAATCTACAAACAGATTAAGTTTATTTCAGTCATCACAAAGTGCGTCACATTGACGAATTTCAAGAAAACAACAAGTTCATAAACAGTTAACATAGAAGCATTTTTGTTTAAAGATGGGATTCAGGTGTATTTTTTACTGGCCTCTATGTATCTTAATAGGCACCTACAAGAGTGCTGCAAACTTATGTGTGTACGTTTCTGTTTTTAATGTAGAAATGGAAGCGGGTGTGGTGCGTTCTGTACAGAGAAAGCCCCTGTTCAATCTCCAGGCTAGAGTTCTTTGAATGTAAAGATGGCGGGAGTGTCGAGAAGAATGATAGAAATCTTCGCAAACAGCAAGAACACAAGAAGGTAGGCACTTTTTTATACTCTGTGGACTCTACTGTATTCATTTAATTATAATAAGGTGCTCTATTAATCTCAGTTTCAGTGTGCTGCATTCTGTATCATTCATTACTGAAACACTATGTCCATCAGTTTCATCTTTTAACCTAAAGAGCTCTGATTTCTGTGAAGTTTTGCTCTACTTCTGTATCCCTTTTTCCTTGAAATATATCATGGGGGGAAAAAGCAACTTTGAATTAACTGAAGTTTGTAGATTGATGTTTATGAGCCTAAAACTTGCCATTGCCTCCTCCGCTGTTGCCATTTTTGTAACTAGAAGTGACCACTCATCCCCAAGAGGAGGAAGCATGCATTGACCGTGTCTGATCTTAATGGACTAACTTAGCTCATTAAATGTCAAATGAACAAATGTCAAAATGATAGCTTTACCCTTCTCTTGTTGTACAAAAGACATTGACATATTTTGAACTAGTGGCAAGAGTCCGGGTGATGTATTTCTCAATTTGTCATTTTCTTAAGATTGAAACACTCCTTTAATTAACCTTTCAGAAAAATGACTACTTGCATATAAATCAGCTTAATAAGAGCCAACTATAGTCACAGGAATCAATGCAAAAAATGTATTTAATGTGTATTTTGATTTTAAAGTTTGGCCCATGTCTGATCTGTTTACATTTAGACTTAATGATCTACACCATTTTGGCTTCACTTACGGGACGCCGTCATGTTAAGCAATATCTAATACAGTCTGTGGTTACAAAAGGTTATTAAAAGCTTTATTAGGAAACACCAGAGCTAGTTTATTTGGCAAGGCATATCCTTAAATCGTGGTAAATGACCAAGATATCTGAGGACAAAGTGGAAGAAACCTGTCAACACACTAAAGTACAATTTTCTTTCTTAGAAATCTAATGGTACTTTTATGTTGAACTTTTAATATAGTAATAATATCAGTTTGATAAGAACCATTGTGTGTCCTTTAGGTGATCCGTCTGGCTGACTGTATCCGGGTGTCTGAGGTGATGATGGATGGCTGTCCCAGAGACACAGGGCCCTTCCTGATTGAGACCACTGAGAAGAAATATGTATTTGCCTCAGACAGGCAACACTTGGATGACTGGACACAGAAACTGTGTGAGATTGCCTTCCCTGTAAGTACACACACACAAAAACACCTTAAAAGTCCACATATAAAAAAAACAACAACAAAAAAAAAGCATGTGTCATCTAGAAAGGGCAGTCCTGTTTTGTGATTATTCAACCACACGTATGTCCACAAATCTTGAGTGAAACGCGTAAGCATGCACGCACGCACGCACACACACGCACGCACGCGCACGCACGCACGCACACACACACACACATAAAAAGAGTTAATCATGCGTGGAACCAACATAAGCAGTTGCATTTGACCAATTTTCAATCAAAATGGGGAAAGCATGACTAAGTAGAAACACCGGTGAAACCAGCTCTGATATACTGGCTCTTAGTACCCATCTGTTCTTATCTATCTGTTATGTAAGTGTTGGGGACATTGTGGAGGAAATTGGAGGCTATAGGCTTTATCATGCAAGTTATCAGTAAAGCATAAACATGAGGACATAATGAAACAAGTTTGAGTGTTTATTAAGGGGTTTATTTGACAGTTAAGTCAAGCTACGTTTAAACCTGCCATTGGCAATTTAACTGGACTACTGTCCTTGTTCCAGTTGGTAGACACATCAATAAGAGGCTTATCGGTAGTATGTCAAATCATGAAAATGCTAATTACTTTACAGCTGTGCCCTTTTTTTCCATACGACACAACAGCCTCTTCTTTTTTAATAATACTATCAATCAGATTTTTGAACAACACACTGAGTGAGGTCAGATGGAGATGTCACGTGGCCACTCTTTGAATGTGTTGGTGGTTGTGACTTGGGCCAGTGATCTGTGAACAGGTCGATAAGAGGTTGACCTCAGTGTTCATGAGCAAACCTCAGTGAGTTAAGTGACATTTTAACAGTGCTGACAGAGTTCTCATGGTAGTTTATATGAGTGAAGTGAACACAAAAAGGACTCCTACAAAAAAAGCTGAAGTTTATCCTAAGTCACAGTTGAAGTCACTAAAAAAATCAAAGATCAGGATTTTTGGGTGGGACCAAGAGTGGCTGATCAGATTCCAAGGGGGGCGGGACCACCCCTCTGGACACACCTGCATCTGCATTCCCCTGTTCTTCTTGAGCATCATTGTCTCACACCATGCCTATTGTTTTCAAAGAGGTAAAGGTTTCATAGTTGATAGCACAACCACGGCAATGCTTTTCGCATCAGCCTCCACTCACAGTAAAGTCAAGCGTCTGTGATTTCCTATTGGCATACATGCAGGAAATAAGTGCATCACCTGTATGAGGTCCTATCCTCTGGAACTGTGTTGGCATTTGCTTCTCATTCAACACGTAATGCTAAACTTTCAAAACTTGTCTCTGTGCCGCAGCTTGTGGTTTTAATGTTTGTTTTCTTCAATCTTATCTAAGTCCTTTGCTCTTCGGAGTTAACCACCCTGCACACTGCTGGATGATTGGTGACACAGCTAGAGTACTTAGACTTGGATGCACCATCAAAATAGTCTACTTTGCATCACATGCTGAGGTTAAATTAATTGTGTGTAGCTCAGTGCTTCTTAAATATAATTTTCAGTCTGACTACAACTGTACTGTCACAAATCTATACTTAACATCCATGTTTTTGCTCATCTGCAGTGTAAGGGGTTGTGTAATAGACCAGAACCTCAACTCTGAGGGCTGAGGGGAAAACTGGTCGGGAGGGGTAGTGTTTACATTCAAGATTTCTCCAAAAACTGGCACTTCCTCAGATCCTGACTACCTCCCCTTTAAGTGACAGGTACACAGCATGGACACATGAACAAAGAACAAACACAATGAACAAACAAAGAGGGAAGGCAGCGTTGGGTGTAAATATACATGGTAACGATTAACAAGAGGCAGGTGAGACACTAGCACACAGGTGCAGACAATGGCTGTTTTCAAATTTGCCTACTATACTTGGCAGATTTGCCCAAAATTTAGTATGCAGTGTGCAGTAGGTGAACAAATGGGAAATTTGCAGTATATCAAAAATACCCAGATAATGTACTGATTTCGGAAAATTTCACAGTATGCATCGAACCAGTCTGCTTCGCCAACTGTTACCCATAATGCAAAGCGCCTGGGCAGACGGCGGAATAGTGGAGCACCCGAGCGTTCATTTTCTAAGAAGACACCCTAAAGATTTCTCCTTCTGACAGCCTGTCTTCTCCTCCCTCTTTCAGCATTATGTGTGTAAACCACTGACAAGAATGTCATGTTTTGTTCGTTCTTTCATTTAAGCAGGTCATTGCATAGACAACACATTTTGACGGCTGATATTGGGCTAAAATATCCTGAAAAAATCTAACTAAAACACAAGTCAGATTTTTCAGTGCGTAAATTAATTCGTGACACTGTAGTGTTGTTGCAATTTGCCAGGGTACAATGTACTTTTCCATACCGGAAACCAAGCATACTACATAATAACGGCCGACTTGCGGTCATACTGCATACTACTGTCGAACACAGTACTCGGCAGGAATATGCAGTAGGCCAATTCAAAAACAGCCTATTACTAAGGAGGGAAAAACACAGGAAGTAAAACTCAACACACAGAGATAAACTACTACAAAATAAAACAGGAAGTCAAACTATACCAGACACACAAGGGGAAGGAACCACAAGATAAAACAGAAAATACTGAAAACTGATCTTAAGAATAAACTCAGAGATTATTAGGGAGGGATAGGGGTGAGGATCAAAGACAAACTGAAAACTCACAAAACTAGGATCATAGTGGCCAGAAACACGAGGGAACAAACAACTAAATTACAAAACCAACAAAAAAAAAAAATGTATTTACAAGAACATATCATGACAACCATTAGCTGACTAAAGAGGAAACTAACTGAACCGTTTATTTTGTTGTTGTCTTTGACCTGAATAAAATGACATTAATCCTGCTGCTTGTGTCCAGGTTAGAGTGGTGCAGCTTTGCTAATGATAATGTAGGAGAAGCTATCAAACTTGGAAACATATTTGAAGGGGAAAAAATAAAGAAAAAGGTGAAAAAGATTGAAGACAAAGAGCAGCGGTCGAGCAGGAAACCAATAGATTCTGTGAGTGTGGTTATAAATAGCAACATGATGACAGACAGCTGGCAGTCCTTAGTCACAACTCTTTTCTCCTCTTTGTTTCAATTCAACAGGAAATGCAAACTTCACACATAAAAACAGCCAATCAGGTGGCAGCATCTATCAGCAGCGTATAATATAGTGTCTGACTGAATGACGCAAGCCTGCAAAACACAAAGCACAGTTACAGCTCAGAGATGGATGTACATGTCCATAAACTTGTCTTTGAATAATAGATGAGCTCTTTCTAATTCTTGAAATGTTTAAGGGGATATTTAAAATAGACCAAAGATTTTAAACACACATCATAAAGCACATAGTAAATGAGTGCACCTCTGACTACGTTTTACTAGTTAGATGACACACAATCCAGCTGCTAAGTGATGGTATATTTACATACACACCGTGCTAAAGCTGATATACATAACTTTGTTCCTTCTACTGTGTCCTTAAATTATCAGAAAACACAAACGTCATTGTATGAGCTATGCCAATGTATGGATTGAATTTATATGCACTGAAACAGACACTCTGGACCACAGAAGCAATCCCAAAAAAGAAATGTACTGATGTGTACATTTATACACAAGGCACACCAGCATAACTTCATTAAATATTTACTGAGAGTATCAAGCCAGGTCTAATGATGCTGGTGTATTGCACACGTACAGTTATGTTTTAAGAGGGTAAAAAACACCCCATTGTGTATGGGTGTGAGTATGTCTGCATGCATTCAAGAGAGTGCACATGATAGAGAGCTTGGTTTGGCCTCAGTCTGTAGTTTTTGGCCTGTGCAGGGCTGAGGTAAAGCGGGTGTGTGAGGAGATAACGGTGACCATGTTCACGTCTCAACCTCATATCAAATATAGCATGATGTCAGAAGATATGGGGAAAGATACTTGTGTCCCCAAGACCTATGTCCCCTGTCCCTGGTCCTGGTCGCTACATTGCTGTTTATCTCTGTTTAACAATAAGAAACACAAGTAGTGATATTAGGAGATTACAGCACCATGGACTTGAGGCATCAGATGACGTTGTGTTGGCCTTTGTTGTTACTTTCTGCATCCTTAAAATAGCAATCGGTGACTGAGTCAAGCTACAAATAAGAAAGACACTTGGCTTCACAAGTGTTGGGCAACAATGCTAAATATTATCTGCCATCACACTTAAACTAGAAGACTTTTAGATCAGAGACCCGGTATGTGTGTTTTCTTATTCCTTTTGGGGGTTGGGGGAGCTGTAAACTGGTTTTCAATAACAAATGGAAGTAAATCAGTACCTGCTGCCTTTATTTCCAATTGTAATAGAACCTGAATCAATAACTCCAGGGGTGAAGGTTTGGTTTGAGGGTTGGTTAAAAGAGAGATTCTAGATCCAAATGGTCGTAACGCAACACATTAATCAATATAAAACTCCTTTTAAAATTGAATCATCCTATAAAAATGTAAGTGTCCTGGTTCTGCATGTAAATCAATGTATGTCCCCTTAATGGATGTTAACACGCATGTATGTGTGTTCAGATGAGCTGGACTGAACAAAGTGTGAAGAGAGGCAGCCTGCACCGAGGAAACAGAGTGGATGAAGATGAAGGGATGGAGGACAACTCACTGTACAGCAGCAGACAGACAAGTGAGTCTGAATGTTCACCTGACCTACCTCAGCAGTTTCTGTCTGTCTCTACATCTTTGGGCTTCATGGTCTGTGCACACCTAGGGTTCCCATTATACAGTCTATGGATTTTCTTTACAGTTGAACTTTTATTATAAATACAGCCCCAGTTATAAGGTACAGAGAACAGCTCTTTGGTAGTAATAAGAAGTAGTAGTGGTCGTATTGATACTCCTGTCTCTGCCATATGAATACAACAATACCTCTGCTGTAGATGCAGCTATACTTGATGTTAACATTCCTCTTAACCACTTGAATTACAACATAATAGGTTGAGTACTCTAGTGCCTGCAGTATACATACGGCTCTGTTTGAAGTATGAACAAAGCTCCACCTGCTAAATATTTACACCTGTACTTGTGGTAATTTAGTATGGGCACACCGGAAACTTTAGTAAGACCTCAGCAGGGATACCAGTCATGTATAGTGTAGAATAAATTTTAAATATCTACATATAAGATGCAGCATAAGGGGAAGAACAAAATTGCAGAAAATGGAAATACTAAAGCACAAGTTCCTCAAACTGGTCCTAAACTCAGAGCTTGGTTATGTGTATTTATAAACTTTCCACCACTGTCAGCATGAGTCAAGGATCAGACTTTGAAAAAACATCAGCTGGTTGGAGACACAAATACTTTGAGAGGTTTATTTGTAGACTGAAGAATTTATCTGATGAGTTTTTACTTGAGTTTTTAGAGATGTCAGATGTAGACCATCTTAACCAGCCCTGCCAGTCAACTGTAAAACCCTTTGTTGATGACTCTGTATTCTATGTTTCTATCCGTAGCAGACAGGCTTTACTTTAACACCTTGAAAAGTCTTGAAGTTTTCTCCCAAACCCTCCAGGTGTCATTGTGTTTGTGCAGCAGTTTTAAGTCCAACCTTTAGTTAGTTTCCTGTCGCACCTCCAACCAAACCTCACTTCCTCTCTCGCTCTTTTCCCAGCGCTGCTAAATTTGGCAGCATGCGGCTGAAATGATGCATCACATTGCAACACACATGTACACAAACACACAGAGGGAGGTGTTTGATTCTTAGTTCTAAGACAGATGACCACAGATGTCTCACTTTTAGAGTCAATTTAGATAAATAGTTCCAGTTTTTTAAAGACAGGACAGGACCCTTTGTCGACTCTTTGTCTTTATAAAATTTGCACAATATTCATTTAACATGGACCTAATTTGTGCTGTTTTCAAGGATTATGGAGTTAATCCAATCATTTCTCTACTGCTTGAAAATATCTATGAACCTTTGCTATTAAAATGTTGGGACGTTGTGGAAATGTACACTACAGGACAAAAGTTTGGAAGCAAGATCAGATTTGTACAAAAAAAGATCATAGTTTCATATATATAATTTGCAACACAATAAACATGACTATAGGGAACCGAAGTCATGCTAACTTCCGGGTTAGCATACGGTCCTATGGAGCCCATCAAAATGAATGGACAGATATATATAACTACTGGTCCGCTTTGGTATACGCCGTGGATTTCACATATAATGTTTATCATGTTTAAATTTACATTTTAACCTCGAAAAAGCCGTGATTTTAGACATGTTGCTATAACTACAGTTTAATTTAGAGTGAGACCACGTAATGAACTACACCGCTCGTCGCACTATTTTTGCGTCACTGTCTAAGCTTTGACAGACGACGCATTTCATGTAAGTCTCACCTGATTAATTGAATCCACCGACTCCTTTTCTTCTTATCAGCCGGGAAACGGCGAAAGGAACATCCTGCTGAACTATTATGGTGACATTCTGGCACAAAACACACAGGCATTTTGGCAATGATAACGAGTTGACAGGAGTTGTCAGCTAGCTAGAAGTAGAAATACTGACGTGACGTCATTTACGCGACTTCTTGAGGTCTGTAGTCTCTCCATTTACGTGTTTTCAAAGACAAATAGATCAACAATTACACAACAAACATAGCCTTTATTTACCTTAATGGTTATCATTTAAGTTAAAATACAACATATTTGTGACTCAGGGTGTAAAACAAAGCGGACCAGAAAATACCATAGACCTGTCCATTCACTCCTATTATCCCAATAGGACCTATAGCGCTAACGTGGAAGTGGGCGTGGCTTCGGTTCCCTATTGTGTAAAGAGTAACTTATCAGAAGACATTTTGACTATAATTATTAGGTATTTGAGTTATTGTTGCTTAGACTTTGCTTTCTTTAAAGTAACCTCCTCTGACTTTAACAACAGCTTGGCATATACCAGGCATTCGTTCCACAAGTTTTCTAAGGTATGTTCCAGGGATTGCATTCCAAGTTCATTAAAAAGTGACTTCTGATTCGTGGGATGTGTTTTTCTGACTGATCCAATTCATCCCGCACAAGCTCAATTGTAGAAAGTTCTGGAGACTGAGGGGGCCAAACCATCTTTTGAAGAACACCTTCCTCTTCTTTTTTGTCGAGGTAACCCTGACAGAGCTTGTCAGAGTGCTTAGGGTCATTGTATTGCTGCAAAACAAACTTATGAACCACAAGTCTGTAAGCGCTGCATTGGGCGTCCTCCACACTCTCTCATATGAGCACAGATGGATTTGGTGTGTGTAATGTTGGACCCACTAGTAAGCCAAATATCCTTTTCCACAAATAAAGACAATCGCATAAAGTTGCATATATTCAAACCTCACATGACAAAGGTGGGTTGAGCTCACAGATCACAACATAAACTCCAAAAATGGCATTAAAATCGGAACCATCTGTGTGTAAATGACGAATCATGCTCTGTGGCCTGGCTCTTTCTTTCATAGATCTTGGCATATAAAACAAATTTGGCTCACAAAACTGAATATAATAATATTTGTATGTAGGTTTAAAGTAAATAACTCATCTGATCACTGAAACAAATCATCTGTTCAGTCGCTGCAGCAGGACGGGGAGAGGACACAGAGACATGTCCAGTTCGAGCTGCGCAAGAAATTAGAGGAAGAGGAAGAAAGAAAAGGAGGGAGACGAATTACATATCTTGTTTACTTCATCATGTGTGTCTATTTACTAGATATTTAATTTAATTTAATTTAATGAGGTTTCAGCTGTGTTGATTCGGTCAGGTTGTGTGTCCACCGCGTGCCAAACGCGCTCATCAGATCAGATATAGATCAGAATATATCGATGTAGATCTAAATGTATGTGTTGACTCAGATTATTAGTTGTTGATTATTTATTGCACTGAAATGTGCCTGACACTGTGGAAACCTGCCGGTGAGGCATCGGTGACGTATGCAGATACACCGCCGGTCTACCAAAATACCACTAGACCATCTGCGCTCCGCCTGCGCTGAAAGCTGACCAGGTTTGAATCAGTGAGCTTTCATCACACTTTATACGCCACCGGCGAGCACGAAAATGTCACTGCGCCAGCTGATTCTGTCAACACCTCCCCCTGCCACGCCCAGCTTGGCGGACCTCAGTGTGCCTCAGTCCACGAAAATACCAAACTGGCTGTACGCCGGGCTCCGCCAGATGAAAATTTCACTGTGCGCGGTCTGCCACCCTCCGCCGCCTCACCGGCGGACATGAAAATAGAGCCCATGGCGCTTTCAGACGTTCACCAGTTTGTCTGCAAACATAGACTCTGCGTTTTGAACCAAACACTGCAAACTTGTTTCTAGTCATCATAAGTTCAATTTTTGTGAGCTTTTGCCCACTCATATCTCTTTTTCTTGTTCTATGGACAAAGTAGTGTTTTTTTGCAGATACACAACCCTTCAGACCAGCCTTTCTCAAATGTATGAGATATGGGTTTTGACCTTGTCATGTAGATTTCCTCCCTTACTTTTGGTGCTGTGTTTCGCCGATCTCTTTTACTGGTGACAATTCTATGTTTATTCTCTCCTTTTTAGTAACTCTCTTTCGTCCAGGTCTTTTACTATCATCATAACTTCCAGGTTCCTCTAGTCTCTTCAGAGTGTAGTGGACTCCTTTGTTAAACACCTTTAGGCATTTTGCAATTTCTCTTTCTGTGTATCCTTCTTTCCTCAATGTACAAATCTGTACATGTGTTTCTTTACTCAGTTGCTTCTTTCTAGCCATTTTTGCGGTAGTTTGAATGCAGTTGAGATTTATTAGGATTTTTGTATGCAGACTCTCAAAAGCCAAAAAGTTAAAGTGAAAAATCCAACTGTGAATTTTTTTTTTTTTGCTTTTGCACTGAAGTTGTGACTCTTGGAAATGTTTTCAACCCTAAAACTAAGCCCTTATTATCTTTAGCTGACATTAACAGCAATGGTCTGTTAACATCAATGTATATCTAAAGGTAAATGGAGTAAAATGGTGCATTTCCATGAAAGCAACATCTGATCATGGAGTAAATACATCCCAAAATACATAAAACTCATGCTGGATTTAAAAAAAAAGCATTGTGAACAAAAACTTAAAGTTACTCCCAACTGTCCGGCCTGTAATGGCCTTGCTTCCAAACTTTTGGCCTGTAGTGTATATAAAAACAGAATTTGATGGTTAATAAATAATCCAAACCCTGTTTTCAATCAAAAAAGTTACAAAAGCAACAAAGCCAAAGACAGGTTTCAAAAAAGCTGAGACAGGGATGTGTTTAGTGCTGTGTTGCATCACCTTTTTCCCCTCCCTTTTTGCCAGACATAAGATTTCAGCCCCTGAATTTCGACAGTTTGGGGTTTTCTTTGTTGTTTGTTTTCTAAAGGTCAGGGCTGCAGGTAGGCCAGTTTAGCACCAGGATTCCCTTGGAAACAAAGCCAGAGCAGATTGGGGTATGGCATTTTCTTGCACAAAATGATATGTTGGGTCTTTTCCAAAAATAGTAAGTGTATCCCTACTAAGCGCTTTATGTGTTGTTCAGCATTTGTTGTGCTTTGTTAGACAAGTAAGCTACCCCTGCTATGGGCACTCGTGCATCCCCATATCAAAGGTTCGCTTTTGAAAAGTAAGTTGATGTCAGCTCTTTTGAGCCAAGGACAAGGGAGTCCATGATTTTTAAAAAAATAGCAGAGTTTGTTTCAGGATAATTTTCCACTTTGCTTCAGTCCATTGTAAAAGAAAAAGTCATGAGCATCCTCTTTGCATGGTACAGCTTTAGCCTCTATTTGTTGATGCAGTGACAAGCTGTGTTTACGGGCAGTTGTTTTTAAAAGTATTATCAGGCCCATGCGTTGAGCTCCACTGCAGTGTCCTGCCTATTTTAAAGAAGTCCTTTATGCTCTTTTCATATTTTGAAATCAAACGTTCAGTTCAAATGTTGGACGTTGGACATCAAGATGAGATTTGCAGCAATCATAACACCACCAGACAGTTTATCTCCTTAAAAGGGCAAATTTGTAATGGCAACAGTGAAGGAGGACTCTAGAATTCTGGGTTCTGGAATGCTCAGGGTTTTCAAAGACAGCAGCCTGAAATATGTTTAGAGTTTGTTAACCTGTGAACCATGTAAAGCTGCTGAGAAGCATGGGTGAAAATGCATTATCAGCTGCAGTCACAGAGAGGGCACTGGGTGTCAAACTCACAAGTATGTTCAATGGAAAATGACAATGACACATACTGCACACCAAAATGCTTGCACTGGGTGTGCGATTGCGCCTTACTCTCAGCTGAGAGTTCTGCATGATTTGGCAGCTCAGTTTTATTTCTGACCGAGGATGTTTCCACTGCAGTTTTTTTTTCATCATGAGAATTTTGTGTAGTGGAAACTTGTGTGTTTGTGAGTTCCTGCTGTGGTGGAGTGTGTCGCAGCCTGTAGCGGGGCGTTGCAGCACTGCAGTGACCGGCGGCTACAGGACGACCTCAACTTTTATCTTCACAGGACAAACTTCCTCATTCTCAACAGGAAGCTCCTCTCTACAAAAATAGTCACTTAAAAAATTAATGACAAGACTGGTGTATTACAGTGGTTGATGCTTGCAAGATTAAGAGCTAAATTAGCTTGTTTAGCATTAGCTGCTTGGAATTTTAGCTCACTGCATGTTTAAAAGTCTTTAGAAAATAAAAGGAAAACCACTGAAATGAGATGTAAGCTCAGACCTTTTTACCTCTGTGGAGTTTCAGTGTCATGCAGAGCAGTGGTTTCCAGTTTCTCTGCTGGTTTGTAGCTCTGATTGTCTTCTCTTTATATTTAGTTGGTGGTGACTGTGATGTAATGAGGTGAACCGAAGCTCGAACATGACTTTGTTCTTTTGAAAGCTGCACAGTAAAACACACTCACATGAATATAGATGAGCAGACACACACACTGCAGAGTGACTCAATCTAACTCTGAGAGCAGGTTCACTGCTCTACTTCCAAACCAGATGTTCACTACAGAGTCTGACCGCCGAAGATGTCCTCCTCAATAAGGATGGCAGAAAATGCTGATGAAAAACCCCAGTTTCAGTCAAACAATCAGTTCATACTTGTCTAAGTCTCTATGTCAACAAGAAATAAAGTTATTATGAACATTATTGAACAAGTGTGCCGGTAACTCAGCTATGAACTGAGGTCCCACAGAATGGCTCTGAAAATGGACATTATTCTGAGCCAATATAGTGATTTCCACTACAGAGCTTTTCTGTTTTCATCTGAGGACCTTAAAGGAATATTCCATCGTAAAATTAAGTTAGGGTCAAACACACCGTAACACTGAGTTAGACACCCCGTCGAGAGATGAATGTTGCACTGCAGACGCGGTAGTTCTCCTGCCCAAGCGTCTCGGCCTGATGGTGGTTAGTACTACGGCTGTGACCCTTTATGTACTGTTGATGAAGTTAGGTGCTATTCTGAGCGTTATTTGAGGCTATAGAGTGGCTTGTTGGTTGAGCGCATGGCTCTCTGTATTGCTATCATGCGGTTGTTACTAAAGTTGGTATAACTAGAGAAGGGGTGTCTAACTCAGTGTTACGTCTCTATCCCTGAAGGACTCAGCCTCTCTGGAGTACCTTTTATGTACTTAGTCATGTTTCTAACCTGTTGCAGATTAACCAAGTTGGTTTGGAGATGTGACTGAAGGTGTTTTTCTTTGATAACTTTTTCAGTGTTTGTTGTTTTTGTTTGATCTTTTTTGTAACATGTTTCTGGCAGCAAATTTAAAATGAGGGTATACTTTTCATAGAACAATTAAACAGTTCATTTGTTGTCTTTGAACTGTTTTTAGTCCAATATTGAGTTTGTAAATCATCAAAATCTGTTTTATCAGAATCCTAACTTTTTAGGGAGCAAGGTTGTATGATATTTTCTAGATTACTTTGAACATTTTGAAGAATTTTAAACTGCTTCTTTAAATAAATGTGGGGGAAAGTGAGCCAAGAAGAGAGAGGATAAAGAGTTCAAATCAGACATCAAATTTGAAAAGTGAAAAAATCAAATGAAATTAGTAAGAACACAAGTATATGCAGTTTTGACTGTGCTGAACAACTGATGTAGCAACTTTACATGTTTGATTGAGGTCATATTATGAAGCTTCTGAAGTCGCTACTGTTTTCCCACATCCTCCGACACCTGCAGCACACACCTGTTTGACTGTGTGTGTGTGTGTTTGTGTGTGGTTTCCTCCATGTCACACACCTAAATCATAAAGAAATGAAATGCCAAAGACAGAACATCATCAGGAGTACCACCTAAAACCTGAAGTACAAACATATTAGTAAAATAATCTAGCTACCTTACAGTTACATGTTGTGAAATACACTTGTACGCAGATGATGCTGTCCTGTATTGCTTTATTGGCACAACATAATTAGACCCCAGACTCATATAATGAAAACGGCGTTAAGTAAACTGTGTGCATTTATATGTTGCAGTGCAAAATGTCCAATATTCATCTACTGGTGGCATCCTTATAGATGTATTTATGTGTGTCAGTGCGTGACTTCAGGGTGTGCGTTCGGCGGACGGAGGCGTCTGAGCGCTGCAGAATGAGAGGAGACGGTGTCCTGCGAGCTGATATAGATGCTCTTCTCCTGCTGAATAAGTCTGAAGATGTGGTGTACAGATGGCCATACAGATTTCTGCGCCGCTTTGGACGAGACAAGGTGACACACACACACACACACGCACACACACACACACACACACACAGAGACCTTTCACAGTATTTTACGAAGGATAACAAGTTTGCATCTTCTCCAGCTATATAAAAGTGAAACCAAAATACAACCGGTGTCTGATTTCTAGTTGCGCAGCTAAATTTTGATACTCTGAAGACAGATTTATATTGACAAAAAATATCAAAGATTCTTTGGGTTGGTGCAGTTCGGGCACTTGTACTTTATTAAAGCTTTACTTCAGGGTAGCTGTCATGTTGTCCATCTTTTTTACAGTTTATTAGAGACACACATGAGTTATGACCAGCTGTGGTATCCTCAGGCAGCATGTCAGAATGCAACAGCGAATGGTAATCTACGGTGGCCCTAATGTCCAAAACAGAAACATAACAACAAACCACGCAATGCAACAAGACACAGTCCTGAATAAAAAAAAAAAAAAAGATACTGAGAGAGAGCATGAACTGGAAAATGGTCTGACAGCAACTCTCTTTTCATAAGTCATCTTTGATTTTTGTGTGTTTTTTTGATTTCTTGTAGGTTGTGTTTCTGTTCTTTCCAGATTTGTCCTGCTTTTTCTCTTTCTTCTCATTTCTGGTTTTGAGTTTTGTTGTTTTTCTTGTGATTGTTTTGTTTTTTATTGGTCGTTTGTTTAGTAATTTTTTAAGTTGTTTCATGTTTGTGATGTGTTATATGAAATATCATTGTTTCAACTAATTCATTATTGCTCTACACGTGTATATTGTGATTCTTGATTGTTTTGTTTCTGGTTGTGACAAAGAGGTTGTCACTGTTCGAGGACAGCACATAGTAAATCCAATGGTAAAGAGACATGCATCCATTGACCTTTAGGTGTGCTGATCGAGGTGCATATGTTCAATTAGGTGAAAGGTTATCTGGCTAAATTGTTAAAACTTTGTTGTTGAGGAGGATATTTGTGGGTGAAACAGTGACTTTATTGATGAAATGTGTTTGTTTGAATTAAATGCAAGTATTAAAGTGAAGTATATTGAGTTATTAAGGGAAATGGTGAGTTAACTGACAAACAACAGCTGCTTGGTCTCGAGATGGAGGGGCTGAGCATTTAAAAGCCTTTGACCACCATGGGTCTCGAGAGAGAACTCACTTCAGTCTGAAGGTGAATGTAAACTAGACCACTGCAGCTACTGGGAAGCTCTTATGAAATTAATTGTTTCTTCCTGGGGATTTTTGAGTTTCTTTTTTTTTTTTGTTAGTTGTTTTTTCTGACTTTATTTGTAATCATTCATGCAACTCAAGCCATCATTTCCTCATTTTTCTATGGAGCCCTCTTGTAACACTGGCTTTGTGTTTTTGTTGTTTAATTTGTTGTTTTCAGTTATGTTTATACTTACTGAATTTTTTATTGTTTTGTAATATGTTATGTTTGTATTTGTATTTGTATTATATATATATCAGGGCCACTTTAGAATCCTTATTTCACCCAAACCAATCATACAGTCAGTCTTTGAAAAGCTGGATTCTCTCTTACCTGTTGTCCCTCAGACGTCTCAGCACAGTGTATTATGTAACTCAGTTTCATTTGAGGACTATAATCTGGTCTAATCTGGACTCTGCTGTCTCTCCTTCAGTCCACCTTTTCCTTTGAGGCTGGCCGCAGGTGCGACTCTGGTGAGGGGAGTTTTGAATTTGACACCAAACAAGGGAACCTCCTGTTTCAGGCTGTGGAAGCAGCCATTGACCTGCAGAGGCTCCCCCTTCCCCACAGACAGCCCTCAGGAGGGGGGCAGGCAAGTCCAGAGACCCCCCAGGACCTAAGCCTGCCCCCCCTGCCTCTAAACTCAACTCTGTTCCAGAGCAGGACGCCACCGCTGCCTCAGCCCCGCTGCCATGTCCCACAAGCCCCTGCTGCTCAGGTCAGCTCAAAGGAGAGGGGATACAGAATACAAACCCTGACTTTCACAATGGAAGCATGACTGTTGAATAAAGTCAATGTTAGATTATCTCACCCATCTGCGTATTTTCTGTCCTCAGGCAGCTGATGGCGTGTACAGTATGGTGACTGAACCATCAAACCTTCAGATGAGTCATCACAAAGACAAAGAGAGCGCCAACTCTTCACCACAGTCTCAACATCGCCCCCCTCTGGTAGGAACCATCAACTGGAAAACACAGAGTGTCAGCCTTACAGGCAACATGACCATAACAGATGTGAACAAAAACAAAATCAATCTAAGTTTATTTTATAAGGCAACAATTTAGAAATCTTTGTCTAGGCGAGGAATAATGTCAAATTTTTGATGCCACAAGAGCAATCATCCTACCAGGTAGGAAGGATTAAGGCACAATGTGAGGATGTAAGGAAAGGAATCAAGGGTGTACAACCAACATTTGACAGACATGAATAAACAAAGTGTCAATCAATACTGGGTTTCATATTTCATTTATCTGTCCTCAGACCCGTCTGGAGCCTCCAGTCGACAAAACGCTGACAGGTGTGAAGAGTTTGACTCTGGAAACTCGAGCCCTCCCCATCCCTCGGAAAAACCAAGTCAAGATGATCTCCAGCTGCCCTCTGCCTAACGCTGGCCCTGAGTCTGACACCAACCCACCCTCCAGCTCAAGCTCCATCCCAAGTTCCTCTAAACTTGGCTCAAACCTAGACAAGACATACTCCAAGATCACCCTGCCGCCAGAGCGAGCCACCAAGAGAGAGAAGAGAAGTGGCAGCCTGGCTCAGCCCTGCACCACACCTCAGATCACCCCAGAGCCGGAGTACTCCCTCCCCTTCGACACCATTGCTGTCAAAGTCATGAGCAACATCTTAAATTCGCATCAGGCTCTGGGTGCTGAGGGTGGCGCCGACCCGCTCTATGATAGCATTGACGAGATGAAGATCAGAAACATCTTCTCCAGTGATGCTGACACTCTTGGACCGCCGTATGCGAAGGTGGAGCACATCTATGATGAACCAGAAGGTTGTGCCGCCCCCACCGCACAAAAACCTCCAACCTCAGTCTACGATGAACCCGAGGAGATGAGAGGAGATGCCTGGAGGATTATGGGAACACCAGCTGACCCTAAAGGTCATGAGTACCCATATAATCCGCGGGTGGATGACTACGCTGTGCCCAAACGACCTCAGAGGGCATGTCCTGTGTCACAAAGCACCACAGAAGAAGAAGACAAAGAGGAGGAGCCACAGAGGGAGGAGGAGGAGGAGGAGGAGGAGGGAGTGGTGGAAGAACAGCAGGATTCACCCTATAACAATGTGAATGTAAAGATGGCGTAAAGGAGAGTCAGCTATGAGCACGAACATAACTCAGACCAATGATTCTGATCTATAATCAAGAATGACTGATGATGATTCGAGGGACAGGTTCACCATCAAACAGCCTGTACTCAGCTTTTACTCTGCAGCTCCCTGCTGATGCATTTAAAGACATTCAGACATCTGAGATCCGAAGGCTTTCTATCTGGGCTCTGTTGACTTATTTTGGATCTAAATTAGGAGAAATACTTGAGGATATATACAGAAAGGTTTGCAGAAAGATGTGTTTAATTTTTTTATTTGGATCTTTCGAAGACTAACTTAAGGTTGACAGCAGTGAGAGAGAAAAAAAAGCCTGCAGGGGGCAGCAGAGCTCACAAGATCTTTTCAACAATCTGATTACTTCATAGAGACAAAGAACTGTGGACCGTCTGACCGAAGTTTGTTCAAACTCTATTTGTTTTTGTGCAGTTTAAGGCTCAAACTTTCATGAAAAATTATAAATTAATACTGTAATAGATAAATACTGAGTGTGTGTGTGATGGTCAGAGTGGGTGTTGAGAGTATGTACAGATATTTTATGAATAAACAGCTGTGAGAACCTCTACATTTGAAGTGAATCCTGATTTTGTTTTTCTTTAAATCTGAATCTAACGAACCATCTAAATGGTTCAACCATCCAACAGAAACAAACAAACATAAATTAGCAGTGTAACGTTGTGAATAAATTAAACCAGACCAGCTCTCAAAATTTAGTATGATGTAAAATGACAATAATGCTGTGAAACCCTTTTTTTAACCCAGAACTTTATTCTCATACGAAATTTATTGATCAGCAACCTGTTTATTTCATAACAATATGACTGTGTGTGTGTGTGTGTCTGTTTAATTATGCTAAGTCCCTGTGTTTAACAGTAAGCCTCGGATCATCCATTAAAACACACACACACGCACACACACACACACACACACACACACACACACACACACACACACACACACACACACACACACACACACATCTATGCAATTACAGGGGCAATCATAATTAAACAGACGTTTGTGTGTTCATCTTGTTCATCTTAGCCACAGGGAAACTTTCAGAGCCGACCCACTAAGATCCTCTGTGACTGCATGAGACTGTGATATTCAGCTTACTGTGGGTCTGTTTACAGGAGTTTTAGTGATATGATTCAGCCTGTGTCTTTATGACAGGAGGGTATTTTCTCTCTGAAGTCTCTGAAATGAATCTGTGCTCAAAGTTATTGAACCTGGCTTCACTTTTCATGCAGCAGGTGTTGCTGCGATTTACAACACAGGGTCTGTTTTGGTCCAGGTCAGGTGGGTGGGCTGGTTTTAGCAGATGAAACCATATAATGAGTGATCTGTGAAGAGTCTGAGCTGGAGTCTTCAGAGGTTGTCCTTGCCAGGTCTTGTCTGTAAATTAATCCAGTATGATGAGGGCAGACTGAGATGAAACTCGAGGGAGAGCCCTAAACTTGAAACATATTTAAATGATGGAATGATGGTTTCTGCAAGGTCCTTTGTCTCACCCTGTAGAGAAAGCCACTTTCTAATACTAGTTCTGTAAGTTTCCCGACGTGTCCTTGTAAAGTCGAGAACGTCTTCACTCTGGACAGATGATAGTTGCATATAGCATCGTTTCGCTCCTTTTTATGCACTTTTGAAGGCTGTTTTCTTTTGTTCCTTTTCTTTTCTTCCTCTTCGCTTGTCTCGCTGCGAGATGCGGTCGTCGCCATGTTTGTGTATTTCTGATGCTATGGCAACGAGACTCGGCTCCTATTGGTCCACGTGACAAAAATCGCTTCACCCCCTGCATATTCGATTGCGTGTGTGCAAGTATTACTACGCCGCAGAGGGGAAATAGTTCGACACCGAAACACTGATTACTAAAAATCGACAGGATGACATGAGTAGATATATTTTTTTAGTACTTACTATCAATAGAGCTTTTTAATGAATCACAGTTTATATTGCACCACTAAAGTGGAACGAATCAACACGATCTCATTCAGCCAATACAGCCTAATTGTAGGCTAAGCTAATGTGTATTCATGCCACTTCCTGAACGCAGGGTGATGGGGTGGGGAAGGAGGGGGAGGCCTGTCACTCATGGCAGACCGCGCCCCTCTCAGTCGAGGCCCGCCCCCGCGCAAAAACAGGCTCAAAAGTCAACCTGAAACTTTTCAAGTTGAATCTGAAAAAAGATCTGAATCTGAAAAAAAAAAAATCTGAAACCGAAAATTTTTTTTTGAATCCGTAAAAATAAGATCTGAATCTGAAATAAATAAATAAAATTCAATCGAAAAAAAAAAGTACTCAAAGATCAAAATATACATTGAAGTGAAAAATAGAAATAAGTAATTTATTCAAAAGTATTAAAAAACAGAATCAAAGTTACATTTGAACAGATTTTTTTCATGCATTCTGGGATTTTTCAAAGTTCAATTTCGAAATTCAAGACTTTCAGGTACCATTTTATTTTTTTCAGGTTCAAATCTTATTTTTTCACTTCACTTTTTATTTTTTCACTTACACTACTTTTTCAATACTTTTGAGCCTGATCTGGCTCCATAGATGTGCCCCCAGCAATCCAAAGCTAGAGCAGCATAACTAAAAGCTGGTCCAGGCCTGAACCAGCTTATCAAACAGCAATGTTTTCAGCCCATTTTTAAGGGTAGAGAAGACGTCTGCCCCCCACATCCATTGGTTGAGATCTTAAAAATGTAATCATCATAAAATTTTATAGCAGCATGACCTCCTGGTCTGTAGCTCATGGCTGTTTTATACACACAACTAATCAGTGACCACTGGGCAGTGTCCCTGATGTCCAGTGTGTGGTTTGTAAAAATAAGAGAGAAGAAGAAAGCAGGAGGACTCGGCTGGTTTTTCTCACTAAACTGGTGCAGATTCATCTCTGTGTTGGAGCTTCGTGGCTGCTCCGGTTGCTCCAGGCCACCCTATGACTGTGATACCCTACGACACTTCTGACAGAGCAACCAGCTCCACACACACACATGAATACACGCATACACACTCTCACACTCACTGACACTGCCCCCCAAGGTACTCAGCAGGCTACAAAGGCGTCCCAGCATGCATTTCTCTGTTCGCTCTACAACACACTCAACTGGAAACAAAAAGAGCATCGTTTTGTGTGTAAGTATGTGTGTGTGTGTGTGTGTGTGTGTGTGTGTGTGTGTGTGTGTGTGTGTGTGTGTGTGTGTGTGTGTGTGTGTGTGAGTGAGTGTGTAGACTCACTGGCCTGGAAGCTGAAGGAAACCTTCTACTCATGACACCAGAGAAATAAAACACTGATGTCATACTGTGTCCTACTTCACGTTCACAGCTGAGATCAGGAGGATCGAGTCAAAGATGGCATCAGGTGACTTCCAATAAGAGACGAGCTCACAGACAGACGCTGAGAGGCTATTAGAGTATAAATGATAACAGAGGGAAGCTAATAGAGAAAGGATAAAACCTGATTTAATAAAAAACATGAGCGGCAGAGTCCTCCAGAGATCATCTGAGGAAAGAAAAACTAGATATAACCACCAATGTTGATGACAATGCGGCAGTATGACGAACCTGCAGTACCGCAAGTGTCCACTGGAGGCTTGCTCTAAAACCCCATAAAGTCCCATTCTTGGTTACCCATGTTAAAATCTGTTGTTTTTTTTTTCTTACTCAGGTTGTCTCCTCACGATTATTGTAGTCATAAAACACAAGGCTAACAATATTGTTTTGATATTGATGGAGAATTTGAAAAACAAACAAACAACCCAACAAGTAAAATTAAGCAAAGACAAGAAAAGGGTGGAGCAACATATTGTATTACAAGTCCATATAAATAACTAATCACAATCAGTTTATATGTGACCATCCCCTTTGAATTATGTTCAAATTTATGATTGGAATTATAATGCTTTTATTTTGACATCATGTCTGTCATGTGTTGAGTTTGCTTTATTTCCTACATTGTGAAATTATACTTTTATTTTTCAGTATAGGATACTTCTTGTAGATCGTAAATTACAGAACTGAATGAAAATGGTTAATAGTAAAGTTAAAGGTGCAGTCTGTAGATATTTAGTAACATTAAAGGGGGGAAATTTGAAAATAAAACCTTCCTAACCAACCTCTCCTATCACTGAGGCAATGGTGGCCATCAAGGACCAAAAGACAATTCGATAAAGATGGCATCTGTCAGTGCCTGATCCATATCCAGAACACAATCCATGCCATATCATTTTTACACATGTGCTAGCAAGTATGCATGGGCAGATATTTATCTACATGACTTTACAGCAGTAAGTGAAGAAAAGAGGTGTCTGAAAATGAATATTGCGCTGCCCTCCAGCAATACAAAGAATCACATTTTGTATCCGTGCCGATGAGCAGGTTTGGGCACAAGACTGCTGTTCAATCTTAAAGGCAATCATATATGGCTGTCTTAAATATCTCTGTGTGCGTACTTTTCAGCGTATGCGCAGAAGCGATATGGCACAGATCATGTTTCGGGTACGGATCGGGTACGAACAGACGCCATCTTTATCTTTGATGGCCACCATTACCATGGTGACAGGAGAGGTTGGTTGGGAAGGTTGAATTTTCCCCCCTTTGATGTCAGTGGTGATATTTTCTGTCATTTAATCTCAATATCTAATATTAATAGTTTTTCATTGTTTTGGTAACACAAGCTGACATTAGCGAAGTAATGCTTGACGAAGCCAATGTTTTTCACGTATGAAAGAGTATCAGGAACAAATAGAAAATATACACTTTTGAAAGTTGTTTTCTTACTTAATGAAGTTAAATTGTTACAAAACATGAAGTCATGTTAAAGTCATGATATCAGGAGAATAAAGTCATCATGTTCTGAGAATAAAGTGGTGGTAAAGTTGTAGTTTTGGTGAGCAGCCAGCTGTCTGTACCAAAATAATGAATGTTGAGCATCTGGTTTGACTGTCTCTAATGTTTATTTCTTTTCAGCTCCACGTTGTTAAAATCATCAGGACTCTGAAAGACTGAGCAAAAACCTACACCATGTGGTAATATGGCTCAGGTTTTATAATAAAATAATATCAAAATAGCATTATGAGGCTAATCATTGATCAACTCATACAAATGAAGAAAAAGCAATACAGTTGTAAATGTTCTCATTGTTTGATGTAGAACCAGTTAGCCTCTTGCTAACGTTTTTGTTGATTGTTTTGGTAAAAATAAAATTATAGGTTATTCAAGAGGATAGACATACTTTGGTCATTAAATGGATTTTTGCTTGCTGCATGTAAAATGGAACTGGGACAAACAGACAAAATCTGAGAGGCTGTTAACAAAAATGGGTAACAAAAAGGGGTTTAGCCAAAAAATTCATAGACAAATTGAAGCATGAAGACACAGCTAAATGGGTGTTTGCACACTGTCACAGTATGGAGTCCAATGAACAAACCCTACTGGACTCAAGCTTAAAGGCTTTTTAAACAAGCACTTCAAAAACGAACAAAATGTCAAAGCCTTATTATAAAAAAGAAAATTCCAAATGTAACTGACAGAGGCTAAAAGTAGGTGTTAATTAACAGAAACTAATTAACACAAGCCAGTGACTAAGAGATAACTGACAAAACTGAATACAGAAGCAAAGATACTAAGATGTTTCACATCTGATTTAGAAACAATTTTTCTGACTTTCTCTGGAATATTGAGCAGATCAAAATCTGCATCCTGGACTCATTCAGGTGTTTGACAGACCTCAGGCAACATTCTACAGCGTGATTATTAATGTAAGATATATGTATGTTGGGTAACAGAGGGGCTTGGGGGGTGGGGATGCTTGTTTCCTTGGCAACCACCACGAGGGTCTTGAGCCGAATCCCTGTTGCTGCGGCAACCATGCATGCTGGCAGTGGATGGTATGATGAATGTGATTTAAACACAGAAAAAAAGCAGAGGGAGACGAAGTCTGAATGATGGATTTCTGCTCCTGCTGCTCTAAGTAGGCTGACTCACACCTCAGCAGGACAGCTACTTATCGATCATTGATCCCAGAGTCACAGTGATGAAGCTTCAAATGGAAAGTATTCAGGGGCCACAAAGAAGGGCAGGTTGTTGATAATTGGGGACTATAGATCACTGAGTAGATGTGGACTGAATTAAATTCTCTAAGATCTTGATGCCCGTAGTTTTATTAAGGTAACAATATTTCGGTATGAAAACAAAGCTTTTAAAGGATATGATACGTAATTTAGAGAAGTTAATATATTGTCAGCAGGCCTCAGGATTTTAATGACAAAATGCATCAATAAAGACAAAATTGTTGCTTCAAGAGAGTTCATTAAAATGCTCAGTGATTTTTTAAGAGATTATCTGAGTGTCCTGTTCCAAAGTAAATTACAGCCGAACAAGTCCATATAAATATATTTTAAGTTTCTAAAATTATTTTAATGATCTTTACAAACCAAATCAAAGTCATCACCAAAAATGTTCCACAACTCACTATGTAGGGAGCAGCTTTTAGCTCAAAAATAGAAGTATAAACATCTCCATGCTAACGTGCACATACGTATGAATATATGCCATGAATACATGCATCCCATCTGTTAATATATAGGTAAGAAAAAACAACACTGCATTGGGCTGTATTTCATACAACGATGCTTTCTGCCTTTTCTCTGACATGAACAAATCAATACAAAAGAAAGCCATTGAGGTGTGTACATACTTGTGTACATCTATAAGTCTAAATGTAAATATATTTACTTTTTTGTGATTAGTTTGTTTTCATAAAAGCTTCTGTGGGTAGTTTTTAGCTCGTCGTAAGAAAAAAAAAGAAGACCATCAACCAGAACAATTTAATTGAGTTGATGGGTTTAAGTATCTTGCTTAAGGACACTTCAGCATGAAGACCAGATCAAATCCCAAAATCTCCAACTCTAGAAACAACTAGAAAAGCACTCAGAGAGCGCAGACCTCTGCCAAACAGCTCATGTCCCCCCTTATATTGAGATTCACACCAAAACTTTTAGTGTTACGCGTCTTTTATTAACTTTTATTTGTGTTTAAATTGGTATGTTCACTGTTCATAATGTTTCTAAAACAAGAAATGCCCTGAACTCAGGACCTTCTTGCTGTGAGACGACAGTGCTAACCACTACACCACTGTGCCGCCCAACTATACCACTGTGCCGCCCATTCGTTATCTTTTGGCATTGAAAATTCCAACGACACCCTTATTTTTGTGTGTTCTGGATCACAGTATCCGGAATTTTGTCTGGATCAGGATCAACCTTTGACACCTCATGAAACTCATTGAGATCCTTTTGTGTAATTTCAAAAGACTCTGGCCATTTTTATAGAGTTAAATGCAAAAATTCTAAAAGTTGCCCTATCTCACAATGATAAAGAATCCTTCAAAAAATTCCTGGATCCAGAAGGCGATCCGGATCACCACCAAAATGTAATGGGATCCTCCTGGGGCTGAGACACACCTCTGGTGAAAATTTCAGGTCAATCCGTCTGTAACTTTCTCCGTAAAGTTGCTAACAGACAAACAGACAAACAAACAAACAAACCAACAAACGAATGCTACCGAAAACATAACCTCCTTGGCGGAGGTAACACACTCTGTTACTAAGATTAAATTGCAATAAAACCACAGACTGTATAAAACAAAGACGTACTTTAACTGCTGTCACCTGCTGAGATTTCTAAATCCAACAATGGCAGCCTTTTTTTCAATATGTTTCCATCTGTTTCAGCTAGATACATTAGAGTCTGCCACCAGATGGCACGTTAAGCTGAAAAAACCTGATGACCACATTGAAATGCTAGCCTGAGCTAACTTTTGGTTGACCTGGCAGGGAAAAAAAGGAAGTTGAGACAGGCCTTTAGCTTCCTAGTTAACAGCTTCAAGTGAGCCATGCCCCTAATTATGCAAACTTGTTAGTTTAAGCTGCCATCAAATAGAATAAACCACTGGAAATGAACAGATTTCATCTGTACAACCAAAGAAAAGGTTGTGGTTCCAAAACCATTCAGCAGTATAGACAACATTATTATTTATTTTTTTATTTTTTAACCAAAAACAGACCTATAACAAATTCTCAAAGAAAAATGACCAACTGTACAGAGCTCCAATTTGGAAAATGTACCCTTTCCATTGTGTAAAAATAGAGAAATACTATAAACTATTCAGACCAAAATCTTTCAGGTACCAGGCTGCAAACATGTTTTTAATTTCAGGATGGGCTTTTTAAAATTCTTGTGTGTATGTGTGCGTGCCATAGACTGTATATAGAATGGACAGCGTCTGCCTCTTTGCTGGGTGAAGCCATAGACTGTATATAGAATGGACGCCGTCTGCCTCCTCGCGGGGTGAAGCCACTCCGAGAACAGCACCCTCTGTTGATGGGCTGCAGTATAGGTCCACCTCCGCCAGCAAAGCTTATGGGGCTGTGGACCAACTTTAGAAATTTATTACACAGAACACAAATTTTTCTCCCCCCTGCATGTGATGCTGACATGTAGTTATTGTAAGACTGGTTTGTGCTCAAGTCCTCTTTTTTCTGTGAAGCTCTGTTTTTAAAAGTTATTAGGGGGTTCATGTTTTCTATGATTGACATCTGATACAGCCTATGGGCGTTCAGGGATTGCGTAGCTCACCCGGGGGATACGCTGTTTGAGCTGAGCGTCATCACAGCAACTCTCCAGCCGAATGCCCACAACGCTACTGCGCAGCGCTGGTTTCAGGAAATGAAGAAAAATCCCAGAAATACAGAGAGCTTTTTGGCTTCAAATCCGTATACAGGCGGGAGGCGGAACCAAGTTGTCCATAGTATATACAGTCTATGGTGTGTGCGTGTCTGTGTGTGTAAAGCCTCTTGAGCTTTGAGAGCTGCCTCAAACGGATGCTGGAGGAACTGCAGTTTTCAGTCCTTATCCACAGTGGCTTCATTTCACAAGACTTTAGGTTGCCTTTCGGATAATATTTGATTAATGTAAAAAATAAACACTTTTCATGCACATAACTTGTAAAAACATTATTAAAATGATAAATAGCAAAAATCTAAAATAAAAAAAACTTTCAAAAAATGTACAGAGAAAAAGATTTTGACTAAAACTGCACAATGATGTTGACAGGCTCAACAGGCAACACAATAGTTGTCCTTTGTGTGTAGGTAAATCTTGATTAAGTAAATAAAGGCCGCCAATATAAGCTTTGTTAACACTCAATTAGACCATCACTCAACATTGTGAAGGTGTTTTGGTTTGACCGCGCGTGCAAGAGCAGGTGTCGCTTCATTAATTCACAAGCAGCACCTCGGTCCCGCGCTTCGGTGGCCGCGCGCCTCCTCTCCTCCGTCTGTCAGCGCGGGAGCGAGCGTCAGGATCCAAGGACGGACCGCGGGAACGCGAGCTTCAGGTCATCTGGAAGTCCGCGAACATCAACCGGCAGACACCGAGAACGGGATCAATATTCAAAACCAAAACTGATAGAATAGTGAAAAAAGAGAGGAAAAACAGTGTTTAGTTTGATCATGTTTGTGTGAAATGAAGCGAAATGATAGAAACACGGTGAATCAACAGGACGAGGCTCCGGAGGTATCAACAATGTCAGCGGCGTTTGACGGTTAACTGAATGAAAAAACAACATTTGATCGATAAAAGAGACGGCAAAAACCAGGATTTGATCCTCTGGTGAGTCACAGTGAAACCTTTGAAGACATACAAAACGTTACAGTGGATTTTCACCTGTTCGACATTTCATTCATTAATTTAAAAAAATAAAAGAAGGACCACCTTTAACCTGAACGACCCAAATCACCGGAACAAACCGGAGCAGAACAAGCTTGCCGTGGGGAGCTGGTGCTAGAAACAGTGGGAAGGATCACCGTGATTTGAATAAATCACAGACGGCGAGAAATCAACAGGAGACCGACCCAACGACGCAGTTTTGTAACGGAATTCTGACCCGAGAGGGGGAGAAGGAGGAAATATCGGCGTGAATCTCAAAGTGTTCAGGAGAACCAGATCCAGCTGCAAACAGTAAGTAACAGTTTATTATATTTATCTAGATGTTTTCTTTTTTATCCTGTGGTTTATCTCCGTGGATGTTTCCCCCCACATGTTTCTTTCCTTCTCCTTCAGCCCCCTTACCATCATCACCGTGTTTTTGGCAAAGCAAGCTCTTCTTGCAGAGGAACATTTTTACATTTGTTTCTTATTTTCCTTCGTTTATTGCACATTTTTTTTCTCAGTTCAATTCTTCCCCTTAACCCCCTCCAAGCCCTGTCTGTCTCAGTCTGCTCTTGGTTTTACATGCGACTTAAAAATATATTTCATTACCCTCAACTCTCATCAGAGCTAAATAATAAATACTTAAACATCTCATTAAAAATTCCAAAAATGTGAAAGAAGTCAGAAAACTCAAAACTCAATGTAACAAAATCAAAATGGGTTTTTTAAGCAAAAACATAAGCAGTTCACCTATTTTGATTTAAAGCACTCAGGCATTTGAACCTGTCCCTAGTGTTTATATTTAGCCTACGTGGAGCCACGCCCACCACCAACATTCCAAACAATATGATTGGACGTTGTTGCTGAGAACTCCTGGAATCATCGGCAGGTGTTACATTTTTGAAAATGTCAAATTTTGCACATATTTAAATTCAAGAAAATTTAATATTAGGGTTAATCCACCGACATTCATTTACTTTTCTCAGCTGAAGGAGAATTTACAGGTCAGAATTTTCGAGACATCAAAGATGGAGAAGATGAGTCTTAATTTGAGGGGGTTGTTATGCCAAATTGTTTCCTAGGAAAGGCTAACTTTGGGGTACTTTAAAGGTACAGTGTGTAGAAATGGGAATATTTTGGGATATTTTGTGATTAGATTTCAACATTATTGGCGAAGTGACAGTGGCCTTCCAACAAAAGAAGTCCTTGTGATGCATGATAAGTATAATCCTGTATTTGTCAAGTTTTTAGATTTTAGGAGTGACAATTTCTAGAGAGATAAAATACCAAGTGTAACATGCTGATGATGGACTCCATTTACCATTTTCATCTCACCTGTAGATGTGACAAATTACTGCATAATCACCACAATGCATTTGGAGACCAGATGTGTCACAGAGGCTATCCCATTTTGCAGGCCCCTTAAGTTGCATCCAACAAAGGTGCATTTTTGAAGATGGCAGACTCTGAAAGTGAAGAGTGACGCACTGTTAAATATTAGTGTCATGGTTTAAAGCCATTGGAAGAGCATAAACAAAGGGGAAGACACTTCAAATTTGAAGCCTCCTCTTACAAATTGTTAACATGTGTACAACTTCATGTATATTTCCAGCATATGATTGACCAAATCCTAATGTTTTAAAGAGTATCTGTGTGAGGCTTGAGTTCCTGTTATCTCGTTTGAATTGTGATTGGCGGTCAGCTGGCTGGTGGTCTCCTCTTCTCCAAGACTCTGAAACCAAATATTTTGGGAAACTTTGTTTATATTACTTGTGAAAGTGTGACAGTCCCTCTCTGATAGTCAGGTATTTGAGGTGATACAACTTTTATGTCTGCAGAGCACACTTAGCTATAGGACCAGCTGCCAGAAAGTTTGTGAATTAATGGCTTGAAACAGCTGATACTTGACTGTGGAAACTGAGTTTTTGATGACATAGTGGTTGTTTAATGTCTTTAACTGAAGTCATGGTGAAGAATAAACCTGGTATTATCCTGGCTCAGTGTACAAAATAAACTCTCCTCTAAAAGAGCTGCTTCTCTGAGCCTCAGTCTACTTTGAGTGTCAACAGATCATCCTTGAAGCTTATTGACCAGGTTTTTGAATCTCATCTGCACTCTGTAGACTAATCCGTATCTAATTACTAACCTTTTCCTCTTTCGAACTGGTTATTTCTTCCTAGAGTCTCTCTGAGAAATGAGTGTTCGACCAGCCAAGCATGTGTTGGTGTTATCACCTTACAAGATCAAGATTGAGGGCTCGATGATGAGATATGAGGAGCAGCGAGGATTTATCAACAACTTATTTAGTGAGCGATGTGAGTCATCAGCAGATAGAGCGCCCTTTGGCAACAAAAGCTGTGAGATTACAGGAGCAGAAAGCAGCTTTCAGATCACTGTAAACAGATTAAAACATGATAAAACCCTCAATCTGTAGTTACTTCACACATATGCATGAATCTAGAACTCTCCAAGACTAAACAGATAAAAAATGAAGACAAAGACATAAAAAAACTCTGGTTAAGACAGGTTCTTTTGACATATTTTAGACCTAACGACTCTTGGGTATAGAGAGTTATGGAATCGCTCTAATAGACTTCCTCGCTTGGTTGCTGTGAAACCGGCTGTAACAGCTGGGGGTAAATGCTTTCTATCAAAGTACATCTGCAACAGGCTCGAAGTGTTTTTCTATTAATATCACAGAAATCAATCCTGAGGAGACAGACTGTTCTGTAAAAGGGTGAGATTCTTTCAAGCCACCATAACATAAATTACACCTCACAGGACACTTTTGCCTCCTCCTTTTTTTATACACATGTAAAACATGTCCTAAGGGGTCCTTATTCCCAGCATTAGAAGCACTCTGGTTTCTTTATGTGGGACTTTGGCCAATCCTATTGAAGCAGGCTTTAGGGTATGCAGGAAAAACTGCTTGTATGGAGGGCAAAAGCAAGCGCGATGCACACCATCAAAAAGACATCCCGATTTCTTTCTGGTGTTTTCATGCAAGTGCAGCTAATAGACTGTTCTCTATGAAAAAATCTAACTCAATTGCTTTGTGTTAAAAATCCATCTGTGTTTACATTTTCCAACTACCTTGACTGCATCATAAATGATTAATTTGACGTCTGTTCAACAAACAAGCTTAATAAAAGTTGTTTTCTCTTTTCTAGGATGGATCTGACAAAGTTTGTATTCCTACTTTTGACACATATTCAGTGTCCCTGATATTTCTGCAAACTCAATACCTTTAAGTGGGATTAAATAACAAGAAATTATTTCTTTTTGTTTTCATACTGCTGAAGTAAACCTCTGTGCAAAATTCTTTCCCCTGAGATCTGCTGTCAACAGTTGAACAGGCGCTACTCCAAAGATGTTGCAGGCCAAAAATGATGGCGTTTCATTTCAGACATAAACTATTCTGCAAAATGCAATCACAAATGTCTAATTGTTCTATCCTAAAACAATTGAAATACACTGAGCCAGTGGTAGACTTCAAACTCCATGTCCTGCGAGATAAAACTGCAGTTATTGTTAGAGACGTCTGGTGGCTTTGAAGAGAGTGATGTAATGGCTGTTTCTTGTTACAAAGAGCATCTGTGTCTTTATTAAAATGGTCTATCTCTGTAAAGATACTCTTTTAAGTGCTGTCATACATTTAGACTTCAAATTTGAGCCTGTCATTTGCAAAAACACAAACTCTGACTGGATGTGGTTTGATCAGACACATTAACCCCCAGGGATAACATCACAGCCATTAGCACCAGTTTTATAGAGCAGTCGACTGAAGCATGACTTCATTGTTTTACACCCTATTTTACCCACATAGGCCCTTAAATATGTCAGAATAGGCGCATCAGCTCCATGATGCCACATTTCTATGCTGTACACTATGTGAAGATTTATAAAAAACTCTACAGAAGCAAATCCCTGGTTGGAAACAGAGTAATAATATAGCCTCAGTTTGATGTGTCGCTTGCAGCAGCGGATCGACGGCAGCAAAGCATTATTGATCAGAACAGTCTGAAATGTCTCATTAACTCTTGATGGATTGGGATGAAATGTGGTCAGGACGTTAATGTTCCCTTCATGATGATGAGTAATGGCTGGAATGGTCCTCTGACTTGCATCTAGCGCCATCACAAGGTTTATATTTAAATAGTCAAATGTATACTACTGTGTGTTGGCTATTGACATTCTTTTTTAGCTTAAGATGTACTATGTCTTTGCTGCTAAATAGTTTTAGTAAGCATGCTAATATGTTAAAACAAGCAGAAACCTTCAGTGTTGGATAATGAAACCGATGTGAAAAAGCCAAAAAATGAAGTTCCTGCAGTGTCGACTTTAGGCCGAAATGACACCGTTTCAGTCCAAACCCATTTTCACAGTAGAATTAAACTGGTTGGGTCTCTGTCATAGTGCATGTAATACAAGTACTAATCAATCAATAAATTAATTGACACGTCTTTAATTAATATAGCACCAATTCACAACAAATGTTCTCCCAAGACAAAAAAGCTGGTCTAGACCGGACTCTGCAGACCAAGACCCAATGTCGTGATGGGATCAGACTGTGCCCCATCCTGTAAGAGCTGACCTACTCCCAAGTCTCACAGAGCTGCTGGCATGTCTGGAAATATGTGTAACTCTCTTCTTCTGCTCCTCATCTTTCTCAGTGGAGCTCCGGGGTATGCTGCTCCTCACCGTCCTGCATTGCTGCTCGGTAGCTCTCTGTGGTTGTGAGCCCCGGCTGGTGAACATCGGTGCCGTGCTGAGTCAGAAACGCTACGAACAGGTGTTCAAGGACGCGGTGAGCCAGGCCAACACTCTGTACGGGAAAGAAAAGTTCAAGATGAACGCCATCTCCGTCACGCACAAACCCAATGCCATCCAGATGGCTCTGTCCGTCTGTGAGGACCTCATCTCCAATCAGGTGAGGGTGCTCTACTCATCCTGTCAAGAAGCTCTTATGAGAAGCTCTTCTTGGCCTTTTTGTTGACTCTCACCTGTTCAGTTAGTTTATCTTTTATGTCTGCAGCCTAATATTCATTTTCCATTTGTCTGACAAATTTAGCTTTTTCATCAACAGAAACTTGTGAAAAATTTTCTAAGTGATGAAATATTGTTTTATTTTCATATTTATTTCATGAAATGCAAACATCAACACCAGCTCTAACGTAATGTATCTAAGAGAATATGTAACATTTAGGGCTCTATTTTCGTTCGCGCCGGTGAGGCGGCGGAGGGCGGCGAGGCCCGCGCAGTTGTATTTTCGTCTGGCGGAGCCCGGCGTAAGGCGAGTTTGGTATTTTCGTGGACTGAGTCGCACGGAGGCGAGCCGAGATCCGCCAAGCTGGGCGTGGTGGCGTGGCAGGGGGAGGTGTTGACAGAATCAGCTGGCGCAGTGACATTTTCGTGCTCGCCACCGGCGTGTAACGTGCGCTGAAAGCTCGCCGATTCAAACCTGGTCAGCTTTCAGCGCAAGGCGGAACGCAGCTGGTCCAGTAGTATTTTGGTAGACCGGCGGCGTATCGACATACGTCACTGATGCCTCACCGGCAGGTTTCCACAGTATCAGGCACATTTCAGTGCAATAAATAATCATCATCAACTATTAATCTGAGTCAGCACATACATTTAGATCTATATCGATATATTCTGATCTATATCTGATCTGATGAGCGCGTTTGGCACGCGTTTGGGCACACAACCTGACCGAATCAATACAGCTGAAACTGCATCAAATTAAATTAAATATCTAGTAAATAAACTTACATGATGAAGTTAACTAGATATGTAATTCGTCTCCCTCCTTTTCTTTCTTCCTCTTATTTCTCGCACAGCTCGACCTGGACACGTCTCCGTGTCCTCTGTCCGTCTTCCTGCTGCTGCTGCGGCTGAACAGATGATTTGTTTCAGTGCTCAGATGCGTTATCTACTTTAAGCCGACATACGGATATTATAATATTCAGTTTTGTGGGCCAAATTTATTTTATATGCCAACATCTATGAAAGAAAGAGCCAGGCCACGGAGCGCGATGCGTCATTTACGCACAGATGGTTCCGATTTTAATGCCATTTTTGGAGTTTATGTTGTGATCTGTGCGCACAACCCACCTTTGTCACGTGAGGTTTGAATATATGCAACTTTATGTGAGTGTCTTTATTTGTGGAAAAGGGTGTTTGTCTTACCAGTGGGTCCAACATTACGCACACCAAATCCATCTGTGCTCAGATGAGAGAGTGTGGAGGACACTTGTTGAGGAGCTGCCCTCTGTCGCCATCGTGTGGCATAACTGTCTTCAGACATCTCTTGATCTCTTTGACTACTTCATGAAAATAGTAATACGCCTCGCCGGTGGCGGATTTAAAGGCAAGGAGAGGAGCTTATTTGATTGGTGAAAACAGGTCTCGGCTGTGTTAAACCGACTCCACGCCCTCTCTCCTCCCCGTCTATGACTTATGCTGCCGGGAGGAGCTGAGTTAGGGAGGGGGGATACTTACGCCGGGCTGCGCGGCTCACCAAAATACCAAAATGTGCTTGGGAACGCCTTGTCAGCGCGGCGGATCTGATTGACGCTGCGCTTGTGGCACGTCTCCGGCGAGGCACCAAAATAGAGCCCTTAATCTGCAGCTCAAAATGCATGTTTGACTGTGCTTTAAATGAAAATCACCCTGAAAAAGCAGTCATTGTCTATATAATCAAGTTTACATTGGTCTCAAAGAAAAGGCCTAAGCAGTTGATGCTTTTATTCTTTAGGCACAGAAAGTTAAGACCTCTGTCTTTCTAGTCAATGTGTTACATATGCATCAACAAAGTCATCTAGTGTTGATGCACATGTGACAACCAAAATCTGTGCTCAGCTCAAAGTCTTCAGACTAGCTTAATTTTGTCAAAAACAGGAGCATACCCAACGTTCTGTTCCTACCAGCGGTTTCTCAGTAAAGGGGCACAGCTGACTGGCGTGCATTGTGGCTGATACACTTCCCAGTAGGGGTAAAATCGATTCATCTACAACATGAATGTATCGATTTATATTCTAATGATTCAACTACATCGATCTGTGCTCGGCAAGTTGGCCTTCCAGATGACATATATCGATCTAACATTGTCCTAAAATGTAATCAATTGATTGTATCAATACTAGGAAATAACCCAATAGATGAAAGCACGGCAGACTGTACATGGATGTGTTTTTTTTTCACGTTTAACAATAAAGACGTTCAGCTTTATTTGATTCAGTCTACCGGTCTGTGACGTCATTGCCACGTGTCAGTAGACAATGAAACATAGCATGGTGGATGGTGGAGGAGAAGTCGGTCAGCGAGAAATTATCAAGCCACCATTGCGGTCCAGTGATATTGTATTTTGTATTATTTCTGTGTTGAAAAACAACAGAAGTAGCAGAAATGTTGGATGCACTTACCGTACTTTCATTGAAAATGTATTGAATATTTAAATTGAGAACAGAAAAGGTTAACCTTCTCCACTGGAGTGGAAGTCACATTTTATTTAAATAAAATGTGAATGCATTTGCTATGAAATGTCATTTACTTCTTTGTTTATAACCATAGTTAATTTATACCTGATTCCCTTACAAGGAACAACAGGAATCTAGGAAGCTGCACTGTCTGATATCCAGGTGTTTATTTCACAGTCACACTGGTTGAATTTTTGGCTTAAAAGTTACTGAATCAATTTTACGTTACTGAATTGGATCGTATTGTTCTTAATGAACCAATATCATCCTTGAATTGAATCGGCAACCACGAATCATGATACGAATCATTGAATCGTTACACCACTACTTCCTAGTGTCATGCAACTCACACAACCTCACTTGAAAAATACTGAAATACCCCATAAATAGGGAGAACCATTCCTTTATTCTGCTGCAGGTGCTCTATTATTAACCTGCATTTTGACAAAACACCCTGGATCCAGCGGTTGAGTCACTTTAGAGACCAACAGTAGCGAGCAGCTTGCTAATAGAGATTTTATCATGATGCTTACTTTCCTGGGTTCAACCTTGAAAGTTGTTTGATGTGTTTGCTTGTCCTCGTCTTCCTCTTGATGCTCCTTTCAGCATACTGCATTTGCTGCGTAATCTCTCAGAGCAAAGGTATGATTCATGGTACATTTAGGCTTCCTGGCAGACGCTGTTGCTGAATAGGACAACACATGAAATAAACATGCCAGCTGCTCCAAACTGAATGATAATCCGGCTCTCATACTGAGAAGTTAACAAAAACAACAAAAGTCTTTGTCCGTAAATGAGTCTGAGTCCTCCTTTCTATCTTCAGAGTCTGGTTACAGGTCCAATTCATAGCCATCAGCTTAAGTCTTTGTTGAATTGTGAATCTTGAGGATTTAGACTTGCAAGTCCAAGTTTCGGAGAGTACTCTGTCAGTGGTTACATCTGGTTTACAATGCAGAGAGAGCTTACAGGCAGCACAGAAGAACAGTGATCTGGTGGTAGGAGACAGTTTAAGTTGACCTAAAAGAAGATCTGGGATGGCTGGAGCAGAGCTTACATAACTTGCATTTCCTCTAAGTGATGTTGATTAATGGATGTGAAGCATTTAAAGAAATGACATCAGAGTGAGAAAAGATACTGATGTAGGCGCCGGATTCCCATGCAAAATGAACAAGATGCCCCGAGGCTGTGCTCATTTCTGAGGAAAGGATGTCTCTTGAATATACACTGAGCTCAAACGCCTGTTGACAGTGTTGACAAATACTCTGACAGCAGAGAAATAATCTTTAATCTTCATGCATCATTAATCAGCTGTTACTGAATCACAATGCTTAAACTGCATTAACCCTGCACCTGAGCTTTCTCTGCAGAAACAGCTAAATCATCCGCAGTTTACAGCTGCCTGGCATCGTGCACGGATCAGTGATGTCCGATTTTTTGGCCCGCTGTGAATTTAAAAGGTCAAAGAATTTGCTGTAGGCTTTTACTTAAAAAAAAAAAAAAAACGAAACTGGCAACTGATCAGGCTTGATAAATTAAGCAGATTTACATGTTTAAAACACTGCACATTGGCTAAATGCCTGGTTTCTGCAAAGAAAATTGTGTATTTTGTCCTGCATGCTCTCCACCTGGGTTGAACTTGTTAACCTTTACCAAAGAATCTTTTTACACACATTTTTCAGCCATTACACAACAGATTTTTGTGTGTCGTGCGGTCCAATGCAGAACCAGGAGAAACAGGACATAAATAAGTGATTTTCACGGCTGCAAAGAGGGAACCAAGCGACATGCTGGAGAGGAGAGAAACTATTTGGCTGCTCATGAATAATTAATCTTATAATGAAAGGCTAATTTCTTTAATCTGAACTGAGGAGATTTATGAGACACAGACTGAAGAGGAGCCTCAGAGCTGATGTGTCTGAAGTCTGCAGCTTTGGTTCATGACCTGCTGGGCTGAGATAGGTCTGAAAAACAGCAGAATCTTAAGAAAGAGGCTTACCCTATTTCAAGAAAACCTGGGTTAAGTCATCAAAGCAGTAATAAAAGTGGGTGCCAAATCAAAGTCTGGAAAACACCTTGAAGGTAGTTTAATTCCTGCACTCTAAGGTTTTACCCTTTAATTTTTTTCATTATTAGCTCAACAGAAGAGAGAGAGAATCGAGGCCTATAGAGAGTTTAAAGGGGTTGAAATGAGTCCAAGTACAGAGAAGTCAGCTAAACAACCCAACTCTTCACTAAATACATTACTTCAGTGAATACTTACAAATGGTTTTATTGTCTCATGAAGACACAAATTATGTTAAAAGCACAGTATCTCACTGATTGAGAGATCACAGCAGAGTCTCATCGAGTCAGTGTTCTGCTGAGTCAAAGACACGCCATAGATTTAGTTTAAAGCTCCTGTGAGGAGTTATTTGACATTGATTTAATAGACTGGATTTCATATTGATGCTTTTTTATGATATACAGAAACAAACAAGGCAGTCACTGACAAGACTGCCAATTTTTTATACTGTCATTTTTTAAGCCTGAAACGGGCATCAATAAATGATCCTTTAGACTGTGAGAAGTCAGCAGGATGACATTTCTGTGTCTGACGACACTTCTTAAGCATGCGAAGGACAAGATAAACAAAGTCTGCTTCATCTACAGGGAGCACGAAAATTGACACAATTTTACAGGAGCTTCAAAGACCGTTTTTAACAGGACAAAATAAGCATAAGCAAGACAAAACCTGGTACCTTTTATAAATACAAATTTGTCAAAGCAAAAGTGCACAGATGTTAGGTAGACTCCCCATATTTAATGACTCACCTGTTACTGTTGAACACTTTATATTAGACACTCTACATAGAAGTGCAAGAAGTCTTTATACTTTTTAAAATGAGTAGAGGAAGACTGTCTGGTTTTTAAAAGACCAGTTTTTAAAAAAAATTGCACTGATGTCTTAAAAACCTTACTTTTCAGTAAAATAAGTTACGCATCAGGGGTTTCTTCAAAGGAGATTTAAAGCTTCTAAAATGGAATTAAAATCCTTCACAAAGCTGCTAATTTCATCCATAAAGTTTTCACAAGACCTGTAAACTCTATATAAACCCATGCAAATAAAATCTGTCTCATCAGCAGGTCAGTTTACAGCTGCTCAGGAACAGCAGTGTGCACAAAGTTCAGCTACTTTTTTTGTTGTGTGTGTGTTGTGCTCATGTCAGTTTTTAGGATGTACCTCAAGAGTCAATAGTAGGCTTTTATTTTGAAATTTTTACTTTTAAATTTTAATAGAGTAAAATGTCATCACTTTTAAACAGGCTAAAATCTGTTGGATTTAAAAACAGCTGCAGTTTTTTTAATAATCAGTGAGAAAATTGATTGAGACACTATAAAAGTCAGAACATCATTTTCACCATCCCACAGTAACGTCCTTTGTACAAAAAATGAGGCCAACATGGCGCCAACGTGTCAGACAAAGGCTTTGTTAGAGAGAGAGAAGGAGAGAGGGAGAGAGAGAGAGAGAGAGAGAGAGAGAGAGGGGAACGGTGGACAGCAGATTAACATCCTCTCTCTTGCTGCAGAAACAGAGATGTAATCCGTCCATCCTCCCAGTGGAGAGATGGACGGATTATAGAGACAGAAACACACACACACACACACACACACACACACACACACACACACACACACACACACACACACACACACACACACACACACACACACACACACACACACACAGAGTCATATAAAGGCTGTATGATGTGTTCACTACAGGCTGGTTTTCTCCAGAAGTGAGGAAGATTTTTTTCATTCTTTCCTCGTAACACAAGCACACATAAAAACTTCTGCATCAAAAATCTCATTGTGAGTGAAATGTGATAAAAGTAATGTTACAAAAATAAATTCATAAGCAAAAAAGGTGGACATTCATGACAAACTGGTTAATTCATAAAACTAAAGTGGTATATGAAGAAGTTTTCAGTCGGAATAAATCTGTAGTTTCCTGAAGAAGAGCTTGTAATGATTGGCTATAATTGATCTGTATGTGAGGTAACATATATCAGAGAAGTTTAAAGTTTGACTCAACAGCTGAGGACCATTGTCTGTAGACAGTATGGACGTGACTCCAGCTTCCGTCATTGTACAAATTTACAATGTACAAAAAAAGCCAAATAGCTCCTGGTAATTCTTGGAAATTGAATAACAATAATAAAAAATTTAATTTAAAACACACTTTACATTGTAAACCCAACCTCAAAGTGCCACCGTAGGTGCTGTTCTTGTGGAGGCTTCACACAGCAAGGAGGCAGATGATGCCCCTTCTATATACAGCAGTGGCGATTGCGTTAAGACTGCAAGGGAAGCTCAGCTTCCCTTAAAATGTCACCCCACCAAAAAAAAGAAAAAGTGGTGAAATACGTACTGCTGTGTGTACATTTCATTAACTAAATACGCGCTAGAAAGCCTTCATCTTTTGTTCAGAATCAGCCTCTTATCACACTGTGATAAGAAGCTGATAATCACAGGTAACCGGCACAACTTCGTTCTCATTCATCCTCGCAGCGCCTCAGTGCTTCACACAGCCGGACGCTGGGCATCTGCAGACTTCAATGTGGAAGCTCAAAGTGGGTTGTTCCAGACGCTCATTGGATAAATGCTAGGCTTTGTCCCGCCCATCGGACGCTCTGCGTCTCTGGAGTTCTATGACGAGAGGGCGGTCCCGACTTTCTCGTGGACGCTGAGCTTCTGCATCCATGATTAGATGAGCTGTCTGAGGCGAAATCCTTTTTTGATTGACAGCTAAACAAGCGAATCAGCGATCTTGAAGAATAAAACATCTACCAGAGCATTTTCCAAGTTATTCATTCTGTTGTTCTGAACTGCTCTGGAGACTTTACCGATCCTCAGCGACTTTTGTCTTTGTTAAAAACGACTGCCATTGTGTTTGGCGACTCTGTTCTGTTACATACAAATAAACAAACACAATTATGATGTAGACCAGAAAAATGAGCTTCCCCTCCTTGAAAGACCAGCAGTCGCCACTGATATACAGTATACGCTGAGGACAAACAGCAAACACAGAATTGCTCAGACTGAGTGTCAGTCTTCAGCCCCTCTTCACGACAGACTCACCTTCAATTATGTCTCTCAATATCATAAAGTCAAGAGTTTATTCTCATAAATTTACAACAGTTTGACACATGATAAGCACATCAGGTAAAATATTGCCTCAAAACTTAATTTAAAATCTAGTCTGGCTGTCAAAGGATTTTAAAAAGACTATAGATAAATGTGTTTCTATCATAATTTATAGGTTATACTTAACTTTGAAGTCTTTTTTGACACCCTTCTCTCTTGTGTCTGCCAAAGAGCTTCAGAGATGGGGAAAAGTTCATCAAGAATGCATTATGGCTGCTAAAAGCGCCAAGAATCAGCATCATTTCCCCCTGCTATCTGCTCTGTCTCAAAGTTTAAATCCTCAAGGACATTGTTCTGATGATGTTCAGGGGTGGAGCCAGACTCTCTTACTGGGGTGGCCAAACTTTGGCTCTGACTTTCGTAAGGGTAGACTAGTCGCCATGATTGCTGAAATGATCACTGAGCATGGCATCAGTGTTAAAAAATGCAGAGCAGCTACCACCAGATCTCTGCAGATATTTAAAATTTCACTCAGACTGCTTGTGGCTGTTAATACTGTTGACTGTTTACTGTTGACTGTGACTATAGATGTCATATGCAATAAGGTTAGTTTGCATAGAAATAAGCCCATTTTGCTGCAAATTGATGCATAATTGTCCATATGCTAAGAGCAGCAGGGTAAAGTGACACTACTGGCTCTGCAGCACATTTCGAGTGCATTTAACCTTTTGTGAATTAGATAATCTCTCAACTCATTTGCACAGGTTTAGGGGGCACAAAGATGCACAGTCCCTTTATTAATAGGCCCACAATGTTGTTAACTATGACACTGTTTTATTCAGCTGTTTAAATTACTTTGTCAACTTGTTACTGGAAAGAAGGAGACTTCTGCAGATCAAATAATTCTGTTATTAACTACATGTTTCATTTTCACAGGAGTGTTTGCTGTTGCCACAGGGGACACCAAAATTTATACTGAATTTCTTCACAGGAGCTTTAAATTCTTTCCAAGTTAAAAGATAGTATTGGTTTATCAAATCATGTGACTGAGTTGTCATTTCCTCATCCACAGGTTTATGCCATCTTGGTCAGCCACCCTCCCCAGTCCAATGACCACCTGACTCCAACACCTGTCTCATACACTGCTGGTTTCTACCGGATCCCTGTGATCGGCCTTACGACACGCATGTCTATCTATTCTGACAAGGTAACATTTTTATGATATTTGCAGCTGCTTCCTGAGTCAAACAGGACCAAGTTGGTATTTTAAACTCCTCTTGACTTTGATTTTCTAAAAGTTAAGCTGTTCAGCTTTTGTGGAGGTTCCGCATCCTTTCAGATTCCAGCCTCTTCGCAGTGATCTAAGTGGCTAGAGATACTACAACAACGAGGCACTGCTCTGATTGGCTGCCTGAACGTTGTCTGAGGGAGAAGGGCGCGGCGCTTCCGTTCCGCGTGCGGCGCTTCCTGTGTGAACCAGGCGTAAGGCTGCTGCTGCTCCACTGCAGAATGTCACTCTGGGCTGAGAATTAGAGAGAATGAGCCGCATGTCCTCTGCTCCCTTTAGTTAGTGAACGCAACTGTTCCTTCAGTGCTATCGTAGCTTGTCAGGGATTGATCCTGTTATTTTTCTAACTTTGACAATCTAACATGTGACAACATATGAGCTCAGAGTTTAAGGACTGTGACTGTTAGTAGTTGTGATTTGATTTTGTTTAAATATGCCAAATTGTGAATTTATGGGTTATTGTTGTTCAGACAATTGAGCTAAGCTAGCTAGCAACTGCTAGTGTCAGTGGTCACGTGTTGCCATAGCAACAAGTGACGCCATGCTTCCTCTACCCAGGATGCAATGCGTATAGCGTCATTACATACATTTGGTCCTGTGTTTGGTCCGGTGAGCTTTCGCACTGCATACGAACTGAACCAGGGTTCACTTGCAAGCGAACCGAGACCCACGTTTTCAGGCTGACCAGAGTTCTCTTGTTTGGTCCGCACCAGAGTTCGGATGAGCTTTCACACCTGCCCAAACGAAGCGGACTATCCAAGGAAACAAACTCTGGTCCGTTTAAAGCGGACCAAACAGCTCTGGTGTAAAGCGACCTTAGTGACAGGCTGATTACATGGAGATAAATAGAAAAGATAAATCCTTAGATGGTGCCTCTAAGCTACAGTAGAACAACTTTCTGGTCATTCAAAAATATATTCGATTTTTATTGGATGGAAAACATGATAGTATGTAACTTTTGAGCTGTTATGAGTGATAATTAAGATGGATATTTTAAAATAGGTCTAGACCCTCTCTTTGGGAACCTCCCCCTTATCATGCCTTGAGTTACTGTTAACACTGTATTTAAATGGAATAACAAGAGGTATACCACTTCTAGTGCACAGGGTTTTTATTTTGTTTTCTTGGTATTGAACAAGCTTTGATTATCTTCTGTTGAAGTGCTGGTACTGTAACAGCCCATATCCAATGAATTAGTCCTGTCACTCATTCTGATGCCCTTGGATCACTTTCTAAGAGAGAGAGTACAAAGAGGTGCTCTGATTTATTCAAACATGAAACAAAGGCCTCTGTTTTAAGCTGATAGAGAGCATCAGCAGATCTTCTCTTTAGAACAGGGTGTACTTGATGAAATCTGGTGTCACGTCCATGGCAGGTGTTTGTTAGGAGTCTTTTCAGGCTCTGCTGAGTGCAGGTTGTGGAATATTTAGTCCAGTTTGTCCCAGTTCAGAGACACTCTTAGCTGTATGACTGAACTGGAAACCACTCAGACTCTTTCTCAGCTTTACAATATTGATGAAATAATCCAGAGTGTTATCAGTCTCAGAATATCTCAGCACTTCCAGCCTGCAGCGCTCCACTTTCTCTCCAGTTAATTCTTCAGGATTTGGACAAGTGATGAAATATTTACATATTTATTGGTCAGGGTTTTAGATGAAGTCAGAGAGGTTTATCTAAACAATTCAAAGTGCATGACATATACATCCATTTAGGGTGTGTCCGCCTGTCTTGTCCTGGTTACATTGTGCACAGTCTGGGTAAAAAGTAGGAGCAAAGCAGAAGGAGAATGAATTTGGACCCTTATTTAATCACAGGCTTGTTCTGAGTGTAAATCCTTTTAGCTAAAAATTTGCTGGTGCAGATCTTGTTATAAGTCTGCCTCACCCGTGGTTGCACAGTTGTGTGCAGGTACATTTACTGCTTACCCAATGTGGGCGCTGAAAATGTCATATGATGGAAACTAACTATGACAGTTGCATTGCCTTGCACACCAATTTGTAGTAGTGTAATAAGGCCCACAGTGTTTGATTTTTCACACCAGCAGCAGCTGCTCGCTCTGATTCTGTCGCCTAACTGAGATATTAAAAGGTGAAAGGGTCAAGTCACAAATTAGAAACAAAGCAGAATAAGACCTTCCCTGTCTTCCCCCTGGTGGTATCTGTCCATCATGCACTTAGTCCTAGTTTCATTTGGCATGTCACTTTTATTTATACAGCCTGAATCACATGACAAATCCCCCTCTGAGGGTTTCACACAGACTCTTCTGTCCTCACAGAAATCTCTGTTTTACGGCTGTGTTGCGTAGCTCTCTGCTGTACTTGTACAATTTATATATCTAGAAAAGAGCAACCTTAGTGCATGACAGAAAATAGAAAGATAAAAGCATGTAAGAAACAGGTGTTTGTTTCATGAAGAAATGTCTTCTCCAACGAAAAGACATTTCTTCTCCCCTTAACTTGCCTGATTTGCCCCAATTTGACTGACAGTGTTTGGTTATTTTCAAGTTATCCATAAACATTGTGATAATGTCCTTATCACAGTACTTTACTAATGTTAATTGTGAGGTGAAAATCTGATACCTGACAGCCGTAACATCTATAAAGTTTGAATAAAGCTGTAATTTTACCTAAACAGAATATTTCAGAACTCCTTCCGTACCTGGCATTTTAGTTTTACAGAGTGCAACGTGTTCCACCTGTTAACATAGAGGAGGTGGGCTCAGTGACATGCAGCTACTAATAAGAGGAGCTCCAAATGTTATACCTGTCATGTCATTCATCTTTTTGTATACATGGTCTACCCCCTCACAGAACTCTATTTTAAACAAACTATTTTTTCACTTCTGTAATGTCTCCTTAAACAACGGTTTTTGATTCTAAGCTGCATTGTTGTTTTTTTCCTGCAGAGCATCCACCTGTCGTTTCTGAGGACAGTGCCTCCGTACTCCCACCAGGCTCACGTCTGGTTTGACCTGATGAGAGAGTTCAGGTGGAACCACATCATCCTGATTGTCAGCGACGACCACGAAGGCCGAGCTGCCCAGAAGAGACTGGAGACGCTGTTGGAGGAGAGAGAGACCAAGGTCAGCTATGTACACACACACACACACACACACACACACACACACACACACACACACACACACACACACACACACACGAACGGACACACTCACAGTCAGTGTGATGACACGTGTGTGCTGCAGGTCATGTCTGTTTATGTAACTATGTGTTGTTCTAATCCAGGTGCCAGTGTTTTGTCTCATCAGTTCATTCCTCCATCCATCAGACAGCAGCTTCACTTTTATTAAACACAGGGAGCTCAGAGCTATCTGCAAAAATTACACAAAGAGCACCTCCTATTAATCGCCTTTAAGACATAATCCTCAGATCTCGCATCTGATGCCATAGTAAAGACCAGTGTTATTTATCTGAGGGAAACTGAGGGAATGACTTGAATGTTTATTGTAAACTAACTGAAGAGCTGGTCACAGTAGACAAACATAGAAATGTGAGGTCATTGGAGCCAAACTCACTCACTCCAAGATAGATTTGGGTATTTTAGTCCTAAACTCATTTAAAAACAAGCCACATAAAAACATCACAAAATGTCTGTAGCAATTAACCTTATGCCCCTTGAAAGGGATGTCAAAAAAAGAATAAATCAGACTTTTCAATTTTTCGCTTCTTTGAAGTCACGCTGCTCTTATGATTGACAGGAAATCTAGGCATCCTCTCATAATGGAGGCATGTTGATCATAACAGAAGAAAAGAACATGAAGTGAGCTCAAAGCAGTACAAAACTTCAATGGGTTACTAACACACAACTTCACATGAACTGCGTTGTTTGAATCTCTAATACATCATTAGGACTTGTGAGGTTGTGGTATTGACAAACAGTCTCCTTAATGTCCCCAATCTGGGACTGTGTGTATGTTGAATCTCCTCGCGCAAATTAATTCACTTTTTAAATATGAGATGATTGTGAAATTCAGTGTCTCTTTGATTAAACAGATACTAAAGGCAGAAAACAACTTTTGGTGCACAAACTTCATAGTCCCAGAAATACTGGTTATTCCTAAAACATGTGTTTTTATGGTGCTGTACCATAGACTGTATGTAGAATGGACAGAGTCTGCCTCCTCGCTGGGTGAAGCCACTCTGAGAACAGCACCCTCTGTTGACGGGCTGCAGTATAGGTCATAAATCCCGCCTCCGCCAGCAAGCTTATGGAGCTGTGGACAAACTTTAGAAATTTATTACACAGAACATACATTTTTCTCCCCCCTGGTTGTGATGTTGACATGTAGTTACTGTAAGACTGGTTTGTGCTCAAGTCCTCTTTTTTTCTGTGAAGCTCCGTTTTTAAAAGTTATTTGGGGGTTTAAAGTTTTCTATGATTGACATCTGATACAGCCTATGGGCGTTCAGGGATTGCGTAGCTCACCCCGGGGGACACGCTGTTTGAGCCGAGCGTCATCACAGTGACTCTCCGCGACTGTGCGGCCGAATGCGCGCATCACTACTGCGCAGCTCTGGTTTCAGGAAATGAAGAAAAATCCCCGAAATACGGAGAGCTATTTGGCTTCAAATCCGTATACAGGCAGTAGGCAGAACCAAGTTGTCCATAGTATATACAGTTTATGTGCTGTACCTGGTTGTTAAAATGAGATGCTAAGGGTACAAAATGACTGATTTCCTGGTTGGGAAGTTTAAGTCCCAATGAACCAACCAACAAGTATTAAGATATGCTCAGAAAACAGTCAAAATTGAGTACAATTTATTTAACATGACTAAACACAGGAGTGCAGGGTCTGAGTGTGTGAAATACAGCGTGGCTCATGTTAGCAGAGCGAGCACCATCAGTCCTCTTTGCAGGTTAATGTCCACATGCCTGTGCTGATTATAAAAAAATGTAACTCCATCTACTGTTGATCCTTCAGCAAAGGTTTGAGCCCACCTCTGTACAACTTAGTTTCTCTAAGATCAAATACTGCCAAACGGGGTTGCTCTAAAAAATGCCATCTGTCATCTGTGTTTGACATCCAGGTTGTAGTGCATTGCAGCAGAGGCTTAACTGAGCACCAACTTTGGCAGGTAGCAGCTCTAGGGCTTGGGTCATACACATGACCAGCATTTCGGATCTGCAACAATGAACATTTTGATGGTTACCGACAAGTAACTGTGGTGCCAACTAGCAGATATTAATTCCTTTATTCAGATCCCCAATATCTGCTACTAATGCAGCTGTTACTCTTAAGAGAGTCACATGACATAGAAAGTATACAAAAAAATTCAACCAAAAATCTCATACAACCAACATAAACTACATATGCATATTGCCAAGTTGCACAACAATAGCTCAAATTATATTACAAGCACTACTGCATTTGGCTGTCTGTTCAGACCTTTTGTTGGCTGTCAAGGTAGCCCTGAGTGCCTCTTCCAAAACTGCCATATTTTCATGCCTGAAAAAGGCAATGACCTCAAATTGTATGCTTTACTGCAACCAGAGGGGGGACCTTTAGTGGTATGGGGTGCCCACATGCTGGTCCCAGTTTCAGTTCAACTTCTTGTAAGACTTTTGGCATGACTGCTTCTAAATTGGTCAAAAACTTCAAGCCTGCAGGAACTGTTTTAGTTTGAACAACCTCTGTGTGTGAAAAAAATGTGCATGTCCCTGTAAACCATATTCACCAGTGTGCCGGGGTCTTATGAGGCAAATACATTCAAAGTGGCTAAATTCAGAAACAAGCCATAAACACAGAAATATTATGCAATTTTAGGCTGTGAATAGGGTCGGGATGTCAGGCAAATCTCATTACATGACCAATGGTAGAGACGAAGAGATTTAGTGTTGATAGAAAATATCTGGCTCATAAAAACAGAAATTCAGGCCTGAAGAAAGGACTTTTTTCTCCTCTGCATTATTTGGCTCCGTGGTTCATAAGATTATCTGTGAGGCTGCACCAGTGATTGCAGAACTGAAGCTGCTCTCTGCTCATCCCTCCATCATCCTCCTGGCTTGTATATACTTCAAACAGCTTCTCTTTCATCACTTTCTTTTCTCCTTCTCTGTTCTTTTTTGAATCTCCACCAAGTATTTTGGGTGTCGAATCTGTGCAGCTTGTTAGTCAGGAGGATACGTGAGGATTTTGTTCTGATGTTTACATGGATCCTAAAGAAACTTGTTTACTCAGATTTGTGTTATTCAAACAGATTTCATGTTTCACCTCCGGAGTCTTTTTCTTTGTTTGTGGATCACTGAATTACCCAGCTTTTGATGTTGATTTTTTAAAAACCAGTCTGGAGTTTCTGTTTGCCAAAGTTGAAGCTGTTTTAAAAGCAACATTTCCCTAAATTCAGCTTGCTATGAGGCAGTTTGTTGACAAAATTATATACCAGAACAGTTTTTTGCAACACTGGTATGATCTTTTGGTGTGGTTATTACAGTTTAGTCTTTCTCATGGAGACAGAATGACACAACACTGGACACTAAAATGAACAAATAATATTGAACAGACAGAGGAAAAAAATGTTACAACACACCAACTTCCTCCAGTCTCTCCATCTATCAATCCAAATGTCTGTGTATTGATCAACCTCTATGATCTATGTGTCTATTTCTTCAATAATTATTTGGACACAAATACTCATACATACACACACAGATCAAAAGCAATGTCATTTTTGTGTAGTTCATATCAAAAGTACTTTTATTTTTAGGCAATAAATTTGCATGGTACCAATGTTATGAGGATTATCAAGCCATGGGGTTGAAATTTTTATGATTTCAGTCAATCCAGCCTCCATCCACTAACCTGCAAAAACAAGTTTTTGACGCTAACAAGTTTGTACTACGGTGTGAATATTTTCACTTCTTTTTTTACCCTCTTCATTCCAATTGATCTGCCTCTGCAACGCTTGTTTATTTTGGGTTTGTCGAATCCAAAATAAAACTGAAATCTGGGCACGGAGGAAGTTAATGCCCAGATTTTTGTGGACCAATACAAACAATTGAACAGGCCATCACACTGTTAGCCTCACAGAGCCACAAGGCAGTTAAACAGAGTTTGTGAGGAGGCTGTGTGCACCCCTGGGTTTTGTTTTGTTTTTTTCACACAGCATACTGCAAAAATGATTTTATTGAGACATTTGAAGAGCAATTTTTCAAAAGCTTTCTGGGCTGAAAACGATAAACACCCATCCACCTGCAGAAACTTTGCAGATAACAAAGTGGCTTATTGGTCCATTTTATACAACTGAAGCAGTTGTGTTGTGCATTAGTTCCATTTGGTGGGGTAATCACCATTCATCTGGCAGATATTAAAAGATGAAGTGCATTTACATGGACTGAGGTATCCTGGCTATGAACCTTATCCTGTTTTTTTTTTCTTTTGTATTCCGGTTATGGTGTTTACATGCACATGGAGAAACATGTTTTTGGTGGTTTGTGCTCTATTCATCCATTCAGTGGATGTGATCTGAGTCACATGTATACCTTCTATTGCCAGCTTTCCTAACTTTAGCATGTTCTTCATCTCAGGGCATGGATTGGCAGATGTGTACAGACAGAGCAGATTCAGAGAGAATTATATCATATTGAAGCTAGTACCGTACTGACTCGAATGTGAGACTGTCTTTTTCCTGGACATGCATCTGAAAAACAGGGACTCATCCTATACTTGAGGTTCGGTTATTGGTAGGGTACAATAGGGCAACTTCTCATGAAATCCTCTCACTTTGCGAGACCGGCAGCTTTGAAAGGATGCCTCCATGATCTGCAGGGGCTTTTCTATCTCACAGAGAAGATCAATGTATTTCAGACTGTCTTCATCGAAAACTTAGAAAACGAAGTCATCTGAGAGGATGTGTGTGTACATTTCAGAGAAAGAATGCCATTTTGTTGTTAGGTGACTGTGCTATACAGAAGATGACACCTTTGTTTTGGTCTGTATCTGTGGTCAACTGACCTTTAGAGGTCCAGTAAGAAGCCAGGGCAGCCTAAAACAGACATCACAGTCTACTAAAAGTATAGAAATAGAATAAGATAGAAGTGTTTTTAAGGATTCATGGATCTGTGCTCTCTCTGTGCACTAATACCTGGGTACTTTATTTACACGTGATTATTTTTTACTTAATTTCACTGCGACAGTTTTATTTTAAGATGCTGGAAACATTTTATTTTAAAGGTACAGAAAATATCAACTGACCTTGTTTTATTTGATGTCTCAGGTTTATGTTTTGGATTTGGTCTTCAAAAACCCATTCTAAAACCCGTCTCGTATGAAGAAGGGTTGTCTTATAAGTGGGTCAATACGGTAGTAGCAAAACTGAAAATACTGCAATACACAAGTGGGCATTGAACTGAGGATACAAAACCAGGGGGTTCAATACTACATCAATAATGTATGCCTGATTTTCAGTCTTGTCTCATTTGACTTTAGAGGTTTCCTGTTATTCTAGACAGGATTAAAGATTACAAGATGAACAAATGTGTCCTAAAAGTGATCAAAGAATTGAGTTATCTGGATAAAGTGGATTATATAAGCCTAAAAAAAAGCATGACAGCCATATTTCCAAGGCCTTTCTTGCAAATACAGAAATAAAGTGGCAAGAGTGTGTCAGTGAGTCTGCTCAGTGAAACATGGTGGGAGGTTTAAAATCAGGCCAAAGAACAAGTGAATATTTTCACAGTTTTCTCCTGCAAATCTTCTGGGTGAAAACACCCAGTCATGTATCACTTAATCATCGTATTTTGCAATTTATTACACTTCTTAACATATTTCTGTTAAATATGTTCTGTTGAAGTCATTTCTAGCAGTCTTGGTGGAGGTTTTGTTTTTCTCTCTTTTTCTCTGCTGCTTTCAGTTTTGATTTAGCTTCTTCACCCGTTGGATTTTTCTTTTTGCGAGTTAAAAACCACTTGATTTGTCCTCCTTTGCTTTCTCTCTCTCTGTCTTTCTTTCTGTCCATGTCATCTTTCGATTCTTCACCCCCGTCTGTTGTCTGGTTTCTCATCACCTCGACTCTGAAGGAGCTTGGAGTCGGAGACGTGCAAACACATCTCAGCTGCTTCTGTCTCAGCTGTCGACCCGCCTCACTGTTAAACTGTCTCTCTGCCTGTCTATCCACACGTCTGCAGGCGGAGAGCTGTTAGATCAGCTTGATTACCCCTTTAATATCTGAAAGTATGAGAGCGCAGGTGTTTCTACCTTTGAAGAATAGAGATGGCTCAACAAGGTTCAGTGTAGATATGCCAATGTTTATATTGCTGATTTATTTCAGTGGAGGTAGTGTCACTAGATTTAAGTGATGTGATGCAAGTCAAAGTCCTGCTTTCAAGGTGTTCAAGTATTGGACTTTGGCCCGATTTCACAGTTTAAGTTTAATAGCTACAGAAAGTTTTAGGATGACTCCATTAGACGTCTTAAGTTTGCAGCTGCACACAGGCTGTAGGGAACAAACGAGTCTTACACATTCACACATCTACACAGTACGTTCATGCTTTTGCCACCGACAGGCAAAATGAACTTCAAGTGTCTGACAACTTGGATGGACCACAAACAGCCGTGTCATGGTTTACAGGGATTTACTTCTCAGAACACAGGAAGTGGTGGTTTACCATGTCTTCTATTGGTTCATTTTTTGGGTTATTGTATGATTTGCTTTGCCTTTGCTATCCCTTTGCAACACAACATTTGCTTAGACTATTAATCAAGCATGTCAAGGCTGCTTTAATCTCTGTGTGGGTCTCAAATTTGGTATGACCAAGAAATTTACTGTGAAATCTGAGTGTTTATTTTGTGATATCACATTGCTTTTGATCTGAACACACCTTATCTTTAAGTATACAAGTACCAAAGAAGTGCCTTGGAATCAAACCAACATTACAAAGAGGGGTAGGGTAATGATGGTGAAGAAAATTGTTGCAGATATCCATTTATATAGGTGATGTACTTTAGTGACCAATTCCAACACACCCTAGAAAACACTCTGGGAACTTCCAGACTTGTGTACAGTCTATTAAACTGCTGGGATCACCGAGTCTACAGGTAAACAGTATCTCAACAAATTTATTGAGAGTGGCTAATAATAGCAGAGCTAGCACCAGCAGCCTTTGGTCATCCTCATAGATTCATGTCCACATGCTGGTGCTGGTTACTCATCGCTGTGGTTCAGGTTAGAGCCTTTAAAACTCAAATAAGATTCACCCCAAAGATCAAAGGACTACAAAATACAAACAGGGCTGACTTTATTGCACCAGAATGGACCAGAATGGAAATATCTCTTGTCTTTTGAGAATGTGGATGCCTGGTTAACACAGACACACATTTCTTTATTGTGGCATTAACAGGCCCAACCTTTGTCTTACACTAGAAAAGCAAACATGACTACAGTTGAGGCTCATAGACCAGATGATACAAGCCTGATTCAAACATTAACGGCTGCTTTTTATGAAGCCAGTTGGTTTATGCTGCAACTGAGTATTTTGTAGAAATAGTTTGTTGTTACTTCTGCCAGTCGGGACGACTTAACATAACTTAATAATTAAAAGTCATCTGCTTTAAAAGCTGCCACCAGTTTAACAAGTGGGCTGAACAAATTAATATCTTTTGAAGGACTGAAATGCTGGTCAGATGTTATGTCAGCCATCCTGCACCAGCTGGGGCTATAGCTCTGGTTAATGGCTGTCAGCATTAACTTGTAATGCTCTCCTATCTGGATGTAAACAAACCCAGATGATGGATGGCATCTCATAGCGCAGAGCAGTTTGTCCATGTTTGCTGTGTCTGGTCCACACGGACACGTGGACCTGCAGGAAGGCTGGGGGTGCTAGATCTTCTGGCTGTAGACACACTAAACAAACCAATTTGTCTTCTTTTTCCTACACGCTATGGGTTATCATGTATAAATGGCCTTAATCTTGGCATTGTAACCGTAATTCACAGCTCTCTGTTAGTGGTGCAGATTTAAGATCATTTTTTACATAAAGATGCATTGAAGTACAAGATACTTTAAACAGAGTATAATTAAAGTATGCACATTTAAAGTAAGCAATTTTTAAGCCATTTGTAGAGAATATTCCTACACTGTATGAGTTTGTGCAGCTGATAAATAACTGATGAATAAACAACCTCCAAGCTGTAAAAACAGTGTGTATTAATTCAGTCCTCCCGCTGCGAGCTCGTCTCCAACCAGCCAGGGAAAAAAACAACCTGTGAGTTCAGCTCCTACTGCTGCGCTCTCTTGAAAGTGAGTGTGAAACCATGTTCTCCTTTATATTTATTTATTTTTAAACATTTCCTACGTAGGAATTTGTTTCTGTAAGAGCTTCTGTGAAGACACGTCTTGCAAAGTTTGTTTGTACAGCACATTCAACAAGGCATTTCACAATGCTTTTACAGAAGACAGAGGAGAAACAGCAGACAGTTTAAGAAGACAGGAGATAGAATGAGAAAAGAGGATGAAAAGGACAAGTGTTTGGATGAAAATATGCACATATTTTGTGATTCTACAACATTAATTACCTCTGAATCTGTCAAACACATTGAAATGAAAACATAAATCTTTAAACTGCATGCTCTTAATCTGACAGCAAGAGTAATTCATCAGAGAGCATGCATTATTGATGATGCATGGTAAGTAGTAAATTCTAAGCAAAATTTATCAGCCATCATTGTCATTCACTGAGCACTTTATAAATCATATTCTCTGGTGCTGAAACTGAATTAAAGACAACAGTCTGCAGGAAAACAGCCCTGGCTCCACAGCAAATTAAACTCAGTGAAGCACGCTGGAAGGAAAAATAAAAATGGATCTCAGATGAGATGAATAAAAGTTTAGAAAAAGTTAAAATGTTACTTCCCATCTCACAGAGGAGCCACAGTGGGGCTCATGAATGTTAGAGGAGAGTCATGAATATTACAGCGCATTAGTTAAAGTAGGTGAACAGGACTGCAGCCTGCGTGTTATGTCTGAATTAAACATCTATCTGATGTGATTCATTATGAAATAAAGATGAATACCACAGAAGACCGTTGTACAGTTACACTTGATGATACTGTATGGAGACAGTAGAGGAAATTACCAGCTTCACTCTGGCTCTGCAAAGACCTAAACTTACCATGCTAACCTTTTATTCAATTTATTGTACGTCAGTTAATCTTGATTTTCATTTCAAGTTTGTTTATTTGACAGTAGGCTAACATACGGAACAGATAGCAAACAATGTTGCCCATCATTGTCAATAATCACCTGAGTTTGATACTTTATTCTGATTGGTCAAAGTTCCATAATAACGGTTAAATAAGTTTAATCAGTGAGAGCAAAACCACAGACTAAATCACAGGCTTCAGGTCAGATCAACCTACGGAAAGGAGTCTGATACCTGAAAGTTTATAAACTCATATCTGCCTGTTGACCATGAGGCAAAAAAACGCAACAAAACAAAACAAAACAAAACAAACAAAACAAAACAAAACAAAACAAAACAAAACAAAACAAAACAAAACAAAACAAAACAAAACAAAACAAAATAAAACAAAATAAAGCAAAACAAAACAACTGCAGTTTCTGGCAGAGAAAAGACAGAGAAAAGATTGCAGAACTACTTAGGGATGAGTTAATCAGTAAAAGACAGAAAGAAAGAAAGAAAGAAAGAAAGAAAGAGACATCTAGCAAATCAAAGAAAACAGGAAAGTTTCACCTCATACAAGTGTTGCTGTTATTTTCTGAACGTGTTAAAAACAACATTGGCAGTAAGTTATCTCAGAACAGTAGAGTAGACTTGTGTCAAGACATCAACATTGATAAATATTTTCAGTTCAATGTTAATTCAACCTGCAGGTAGGCTGTTAAGAACACCAGTGTCATGGAGGGTGACCTTGGCCACCGTTCGTTGCAGCTGATGGACTATTTTTAACCTGGATAAATGAATAAATGTGTATAAATCCCTATAGTCAAATTGTTTGTAGTTTTAGTTGGTATAGGTAGTAAGCTGCAGTGGGTAATAACTAGCTATGTATACTTGAGAACTGTTCTTGAATACAGTTCAAGGATTTTTAAGTGTCTTTACTCGACTTTTATTCATAACTTATAATTTTTCACTAGTATCATAATTTTGTTTCCACTACAATTCTATATTGTTATGGTAAGTTTTATGCTGATGGTTATTTAAAACTTTTCTGAGGTCAAATTAATCAAACGGCCAACTGTGTTTGTGCAGTTCTGCATGTAGTTTGTCCAAATAGTGTTGCTGCATCTGTACATCATGTCTTTTCATGATTGATTGTTGGCAAACCCAGTGCGTAAAACACACATCTAATGTGATAGCATTGAACTGATTCTCCTTGTGGTTTACATCTGTGGCTCGACAGCTCACAGCGTGTTAGCTTAGCTCAGACTTAAATGTGGTGTCCTGCTGTGTTTTGATGATGTTTCTGATATGGAAATATTAGGATTTAGCTTCAATTCCATGTATAGTTTTTCTGTCAAATTTTTCCACAAGTTCAGTCAGGAAGACAGTTCCTTTGACTGAAATGTGGTCCTATTTCAGGGGTATACATCACATAATATTTGTGTTTGCAGACAATAAAAACTACACAGACTTCATAGCCGGAGCACATTATCAGGTTCAAACACAGACATGGTGAGAAAAGCTTCATGTGTTTGAGCATGCTGTTTGGGGACTTTACGTCAGGATGTAAATTTAATGAGATTAACATTTGGAGCGGATTGAGTAGAGGACTAATGGGACGCTCTGCCGCCACACTGGCTTAGCATCAGAAGAAGCTACCAGAGAGCAAAGTCGCAGCTCAAGTCACAACGCGGTACAGACTACTTTGATAAAATCAAACTTGACAGAAACTGAAGCAGGTTGATGACACCAGTGTGACTACTAACTGAGGTTTATTTCATTTCTAAAGCCACTGACTGACTTCAGGCTGCTGCCACAGCTTCTGCAGTGCCTTTTGTTTTTGAGCCAAGAGATGAAGTGCATGTCTTTGTCCTTCTTTGTGTCAGGGCACTTTGTGACCTGAATATCTTCTGGTGTATTATCATAATAGAGTGTGAAGTCTGACTTCAGTGTGTACAAAAAGAAAGACCTTAAACATCTAAAGGCCAAAGTGTCTGTTCGCTAAATTATATCAGTTGTGTAAGCTGCTGGTAACTGAATCTAGTCTGACTTTCGCAAAACACATAGCTTAGTGCTTCAACAATTTTATGTTTGAAGTGCTATGTTTTTGCCAAGCTAAAGGGGCAAGATTCATGTGACCATAGTTATAGACTGAGGCTAAAGCTAACAGCTCCCTTTACTGGAGCTTTTTTCTCAGGATACAAGATAACAAACTGAATCTAACGAGTCCTGCTCATGATGTTATGCCAACAAAAAGAGAGAAAAGAGCGTATAGGTCCTGGTGGATATGCTAAGTGCTAACAGACTAGGGGTAACGGGATATCATGCAAACAAAATGAGAGTAAGGCTCACAAGTCCCAGGTCAATACTGTGCTAAAAGGCTGAGGCTAGAGCTAATGGGTCTAAAGTCGTAATAGCATGCTAACAAACTAAGGCTGACGATAGACACTCCCAATCCAGCAGAGCATACTGGCATAATGAAAAAGGACTCCTGGGTATCACTGCCTACAGTAGCTCCTCCTTTCCTTTGCCTCTCTCCTCCTTCATGCAAATCTGAGCTCCCCAAAGTGATAAGAGCAAAGTTTCAACCAAACTATAGCTGGCTTTTTTTTTTTTTTTTAGAAAAGAAAACCAACATAAACCACTAAAAACTAAAAAGTGTAGCAGCTTTATTCTAGTGTATAGTTTTCAGGATTTTTTTAAACGTAATCTGTTTGTCTTCACTTAGAGACACTGATAGACACCAGCAATGGCCATGTTTTTTCAAATAAGTATTTCTTGATACACTGAACTTTTTTTACGTTCCCACTGTTACAATCCACAAGTCGCGGCTTATACTTTGCAGGAATAAAGCACTCAAATGCAAGACAGAAGATTAAACAGCATTTTAATAGGGCTGTTCCTCCCCCAGAGAAGTTCTGGTTTCAGGGCTGGTGATGTGGATAAATCATGAATTTGAAAATGATCAAAAACTGATAATTTCCTTTAAATTACTCACGTTTGTTAGTAATGAAGTTATGTGTTTGGATAACCTGGTATTTTAACAGCGCTGTTCTCCATTATTAATTAGCACATGAACTACAAAAACATCTCTTTCCATCTCATCCCCTGTGCCTTTTAAAAATCATGTCAGTGCCTGAGCTAATCACCATGATGTGGAGACTAGTTTTGGAAACTAAGCAGTTAAAGACCCACTCCGATGAAAATAATGTTTTTCTTGTTGTCTGTGTGTTCATATGACAATTTTATAATGCTACAGGATATATCATGAGAAAACTCTGAGTGAAATTGTATTTCTGAGTATTTCTGCATTCAAACTGATGTGAACCTCTCCCAGACCCAAAGGGCAGTTTCAAAAACAGTGAGATTTCCTAGGTCACAACTCCAAGCTCTGCCCCCATAGCCGTGCCCTGCAGGCCAGACCCTGAGAAGCAGCGAGGAAGATCTCAGAACAAGCATGAGCATTTGTAGATTGCAATGCTCGCAAGAAATCTAATTATGATATTAATTTTCATCATGTCCCTACAGACATTAGTGTCAGAGAGCAGAATAGACCCTATGTTACCTGCAATTTCTGCTGCACCAATAATGTCAGGCTGCAAACTAGCATGAAGAGCAGCGCTGTCTCCGCCCACGACTCACAGGTGAATTGTTAATGAGCTACTGGAGCTCTGCAGAAGAAAAGCCCTTGAAAATGACACAGGTAATGTGATTTGGGCTAAAAACTGCATAATGAAAATTTCAAGATTACTGAGAACACTTTAAGTAGTAAAAAAAAAACCAAAACAATCGGAGCGGGACTTTAAAGCCCGCAGGTAAAACGAAACAACAGATCGCTCTTGTCTGGGAGCACAGAGCTCTTAGTCGAAGTGTTATAGCCGAGAAACATAATAGTTTGAAAATATATGACTGTAGTCGTCGAATGTGTAGAGCACAGATGTTAGAGTCTTTGCTGACTTTAACCCTAAATATTGGCATTGGAGATCTTCTACTTTGCTAGTGTGAAAAATAGGGATGCATGGTTGGCTTGTGCTGATATCTGCTGGAATGGATAAACACACCTTTTCCTCACATGTTTCTTCCACACAGTCTTGTATGAAATATTGAACGTGACCCCTTTTTGGCCGATAATCACACCTGCAGAAATTTGCACATCTGCTGTTGCCAATACTGTGCTGATAATATGGTGCATCATCAATAAAAACATTACCTGCAGTAATTTAGCATCCAAAATCTGTGTGTTTTACTCATCATTCAGCAGAGTATTGAGCTTCTCTGTGGAGTATATTAAGAAGGTATTCTTGTCTATATTAGCCTAGTTCTGTCTGATTTCCATGTCCTAAAGCTGAAAAAGAATTTTTTTTGCTCCGTTGTTGATTAATCAGCTTCCCAGCGTGAGAATAAAGATCAGAGTTCGACAGCTTCCTGATTCCCTTTGCAAGCTGATTACTTGGTTCTTTTGTTCTGCTGCAGCTCTAAAAATAGAGCGCAGCTTGATCACAGCAGCAGGCAGGTCTCAGGTGTATTTTTATCTCTCTGACTAAATATAACAGAGGAAATAATCCATGAGGTCACTGTGTTAGATGGCATGGACAGACAGGCGGACAGTCTGTGATGTGTTTGTGCACTCCGGCTTTCCTTCAGCCTCCTGACTCAAAGAAAACAAAACAAAAAAAAAACGACAACTATCATTTGTTGGATGCTTTACTGCCCCCCATTTTTCTGACTGTCTATAATCTTCTTCTGTGTCTGCATATTTTCTCTGTGCACATTACCCATCAGACTAAAAACAGGAACTATGAAAACATCGACCAACAGAACTTTGACTTCAGGAGAACACCCAAGGTATAAACTTGCATGGTCAAATGATGCACGCCGCCCAACCAATCTCTGAGCTCGCCCAGTAGTAGCCAAACACCAGTCAGCCCCGTCCACCCAAAACCAACCCGGCTCCAGAGATAGACTCTTATCCTGGTGGCACGTCTTTTCTCCACCATCCCTTTTCTTTCTTTTGATTTTTCATGATTCCTGCACACCGGGAATGGGTTTACACTCGCAGGAGAGACGCCCTTCCTCTTCCTCCCCCTCCACTCCTCTTCCTCCTCCCTGAGTTTTTTCCATGTGAAGGGTTGCATGCAGCCAGGCTGAGGCTTGGCTCTGTCTGCAGATTTGAGGAACACTACCCACCAGGATCCTCTCACTCCTCTGCAACATCAAACCTCCTTTTCTGTTACTTTTGGGAATTGAACCTCTTCCTCCACCCCCCTCCTCCTGCTCCTGTGCACCCCGCCTCCCTCTTTCACCCCCTCTGCCTTCTCTCCACTCGAATCTTTTTTTAATTTGCGGTTGCATCAGCGCGCTCTAACATGCACGTCCCTGGTTGGTTGGTTGGTTGGAGTCTTGAAAGCGCCTCAGTTTGCATGTGCCACCACACCACGCACAACTTTTGCCCTCCTTTGTACTTAAGCTTCAACTTTGATTTTTCTTTCAGTTCAGCAGATCTTGAACACTTTTTGTCTCATTTTTTGGCCTCGTCCTCCTCCTCTCGTAGTAGCGTGGGTGAGAGGGAGCATGGTCGAGGCTGGGGTCACGGGGGCGGGGTTTCGGGGTGGGAGTGGGAGGGTTTCATGAATGTTCAGGGCTAATAATGCTTGTCCTATGATGTGTCCTGTGGTGTTTTGTTCTGCCATGTTTATCAATGTCCTACGATGTGACCTGTTGCCCTGCGCGATGGTCCCTCAGGCGGAAAAGGTGCTGCTCTTCAGCCAGGACACCAACCTGACATCTCTGCTGCTGGAGGCCAAAGACCTGGAGGCACGGGTCATCATCCTCTCTGCCAGGTGTGTAGAATCATACAGGTACTATAAGCTGTTTCTGCTTAGTCCTGGTAGTGTTTCTACAGAGCTACCAGGTATTTATTGTAATAGTTGTTCTTCACAACTGTAACACGTGTTCACTTAACACTACATCACTTATTATACAGCTACTTCTTTGAGAGATCAACTTTTTATGGATCTGAATAAAAGATGAAAAAGCGGGATGGTCCTTTATTCAGGGTTGAGTTGAGAATATCAGAACACAAAGTAAAATCTACTCACTTTGTGAGACTGACAGCTTTCAGAGGATTTCATGTGTGTTTCTGTGACATTAAGAGTGTTTTCTCTCTCACAGAATAGATCAGTGTATTGTTTGACGCTGTTCACATCCAAGCCACAAAAATCAATCAATCAACCTTAATTTATAAGGCGCCAATTCACATTATCGATGTTTACATTATTATTCATAATTATTAAATTTGATCTCATGAGAATTTACAAAAAGAGCTGGTCTAGACCGTACCCTTTAATCGCCTACCACTAAGACTGAGTCTCAACTAGTAAGATAAGACGTATTCTTATCCCACTTTAACCCAATATGAGAGAAACACTTTGCAGGAAGTTACAGGGGTAAGAAAAACTTCCTTTAACTGGCAAAAACCTCAAGCAGAACCAGACTCATGTAAGATAGTCATCCGCTGTTGCTAAATTGGGTTTAGAGAGGGGATAGAGGGAGATGCTTAAAGAGGCAGCAGAGTGTCTGCAGCAGTGATCCAGAGAAAACTACAGCATGATGGAGCTCGGGGACTCTCAGCTAGCATGGCCAGTGTTACATTACTTAGAACACCACCACTATTGTTTCAAAGAGAAACAACAGTCTTATAACATTTTAATGCTTCCTCCTGAGTTAAAACAAAATATTTCTATCATTTCTTGGTAATTTAAGTGTGCCACTTTTTTTCTGTTGGTGTACAAAGGATCTTGGGATATCTTCAGTGTGAAGGATGCACCTGCTAAACTAAAGCCTTCGCAGCCCAGGATAAGTGGGACACATTTGTTGGCAGCATTTGATGGAGCCTTTAAAATGAGACAGCCTGTGATGTGTTGCTGTGACGCATTCAGTCTTCAAATGAGGCCTGTGAAGGCTGCGCCTCTGGAATGGGATACAGTGTTACACAGAGGCTGCCATCTTTGTTTTGGACCTTTGACCAATCAAAGGCTGTATGTCGAAAAAAATCAACTTAACTGATTTCATTTCATGTGTGTAATATTATCAATTGATTTCTTTATTATACAAGTCTGGTCTCTTAATGGTGTCTTTCTAAAGGTTTGAAGGGGGGTCTAGTATTTGGGTCGTTACTGTAATTTATCAGGAGCAATACTGAACTACATTTTTCCAGACATCATGACAGAATTTGTTCAGAAACTTTATGGTAACTGTTTCAGATTTGATGTCACAGTCCTCCACAGGTGCTATGGGACCACTTTGCCAATCATAAGGCAGTCATGCCCCAGAGGATGCCCTTCTTTATTAGTTAACGCTTTAAAAAATGGGACGATGATCTACAAAATAATCATCACGCTTAAATGAAGATGATTCAAAACTAATTAAAATGTTGATCGAAGGAACAGATGAAATTAGATGTGGAGTAATTTCTCTTGGTGCTTTACATAATGAAACTTTGTTTATGACAGGAGCACACATGTTAGAGTTTACCTAGTTGGCTACATCTCTGTTTGAAATGGCAACAACTTTGTGATGGTGCCTCTGTGTAGCAAACTGACTTTGTTGAGTGGATTTCATCAAACATTATGAGGCTGTAGCACTGGTTAAAAATAACATACCTACAGTAGCAGAAGCTTCATCCCTGTTTGCCCTCTGTGTGTTTGCAGCGAGGACGAAGCTGCAGCTGTGTACAAAGCAGCCCGGCAGCTAAACATGACCGGCTCTGGTTACGTCTGGCTGGTCGGAGAGAGAGAGATGACTGGCAAAGCCTTAAGTGAAGCCCCAGATGGTATGTCAGCCTCTGCTTACTCTTCCTCACCTCTCTGCTTCTTATCTTCTCTTCCTCATCCCTCCTCTCTCTCATTCTCTGTCTTTCTCTTCTTCTCTCTTTCTCTCTCTCTCTCTCTCTCTCTCTCTCTCTCTCTTTCCTCTCTCCCTCTCTCTCTTTCTCTCTCTGTCTCTCAGCCTTGCTTCTATCCAGCTCTCGGGCTAAATCTAAGCCATGTTCAAAGTTTTGCATAAATTTTAATACAAGTAAAAGGAGGCGTTTAATCAGAGTGTAAAGAAAAGCAGCTTAATGAGACAGTGAGAGTTTTTGGAGCTGTTAAAGGGGAGATCGTCTTCATCAGAAAATAAGCTATTAGACACTGAGAAAAAAAACATCCCTCAATGAAAATTTTATTTGCTGCATCTATCTCCAACCTAAATTTCACAAAAGCTGATGCTGTGTAAAATGTGAATGAAAAAAATTGAAGTTGATGGTTTTCACATCACTTTAATCCTGTTCTTAATTTTACAAACCACAAACACATATCAGAAGTTTAATCTAAAATTCTATGGAAAATAAATGCACTCATTTGAATTTGAAAAAGCTAAAATGGGCATGTTTACTATTGTGCTGCATCGCTCATTCTTTTAACAACACTGTAAATATTTGAGAACCAAAAAAAAGCGTTTCTGGAGTTCAGAAATATTGTCCCTTCTTGTCTTCTGCACATTTAGGGGTCTCCTTTGTCGTGTTTTTTTTTCTTTTCATTTCACAATGCATCAGATATTCCCAGTAGGACAGCAAGACTACTTCAGCAGCGGGACTCTTCTACTACTGAGCCATGCTGTTGTAATTGTGTACACGTTGTGGTTTGGTATTGTCTTGCTGAAAGGTCTTCCTTGAAAAAAATCAATGTCTGGATGGCAGCTTTTGTTGCTCTACAATGGAAGGAGTACTGCTGTTATTAAGGACAGGTGTGTAAGAGGGCAAGGTATACACTGATAAAGGTCTACTACTGAAACGTTGCCAATAAATTTTAAGGGGTGTTTCCCTTTGAATCATCAGTTTATGTTACTCTAAAAGAAAAAACTTCCTACAACAGGCAGAAACCTTGAGCAGAACCAGACTCATGTTTGACAGCCATCTGCTGAGACTGAGCTGGGTTTAGAGAGGAGAGAGGGAGATGGACAGAGGAGAGACTGATGATAGTTGAAGCAGTTAAAAGCAGGCAGGTCCACGGCAGCAAAAGGTCTGCAGCAGTGATCCAGAGGAACCTACAGCATGAAGGAGCTCAGGGACTCCCAGAATAGACTGTGTATAGGTGACTTAAATCATGGATGCCATCTTTGATTCTTGTGGGACAGTTTTTCACTCTGCATCTTTATTTCTTTTACTCTTGAGACTTTGAGGAAGATAGGACAGCAGAGAGGGCAGGAAATGTTATTATCAGGACAGGAGCCCAAGGCCGGAATCGAAACCTGGGCTGCCTGCTTGAGACTAGACTAGGCCTCTCTTGGATGGGTGGGGGCTCAGAAAATTTCCTTGTGTTTCTGTTAGTATTTTTGACATGTTATCTTTGCTATACTTAGACCCCTGAAAAGAGAGGTACACACATTGATGACTGCATCAAATACAACTACATTTGTTTATATTTATTATTATTATTTTTTAAATATACTCACTCACTTAAAACATTTTTTATTAATACAAACAAGTTCCTTCCTCTTTATCATTAACCGCAGAATCTTTGGATGGAAACATGGCTGCTCTCCCTCTCTCTCTCTCTTTGCCTCTGTCTCTCCTCTCTTGTAGTGCTGTAGGTCTCTGATGAAGGAAACTAATCCTCATCATAGTCAATTAGCTTCTCAGCGTCCTGGTGTGTTTCTCTCTCTGGTTTTCTTCTGACTGCTGGTTGAACGTTTAAACATCCATAGAAAAAAAAAAGCAGACATGTTTAAAGGTTCCTAACCATTGTTTTTTTTTTTCTGGCTCATTGTAACTGTGGCTTTAAATGTGTCTAACATCTTTTTGTTTGTTTCATCTTCTATAGTGTGTGTCGTCCGCCCGCCCGTCTGCCCGTTCTCACAGTAGACAAGCCAGTAACATGTGCTGCTAAAGTGGGGAAGGGGTGGTGGGGGGTTGACTTGTGTTCAGGTTCAGTAGGGGTGGGGGTGGTGGCGGGGTTGATAATCTCGCTGCGGTTACCGTGACGTGTGTCTGAACGAACACTGGTAAGATGCCGCCGCTGCTTCTTGTTTCCTGCTTGATGCTTTGCCCTTTGCCATTGGTCGACGAAAGACCCGCCCACGGCAACATGGAGCCCGCCCTGCCAGGGAGGATGCGGGGTTTACGAGACCAGCAGATTACTCAGTCAGCCAGAGGACCATGTCATGTTCACACAGCTAGATGTAGAGTATGTGGACACTCTCTACTTTGGAGGACACACCAACAACACACATAACCAGCTCTTTTCAGAGGTCGTTCCTCAAAGTTGGTTTCTAAGATTTGGACTGGTTTGCACAGAACCATAGACTAGACTCAGCCCCCAGTGTCAGTGTTGGACCTCACTATAGCTCTGGTAACCAAATGAAAGGGAATATATCATAAATATTTGTTCTTGTCAATCAAAAAGATTCTCTCTGGTGAAATGTTATGTGAATTTTAGCCAAATGCAGTTATGTAAGTGTGCAAACACATGAAAAAAATAAGGAGATTTTGAAAAGAATTTAACATAATAATGTAATTTGACATTTAAAACAGATTCTACTTAATGCCGAATGAGTCTATAAGCTGAAACTGAAGCATTATCCTGTCTGTTCTGAGCATTTCATGTGTCTCTCTGGCTGCTGGGTAATCGGCTCCCCGTTCTGTTGCTGTGGCTTTTATTTTGAGAAAACATCCTCACCAACCAGCTGCTGCACTCTTAAAAAATGATGCGTCATTTTTCTACACATCTCTGTCCCTCCTGAGATCAAGATGTGTCAAAAAATCATCCATCATGTTCTTAAAAGTGTAGCCAGACTGCACTCTGAAAATAACCCTCAGCTGTTTTGTCTCAGTTGGAGAAGTTTGAGGTTTCTTTTTAGGGAAACCGTTTCAGATTAAAGTCTTTGTCTTTGCTTGAGTCTCATCATATACACAAATATTCCATCTGTCACCCAAAGAGATGACAAACGCTCAAGGTCTTCTCAGTAGATTTCCTGCAGAGCTCTCAGACGCATCTTCTTGAAGACTTTTTTTTTGGCCTTAAGATGTGGCAGAAAGCTCCAGAACAGATAGAGCGGGATGACCTTGAGGAAAAAACTGAGGAAGAGTGACACAGTGAAGTTTCATCAGGCCTCTGCATTGTGCAGTTTACATCAGCTGCTTAAACAACAGTGAAGCTGTTCAGCTCATGACGGGAATGAGTCCTTTTATGACTCATCTAAACACCAAGACGAGGGTTCATGGGTCTGAGGACTTCGATAACAAGTGAGGGTTTAGTGAGTTGTAATACAGTCAACCATAAGTTTCTGAAGAGGGTCTATGATGACGTGCACCATACGTCCAAGGTTACTCTCCTAACCTTCAGTCAGTGTTGTCATTGGCAAGGGGTGGAGTCGATGGGGCCTCTTTAACAGGCCCAGTTACTGGTCAGTGAACCTCATCCAAAACATGTAAATAAATGCAAGACTCCAAGTGCAATCAAAACAAATGAGTAAAAAAAAACTTGCAGTTGGTCATCATAAAAAGAAGAATAACTGTTTTAGACTCAAATTGGGCATTTTCACTGAGGAAAGCCCCAAGATGACACTAGAGGAACAAGTTTCAAGTTTTCTGCACCTCTGCAGTAGCGTCACTTCAAGTTTGGACAGAGGCAAAGCTCTCTCCATAACTGTAAACTTAATAGTAGTCGTTTTCCAACATCTCATGAGCTTTGGGTGATTGTACTGTAGATGCCAGTGGCTGAAAAAAGGCTGATAGGATTAGATGAGGAACATAGATGTCCAAGAGCCACCAAAGCGCCCTGCTAAATCGGGTTGAAAGGCTCTGTCTAAGATGGTTTCAGTGTCTGATCAGGTCCCTCTGGATTTGGATCTCGAGCACAGTCCTTCTAAGGCACAACTAGTTTAGAAAAGACTTGGATTTGGTTGACTATAAACAGTAAATGAATCATGCTTCTTACCTTGCTGTGGGAACTCCACTGGTCTACAAAATCCAAAGGGACCCTGCAGTAGAGACTTGAATGTTTTGCACCGAAGGGTTTGTCTGAAATGGTTCAGGTACGAGATCAAGATCCTCTGCCTCCCATCTGGAATTTTAATGCAACTAGAAGAAAACCCCAGCAGGTGACTGAAAACACATCTTGAATACTCAGGAATGTCTTAGAGGAGGTGGATAAACGAGAATTTGCATTTGTAGCAGAGGAACAATATTGTATAATGCTAATAAGAGTACATTGAAAATATTGTCCATTCTATTCCAGCAGGTTCTGAGGCGCATGTGGTTCCAAGGTGCCTCTGTGAATAAATAATAGCATTAAGAGCCCTCCACAAACATGTCGGCAGGCACTCTTGCACAAAGCAAACTAATGACACTGCCAGATGAGGGACACTCCAGTTCAGACCGGTTTTCATAAAGAGAAAACGAAACAAACAGCAGAAAAAACACTCAAATAAGACATACAGAGGTGCAAATACACATTTACAGTGAAGTCAGTGTTCACATGCAACGTGTGCACACTCAGCTGCCCGCAGGGACTTAGATCTTATATTCTTGATTTCCAAGTACGATGGAATCCCGAAGATGTACCAGGGTGTCTATTATCATATTTACGCTAAGAGCAAGTGGACTCAAGAAGACTGACGGTTCTGTGGCAGACATGGCTGGACTCCAATCTCCACTGTATTCACCATAATGCAGGTTTTTCTTTTGTTTTTCTGGATGTGATTTTCCACAGGGGGTAAACAGAATAACGTGAACACCTGTAGCTGAACCCAGTACAACAGCAGCTCTACAGCTAAGAGCTTTTCAGGGCACTTTGGGCTGCAGAGTTGTTGTGATGGACTGCAGTGGCTCCTACTTGTGCTCCTGTTATCATGTCTATCCCCTGTTTGTGTGCTGTTAGGAGTGTGCACGGGTTGCTTCGAAAACCAGTCCCTAAAAAGAAACCTGTGAAGCAGTACTGCGACATTATGGATTTTGATGTTGTTTTCCTTCACCGGATGCTTGTCACATTATGAGGAAAGGGTGTCTGCATTAGGTGCTCCAACTACCTGAACAACAGCATGTTAACGCTGTTAGCATTCCCACTGAAAATATAGAGCCATGCTCCAGTGAAGCGCATTCATTTTAATTAGAGGGATGGGCTGGCTGTCGCTGGCAGGTCTTAATCAATATAACATGTCAGGCCTGTTCTTTTCACGAGGGACACCAGCTGATTGCGGTCATGCCTTCAGCAGTTATGATTACGCAGCAGTATGTTTTATTCAGGGTGTTTGAGTGTTTGTGCAGGAAAAAAGTTGTGACACGGAATTCAACTCCAACGGGCCAGGTCTCTAATTATGCATGACTCATAGCTTCTGTATGTGCAGAATGGATGATTTTTACAGAAATGACCTTGTGCTCAGCATATACAGATATAGAAATAAGCCATACAGATGAAAAACCTTTCATGTACCAGGTTTTAAAAAAGCGTATTTCTGTCATAAAAACAGACGTTTTAACATGGTTCTTAATAGAGTCTGCTCAACATTTGGAGCAAACCCAAAGTGGACATTTTAGGTACTGCAGGTTATTTGTACTTCAGTATTGGCTTTTTGTTTTTATCCAGCTTAATAAAAGCAATATTTTGTTGGAAAATTTGTGATTTGGTTGCAGTTTCTACTCAGTAGTTTTCAGCTAGTTGGTGGGACTCAGTGTTTATAAGTTCTATTTTGTGGTTTCCAAAAGTTCCAGTTTCAAGCTGTTGTGAAAGTTTGTAATTGTTTGAAGAAGGATTTGTCCTCTGTGGTTTCAGGGGTAGAAGTTTGCTCGCTGTACAGGTGTTTATGCAGAAATGCTGACAGCTAGGTAGCAAACTTCACCTGGATACTTCTTTGGCGATGGCCAGCTATTTCAAGCACTTGCAGCAACAATACTCTCTTTTTGTGACTTCTGTTTTTTATAAATGAAGGGAAACTCAAGCTGTTTCTTCTGTTGTCCGCATTTTCAGCTCAAAATCACCCATGTTTCTGCGGTTGTTTGTCGGTTGTTAGCAGTGTTTCTTTGGGGAATGCTAACAGTGTTAGCTCACTGTTGTCAGTCAGCTGGAGGACAAATGCAGACACCTTTCATCACTGTGTGACGAGTTTCTGCTGAGGAGAAACTCCAGACACAGTTCATAACGTCTCAGTGAGGCTTTCTTTGTCCTGGGAGACAAACGGCTGTGATTCTCAGAGTGAACTCCCAGCATGCAGTTTGGTATAACTGAACACTGAGATGACGCCTGAAGCCCTGAGAGAGAGAGTGTGTGTGTGCGTGTGCGAGTGTGTTTGAATAACACTGAAGCACTCCTTTAGTTACATCTGTAAAGTTAAAGTGTGAGTGTTTTAATTACCATGTCTGTATGAATGGGGGCAGGTTTCAGTCTGCAGCCTCATTAGCTCCCTGCTGTGTATTTTAACTCTCTGCTGTGTGTATGTGTGTGTGTGAATGCGTGTCTATGCTTGGTGCTCGTGTGGTTTGTGTGGTGCAGGCCTGCTTGGCCTCCAGCTGATTAACGGCAAAAACGAGTCGGCGCACATTGCAGACGCCGTGGCAGTGGTTGCTCAGTCCCTGCAGGAGTTGTTCGAAAAGGAGAACATCACTGAGCCGCCGCGGGGCTGCGTGGGAAACACCAACATCTGGCGGACTGGACCGCTCTTCAAACGGTCAGTACCTCTGGGACCTAGCCTACAGGTGAAACGGCCATCTGGGGCTATGCTGGTGATGCTACAGAGCAGATTTCTACTCTTCTCTGTTGACCCGAGTCTTTTTTTTTCTTTTTATTTCTATGAATTAAACCCAAAGAGCAAAATGAGCAATCGCTGTGACTCTTTTTGCTTTTTATTTCAAATCAACTACCAATAATTCAGTGCAAACTTATGAAATATGTGAGCAAATGTGGCAGCAAAGCAAAGGTCAGAGAATCAGGACTTGGTTTAACTCTTGAGTCAAACATGTTTCTATATGTAACTGTATTTTGTAGCTTTAAGGTCATTCTTGCAGGTTAAGACTGTGTTGTCATGTGTAAAAATCTTTAATAAATTTTTTTCAGATCATCCATATCATCACTCTAGTACGAATTGTGCCACATTTACAGTTTATGTGAACAGGGCTAAACCTTCCAGATAGTCACTCAGCCATTCCCCCATTCTTTTAATGAAATGAAATGAAATCTGCAGTCCAAGTGTTGCTCATTTACTTATCTCGAAGATCCAAATGTTGCTGGTTTACATGTACTTTTCCTTATTGATATCTGCAATAAGAAACGATTAATTCATCTACTGCTCGCCTCCTCACCCACACCCACATCACTCCAGTCCTCCAGAACCTCCATTGGCTTCCTATTCACCAACACATTCAGTTTAAAATCCTCCTCCTCACCTTCAAAGCCCTCCATAATCAGGCCCCCTCCTACCTCACTGACCTACTCCACCCCTACGCTCCTTCCTTATCCATTAACCAGCTACAGCTTAGACACAACACACGAGCAGCATTTCAGGCCTACAGTGGTAGAAATATTATCAACTGACCTGTAACCTGGTGAAGACTGGACAACATTCAGTATACTCAATGCACACATCCCTTATTTGTACGAACAAGAGTAAGAACATTGCAGTGGATATCTGTAATAATCATTTTGAATGAATGTGCAGAATCCATTAATATATACCTGTAATGAACACCCAGCCTAGCCTTTAAATATTAAAACTGCCTTGAATTGCTTTAAGATTGCATCTAGGAGTCTGATTTGAAATTTGCAGTCACTTTGCCAGCTGTTTTTCAGGGACCGGGTTTAAAAAGTAGAGAAGGAACTAGACAAAGAGTTCCAAGTTTATACTATTTTATTTTTGTTTAGATTTTTATAGTTTTTTAAAGATTGTTTCAGGGCTGCAGAGAGACTGAAAATGTCAGGAGAAGAGAGGAAGAGAGGGGGGAGATTGGCATCAAGGTGGTTGAGGCAAAGAGTTATTAAACAAGCGTCCATCGCACCAAGGGCCTAAGCTTCTGTTTATGATTGTCTGCTGCTTCAGCTCAGCCCTGTTCTATTCATGTAAATCCCAATACAAGCCCCTTATCAATGTCTACTGTCGACCAAAAGTAAACCGCTGCGACTGCAGTTAGGATGTGAGTTACTTAACCTCCCAGAGGGTCCCTCAAGTCCAAATCCTGAATCATAAAAAGCCAGTGTAAGTATTTAAAATCACAGACCCGAGTATCCGAGTGGACAGTTTGTGCAGGCTGTGAAGGAAATGTTGTGTGACTGTTGTGTGTTCAGCAGTTTATCCAGTTTGGATTTCTGATCCACAGCATTGAGTCCGCTCCTCTTCCTTCAACTTGAGAACCGGAGCCTGAGACGCTTTGCTGATCTGATCTGGCTTCCGCTGAAAGTTATTCTGACACAACTGGGATAATGAACCTCTCTGTCACTGCCTCTCTCCTCTGTGTGACCCATATAGACCATCAAGTCCAGTTAAATCAGGTTTATTTAGACGATCCACTATTACATACTGCTCCACAGCAGCAACAGCAGCATCATGTGATCTGGTCTCATTTTATCCATATTTCCATGAGCTGATATGGACTCTGCTGGTCTCTGATTGGCTCCTCAGGGTGTTGATGGCGTCCAAGTATCCTGATGGTCTGACAGGACGGATTGAGTTTAACGATGACGGCGACCGGCGCTTTGCAACTTACAGCATCCTGAACTACCAACAGAAACCAGGTCGCCTCATCCAGGTTGGAGTCTTCAACGGATCCCAGGTACAGTCGAACTAGTCACACATTGTTGTATATCTAATTACACCTCATTAGATACCTGATCATGCAGGATTATTCTCTGGGTGATAAAACTGCTTTGACACCTTGTTATTAACCTGGTTTGACACCTGGTTCCACCTGATTTTACGCCATGACAGACCTGTCTATATGTACATGGATATGTACCTGGCTGAACACCTAGATAATCCCCTGGTCATTTATTGGGTTAAGAACCTGGCCAAACAATATCGACCCGTTTTTTCTCCTCTGAATACACCCAGTCACACCAAGTTTTGCATCTGTTTACACAGTTGTTGACACACCTGTTTCTACTTGGTGTGAAGTTATTTACCAGGTCACACACCTAATTAAGCACCTGATTATACTCCTTTTTACATGAGTTTTAGTCAGGCAAGTCATAGGGTAACTACACCTTGTATCACCTGTGAAGCACCTGCCTATTCCAGGATCAGCATCTGATTGTTTCACATAGTTATTCACCAGGTAGTACAACTTTTAAAACACCTAAATTTGCACCTTATCAAAAAAGCTGATAAAAACCATTGAATAACTTTTAAAATACCTCACACACACCTGGAGGTCCACCTCGTAACACCTGAATCAACAGCCATGTTCATGTCACACCTCAACTCAAACTGGACCTTGTAAATACCTGGTTATAAACCTTGGCACACCTGGTCATACACCTGGTCACAAACCTTATAATACAGCTGGCTTTTCAACAGTCACATTTGGCCTTATGAGTTGCTTGATTGTACATCTTTCACATTATGTTTTGCACCTGGAAACACGCCAAGTTAAACCCCTGTCTGAACTGATTATTTCATCAGTTTAGCAACGTCCAGACCTCATCACACCTGGTTTCACACATGACAAGACAGTAGCTAATACATGCCAGCTGAAACACCTCAAGAGTTCATTCTATTTAAGTACACAGCTCCATCAGGGTTTTGACGGTGTGACGTCTCATTGAACACCTGAGCCCACCAGGTTATACAATAGTTCAATAACCTAGTAAACCTGATTAGTTACCCAGGGTTTCACACCCACCTGGTTTCTGCACCTAGTCATACACCTGTTTATGGGTTTGTCTATGTTTATTTAAACCTGGTAAAATGTTTATGTATTCCTGTTTACACACCTGGTAACAAACTTAAGCATGTACCTGGTTAGTTGCCGGATTATACATCCTTTTGATAGCGTATCAAACCTGTAAAAGCACCTGACCACAATTGGTTAAACTACACGTTGTGCCTGAAGCCCGAAGCTCCATGCTTGAATTCATCAGGTTATAAATGTAGTAATATCTATTTTTACACCTTTTCAGCCCTGCTTCTGTAACTGGTCATACCTTGGATCTTTTATTCAGAGAGTTATTTGTTTTTTTTAATCAGGAGCAGTTGCTACATTCCTCTCTTCACAGCCTCCAGACCTCATTGACGTAAACCCCATTTTTACTTCACAGGAAACAGAAGTTGATGGTGAAACGCTGCCTTCATTGGTCAGTTTGTTTGGATGATTGTGGTCATGCCTGGTTATGCACTTGGTTGCACCTGACCCTGCCTGGTTTAACACCTGGTCACAGCTGGTTATAAAACGGGTTTTACACTTAATCACAATCAGTCACACCTGATCTGACAGTTAATTTCACTCTTTTGAATAGAGAATATCTTGGCCTGAAACAGTGATACATTTTTGCTGTCTTCCAGAATGAGACACTTTAAATTAAGTAACTACCAGGGTGCATTATGGGAAATGTAGGATTCAGTGTAAGCGATGTCACCTCTGCTGCACAGATTTAGATCATTCTGGTTAAATTCTGTCCCTCACAATTACAACAGCTGTATGTTAAAGGCGCACTGATGCACAACGTTCATACAGTGTCTTTAAGGTGAAGGAAAATAAGATGATTGAAGCGTTCCTCACTGGTTTGTTTGCTCTGCAGCGTGCATCTACTCAGCCTTGTGTGTGTTCGTCAGTCCCATGCCTTTTTAACTATTGATGCACAGATGAAGTATTGATGTTTTCATTTAGTCAGCTTGTCACACTGAGACCTGTCTGGAACAGCATGACAACCTGCATGTCTGTATGTCTTTGTGTATCTGTGTGTGTGTGTGTGTGTGTGTGTGTGTGTGTGTGTGTGTGTGTATTTCAGGTCGTGATGAACCCTCAGAGGAAAATCATTTGGCCTGGAGGAGAGACAGAGAAACCCGTTGGATACCAGATGTCCACAAAACTGAAGGTACTGCCTCGACTGCTATAAAGGTGCTCCATGAATCTGTAAGCTGAGCAACATGATATAAATCTGCTCTGAGGTTCACCACAGTTATAACTGGACTTAGGCTGGCCTCACAAAGAACATCCAGGGCCAGATTTGCTCCCCTGATAAAAGGGGACACCTGATTTGGGGTCTGGTGTAACCGAGCAGACTGGCAGTCGTCATCAGCCGGGTGTGAAACCCACAGCTGTGGCAGGAGACATGAGCACAACTCTACTGATTAGTTTGCAAAATCCAAAAGAAATTCATGCTTGTCATGCAGGAAAGATGATCAAATCCAAACATAGCTTTTATTTAACATCTGAGGCAGATTGACTTACAGCATCTACTAACTTACTGCCAGTCTGTAAATAAAAACGATGTTTGAAAGGGAGGCCCAAAAAGTCAGCCACAAAATTATTCTCTAACAACAAGCGACAGGCTCCTAGATTGAGCTGTAGGCTATTATCTAAGAGAGTTTGTCTGCAGAGATTGGAATTGTGGAGTCACCAAGTCATCTCCATGCCATGTATTTGTTCTGCTCTGTCATTGAACCAGTTGCTTCCAATGAGCAGCCAGGAAGGTGAGCTCTTTAGTGAAGGCACCTGGTTCAGTAACTGAGCAGAACAAATACATAGCATGGAGATGACTTGGTGACTTCACAATTCCCATCTCTGATCATCTGTTTGTGTGTATATGTGTGTGTGTGTGCGTGTGTGCGTGCTTGCGTGTGTGTGTGTGTGTGTGTGTGTGTGTGCGTGCGTGTGTGTGTGCAGATTGTGACGATCCATCAGGAGCCTTTTGTTTACGTGAAGCCAACAAAAACCGACGGGACATGTAAAGAAGAGTACACCGTCAATGGAGTCTTAATCAAGAAGGTTATCTGTACTGGACCCAATGGGACCATTCCAGGTACACACCCGATAACACACACTCTCTCACACACCTAATCCCATTCATTTGCCCCCCTTTAAAGGGACATCAGTCACTCATCTTAAACCTGTGTTTTTATCCTCTTTTAGGAAACATATAAACAACAATATATCTGGACTAGTCATAAAACCTAATCAGGACAGGTCCCCTCAATGATAGGACCCTGCTCATGGGTTGCTAGTTGAATGGCCATATGTAAATCCTAAAACATACAGGATCTGTATTCAGCGCGTTCCGTCAGCGCCGTGTATCACGCAGCAAATAGGTTGCCATTCTATTCAATGCAGCATCACGCACAGGACGCCTATCAGCTCCGTCTCAGCTCCATCGCAGAATAATGTCGAGCACGGCTCTGCTAAAGAAATGTGCTGAGTCTAATTTTGCTGCTCTACGTTTTTAACATGTGTTCATAAACACAGAGAAGATCATTTTTGGACGTCAAGCACGGAAACTGTGTATGTCATCCAGTAAATTTCAAAACAAAACACCATATGCAAACTCCAAACTGTGTATTAGTTTGTGTAGATGAGAAATACTTCCTGGTTTCGGATTTATCAGTATCGCAGAAGAATCCAGTGGTCAATCCCTGATTCATGTGGACCCCAACAGGACTTTGAACTGCTAACTCTGTCTAAAGGTAACGACACAGCATAAAGGAACATAGTTTACTTTATTAAACATAATCAAACCTGCAAAAACCAAAACTGTAAAATCACGTTGCTTTTTCACATATAGTAGAAGCTCAACGGTCACTGAATAATATCCAAATTAGCAGGAAATAGACCACACAAAGGAAAAATAACCATGTTGTTTCCTCTATACTGAGCCCAGCTGACAGGGGCTGCACTATGCTGCTGCTGTGCTCCAAATACACATCCTGTATGTGATATCCAATGCTGCTCTACGGAGCAGAGACGCAACGCTGACAAAAAGTGATGAATACAGATCCTGTATGTTTTCGGCTTAAGCTTTGATAAAACAGATAGCAGCAGGGTAGCTGATGTCCTAATAGTAAAAGTGGCATGTGATGGCCAGCATCACTGTAAGTGCAGGGGTCAATGTACAGTGAAATCTACATTGTCTTTGCATACATCAGCCCGACCCTGGGGGTTCTGAAATGCAGATAGCAGAGGGGCAGGTGTTAAGAAGCTGTGAATACACCAATAATTGAGTTTAAAAAAATCAGTATAGTTTTTTTCCTTTTATTACTCCTTTGTTGTGGTTCAAATTTACCCTCCAAATGGAAGATCTACTGGGATTTGGCATGTAACAGGTGTTAATTTCAGATTCTGTGTTTATGTATGTAGAAGCCCAGCCTGAATGCACTAACATGACAAAGTTAAACAGTCCAGGGTCAGAGTATGTCAAAGTCATTGCAGAGACAAAGGAAATAAAATCTAAGTACACACTTATGCATAATTATGCTCTAATTGAAGAAACAATCTTGTTTTCTTTTACAACTTTTCAACAAAATCAGAAACTTTAAACATATAAGACTTTAACTGCCAGTCCAGTTGGGCCTCTGCAGTATTTCAAGCTTTTAAGAAAGGCGTTTTAGTTTTCTGGTTCGTCATGTTATGTTTCAAGTTTAACCAAGTGGGAAGCTGACCCCCAAAACTGGTCCTCACAAAGGCAGAAAAAGCAGGGGTGAATGAATGCACACATGCACCAAGCCTCATTCAAATTAACCCCTTCTTCTTATCTGTGTGTGTGTGTGTGTGTGTGTGTGTGTGTGTGTGTGTGTGTGTGTGTGTGTGCGTGCGTGTGTGCGTGCGTGCGTGCGTGCGTGCGTGCATGTGTGTGTCCAGGTCAGCCCATTGTCCCTCAGTGTTGCTATGGTTTCTGCATCGATCTGCTCATCAAACTGGCGATGAGCATGAACTTCACCTACGAGGTTCACCTTGTGGCTGATGGGAAATTTGGCACGCAGGAAAGAGTGAGTGTTTCTTTTTATTCAAGCCTTTAATTCAGAAGACGGGACGATGTATGAGTGGAGAGAGAGGGAGAGGCAAATGACAAATGGCAAACCCAGGCCGCTTGCTTCAAGGATTTCAGGGCTGTAGCCTCTGAACATGGGCTGTGTGATTTAACCACTGAGCTAAACCGAAGCCTTGAGACTTCTCCAGTTTTACCATAAAATCTCTTTAAACAGACATTTTTCACTGCAGGCTCTGCCCCAAAGGTATCTGACATGCTGTTGTAGCTGTTTGGCAGCCCTGCTCTTCTGATCTTTTCAGAGGGTTTTAGAGGGTTGTTCAAAATCCATGAAATATTGAAATATTTCAGGTCTGAGTGACGAATTTGTAGAAAAAGTTTGGAAAAAGCTACAACAGATTTTTTGTTAACTGTGATTAAACAGGCTGGATTGGTTGCTGTTTGATCTTTAAGTGCAAATCCACTTCAGTGTTAATCACCATTAACTCAGTTTTAAAAGCCATCAGACTTGGTGGAGAAAAACTGCTCTATTGCTTTGTAGAGATTTGGAGTTGCAAGTCTACCACTGACAGGATCAGATGGTAGTTGTGTCAAGTAAACGTAAAAAGAGTTTGAGCCTTTGCCTCTTGTTAAGGGAGGTGGTTGTTAACTTCTACCCAACACCTCGTCAGTTTTATGCCCAGTGTCCAGGATGTTTGGATAACTACTGATTTTGCACCCATGTTAACACCCAGAGGTTTGGAATCAGGTTTGATCAGGCGGAAAGGCAGTGTGTTGCTTTTTTGGGAACACAGAGAGCATCTGCACCCAAGACAAACAAAAACCTGGTCTCTCAAATCAGAAGCCCTTTGATTTTCTCTATATTCCACCCCCTGCTATAGTATTGGGCTAGAAAATAACCTTCATCACTATCTCCTCACAGACCAACCTTACCTTGATCCTGCTGTGGCTGAGTCCTTCAGACTAAGACCATCACTAAGCTCTCCATCATGCGCACCCTCAAACATATACAATAATCATTGATATAGAAGTTTTTGTACAAGTCAAATGTAATTCAACGTTCTGTAAAGCTGTTAAATACCAAACAGCCAAAAACAGACAGAAAATGAGCCATTTAAATAGAAAAAAGAAGAGGCTAATGCACACCAATAATGCTATGATATAATGATAGTAAAAGAAGAGACAAAAGTAAGTTGAAACATCAAACAAGACCTCAAATATAAACAGTTTAAAATGATCAGAAGATAAGTAGTTAAAGATAAGTAAAAGCAGAAAGAGGGAGATTTAAAAACAGAAGAATAATAAACCAACAAAACAACATAGAATCCTATGTGAAACATCAAATAACAAAACTATGCAGACATAAACACACAAGTTAAAGTTGTTTTACTTTAAATAAATACGTCAATAGGAATGAACAGCTCATTTAACTTTGAGTTCAACTTCATCAGACGCCGGTTAATATTAGAGCCTGTCGAGTGTGACAGCGTAACCAGTTTTAAATCATCTCTCATGAACTTACAGCCTGGCTCTAACTTTGGACTGTTAAGTTGAATGTCACAGCTTATATTTAAAAGAGAGACACTCGTTGTTTACAAAGTGCTCCCATTATAAACACAGACCAGTGAACAGGTTTGACAGACAGCATTGGGGATAAAATGCTCCTTTGCTTTTGAAGCTTTGGGGTTAAATGGTCTGGTATCACTTCTTTCAGTTTTGCTTACCCACTACTTCAAAAGTCTCTGTTTTTCATGTGCGATTCTCAGCAAAGATAGTGAGGATGGAAAATGACTCACTCCTTGTACAATTGAGTTTAAAAAGTGATGTCTTCCCGGCATGGAGAGGACACAAAGTGACGTAACCGACTATTTTGGCACTTGAGTTCATTGGCAGCTGTATTTGTCATTTATTTCTGTCAACAGTACCATTGATTGCAACCCTGTCCGAGAGTAAAAGTTACAGAGCAGTGATATGAAATCAAAACAGCAACAACGATGAAATAATCAAAAAAATATCAGCTGTAAACGGGTGAGTTTCTGTCCTGAGTTAGAAGAACTGAGAGTTTCAGCAGACCTTGATTTTCTTGGAGTTTGTTCCAGATATATGGAGCATTAAACTGAACCCTGCTGCTCCGTGTTTGGTTCCGACTTTCTTCTCTGCAGCTGTTTATCTTCGTCAAACAGTGAACTCATTTTCACACAGCAGCAGCAGCAGCAGGAGGAGGAGGAGGAGGAGATGAAGGAGGAGGAAGAGGAGGGGATGGAAACAAGCAGCACTTCATGTTTTTTTTTCCTCTGGATGATTTTGTGGAAATGTGATTAAAACTTGGCGAACATTCATGTTCGCTGTGACTCTCTGTTTCTCTGACCTGTTTACTGATTCAACACCAGTACAGTGCTGAGGCTTGTTGCTATGGCGACCACTGCTCTGTCCCTGACTCTGACCTTGTCGAAGCCGAAAGACATTTAGTCATTACTGTCTCCCTCTCTCTCTCCTCCCTTCTGCTGCTCTCTTTGAGACACTCCGAGTGACACCATCTCTCCTTCATCACCTCCTCCATCACCTTCGTTCATTTCCACTTCACTCAGCCTCTCTCTGATGCTTCCTGCTCTTCTCCTCCTCTTCCTCTCCTCCTCTCACAAACCCCCCTTCCCCTGTCTCCCTGCACGGATTTATTTATAGCTGAAACACGCTTCATTTTTCTTGAAGATAAAAGATTCTCCGATAAAATTAAATCACTCAGACAAAATCAAATCAGTCAAAGTACTTTTTTGTGAAAGGAGAGCAATGCTTTTATTCTGTTGGACAAGAAATTCTACAAATCCATCAATGCTGAGCATTTTCTCTCTGCTTTTTTCAGGAAATCTTTTTTTTTTCTTTATATTATCTCTGGTTGTAACTTGTGCTGCAAGCAAAAGATTTCTCATGAATATGGGGCTTATACTTTTAAGCAGATAAATGCATGAATCTAAGACCTTTTATCACACACCTTGGTCTCTGCCATTCCCTCTCCTCCTGCAGGTGAACAACAGCAATAAGAAAGAGTGGAATGGCATGATGGGAGAGCTGCTGGGAGGTCTGGCCGACATGATCGTCGCTCCCCTCACCATCAACAACGAGCGTGCTCAGTACATTGAGTTCTCCAAACCGTTTAAGTACCAGGGGCTCACCATCCTTGTCAAAAAGGTGAGAAACAGGCACTCTGGTTTGTCTTTCTTCGGAGCAGCTCAGAGGTCAAGTCATCTGATTCTCTTACAGATGGTTGGTGGTTTGATCCCAGGTCCTTTAGTGCTAAAGTGTCCTTGGGTAACACACTGAACTTGGGTTGAGTGTGGGGTAATAGTTGGGTTTTTAATTCGAGTATGACTATGACTCATTAGAATAAGATAATCAAGACTGGGTGATCATTGTTCTGCCTGCTGTGCTGCCTCTGCCACCCTCTATTAGTTGAATGAATCTCAACCCATACGTGTGCACACTGAACAAGCTTAAACATTCAGAGAGACTGACTGTGGTGCAGGCAGTGTCTGTATCTGTGGATTACATGACTGCAGAATACAAACATGCACTAATTTGTGACACCTCAGCCATCGCAGGTATCCAAAAAGTGCTTCGGCTATTGTTATCGTCAGAACACACATACTGGCTGCTGAATTTACAGGAGCACAGATTGTTTAACTGTAGTGACTCTATTTGCAGTTCACATACATTGTACTGATGTAACAATCGTGTGGAAGATGACAGTGAGTGAATTATTCATCAGATTTTACCATAGCAGGGCTGATGGTGCAGATTAAACATGAATTTACAGCAGAAATTATTTACAACATGTAAGTCAGTTTCATTTCTCAGTAAAGATTGTGTGGTCACATGTTAAGCAGAAAGATTTAATTTGAAAACTGAAAACAAACAGAAAAATCTCATTTATAAACAGTACAATCTATCTTAATACACATTGCCTAAAGTAAGAGAAAAAAATCCTGTATTTGTTTTTTCAACGTCTTGTAGCTCTACACCGAACCTACATTACTACTTCTAGTTGTGCCAGAGGTGTGTGAATGGGGTTAGCTAATATTGATGAGCACTTGACATAGCAGCTTCTTCTGTTAGAGTATGAATGTGGCATGAAATGCTGAATATGAGGAGTGTGATGGGTGAATGTGAAAGTGCTTTGTGTGGTCAGAAGACCAGAGAAAGCACTTAGAGCTGTCACAGTGTACCCATAATGACCATGACTGTCTGTTTAAAACAATGAAAATTTGATCTTGTGCTGAAAATTAGCATACCGTTGTACAGTGGAACTAATTGGTTCGTGGAAGTGGTATTGTTCCTATATGCTATAACATAAAGAACAGACAGGTAGAGAAAGTAAAGCAGCAGCAGCAACAGCAGTACGCAACAGCAGCCCTCTGAAAGATAGACAGTCGCTTTTAAAGCTGAGGTTTACAAAAAAATGTAAACGCTTGTTAAGCAGCATTCTAAAAAGTGTTAGCTATTTCATTGGTTAGTTGTGTGTAATGAGGGCCTGTGTCCACTGTGTGTTTTGCTTATAAAGTCTGACCTTAATTCCAGAGTAATCCTCACTCTGGCTCTCAGTAACTGGGATATGAACACTTCCTCTTCCCTGACCATAAAGTTTGTTGTAGTTTGATGTGTATGCCTGATATTTGCTTCTCAGTAATCCCCTTTTTCTCTTCACATTCTCCCCCTTTTTTCCTCTTCGTCTCCCTCTATCAAAAAAAATACCAATGAAAATTTAACAACTAAAGGGATTTATGGTTTGGCATTAAAAGGAGCTCAGACCTGAAAACTGTACCTTAAAAAAGCTCCTCTGTCATTGGACATTGAGGGTTTAATGATGCTGAGTAATAGTTCAAAAGTAGGGCTGCACGGTTTTGCCCCCCCCCCCCCCAAAAAAAAAATCCAGGTTTTCCTCAGAAAACTTGATTTTTGAATTTTTGTTCAGTGACAACTTAAGCAGTTATCTTCATTTTAATAAGTTTTTCTATCATCTCTCAAAACAAAACCACTTAAAACAATGTAGTGCATATGCCAAGCCAGTAAGTGGCGCTGTAACGCTGCTGAGGAAATGCATAAAAGACAGAAGAAGAGTACAGAGCACGCGTATAAAGGTTGTTTTGGCTTGACACATGCAGGCTCCATAAAGGAGTTTCGCTGTGTGTCACATAATCGTTTCAAGAGAGATGCAGATAGAGATTCAGTCACCTGAAACCATAGACTGTATATACTATGGACAACTTGGTTCCGCCTCCCGCCTGTATACGGATTTGAAGCCAAATAGCTCTCGGTATTTCTGGGATTTCTCTTCATTTCCTGAAACCAGCACTGCGCAGTAGCGATGCGCGCACTCGGCCGCGCAGTCGCCGAGAGTCACTGTGATGACGCTCGACTCAAACAGCGTATCCCCCCGGGTGAGCTACGCAATCCCTGAACGCCCATAGGCTGTACCAGGTGTCAATCATAGAAAACATGAACCCCGAATAACTTTTAAAAACGGAGCTTCACAGAAAAAAGAGGACTTGAGCACAAACCAGTCTTACAATAACTACATGTCAACATCACAAGCAGGGGGGAGAAAAATTTATGTTCTGTGTAATAAATTTCTAAAGTTTGGTCCACAGCTCCCATAAGCTTTGCTGGTGGAGGCGGGATTTATGACCTATACTGCAGCCCATCAACAGAGGGTGCTGTTCTCGGAGTGGCTTCACCCAGCGAGGAGGCAGACTCTGTCCATTGCATATACAGTCTATGCCTGAAATGCTGTTTCCATGTGGATGAAATGCCAATACGACAAAAACCTTTTGCATTTACTCCTGAATTCATTTCCATGTGGATGGGTTGATACCGCCTTCATACAGACTGCAGGGATTGGTTTTCTCTTTTTCCAAAACTGCAAAGCCATACCAATTACACATGACTGACTTGCTCTTGTCCTATTTAGCCACAAAATTATCATCTTCTTTTGCAAATACCATGCTTGTTTACACTGGTATGTGTGGGAACAGGGGAGCACTCCCCGGGGGAGCCTACAGTGGCCTGGAGGCAGGAGACATAATCAAGAGGAAAATCGATTTCACGATTTTAATTTTTTTAACATTTTTGAATTTTTTGATTTTTGAAATAATCTGATTACGATTTAAAATCGATTGATTGTGCAGCCTTATTCAAAAGTATTTTGAAAAACTCTATTCATTTGAGAGTGTCATAAGAGCAGGGTGTGTTTTTTCTTATCATGCAGAGCACTGAAAAGGCTGAACTGCATCAGTTTTGTGAAGAAAACAGGCTCAGTCTAAAAAAAAAAAACTATTAGTGGACACAGGCCTTAAATCTTAATAACATCAGCTGAAGTGTAAAACCATCTTTTAAAGGGATGCTACATCTCTTAATAATTCCAGTATATGATGAGCTCTGAGTTTTACTTTGAGTCCACTATTGTCAGTCCTACCTGACGTCTAGACCTCCTCACAGTTTGAGTCACGCTGTTGTCATGATGCTCTGAAGGATAATTTTGGATATTCTGGCTCAGAGTGACCCAGTTCACAGCCAGTGATCAGCTCCGCAGCAGGAAACAGGTCGATGGTTTCCATTGAACCTTCACACATCTGATCCAGGGTCAGATGTGAAGCCTCTGCTGGATTAATGATTTTGTGGTTTTTTATACCTCTAATTGATCCAGTGCAGACAATGAAGTCAGTGATATTGACAAGATTCCTGAAACAGTTTAATCTGTTTTGACTAATTTTTTATTAATGCTCACTGAACTCAATGGCAGAGTTTTCACTGTTATTAGATATTAAATAATTTGAGCTCTTCCACCACTAACCTTTAATCACAGGCTGCAGATCTAACATATCATTCAGCCTTCTCATTCAGCTCCCAAACCTTTTTGCACACCAGTCTGAGCTCACAATGCAGTTTAAGTCACCCATTCTTACTATAATATTCAGGACTGAAAAGCAGAGAAGTCTGGAAACCCTACATGATAGAGTTTTTGGATGGTTCAAATCTGGTTCCATATCTTCATAACCATCTCTCTGCTGTTACTGATGTGCAGTATGGTGTGCCTCAGGGATTGTTTTTAGATCCATTGTTATTTTCCTTTAACCCCCGCGGCGCATCGTATATTAGCGAGGTGTTTTATTTCATTTTCATGCAGATATAACTTCTGAGTTGGTGATCTCTTTTAAGTCTCTTCCTAAAACACACTCTCGTACAACGGCCTTACCCGACTTTAAATTGTATTTGCTTTTAATTAGTTTAATGATGACGGTTGTGGTGCTAAAGATGTGCTATAACTTTGTGTGTTTTCTGTGTGTTTAGGAAATCCCCCGCAGCACCCTGGATTCATTTATGCAGCCGTTCCAGAGCACACTGTGGCTGTTAGTCGGTCTGTCGGTCCACGTGGTGGCAGTGATGCTTTACCTATTAGACCGGTTCAGGTAATCACATTATGATATGCTACAGCACAGAAGGTAATATTACGCTATGATACTTCTTAGCATGATGAAAGTATGGAGTATGGTTGTGCTTAACGTGACAAAAGTTAAAGAAGGCGGCAAAGCTTAAAGCCTTACAGCCAGTTAATTTGATTTTTCATTTTCTTAACATCATTGATTCACTAAACTGTTGATCAAATATTTGACCTGGCGTTGATACAGGGTTTAAATCAAAATTTGTCGGAAAAGACGGCATTTCGGCCTCGCTGCTCCTGCAGAAGACAACTTCATAACTAAATTAACTGATCCAAGTGAAACTGGATCATAATTTATAGATTAAATATTTTCCGGTTGTCTCTGAGGTCCTCCTTCTGAGGCTGCTGAGTCTGAATGTTTGATGATTACAAGTTTCTCGCTGGCGAGTTTTTTGCTCATTGCCGTTAGCAAGTTGGCTCAATTAGTGCCCAAACTGGGAGCTTCGAACATCGAGGGAGTGAGAGTGTTTACATCACTTGCAAATGAGCTCTGGACTGCCAAGACCTCAGGATTTTAAGCCTCAGGCAGGAAGAGGGGGGCTGGAATCAGAGCTGAGCGAGCAGCCAACTGACCGCGCCCTGCAGCCTCCCACTGAACACAGCAATCTGTGACCAACAGCAGGGGATACGGCAATGAATTTATTTAGTGCAGCTCTGACCAGAACTCAAGAGTGGACAGTGACAAGACAACAGGGACAAGAGAGGCATGAGGGAGGGTATGTGCATGGGGCAACCTGTGGAGATCTAAACAGGCTTTAAAGAGAGGTCAACATCGGAGTAATCAGAATTTGTCACGCTATGATTCATGACTGTGGGAAAGATGTCTGACTTTTCAGGTTTCAGAGTAGTGAGCAAACAGCAATGTAGGACTTATCGCCAAGATTTCCTTGTCAGTGCTTTGCCACTGTTTATGGTTTGTCTAGCAAATTGAGGAGCAAAAATGGAGCTGGTGTTAAGAGGCAGTATCCAAGAGCAGACATTTTGCAGCATTTGTGAGTGGGTGTGTGTTTAAAGACGTTAATTGAAGCTAAATTGTTGTCAGATCCCCGCCAACGTATTCCTGGATGATGTGACTGCCAATGCATTCTGCTCCTTTGCTCTCCATATTGACTGTTTTTTCTGTACAGCCAATTTCACTTGGCCTGAGAACAGAAAACAGGAAAATTCTGATACAAAATCTTGTTTAGCACCTACAGATTCTGGTTTGTTATGCACTCTGTTCACACAAAATGCCCGAGTATATAAGGTGTCAAACCTGGTGAGAAAGTCTCCACAGTGATGTTAAAATAATCTAAAACTTATGTTAGGATGACCGTTGTGTGAGCTAGAATGGCAATGTGCCTACAAAGACAGTCATGATGTCAGGTTACTTAAATACACTTCTGCTTTACAAAGACCCAGTGTAAAGACAGGATCAGACTGAGCCCCATCCTGTAAGATCCCATCCCATCTTCAACCATATGAGTGACACACTTTACAGCATCTATCAAGTTACAGTGGAGAGGAAGAACTTCCTTTAACAGGTAGAAACCTCAAGCAGAACCAGACACAGTCATCTGCTGGGTTTCAAGAGAGGAGAGGGAGATGAAGAAAGAGGCAGATGGACAGAGATGAGATTGAAGCACACAGTTAAAGCAGCTGGAAAGCAGGCAGGTCCACTTCTGTAGCAGCCATCCAGAGGAACCTACGGCATGATGGAGCTCAAGGACTCCCAGACAAGACTGTATTAGTGACTGATGGGACAACATGACTCAAAGTTAAGGACACAGACAGAGAGAGGATGGAGAAGGAGGGAAAAGGGGCTTAATGTGCCAGGGGTGTAAAGAAGGTCTCATCAACTGGTATCACTCTTTGGTGCTCTATAGTGTGAGGGATCGGAGTGTAGACTTCTTCAGAAGATCTGAAGCACTCAGAGGATCATCTGATTGAAGCCTTTATTTTCAGGGCTGCAGAGTCAGAATAAAGACATTGAGGTCTCCTTTAGTGCAGGTTTAAAGTTGTCCAGCTGATTCCTTTAAAGACTAACAATCAGTAGCTTCTTCATGACTGTGGAGTGGTAAGAAATTTGGCCCATCCCATTTGGTACTTGAGCAAAGTGAGTGAATAACCTTCCACAAAACAACTCTGGTGATTGTGCCAACAAGCCAGTTTGACAAAGCAGGGGGGGATTTTTGTCAGATAGCCAAGGCCGTTGTCTCGTGTATCATGGTTATCAGTGTCAGGGGACCTGTTCAGTGTGATCAAGGCTACTCAGAACCACAGACCAGTTTCTTCTGCCTAGCTTTGGGTCTAATTGAGCTCTGGGGGGATTGAGCTTTATCAGTTACTGCTCTTAAAGCTTTGAAAAGCTCCGCTGCCACATGCTCATCTGTTTAAGGTCAGTATGACAGCTCCTCTTTTGTTATTTTTTTATTCAGTTTGTCTTACACCAGCTGGAATGAGACTTGACATTAAAAGATGAGCACAGAAATGAGGCGGTGGATTTCGACCTTCATTACCAATATTGAAAACAAGCACTGAAAGCATAAACAGTCATAGTCGGCATTGTTCCAGGAAGTACCTCAGACACGCTCCTCAGTATAATACAGAGTAACATCTAACGATGAATGTCCCTGTGTTCCTGTGTAGCCCGTTCGGAAGGTTTAAAGTAAATAGTGAAGAAGAAGAAGAAGACGCCCTCACCCTGTCCTCAGCTATGTGGTTCTCATGGGGAGTACTGCTGAACTCTGGGATAGGAGAAGGTTGGTGGTCCTTTAGTCTGACACATCCTGCTCCTGAGTCCTATTGATCCCTCTGATAATCTGTGTTTGTGTGTGCAGGAGCTCCCAGGAGTTTCTCGGCGAGGATTCTTGGTATGGTGTGGGCAGGTTTTGCTATGATCATTGTAGCTTCATATACTGCCAACTTGGCAGCCTTCCTTGTGTTGGACCGGCCTGAGGAGCGCATCACTGGCATCAATGACCCCAGGGTGAGACGCCCAGTTCATCTCTTTTTCATTGAAACTAAAATTCACTCTTTTTTTTCACTAAAGTCTTTTGAAAATCCACACACTTCAGTTTAATCTTTCACCTCAGCAGGAACTAAATCAGCATAGGGAGACAAAACAACAGGTGCTGACTCCAGTGCTTGACAGAGTAACTGTGTTAATACAGAAATACCTGAAGTGGTCAAACTTGAACCCTGAAGTGGTTATAATAAAAATGAAGGGACCCAAACAAAGAAGCATAAAGGATGTCTTAGTCGGAGCTGTAACTATTGTGTGAAAAAGTCAAGTCAAGGGTTTCATCATTTCTTTAGAGCCGTTCAGTTATGAAAGGCAGTGTCAGCTGGTACAATTTTTTACGTAGAAACATACATTACTGTCACATTGAGTTATGTCATAAATACAAAGACCCAGACTCAGACTAAAGGAATGATTTATTAAAATTAAAAAAAAAAACAAATGTGCAGAGAAACCAGAAGTGTGAGGCTCACTGAGGTCCACAAACCAGGTGAACATTGAACACAAGCAGAGCCGCAAGGAAATATCAGTAAACTAAGTTAGACCTTTTCTTTCCTTCCTTCCTGTTCTTGTCTAAAATACCCATCCTTTGTCCGGCCACAAGAATAAAGCTCTTCACTTTATGAATGGCAGCATGGATGGATGGATGGATGGATAAATAAATTAATATAGGAAATTATAAATGGAAAGGTAGACAGATGGATTATATAAATGGGTGGACGGATAGATGGATGGACGGACAGATGGATGGATGGATGGATGGATGGATGGGAGAAAGAATAAGAGAATGAACAGGTGAACACATTTTTCGATGGATAGATGTATGGATCCCTGGGTGTTAGCTTGATGGATGGAAGGATAATTTCATAGATGAATGGATGGTGGATCTATAATGGACAGGTGAAGGGATGAATGAACAGATGAAAAAAAGAAGACATCAATAGATAAAGGATAGATAGATGGCTCATTTCTTTCTCTGTGTTTTTCTGATTCTGTTTTTAGCTTCGGAACCCATCAGATAAGTTTATTTACGCCACAGTGAAGCAGAGCTCGGTCGATATCTACTTTAGACGGCAGGTGGAGCTTAGCACCATGTACCGGCACATGGAGAAACACAACTATGAGAGCGCTGCTGAAGCCATTCAGGCTGTACGAGATAAGTAAGATCCTTTCTTCTGTTTATGAACCATCTCCTCAAACAGCTGATGTGACTAACAGATTAACACTGACTGCTGACCACCATTCCTCAGATACCTGATGTTTTCCCCTCTACTTCCTCCTGTAGTAAGCTTCATGCATTCATCTGGGACAGCGCTGTGTTGGAGTTCGAGGCATCCCAGAAGTGCGATCTAGTGACGACAGGAGAGCTGTTCTTCCGTTCAGGATTCGGGATTGGAATGAGGAAAGACAGTCCGTGGAAACAAAACGTTTCTTTGGCAATTCTCAGGTATAGAAAAGCTTTGATCTACAGTTGCCTTCATACACGGCGAGTGTGTTGATGTTTTGGGCTTTTTCACTGTCTTTCCCCAGCTCTCATGAGAATGGTTTTATGGAGGACTTGGACAAGACATGGGTACGATACCAGGAGTGTGACTCCAGGAGCAATGCCCCCGCCACCCTAACCTTTGAGAACATGGCAGGTAAGAAGCAGACTGATAACGATAAGGATTTGAGTCTTAGTCATTTGAGATGAAATGGGCGGATCTGGTCTGCCAATTTCCTCACCCAGCACGTCCTAACACTGCTTGTTCTCTACAGGTGTGTTCATGCTGGTAGCTGGTGGCATCGTCGCGGGGATATTTCTCATTTTCATCGAGATTGCCTACAAACGACACAAAGATGCCCGGAGGAAACAGATGCAGCTGGCCTTTGCTGCTGTGAACGTCTGGAGGAAGAACCTACAGGTACCTGTTGGTCTATTCTACCTGGTTGTGTTCTGCTGTGATCCACTGACCATTCCATGCTATAACTTTACTCTTTTTATATTTACTCCGTTCAGCCTATATGCACAGTAGGCTTCTGTATCACACTGTACTGTACTCTAACTTTACTGTTCTAAACTCTGCTGCAGTCTTTTCTATACTCTTATCCAAAGTATTTTACTGTTACTGTGGACTACTGTACTGGACTCTAAGTTGTTTTTGGAGCGCACATTCGCCGGAGTTTACTATAAACTCAAAGGAGCTTGAAGCAGATATGAAAGAGTCTAGAAAAGAAAATAAGAAATACCTCTGGATAATACAGATCCAATTTTGTTGCACCCAAAGCTGTAGTAAAACTTTTTTTTTTAAATCAGGTTTCGTATCTCAGCAGTCACCAGCGACTCCGCACAGAAATATTCATGATGTAGTGTGTATCATCCTCTCAGAAACCTGCAGACTCATAGTATTCATATGTTTACTTGGATTGTGGTTCAGGGATGTCAGAGCGATCCCAAACAGGGGTTCAATGAGGTATGATGGGAAATGTCCACAGGGATTCATGTGCCTGATGTCTCCGCAACAAACCTCCTGCTTCAGCTGTTGTTGGATCAGAAAAATGTCAAGTCTAAGGATGTCAGAGAAGGAAAAAAGGATGATTTTGCAAAAAGGGCAGATTCCTTTTGAATACAGTTCATTAGAAAACAGAGCCATCACTGAAATTTCACTCCAACGGTCTATCATATAGAGAAGACATCCATTAAAACACACTATAAAAATATTAAAGTGTTTTTTTAAAGACGTGTTTAACTAAAGAAACAATGTTGGACAAAAACGAAAGAAAAACAACAAGATGTAAATTCAAAGAACAGGAATATTCAGTCTTTAAAGTGAGGCACTGAAAGGATGACTCCTCTTGCAGCTTTCTATGGTCTGCTCTTCGTTTGAGTGAATCAGTCCCTCACATGATGTAGGTATAAATAAACATTACATGCCTCATCTATAAATGCATGTGAGTCACATATCTGTGATCTCATATCTGTCCACGAGGGAACAGAAACATGCGACAGACAGGCATCAACTCAGAAATTCATTTCCATGTTTCACATTTAAGATTAATGTGTCCCTGTTGTTGTTGTTGTTGTTGGAGATTGGTGTTTGATCAGTGAAAAACACCCAGAGGACCACAAGTTAAACATTAGCAGGAATGCTGTTCATGACAGGAGGATAAAGTACCATTCTTAATGATACATTAAAGAGTAATAGGTTGGATCTGTCTTTAAATCTTCAGGAGGTAAACCACATATCAACAGAGAAGGATTGCCAAATCAGTTGTGCCTAAAGACAGAAATTTTAGCATCACAAAACTGGCCTTCTTTACACCACCATGGTAACCTTAACTGGGACCAGAGGCCTTTACTAAGAAGCAAGATTTTTGGTTGCTGAAATTTATGGTAACTGCAGGTTTTTGATTGATTAACACGGTCACTTCACATGACCTGCACTTTGGCAAGTCATGACTAAGATAAGGGATCATCTGATTAGGTGGACAATTCACTGGATTGTGGAGCTCCATGAGGGGAAGAGATCGACTGGTGAACATTTTGTCTACCCGTATGATTTTACATAAGAAATGTAAGAAATGTGCTGTGATAATATCCTTCAACAAAAACAAAGATAAGCTAACACTGAACCTTGGAGTTGTTGTATTCACCAGGTATCAAATTCTGCACACCTAAAGCTTTGAATTATGATTTTGTATCAGTTTTATTACCTCCATACAGTCTGTTTAATACTGTAAGGCAAGAGCTGAAATGTTACACTTGAAGGAGTTACATAAGCCACTAGAATTCATCAAAACAACAAATCAGTTTCAGTCAGGACCACTTCCATCAACAAGAATAATTAATTATGTGCATGGACAAAGTTTTATTTGGCATTATGGTCTGTTCAGAGGGAGAGCAGCAGCAAAGACCCCTGAGGTACAGGACAGAAGAGGCTTCAGTGACAGTAAAGCATAGAAAGGAGGAGTTGAGATGGAGGAAGAAGAGAAGCAGTTTATCAGATTGCCCTCTTTGATATTTGCTGATTGGATGTGTTTAAGGTAATCCCTGAGCTGCCAACTGATATGGATTTAACATGATCTGATGAACTTGACTTGCCTGAACTAACACTACACACGGTGTAAAACATTAAAGATGATGTACTCTGTAGTAATGATAGAAGATATTTTAAGCTTAGCATGTTTGCTTTCTCTGACAGTTCTTCTCAGGTATAAATTTAAGATTTCCTCTATAGATTGCTTCAAATTTGAGGCCTCAGAACCAAATACCACAACACAACCAGTGTAACAGCGAGTCAAAATTCAACTTCTGAACCAGTTCGGTTGCACAAAACAAGCAAGTAACTGTAGAAAATAAACAGAAGTCACAACCAAATACCAAAAAAGATGACAACACAGACAAATACATCAACAAAACAACATAATTCAAATAATTCCCCAACATAATCAAAGAAACAACTCAAAGAAATACAGACAATACAACCAAACAGGAGATTACGACTTTGTACATCAACTCAACCAAACTTGAACAATACAAGCAAAAATCCCAACACCACCTCAAAAACACCTCCTAAAACTGATAAACCAGTTTGGCTCCAGTATTTGGTTGTTTCTTCAATTCAGTGTGCCGAGCTCTCAGAGCCACAATATAAATACGTCCAGTACAGACACGCCAAATGTCATCCGTGCACAGGGAGACATTATCTCATAATCCACCAATCTTTCCAGTTTTTATGGCTGCCAGCAAATACCCTTGTATCTCCTTGAGAAAATAACTGTGCGTCATTAAAGTCGCTGCAGCAGTTTTGGAGCTCATAAAAGATCAAATCAAGTTTTATTGCCCTCCGCAGGGGGAACAAAGCATCAGGGCAGCAAGAGCAGAGCTGCAGTCATCAAGTAATGTAAAATACACATATAAGGATATCAAAATTAATGTAGGGGATTATCAATATAATAAATCAAGAAGACAAAAGGTTAAGATGGTGATAAAATGTTAACAAATGATTACTTTGGAAATGTTCTGGAGGGTTCTGATTAATAATAATGGCCAGGCTTTGTCCTCTATAAAATCTGCAGAGCCGAGGACCTCACATATTATATAGACCAATAAAACCACAGACAGCTCTGCATGAGGAAACTAATCAATAAGAGACTCTCAAATAAAATTAAAGCCCAAAAACGCCTCAAAGACATGATGAGGTTTGAATACTAATGTGACAATTACCGTTAATGTTACAGGATCAAACAGAGGTTCATTTTAACATTGATCAATCTGCTAGTTACTTTAATGAACAATGTATTTATCACCAATAACTGGAGACATGAGACATACAGTTACACTTGAATTACATCAATCAAATTAACTGAATATTGCTGCCAACGTGATGGTAGACCATACCAGTCATACCATGGTTTCTGCTGCCAGAGTAAGCTGCTCATGGAGGATAGGATGTGAGAGCTGAATGTAGATACTAGGTGCCCTGTGATCTTCCACCCCAGTCAAAGAAAAAGGAATTATTCTGCCTGTGGTTATCCATGAACACCCTTGGGAAACACTGTGGCATTGATGTACCATCTACCACAACAGTGATGTCTGTTATTTCATCAAACTAGTTTCGTGTTTTCTATTTTCTCTATTTTATTGAGTGCTTCTGTGGCACACGGGTGTTATTATCACCTGAAGAGATATTTCTTTATATTTCCTCTGCAGTGATCTAAAAAATGAACATTGAACAGCATTAAACAGAATTCATTAGCAGCTCTGAGATCTTGCTGTTAGGAAACAAGTGTGTCTGTTCACAACGGCAGATGCACAGATTCACACACTGATTATGCGTCAGATTTCCAATCTGTTCATACGTGCAGAAGAAGAAGAAAACTGCTCTGATTGTGTCTGGTTTATAGTCTTTGTTCCAGATGTTCTGCAGCCTTGCCAGCAGCTGCGACTGAAATACATTAATAATCATCACTTCTCTGCCCGGATTAGCACATCAAACGCTAGCCGCTAAAGGCTAACCGCTAGCAGAGGATGATTAGCACTTCAAACAGCTGTGTCTTAAGGCAAGGAGCTACCCAAGCTGGATTAACGCATAAAACAAGCTCAGAGAAATGTGAGAAGGAATGCAAATGAACTGGAGATTTAAACCATTTTTAGACCAATTCACACAGACGGACGGATCAACAGATACATGTTCAACAGAGGAAGAAGAGCATTACAATTGGCAAACCAGAATACGTTAAAAGTACTTGACCTCATTATGCTTCTGTCTAATTCTGTCTAATTCTGACTAGATGAACATTGCATGGAAGTCAAAGATAAAAATCCATTAGTTTAGAAGTCAATAACTCTGAACCATCGATCTGATAGACATAACAAATGAAACAACAAACGACAAATCAGCACATACCACATTAGTTCAACAATGATTTCATCTATAGTGTGTTTATTCTGTGACAGTAGGATCAGGAGCTAATTACTAATGGATGGCTGTTATGGCCTACTCGAGATTCAGTTTAACTTTTGCGTCTGTCTCTTTGGAGAGAGAGAGTTTTGGGCTCTAGTATGTTTACTAACTTTCCAAATCCTTCGCTGTCGCCCACTGAAAATGTTTAGGTTTTTTTGCTTTCAAGCTTTAACTTTTCCAGGGAAACGAGGCAGTAAATCTTTCCTTCAGTCTTTTGGCTTGCCTCACCTTGACTGAATGTTTGATTGCTGTGCTAGCATTTACTTACATTTTTGTTTCCCTGTAGTCTGAGTTCCAGTACAGTGGAGTACAGTACAGTAAATTTAACTCTAATTAATTAATTAGACCTTCATTTTTTTGCTAGTTGATTTCAGCTAACAGTCTGTGTAGAGCAGAATCACTGGGAGTTTGTTTACTGATTTTTGCACATTCCAAGAGGGAAACAGGACCAGAGCAGCCTGTCTTATTTTGGTCATATTTTTATTTCATGTTTTAATGTGTTTTCTTTCACTGATGATCAAAGTCTTCCAATGTTCTGTTGCTGCTGGACTTTCAATGTTTGATCAATGTAGAAATGGGTTCAGAAATCTGTTTCTGGGCTGTTTGACTCTCTTGGGACTTTAGTCTTAAAGAGTTTTCTGTGCTGTTGGGGTCTCAAGAGAAAACTGTTCTCCTCATTTGTGATCAATGTGTTTTATTGATTTTGTTTTAATTTAAAAATGAATGTGTTCAAGTTTTAAATAATCCAAACCAAGGCTGGGTATTCAGGAATATTGAAAAGCTTATTTTTTTTACATCAATGATGAACATGTAAAGAAGTTTTCCTGTGAAAGTTTTAATACAGAGTCTGGTGATATTTTGTATTTTCCTTCTCATATCATATCATACAAAGGAATAAATCTGCTGCCCCAGAGCACTAAAGTATCGGCTTCAAAACGTTATCAAACCATAGTCAAGGAACACATTATCATACTGATTCAACTTTTAAAACTCTGCAAAGACTTTCCGCCTTATTTTCCATCAAGATAACAAGCTTGTTCACTGAACATTTATCAGTTTGAGGGCTTCTTTTCCTCCTCAGTAACTCTTTATTGAATAAAATGATGAAGGACTTTGTGTTTAGCAGAGAGGAGTAAACAGAGCAGTAGAGAGACAACAGAAGACAGCACAGAGATAAGGCTTGAGTCAATTAGCTAAATAAATTACCGCCATTGTCTCTTTATCCCAACAGATGAGGGGAAACATCAGAAGGACGATGAAAGACGCTGATTGTTTATAAGAACTGAGAGGAAATGTGTTTATTTTAGTATTACTAAAAATGTGTGCCTAGAAGCTAGTCACCTCTTTGTTCCTGCAGCAGAGTTTTAAAGCCTAACGCTGACTTATTCTAACTTTTTATTATTTTCACTTTTGTCATTTTAACTTAATTTTGGAGAAAACACCCAGAAATCTTTCAAACAGATAACCGTGATGGTAATGTGGGAAAGATTATTGATAATTGTTGTAGAGTTCATGCAGGTCTGCAGCAGACGGCTAAAGGAGCTCAGAAGGAATTTACACAAACACACCAGACTATGTTAGTCCAGTTTAAGTTCTCTAAAAGGGGTTTCGGTTTTTGGGGATTGATACCCAGCCCTGGTCTGGTTCTATCTGGTTGGTAATCCTGGATTTGCAGAAGTCATGCACACGTGCACTTGTCTTTTCCTTTTCACCAAGGAGACCAGTGCTTGTGCAAAACTGAACGTAAGAATTTGAGTTTGATTGAAGCCAAACTATGTTTTTTATTCCCCGATCTGCCTAAACCTACCCAAGGTTAATTGCTCGGCTAAGTTTAGGAAAAGAGCTTTTGTTTCTTTACCCAGCCACTCCCACTGATCTGTGTTTGAAATGCCCTTTGTTCCCCTACACTAAAAGACCTGAAGAAGACCAAAACAGTAAAGAAATCTGACGATTGTTTTGCTTATCTAGGGTTGCTATCCAGACTGATTCCTAAGGTATTTGCTCACTGTGAGGGGTCAAAGGACAAAACTGAAAATGTTTGTATACGATGTTAGAGGTGACACACCGTGTTGACCATCATCCATGTGTTGCTGCCCCTCCCCCTCCCCTTGTTATATGTACACACAGACACACACAGTGTGACAGATGGCATTATAGCAGCAGAGTGTTGGTATAATGATCTGATGTGTCGAGGATCATCGCTGCTTCATTCTGGCTTCATCCGCCATCTTTGTTCCCCCCCATCCCATCCCCGAGGTTGTGTTTAATTTCGCTTTGTGTCACATACTTCCTGTTGTGTTTCCATGTTTGAGCCTCATGTCGTTGATTTATGTGCTGCTGTGTGTTTGAACTGGCAGTAAAACACAGTGAAGCTCTCGTGTTTTACTGAAACATCACTCCATCTGAAACAGGAACAAGCCTGCAGGACAGGACCCACACACACACACACACACACACACACACACATACACATGCATACACACACGGACACACAAACACTCACTCACACACGCATGCACACGCACACACTCACACACACATGGACTCTATCAGGACATACTGTAGGCAGGTAGTGATGTACATTTGATCACTGAGGCAGAAAGACTGTGTGCAGGCAAAGTGTTATATAATCAGCAGATGGTCAGGAACCACACACACATTACACATCTGTAACATACATGCTACAGCTTATTGTTATTATTGTTATTATTAGTTCCTGTTTTGTCCAATATCTTATTCCAAACTAATTTGATCTTTACTCCAATGTGATACAAAACTACAAATACCATACTACATAACTGTAACCCCAGTTCCAAAAAAGCTGGAGCCTTGTGCAAACTACAAATAAAACAGGCTTTGATGGTTTGTAATTTATCTAAATCATATATTCTATTTATTGGCAACAATGTTGAAGGTGAAAGTTTTACGGAAAAAAAATGATGCCACTTTATCATTCTGTTGCATCCCCTCTTCACTGTAAATATTAGGAGCAGAGGAGTCCAGGTTCTGGAGTTTCTTGTCAGATTTAAGGTTACCCACTGCCCAACAGATCAGGGTATCCTTTGTCTTATTGTAGGTGTACTGCTGTAATAATACATGCAGAATACCTCTCTTTTTGAAATATGAAAAATGTTTCCTGAAAAAGTCATTGTCTGGATGGCATATTGTTCAGCATAAATAGAGCCTTCACAGATGATACCCATGCCAAACAGAAGCTGGCTTTTAAACCTTGAGCTGATAACAAGCAGGACAGTTACTCCGTCTTTCTGGAGTGGAGGCTGATTTCCAAGAAGAGTGTCAGAATTGGATCCCCACATCACAAGATAGTTCCCTACTTTGCCTCAGTCCATCTTAGACAAAGCAATTTGATGTTGTATGCTAGGAAATGATGAGATTCCCAAATTATTTGCATTTCTACACGATGGAATATAATTCTGACATTGTAGAGCTATTAGCTCACGCAGTCTCTCATAGAGAGGTTAAGTAGTTCCCATTTTTCCTCCTGAGAGACACAGCCTCTCTGGAACACCCTTTTAAGATGCTGTCATTTCACTAACCTGTGATGTTCCTTTGGGTTGTTTTAAAGCATTTCAGGGGCCTTTTACCCCCCCCAGAAAAAAAAATCAAATTTGACAGAGTTGAAAGAGCCTAAAGTTACTGTAGATCACCTTTGTTCAGTGTCTATGTTTTATTTTTTGGCTCTGGTCTAATTTCAATTCAACGTAGGGTGTAAATAATTTGCAAACCATCAAAAAATGTTCATCGTAAAAAAAAAATATATATATATCTTTAGAATTGGGGTTGAAAATTCCGGTACATTGGGCCCTTTTACGGTCTATTTATTTAAAACTAGGTGTGTGAATTTTGGCAAAAGAAGCAGGGCTTTATTAATTTATAAGGACCATGATACTGGATTAAAACTATTCCCGGTTTGTTGCATGGTCAGTGGCCTCAGCTAATAGTCCAATGGTGAATTTGAGTTCTGGCAGGATCACACTGGTTTCAGAACAACCATTGTTGTGGTTTAAGCACCCCGCTGGCTGCCATCTTTTGACTGCCAATGACCAAAATCGGTTTCTCAAATTCTGAATCTAAGAAACAAAACTTTGTGTTTCGACACACAAAGAAGCAAAAACCTTGACAACCTTAGTTTAGGCAGAAATCGTAATCTTTAAGTTTAATACTCTCACATAGCTTGATAAACTGCAAAACTTCGCCCAGCTTATGTTGCCAAACTGTGCGCACATGACTACATTTGGCCTCATGGTTCATGGTTATTTTGTGATATACCACACTGCTATACAATATGAGATTATATCACACTGTGCAATACTTAACTACAGTGCATCATGCACTGTATCTGAACTGCGCTTTATAGTAGAGTACAACAGCGACAATGTAAGTACTTGAACTTTGCCACATACCATGTACATGGTATGTTACAGTGTACACAACAATGCTACGCTGTATTTACTGTTATACCCAGTGTTAACATGCTGTTATATTATACTATTATACTCTATTATTCATGATAACCTGCTTCTATTATGAACTACACTACAATATAAAGTCGATACAATGATATACCTGCTATAAGTTTCTGCTGTACTGCACTGTGATATACAAAACTACCGTAAATCCTCAAATATAAGCGGGGTCCTTTATTCGTTCGCTTATATTAGAGGCAGGCCTCTGTCTGAGAAGTATAATTGATCATGCTGCCGGTCAAATTTAGAGTCTGTTTCATATAAACTATTGCACGGCTGTTGTTCTTACTGAATTTGCGCAAATAAGACATCATCAAGTTCACAAAGCACATGCAGAAAGTTTAATATTACACAAACTGCACTGGCCAAGCAAAGAGCGCCTCTGTGCGCCAATTAAAATGAGCCATTGTGCGTTCATTCATTCAGGCCTCATCGTACAAAGGACCTAATATACTGACGATTTCTAAACGGCATACAGAGATGGAGTAACATTTACACCATCTGCTCTCGAGTTTTTTAAATGCAGACATTTTAAATGTAGATAATGGCGCTTAGTACCTGTTAAGGCAACAGAGTATTTATCTATTTTCATGAACATGCCTCTTTCAGTCATTCACTTGAAGATGGATATTAACTGAAAATGGTCATATCTTCCATGAATTGACTCCACAGTAAAATAGTAACCCATCTGGATCATCCTGGTCTCTAAAGGATGACTGCCCACAGTGCAGCTCTGAGCAGCAGAGAGTAGAAATGCTGATAGTGCTTATATTAGCCATTGATGTAGTTTAATTCAAACCCGACTTAAACTCACTTGTAAAGGCCATGACCCCGGTTACCATAAGAGGCCCCAGCCACAGATTGAACACCGGTCTTTATTTAAGGATTTACGGTACACTGTATTTTGATTTGATGTATGATTGTGTATAGTGTAGCTGAATTGTTCTCCGCAGCAGATTTCTCATGTAACACTCACTGAAATCAGCCCACCTCTTCAGTTAATATGACGTGATACTGCACACTGGCAGACTCCAGAGTGACACAGGTGTGCAGTTGAGTAGCAGCGCTCAGTGAGTGTCTCTGCTGCGTGTTAATGTGTGTGTGCACCTATCGTATCATTTATTTTAGGATAGGAAAAGTGGTAGAGCAGAGCCCGAGCCCAAACTGAAAACCTCTTTTAGGTCCATCACTTCGACCTCCGACCTCAAACGCCGTAGGGCCTCCGGGGACACCACGGTAAGGAGATGAAGACCACCTACCCTCCTCCTCCTGTCTTAATCTTACACCTCCTATCTTCCTCTCACCCCCATCCCCCTTTACTCTCATATCACTGTGCCATTGTCTCTTTTCAGTCACCCTCTTCTGTCTTTGTCACATTTCTTCCGTCAATTAAATTTATTTTCTTTGCCATTTTTCTTTCTTCTCATCATCCCGCCCCACCTCCTCCTCCACCCTCCTCTCCTCTTCTGTCTTGTCATCTCATCCCCAGCTCCATCATCTCCTTGCTGACTCATCATGGCCGCCCATCTGTCAGTCAGCCATCTTTGCCTTGTGGCCTTCACCAACTCATCTGTCCCTCAGAGAGACAGACAGACAAAAGACAGACTAGAGGAAACAGATTGAAGACAGAAAGTTTGATGCATCAGCTCAGGTCAGGACTCGTGTTGTTGCCAGGTTTTGATTTCTCACTCTTTGAGAGTCGTCCTCTTGCAAAGGAGAAGTGAAGAGGGTCAGACTGTGTGGTCTCTTCTCTCCTGTGGACCTTTTGTCCTCTCATCCCTCCTCTCTGTTTTTGTCTTGTGGTTTTGTCTCCGTCTCGTCTGTCTCCCTGTTCTGTTGTTTTTCCTGTCCTTCCTCTCCTGTCACCTCTCTGTCCCTTCATCTCGCCAAAAATGCCCCACAAACCTTTTAGAGACTATTTATTTTCCTTCTCTTTCCACTAACAATCAGCTCTTGTCCTCTCAGGCAGCCTGCAGAGACGCATTTCCTCCACTAACTCTTCTCATTTTCAGCGTCCTTTCGAGGTGACACTTTTAGGAGCTGGTGAATTAAAGCTGTCAGACGTGATGATGTGTCTGAGCGTAAATGGCTTCTCCCTTGGCTAATAAATGACATATTTTCACAGCGCTGCTCGTCCACAAGGAATATCCGCCTGAGTTGAACTGACTTCATTGAAAATCTATAACTCTGGATCATTTCTGCCATCAGTGTTGATGATTTTGACCTGTCTGTGGCCGCCATCGCCTACATTACATTTTTTATTTTCAGCCTCAGTTTGGAAGAAATGCATCAGTTATGAGCCAAAATCTGAGATATTTATTTCCCCCTTTCTTAAAAAGTCACCTACGCTCCCTTAAAATAAGGGATTCACCTCCAAAGAGGACAGAGAGGGTTTATTCTCCCACTGACAAGCTGTATTGTCTGCGTTAAGTTTGTGAAACCCTTTTTACAAACTTAACACAATGCAGAGATCTGAACTGTGCCAAATATCTGTGAAGTTTTCGTCCTTTTGCATCTCCCCCCCCGGCAGATATCCATCCTATTTTACAAGAAGGGATTCAAAATGGAGCAGGAAGCCCACTGGGGGGTCTTTACTCAGGGATCAAACTCTCACCCTGTCTGTTGCTGAACATTAAAACACGTGTTCTACAGCTCAAGAGTCTGTGTTAATGTTCAGGAACAGGAAACTGTATTGATCACAGCAGTGGCAGATCACTCAGGGGTGATGGGAGGGAGGTTCGGGTGACTCATTTCTCTTTGTGATCATCACTCTTTATTTTCTATATGAGTGTTTTTCCTCTCTCAGTGGATTTGAATGGTGTCCAGACTACATGCTGTACTACACACACACTGCCTCTGTCCTCCTCTGCAAGCACGACCGACCTATAGCCTGAGAGCACTCACAGGTTCCTGTTCAGAGCCATTGTTACTGACAGGGTTCCTATCAGGGCAAACTGCCGTTTATGACTTCAAGTCTACAAAGTGTCAGAAAATACTCCAAGGTGACGTCTACAAGTGTCCTGGTTTATTCAACTCAAAGAGTCGGGATGCTGGGTAAAACTCTTAAAGAAACAGATTTTGATGTTTTGCCAATCCTTAAAAACCCAAACTGAAGGTTTAACCATAATATTATCAATATGTGCTTATGTTGAATTTGATGTTAGTAACACATTTGACAAATGCTGGTACAGAGGCGTCCCTGGCATTGTGTCTTCGGGAACCAATAAGACCAGTTTCAGGAGTTTTTAAGTGACATGTTGTCCCAGTCTAGCTGGCTGTAGGATTCCAGCTGCTCAATGGCTCCGAGTCTTCTTTGTTGTGTTTTTCATTTTATGACAGGTTAATTTTTCAATGGCTGACAAGTCAGGACTGCAGAAGGGCCAGTTTCAGCAGCTGGACTCTTCTACTACAGAGCCATGCTGTTGTAATCCCTGCAGAATTTGGTTTGGTGTTGGTCTGCTGTAATGTGAAGGTCCTCCCTGAAAAAGTAATTGATTGTAACTCATTCTAAAATAGATGCTGGCTTACAAGCAGCATGGTTCCTCTCCTCTCTAGAGTGGAATACACAGCATCCATGATCTCAAAAAGGAATGTCCAATTCTGATTCATCAGCTCACAGGACAATTTTCCACTTCACCTCAGTGCATCTTGAGTGGATCGTGTTTATACTTCGTTTTCCCTTTTCATGGTGAAGTTTTAACCGGCATTACTGGAGGAAGTGATGAAACGTGTTGTCAGACCAAGGCTAGTCTTGCACTTTGCCATAATCTGTTTTGAATGAGCTTTAGTCCAAAAGAGTTTTTCTGAATGATGTTCATAAATGGTTTCTTTTTGCTATAATACACTTTTAACTAGCATTTGTTGATACAGGAGCAAACTGTGTTCACATAAGGGTTTTTGGTGGTGATTTTCACACCATGCAGTGACCTCTACTCTAGAGCTCTGGTTTGAGTTCAGTGCTGAGATACTCTGCCCCTCTGGTATGTGCTCTCTAAATACTCAGTTGTGTAACTAACTTGCATGACTTTACTAGTTGAGGTGTTTTTAACACAACTTTGTTACAACTTTCTCTATGTTTTGTTGTCTCTGTTTTAACTTTTTTGACGTGTTGCAGACATCAAATTTAAAATGAGAATATATTTTTCATGAAAAATAACACTTCAATTCCAAACACACCAATTTTAATTACATTTAGGCTTTAAACATTTTGCAAACCATCAAAATCTGTTCTATTGACATTACACTGCGTCCGAGCTTTGTGGTACTGGGACTTGGAGTCAGATTCAGGTTTGTGTAAGGTGCGTTTACACAAGACAGGGTTTTTTTTCTAAATGAATGCGCTGAACAGTGAAAATTCTCCGCGCTTGATTATCTGATAAAACAGACTTGGCTCATCATCTTCCAATGCATCCCTAGAAACACATGTGGGGGCTTTATAAATAAATCCTACAGGGTCCTATAGTCTTACTAGCTACGTATGTGTCAATATTGCTCCACCAAGAACTTCATACTAACAGTTACCAAAACACCACCACAAATGGCATCCAATAGTGTGATTTTTTTTGTTTTGTCATAACAGTTAGCTCATTAGCTTCATGTAAGACATGATGACAGTGGTGGTGATGCTGTTGCAACAAGGATGAAAAAAATCTGCAAAATCAGAAGAGAAAAGGGCAAACAAAAAAAAAAGCAGATCTCAGAAAATTTTCTCAAAATAAAAGGGAAAAACACCCAGCGGTTACTGGGGTCCCACATCTGTTTCCATGGTAACAAACGGGCAGAAGGATGAGAGGCTGTTAAGTCCCTAACTGACAGCACATTAACACAACTCCAACAAAGCTGTAGAAATCAAGATTTTCAAAAACATTGAGGGTGTTATGCCAAATTATGTTCCCTTGACATGAGAAATGGGTTCAGTTCAGACAGACTGCTACTGGGGATTCAACCTAAAACCCTGTATGTAATGCTGCATCACTCTGATGATCTGAAGAGACGTGTTTTATTCAGCAGCAGATGAAACATCACTTTGTCTCAGCCTTGGGGTCTAGATCTGAAATAGTTACAAAAAGTTTTGGATTAGCTCTGGTGGGACTCCTCCATCAGAGGCCATGAGACAGGCTGTACTGGCCGCAGTGTAACACAAGGGGTGATACTGCTCACTTCCCTTTACTTCATGTGTCACATAGACTGTACCAAAGACAGACTACATATGACAGCACTCCAACAGTAAAGCAGTATAGGTTGTAAGCCTGACTCCATGTGAACAGATGTGACATGAGTCAAAATGTGGGCTCAAAATACATGTCAAATTAGTTTATCTTTAACATAACACTGTGACCTAAACTAAAATACCTTTAACATCTAATGAGGCCTTGTTAGAGCCTAATTGTAACAATGACCTGAAATGTTGTAACATTATTGACCAATCATTACAGTTCAGGCTTTTTTTTTTTTCCTTTTTTTAAAATAATATTTTCGGTCATCGTTACATACTGGGCTCTAACAAGCCTCCATCATTTCTGACCAGGACACAAGCAGAAAAAGCTTTAAAATCCACCTAAAATCACTGAGATTCTGATTTGCACTGAATTAAAATTATCGCAGGACCTCTTTTAAAACAGTATGTGATACAACCTGGAGTTTTATACTTGCGATTACATACATGGTTGAGTTGCACCTACGTCCTCCGCAATCATTACGAATTATTGCAGGTCCCCAGGTGATGCTTACCTTCCTGTGAACAGAGTTATTTAAAGCTATGAATGGGAATAAAACCATAATAAATAACTCTACTGCTCTGAATTGGCAAAGTTGAGGCAGGTTTTGTCTGTTATTACTAACAGTAGCGTTTTTCTTAAATATACTGAGAACTCTACAGATTAAGTTACTATTTTAGGTGACAATGTCACGCTATGGTAGTCAACTTTATGTAACAAGCTAAGGCAGGTGTTTCTATTGATGGAGTTTGGTGTCTTTGTTAAAGCAAAATACCGGCTGCTGAGGCTGTTGGCGGCTACTGGAGTAACTTGTAACCCCAAATAATTCCAATAAGAGACCCACATTTACACAAAGCTTTAACCCTTTTCATAAAGTTTTCCTTAATATTGATAATATTGAGAAAAATGTGCTGATCGTACCTAAAATGAGGCAGAGTCAGACGTCCGCCATCTTGGCTCTAAAGTTGGTATCAGGGTGTTAAATTAATGTGTGTGTTTCCTTTGCTTTCTCTTTCTGTCTTTCCATTTTTGTCCCTCTCTTTGAAGCCGTACCCAACTGACATCACCGGCCAGCTCAACCTATCAGACCCCTCTGTCAGCACCGTGGTCTGAGAGAGAGAGAGAGAGCAAGAGAGAGCGCTTCACTGCTGCTGCTGAGCCTCACACACATACACACATATACATATATATAGACCCTCTGGACACAGTCACATGCTACACACACACACACACACACACACATTATATAAACAAACAGGCATCATGTAAACACACACAGATGGACGGACTGAACCTCCTCTGAGACAGGAAGGAGAATATGATGGCATCACTCAGTGCCAACACACACACATACACACATACATACACACACACAAACTCCATCTGTTTTCCCGAGCACTAAACACACACACACACACACACACACACACACACACACACACACACACACACAAATGCTCGCCTTGCTCTGCTTGTAGCTGTCAGCCTCCTCCAACCAGAGGTTTTTTTAAAGAACTTTTCAAAACTGTTTTTTTGTTTTGGTCAATGTCATTGTTATTGAACAGTTCATTCTGTTTCCTCCTCCTCCTCCTCCTCTTCCTCCTCCTCCTCATGCCAATTGATCGCACTGACTTATCAATCCAACTGATCAGTTCCGGAACTGCTTCATTTTGTCAGAAAGCTCGAATTCCAAACACCAGAAATGTTTCATCCGAGCGGAAACAAACACTTGATCTTTTGGTGGATCAGGAACATGTTGATTGATCAGGAACATACGGATGGATATGAAACCCACTGATCATCAGGAAACCTTGTCAATTGTAGGACAATTTCTCAATCAATTGGGAACTTTTTTATTAATCTGGAACTCAGTGATTGTGAATTTCTTACTGGATGTCAAACTCTGCAGCTGATCAGTAACTCAATAGGGAACCGGTCTATCAATCATGAACCCAACCGATTGGGAAACTATCCATCTGTTAGGAACTTGTCAATCAGTCCTGATCCCTGATCAGGGTGTGATGGGTAATCTGAGCCTCTGGGTCAGGAAGTACCTCAAACCTGGAACTGCAGACCAGATCACTGAATCAGCCCGTGTGGATCCGTCATTCAGATGGCAAGCATTTTCTCTGACATCACACTCAGGGCAGGATGCTAGGAAATAATTATGACGCTGATTGCTCTGTCCCTGTTTTGTAGTTCTAAGCTTGAGGAAATAGTCCCACTAAAACTGGACTTTTAAAAAACATGTAACCACATTAGTCTGACTTGGATAGCTAAATAGCATAAATGTGTTGCTAGGAAGCGGGATAGTAAACAAAACCTCAACAGGCGAAGAAGGACGTAAAATAGATGAGGGTTTTGTAACGCAGGCATAGAGCTGTAAAAGTGACAGTGTTGTCTATCAGTGTACATCCAGTTAGTCTCTTGTTTACAGTTGCTTTGATATGTAATATGTCAAGAAGGAGACAACCTAATCGTAACAAGCTGAAAGGGAGCATGGACAGTAAGTCCAGTTAAATTGCCTAATCGAGCTATGGTCATTGCTCAACTAAACTGTGCCTGTATACATACCATGTAGTCATACTTCTGTCCTGGCTCTTTCTTTTTTAAACAGAGAAAAGGAGCTTCAATCATCTGGATTCTTGCAAAGATTAAAAAAAACACACACACACACTGACTGTAGGACTACATTCAGGATTTGACCATTGGGGTGCACTACAGAAAAAAATTGGTTTCAACTCGCTAATGTGATAAAAACAACATAAACACCAGTGTTAACAAACTTGAGCAACAGAAAACACAAAGATCTGCACACCAAGAAGCTCTGGTTAAAGGGTATATTTTCACACTAAGCAATTTGGGTCAACATGTTTACGGAAAAAAAACTTCAGCTCGAAACGTCACTTAGTGCAAACCCCTCAACAAGAGCTCCCTGGAGTCACCATCTTTGTGTTTTCAGTGTTATCAAAGTAGCCAGCAGACAAATAATGAAAATTATACAATGTTATTGTTTTACTAATGACTGCATTCATGATGTAAGTTGATAAAGACTTCTGCCTCTTCAAGACCTTCATGGTAAAATAAAACCATAACCAACAGGACCAGTTGTTAACTGCAGTTATCTTCTGTATTATCTGTAAGTCTCAAACGTTAACATAACTAATGCTAACATTAGCTAACTTTTGATGGCGACTACCTGGCTGTCAATATCTGGATTGGCAAAGTTGCTTATCAATCAGGAAGTAGTTTAATAATTACATATTAGGTAGATTATTAGCAACCATTCAACGTCAGCTTAAGTTAGCCTTTAACCAGTTCAAAGCTAACAAATTTGTGTGATCATAAATGTAATGCATTAAGAACACTAGCTAACTAACAATTCAGTTTAAATTAGCTTTACTGGCTGAAAAGTCAGAACAATACTGCCAAAGCATAAACAATATTACACATTTATTAATAAATAATAATTAGTTGATAAAAATGTATTTGATACAATAGCTAACTATTAGTTCTCTGCTGGCAATGACTAAATTCAGTGTTAAAGTAACCTATCAATCAGGAACCAGAAAGTGGTTTAAAACAGAAAAAAAATTCACCCGAAAAATGACACCGATTTTGGTACTAGGTTTCTTTTCTATGCAACTAAATAATCAAAAAACATTAAAAAATAATTTTATTTGCTATAATTTCAACCACATCAACTAAACAGTGAAATAATGTGAGCCTCCCACCACGAGCATGATGTCAGAGGAAAGCGGGTCTGAATATATTTAATGGCTCTTCACAGCTGAGGCTCATGGGTAATTGAGTCGTTGGAATCATTCCACCAAACTGAGTGGAATCTGTGATTTGCCATGAAGGAACATGACGGTCTGTTTCAGTGATTCAGGAAATGCTTGGTTTTTTTCTGTTCAACCCTAAACCCCACCTCCACTAGTATCCATTATTCAGGCCAAAATGAGGGGTATTTTATCGTTCATTTATGACTTTATTATTTTACTTACAATTCAAATATTTATTATGTTAATTTATTTGCTGTCTCTCTAATGAAGATTACACCAACTCTGATGAAGACCATAAAACTAGATGAGGGCAGGATTACAGTTGCTGTGAAATAGATAAATAAAATCAGTCAATGTATTTGCAGGCAGACAAAAAGAAATTAAATGTATTCTATTATGTAATTCTAGTATGTTTTGGGGGAAATTCCCATAAAATCACCTGTTTTTTTTATTTTGAGCAAAAAAACAGTGTTTAGCTCTCTGGTGACTAATTTGTATTTTTGCAACAGTGGGAGAATGCTGGTAGATGAGAGAAAAGAGGGCCTCTTAAAGAGACTGTGAATGAAATGAGTTTGGACAAAGGCTGAAAAAAGGTATTTCGAAGAGAGTATTTTGAGCTGTATGAAGCCTGAAAATAAGACTTTTTGTGCCTTTTTAAAAATTTTCTGAAGCTAATTGTTACCCGTGTGCTGCTGGAGTCTGGCCCAACAATAGCAACAAATATTTTATGAGTTATTTTCTGACTAAATTTAAGTGCTGGTTATTTTCTGAAAAAAATTCATATACATCGCTCGTTCATCCTGCACTCACAAAACATTTATTGAAACTTTATCTTTAACATCTGTCAGTCCACGAAAAAGCCACTAATGTTAACTGTTTGTTTCTGCGTTTTCTCACGTTGGTCCTTGAAAACATATATCAGGACATGAAACAAAGACTTCCCCAGGGCCCATTTTTTTTTAATCAGTTAAAAATGCTTAAGCAAAAAGCTTGATAAGTGCATGTTTCTAGATTTCTATTTTAGTTCAAATAAAACTTTTTTGTTTTGTATGTCTACAGCTTATTAAAACAAATCGATTATGTTTGTGCAACTGTTGGTAGACTTCTAAAGGAGCACCTGGTTTGTTCTTATTTTTATTAATATGAAGTTTCTGAGCGGACACAGTCACTTTGATAGAGTAAGCTGACATAGTGCAGCAAAAGCCAGTTTCACCATTATTCATATATTTTGGGTCATATTACTTAAAGCTCCTCTGAGGAGATTTTTTATATTCTTAAAAGAGACTGAAATTCATATTCATTCCATTTTATGACATCCACAAGCAAGTAAGACCACCGGTGTAAAAAAAAAGTTTTTTTACATCCTTATTTTTAATGCCTCAAGAACCGGTGCAAGAAGTTAGGTGTCAGCTTTTCACAATTTCTACATTAAAAAAAATAATAAAACAAAACAAAAACAACAAAAAAACATTTATGACACATCGGACTGTACAGAGTGAGCAGGATAAGACTTTTACATCAAAAATTAAGCCAAGCAAAGACCGCTTTGATCACAGGGGGGCACTAAACTTGAAAGTTTCTCACAGGACCTTTAATATTGATGTCAGTACGACCTAAAACTAGAAGAAATCTATGAAGACTTTGTATCAGCTTCTGTTTGATTTGGATGTGAGTGAATACTTTTTGTAAAACAGATTTTACTGGAGTATTCAGTCACATCGAGTATGGCAACAACAATAACTCCCTGAACCAGAGGCTCCCCCCACCATCCCCCCTGACAGTCCCAGGGCATGATGGGACATGTGAAAACTGCTCCACTTTCCACTGTGTCTCTGCTGAAGATGTCAGTCTCTGTCTACCTCAAGTACACTGTAACTCCCACCTGCCAGAAACTGATGTCCTGTGAAAACCTCCTAACTCCTCGCAGGCCTGTTCACACAGACCCGATGGAGTTATGAGGTTTTCACGCTGCAGAAGCGATGTAGCTGCCGTCTTTAAAGTAAACTTATTACAAATTAAGTTGTTTAGAAAATACACATCTGCATGAAAAACACATCAAAACTGAGCCAAGAGCCTCACTGAGAACAAGAAATCATGAAACTAAATTATTCTTTAATACCCTAAATATACTTCAAAAAGCCAGAAGTTATAGCTGAAAAATTACATCCCATTAATATCTTATTTGTATAAATCAGACTGCAGAGACAAATTCATAAATAGTAACCCTGAGCGGTAACATGACAAAGAAATCATTGTTTCCGAATGTGATTTCAACCAACTGACCAACACTCATTCACATAAACTTAAAGTTAAATTCATGTGACAAAAATTAGTAAAACTTATGTGAGTACTTTGAACAAGCTAAAGCTAACTGTTGTTAGCTAACATGACTTTCTGCTCAGCCAGAGCTAACGCTGTGAATAATGTCCCCAAATGTAAATAACCAAAATCAATCCCCTAGATTAATGCTCATGTTAACTGGTGAAAGGACCCTTTGATGGTGTATGTGGCCAATGCTTACCGAGTAGCCATTATGTATTTAGATATGACAGTTAAACTTAAACACTGACTAGCTTAGTGTCAATGCTAGCTACTATTAGCATCAGCTGTCGCTCACAGTAACATCCTTAAACCTCCCATGTTTTTTACTTGTATTCAATAAGTTAAACTGAGGCAAAGCTGATTAGAGTCTTGCTGTAATTCACATTGTCTTTTTTTGAGGAATTTAAAATACGATGACAATTTACCACCACAGCTCATGGTTATTTTCAAGATTAGGGCTAACCCTACGTTGATTTATAAGTGTTGGTTTCTTGTCTCTGGACCCCATCGACAGCAATTTTAAACCTGACTGAAAACGACTGTAATCCTTATTCTAAGTCTACTTTAGTTGCCTTTGCTATCTACAGAAAACAACATGATAACAAAGTTGTAGTACGTTAAAGTCCCTGAAAATTTCAAAGCACATGTTTGAGGCATGGAATCCTTTGTTTTTCTTTATGTATTCACATCCCACCCCACCTCCCTTAAAAAATGTCTTTATCACAAGTTACTTGTAGGATACATATATATTCATGAGCAACACAGCAGTATTTGCAGTTTTGCGTATTTTGAGACTAGACTTCTTTTCTTTAATTTATTTCTTGTTTTTGCCTGACTCAGAAGTCTGTTTACAGAACAAAGAAACTTTAATTCAGCTCACAAATGATAGATAAATAATATTTCCATGAGATCCAGGTTAAGTCAGCTGAGCAAACCGGCACCAAAATTCCAAGTTGGTTGGTTGGACAAATTAACCTTTTTTGCTGCTGAAGCCCAAACACCAGTCAATGAGTTGTCTAAGCTGTAAAGACGCTAGCTTAAGCTGTAGTCCTAGTTACTTCGATTTGGTTTATTAAACAAACCGAGGTCAGTTTCGGTCTTTTTTCCTAAGGGTTGATTTACCTTTTTACTGTCTATTTAGACAGAGTGAAACCTCCATTCAGACATCCTAGAAAATCATTACCTTAAATAATTCCTGATAACGACAGTGTAGTGAGACAGGTAATACCAGGAACTTTAAGAAACTCAAACAACAGATAGCGTCGATTCAAAGAGATGTGGTCAGAAATTTTCAGAGCAGATCAGTCTTTTTATCACTTATGTGCAGGATGATTCCTTGAATCTTTTCTATTAAGGCTCTGGAAAACCACTGTTGTGTTACGAATGTGTCTCGAAGTGATGGTCTGGCAGGGTTTGTATAGATTGAATATTGATCAGACCTTAAGGGTAGCTATAAACAGTCCACAATTCGAATGAAATCAAGAATTCAATTTTCAATTCACAATTTTTTTTTCTGTTCTCAGTGACATTTGGCTGGTTTTACTTGTACTCATGGTAATACTGATACTGTTTAAAAGGGGAGCTGCACCACCAGGACTCACCTTAAACCTGGCTCATATCACTGTTGGTTTGATATATTTATTTGCTCACTGATAATTGAAAGAGGTCCACATAGAACTGAACAAAGCTGCAGTACTTACAAACTCTATCTGATTTATGAAAGACACAACACTGCAGACTTTTATTGAACAGAGAGACTTTGTAATATTTCTACTCATCTTTGTGGTGTATAGCACTGAGCTGTGCTGTCACTGTGAATCTAATTTATTTATTAAACACTCTTACATAAGAAGCTACTCTACAAAGCTCATTAGAAAACAGTGCCTTGCTGAAATTTAAGTTTTAAGGTTCAAATTTATGATTTATTATTGACTTTCATAAGAAAATGCAACTTTAGCCGCCTTTTGCACACACACACACACATATTATCTAATAAACACGTAAGTAAAGTTAAAATTAAAGAAGACACCAAAAAGTAGTCTTATATGTGTTATATATACATGTACATCATTAGCATATTAGTATTTTTCAAGAACTTAGAGTAGGACAAGCAATATTGTGCAGAGTTAAAATTTCAGTGATGAATGAATGTAAAAAAAACTAAATACAATAGAGAAGGGAGACAAAACACAATCCCACTATTCAATGCATTTCATGTCATAGATGTCATGTAAATGTGCAGCTCATTATAATAAAACAACAAGAAATGACAAAAGATAAAACTTCAATATACTCTCAACATGACTTATGAGTTATAATCACTGCTGCCAACTGTGGGCAGTTAAATTCACAAATAATGCGGCTCTCTGCAGAATCCATGTTAATATCGTTGATATGTGCAGCTAGTGTTTGTGTCATACATATACCTGCAGGTCTAATATGATAATGTATGCTGATGCTAACAGGCGAACAGGTTTAGTGACTGAAAGTGTCTCACATGTTGCAATTTAATTTAATAAATATTTAATTTTTTAGAAAAGAAGAGTGGAATTTAACACAGGTATGATATTGTTTTAAAAAGTCTGTTTGCCACACTTACTGAATAAATCATCTGTTATTTAAGTGACTCTGTGTTTGTGCAGCTCACCCTTACAGTAACATCCCGATGTCATGTTGTGGCATTAAGCTATGATGACCTGAAGCCTTTATTAGTTTTATTTTGATTTGATGCACTGATGTAACTTTGTCATTTATTTTCTTGCTGTTGTTCAGATTATTATGATGATGATGGCGTCGCCTCACTGTTTGTATTTAATCTATAATCACGTGTAAGCTGATCTGAGGTCAGTTTGTTTAAGCGCTATGGTCACATTAAACTGCTGTCAAGTAGAAAAGTCGTTTCTGTACGCACATGATATTTTTAAATTCTTTGAAATATTGAAGTTTTGATGTTTTTGTCTATTAACACTTAAACTGTAGAGAAAGACGTTTGCTCCCCTCTCCTTCTGTGCAACACTGCAAAGGAAAGTAAAGAGTGATCTTTGACCTCTTCAGGGGTCACTGTGTGTTAGTGCAATAATCTACCAAGGTTGTGTGTCTGGTTGGTCATCCAAATTTTTATGTTTTTCTAAAAGATGGAGTTATGTATGTGATGACCTCACCTGAAACTGCTTTTGACAGGTTTTCCCATGGAGACCAGAATGATTGAGACCTGATCTCTCTGGTCCAGCTGTGTGAAGAAAACACGGTGGACAGGCCAGAACAGGGATGTAGATGTGAAGTTCCTGCTTAAACAAAGTCATGTGGTGATACTTTTATGGGTAATTATGAGTATATTAAATGTTTAGTGTGACCAAACTTGCAGAAATGTAAAACTTGTGTACAGCGTATATTGAATCTACCATACTGAGATTAAAGTTTTAAGTATTAAATGAACATTTACTGAAGTTCAAATTGATTTCTGTCAGATTTGTGTTCAGTGGCAACTGCAGTTTGATGAAAATCTTGAATTAATGCATTTGTTGGTCTTGAATTTATCTGAAAAATTGAAGAAATGTTTCTGTTGGGACTTAAAATGTGATGTTTATAGCTGCATAAATTACATTCAAATTGGCACACATTCCATGAACCATTAGTCTGTTAAAGTCGTTAACCCTAAACAACTATTTATGTTAACCACAGCTCCAGACTATGTCGTCATGTTTCGGAGATGTTTCAGCAGCAGACGTTGGCGGCAGGTCAGCTGTATTGATTATTAATTAACAGCAGGTTGCTGGAAATATTTGCTTTGGTGCCCTTTGGTACCTGTTTATCATTCTCTTTTCTCAGCTGGTTTCTGTGTGTAAACAGTAACAAGCTTGTAATGTAGAAAAAAAAGGTTTTCTCTTGAAATCCTAAAAACGGGCTCCCTAACTCTGTTAAAACACCATAAAGGATGCCTTAGGGAGGAAAAATGAAATCCTTTCCCCTGGAACTAAATTTAGACCCTTGTTCCTGCAGCTATAAGTTTTAAGTCCCTCAAAAGGTCCCTAGTTCCTGGGGAAAGTCCCTTAAATTGTGTGATTATGATTAAAACTCATCTGTTCATGCTTTCACACACAAACAGCGTGCTGGCTGTATGTTGCACTGGTCAAAGCAAGAGACTGACACTGCTTCCCTTTCAATGAGCCCGATACTCCTGAAAAACTCTGAACTGCGACTTAACAGGAAGATTAAGAAAATAATTTAATGTATTTATGATTGCAGTTAAGTTGCTTGCTAGGTTGCATCCAAATCCAAAAACTTGTTATTGACAAGCTAGCCATGTGAGCTAAGTGGCTGCAGTGTAGTTAATTAGCTGCAAACCTTTAGCCAGTGGTGTATAACTTCATGGAAATGCACAGCCATCTTGTCTTTCATGTTACATTTGGGGATATTTCATTTACAGTTCCTTCTTTCAGGACAGTGGCCCAACATCCACAAACTGTTGATGTCTTGTTAAGGTATTATGGGTATTGTAGTTTAGGATTAAATCTTCAGATTTCTTACTTTAATTAATTTTGGGGGGATTGTTTCTGTTTTTTTGGAGAAATTGGACAGCAGCCGAAGGTAAGAGGCAGAAGGCCATTGGTTGAATTTGAACTTTTGCTGTCCACCTTTTGAACTTTAGCTGACCACCTTGGGCCTCTGTAACCACTGAGCTTGAGGGGCCCCACATCTGTGGTATCATTTATTTTCAGAAAATATTAAGTATTGATATGCAGGCTTTGCAATAAGAAATTGACCAGATGAGTCAATACACAGATCACTGAGTGTGTGTGTGTGTGTGTGTGTGTGTGTGTGTGTGTGTGTGTGTGTGTGTGTGTGTGTGTTTTAATGGATGATCCGAGGCTTACTGTGTGTGTGTTTTGGCTCAGCTGTAGATCAAACTTTGGTTCCATGTCAAAAAAAAAGACATTGGTCATATTAGCCTGCTGAAGTCACAATAGGATTATGGTTGTATGGTCTGCTCTGGTAGTTATCTTCGGTGTTATATAGAGTTTGGAAATATCACTACTTTTTTTTAAATTTGATTTTTCAGCTTGTTTACAGTCTGAAGGTCTACTTCGAGCAGCATACTGATTTTCAATCTGTGACCTGAGCTGAACGTATCGCTGACCGAAAGTCCACCTTGAACAGTAAGTACGTATCTAAGCTTGGTTGATATGATTTATAACTCACACTGAGGAGCTTCTGTATTAGACCATGACAAGAATACAGCTGCTGGTCTAAATAGAGAAGAGGGCATAAGGTTGGTAAATCAGAAACTTATTTTTGGGGCATCACAAATGAAGAGTCCTGCACAGGGGACCATAATTGTGTCGCTTTGCTCAAATAGTAAGAAAGTCTTTGTACCAACTTCAGGGGTCAGGAAGCCTGGAGTGAAACCTGAGCAACTAAACATTAAAAGATTTAAAATCTAAAACATATTTTGAAGATTTGTGATTTAAAAGTGAGCTAATGTTAAAATAGTAACTTGAGCTGGATTTCTATCATGTCTAATACTTAAATTTATTACCGCTATTTGACAGACTGAAGAGGTTAATCCCAGGAAAGTTGGTGCAGTTTGGAAAGTATCTGGGAGACTTTTCCATTTTTTCTTTTCTGTGCAATAAAATCTACCAAGACTGAGGATCAAAACACAGCCTTGCATTTTAAAACTCAGACAGAATTGGTGGGATGGTAACATTAGAAAATTATCAAAAAAGATTAAAAAATTAGTTTATTACTAAGTTTGTTACATAATTAAACAAAGCTATTTGATCTAAACAAGCAACTGAGGAGAAAATTTCAAACAAGACGGTATTTTGGAAAAATTCATAACCAAAGTCCTCAGAGAATTTCACTTTAAATGGATTAATCCACGTATTTGTATTCTGGGTCGATAACTCGACTATGTGCTGATAACACTTTATGTTACTGGCATGTAGTTTCATACTGTACTTAAATTAAAATGCATAAACTTTTTTTGTATTCAAAGCAATTTCGAGAAACCTTCAAGTTTTCATGTCATGCCCTGTAAATTGTTGCATCTTTTGTTTTACTACTTTTGTTCTACTGCTGGTTTGACCTTGAACCCCTCACAGAATAATCGTATTAATCCTGATTAATCAGATAAAAAGTGGATTTCATACCTGGCTTATGATTTTTAGCTAATAGTACCCACAATAAAACCTGGCTGAGTTTACCTGGGTGCTTTGGGTGAAAGGAAGAATGACAGCCCAGCAGCAGCAGAGTTGACAGAGTTGTTTCAAGCTGCAGTCAAAGGTTCTGTATCTTGGCTTAATTGGATGCACAATGCTAATGTCATTGGCCGTTGAGGTTTTGGTCCCCCTTTGCGAGACACTATTTTGCAACATAAACTGCACTTTGTCTCCTTTCTGTCTTTTGCTTCGGTAAAATGAAGCCAAGTTTTGAACCTCAAAATGTCTATTACACTGTGTGCACAATTATTAGGCAAGTGACTATTTTGATCATATCATCATTTTTATGCATATTTTCCAACTCTAAGCTGTATAAACTTGAATGCTTATTGGATATAAGCATATCAGGTATTGTGTATTAGTGTAATGAGGGAGGCTGGGGCCTAAGGAGATCAAAACCCTATATCAAGGTGTGCATAATTATTAGGCAGCTTCTTTTCCTCAGGTAAAATGGGCCAAAAAAGAGATTTAAATGACTCTGAAAAGTCAAAAATTGTAAAGTCTTTCAGAGGGATGCAGCACTCTTGAAATTGCTTAGATATTTGGGCGTGATCACAGAACCAGCAAACATTCTGATGCAAATAGTCAACAGGGTTGCAAAAATGTGTTAAGAAAAAAAGACGCAAATTAACTGCCAAAGATTTGAGAAGACTCAAACGTAAAGGTACCAGGACCGCTTATCCTCCGGTGCTGTCATATTCCAAAACTGCAACCTACCTGGAGTGCCCAGAAGTACAAGATGATCAGTGCTCAGAGACATGGCCAAAGTAAGGAAAGCTGAAATCTGACCACCACTGAACAAGACACAAGTCGAAACGTCAAGACTGGGCCAAGAAATATCTGAAGAGAGATTTTTCAAAGGTTTTATGGACTGATGGGATGAGAGTGACTCTTGACGGACCAGATGGATGGACCCGTGGCCGGATCAGTAATGGGCACAGAGCTCCACTTCGAATCAGACACCTGCAAGGTGGAGGCGGGGTACTGGTATGGGCTGGTATTATTAAAGATGAGCTAGCTGGACCTTTTGGGGGAAAGATGGACTTAAAATCAACTCCCAAATCCAATGCCAGTTTTTAGAAGACACTTTTTTCAAACAGTGGTACAAGAAAACCATGATTTTTATGCAGGACGATGCTCCATTGCATGCAACAAAGTACGCCACTATGTGGCTCGCCAGTAAAGGCCTTAAAAATGAAAGAATAATTACGTGGCCTCCTTCTTTACCTGACCTAAACCCTGTTGAGAACTTGTGAGCCCTTCTTAAACGGGAAATTTACAGTGAAGGAAGACAGTACACCTCTCTGAACAGTGTCTGGAACAGTGTCTGGAAGGCTTTGGTTACTGCAACACAAAAAGTTGATCATCAACAGATCAAGAAACTGAAAGACTCCATGAATGAAAGGCTTATGAGTGTTAATGAAAAGAAGGGTGGCTATATTGGTCACTGATTTTTTTTTTAAATTTCAACAATTTTTATTTGTAAATTGAGTTGTTTGTTTATCATACTCACTTGAACAAGTGAAAATAAACAAGTGAGATGGAAAATTTTTCATTTTTAATTTAGTTGATTAATAATTCTGCACACTAATAGCTGCCCCCAATAATTGTGCACACATAGATATTCTCCTAAGGAAGCCAAAATCTCACTTTTACTCCCTTAAATATTCAGGTTTGAGGTTTATTAACATTTTGGATTGACTGAGAGCACTGCAGTTGTTCAAAAATAAAATTTATCCTCAAAAACACAACTTGCCTAATAATTGTGCACACAGTGTAATGTGTCTGCACAATGGAGGCCCCTTCTTTATATACCTGTGTGCCATTATAAAATATCAGTTTCTTTAACACATGCTGATAACAACAACACTAAAAATGTGATCTGTTATGTTTACATTACTTTGCAGAGAAATGGCAGGTGGGATGAGGAAATGGAGGGCTTTGAGACTCCTGATCTTCTTCAGCCTCCTTAGCCTCTCCGGACAATTTGGTAAGAAATCTTATGTCCAGCCCCCTCATGAATGTTATTATTTTACAAGATTTTCAGCCATATTACAGCAAAAAAGATGAAAACAATAATATTGCTGAAAGAAAAGCTAAAAGAAAATCATGGTTTGTGTCATTCAAGACAAAGTGTTATATAAATTCTGCCTGGCTGTTTCTCCTTGCTGCTACTCCAAAATATGTGATTACAAGTTAATTCAAGGGTTAAAAAATACTTATATAAACAGACTCTACTGGCTGAAAATTACAGGAGGAGATTACTGATGTCTAACTAACGGCAGGAGAAAAAGCTTTAGATGTAAAGCCATCAGATAGCGAAAGCTCTGCCATCAAATCTGTACATAAATAAGTGAGGTACAGACTGAGTGCCCCCTCTACAGGCCATTTACAAGAACACTGAATTTACTCCAAGAACAGAAAGAAACTCAAACCATCCCTACTTTGATTTCCACAATTCATTTCCTTTTCGGCAGGGAACAGGCGACAACTCGTCTGTTTCTGCAAGTAATGGCGTCAGTCAGTAGAAAATATCTGCATCAAATCATGTAGCTGATCCTGACGTGTAAAGTTTATTTGACAGAGGTGAAAGAGGATGAGTGGGAGGAGCTCGGAACTGATATTGCCGCGCTGCACCGCCTTAAAGGACTGTCAGAGCAAATGTTTCATGAGAGGATCCAGCAGCCTCGCACACAAAGGTATCCTGAACATCATCTCCTTTTTTGCCTTGATCATTCAGTTTGATCTCAAAAAAGAAACATAAAGCAGGCACTATTTCCTGTCCATGCTGACGAGCTGAAATGATAGCATGTTGAATTAAAACACAGTAGGTGATTGATTTGTGAATTAAAAGGTAAAAAGGACTGTTTCTGTCTCAGGGACGCATCCATCCATGTCACCAGAGTGAAGAGATCCAGTAAAAAGTAAGAAAGTGTTGAGAGAATTTCTGAACATATGATACTGTTACTTGCTTAATTGGCCTTTATTGGACCATCTGAGTGTGTAGTGCAGAGATAGGCACAGTTTACTTTTTGCAAGTCCTAGTCAAGTCTCTCATAGTGTCAGTAAATGACAACAGGTAGGGGGGGACTAAGTTAGAGACACCGCAAAATAAACCCTGAATCCGCCCCTGACACCCTCATCTCACTTGTCACTATTTTGTACTATCATTGACCAATTCATGCAGTTTTAATATGAGACGCTATACACAGAAGAGTCACACCTGTGATATCTGAAGCTTCTGACGTCCCTAGTCATGTGGCTTTTCATCTTCCAAACATGCTCCGATACTCCAATGTACAATTGGTATGAAGAGAAAACATTCAAGAGCTGACTGCTATCTGCACATGCTTGTAGATAAGGTTTTGTGTAATTTAATTTGAACTAAACTATGGCCATATAACAGCAGATAGTTCAATTACAGCCAGAGCACTTTGCCTCCTCTGTTTCACACAGATTGGACCTGCTAAAGTGGTAGATTCTCAGATCCTTTCCTGTAAAGGGTGGAAACAGTTGGTAGATGTAAACTTGTAGCTGACAGCCTGAGGTGCACATACTGCACATGAGGTCGACTCTGTGGTGACATACTCCAAAAACTACAGTCTGGGTCATCATTAATATAATATGAGCTGTTCAAGGATTAATAAAGCTTGTGTAACAATTTTCAATGGGATTAGCATCTTTATCTGTTTCCAGGTTGGACCTTGACCAAAACCCAACGCTTTTGCATGATGAATTGGATAAATGTCAGGAGAGTTTTACATCTTGTGTGATCCAAGCTGAGCAGGTTGGTGGATTGTTAAAGAAACAGAGTTATAAACAAAGAGTAAAATTGGTTTCAGTATGTATGTATGCTCAATTTGGTATCAGTATGTAGTCACTTAATCAGGATTCAAGGACTGAAATGCTCTAGAACCAGAGATGCTGCTGAGAAAAGGCCTATCTGTATAATGTTGTTGTTGTAGTATTTTAACACCTGTCTGAAATATTTGTGCCACTGAACTGTAGGGCCCCGTATTCAAGAAGTCAATTTTTAGATGTGTAAGCTGTTCATAACTTTATTTCACCTTAATTTTATATTTTAATTTGCTTTGAATTTGCCTTTTAATTTGCTGCCCCAGGATTTGGAGAGCTTCTTATCAGCCATTGATGATCACAAAATACAGGACTGGCTCTTCAGTGCATCAGAGGTCTCGTACAGCTACAGCCAAAAACTTCTGGTCATGACTGATGAGGATGAGGCAACAAAGGAGAGAGTACAACAGGAGTACATTTTAGATCCTCTGTACTCCGTGAAAGTCAGCAGAGATTGCCTAAACAATGCCTCGTGTCTCCCGGGGGCAGATGGATCCACTGTGGTGAAAATATTTGGGAAGGTTTCAGATGATGGACACAGTGTTTCTGGTCTGTCTGGATCCTCCCTCGCAGAGCTCATGTTGATGCCATCATTCAAAGGTGTCCCTGTGTTCTCCCTGGATGGAAACACAACAGCAGACTTCCACCGTAACTTTGTTCGAGTTTTAATGGTCCATGGCAACAGAGCAGTCTTGGAAACAAACAAGGGCAATGATAAGATTTACCAAGTCATGAATGAACCTGACACAGTTTCTACACGCCAATTACCCCAACAGCCGATTGACCACACCACACAGTACGACAACCAACATATCCTCATGCTGCAAGATAATAGTGCAGTCAGAGCAGCTGCCGAAGCCCTTTATGAGAAGCACCCCTCAAGTAGCTCTCTCTATATTCTTGATAACAATCAAATACCAAAACTGGTGAAGGGGGAGCATGTTCCTCTGTCAGAGAACAGCAGACTAAGTCTAGTCGGCCATGGCCATAAGGACAGTTCAGAAAAGATGAAACTGGCTGGTTTCACAGCATCACAAATAGAAAAGATTGTTGAACGAACTGACAGGATCGGCGATAAAATCAAAACCATCAACATAGTGGGCTGTGATGTGGGATCAGATGAATCGTTTGCTGAAACACTGCTCAAAGGGCTCCATGACAATGCTGGAATTGAGACAGCCCTTCACCTCAGGGACACTGTCATCCAGGTCAAATCCACAGGAGAGAAAATCACCCAAGAGATCACTACTGATGGGGTAAGGTGGCGACTCAAGGATGAAACTAGTAAACTTGTGGCCACGCTTGATGCCAATGGGAACGTAATCACCAGACAAAAGTCTGACAGTAAAGGAAAGGTTGTATTTACAGATGAAAGGAACATCCTTGGAAAAAAACAGATAGAAGAACGATTCCTAAAGTACAGACATAATTCACCCAAAGACCCAAAACGATTTATTAATGAGAAAATATTTAAAGAATTTCCAAATCCTGAACAAGTGCGAGGGCGCTTTGATGAACTGCAAGCTATGTCTTGGGGACTCTTTCATGAAGAAGTACCCCTTCCCCCAGTGGTAAACACAGAAAACTTGGAAATCTCAAGCCAATATGAAATAGGAATAAAAAGAAATAACAAAATGTTGTGGGTCTCTACTGAAAAGAAGAAAAAAGAAATTCTCTCCAAGTGTTATGAGATTAAATCAGGAGAGGATGTACGGAGTGTCATCCATAACTACGCCACGGAGGGACAAGATGATATTACATACCTGATGATCAATGATTGGATACTGTCTGTAGATCCCCAAAGCTTGTATGTCTATCCAATTGGCAAAAAACTTGACAACAATCAAAGAGAAAGCCAACAAAGGAAGGAAATTCGGGGCTATATTGAAGAACAAATCGGCAATGAAAAATATCCAGAAATGCAAAGACACATTCTTGGAAACTCTCCTGAGGCAGAATATACAGCAAAAACAGAGTATGCCAACTTTGTGAGAAATGTGTTTGTTGGAGATCGTACAGCTAGCATTTCACCATCCACTGAGGCATGGTACGCCACTCATTTTGCTGCATCCGTCATATCTGAATCCGTCAGAAACTTCAGAACTCTCCCTCTGGTTCTTATGGCCCTGACTATGACCAAAAGTGATAATAATAATGTGCGAGAGAAGGGACTGAGTTTTCTCTTTGAAGAGCATCCCATGGCAAGAGGGGGGAGCTGGATTGACCCAGGGTCTAGGGGACATTTTGGCACTGCAACACCCGAAGGTTCAAGCAAATTAACAAACAAATATAACCCTTCAAATCTGGGACAGTTAAAGAATGCACTGAATAAAGTACTCCACAAAGAAGATGCCTTCAACAAATTTTGGAGTGAAACGTACGGTGGAGATGTTAAGTCTCAGTTATTAAAGATGGCAGAAAATTTCAAGTTAACAGGAAGTAATGAAGAAGGACTAAAAACCATCTCCAAAAATTATGAGGATTTCAAAAACACATTGGAAGCAATAGACTTTTCAAGGGCATCTGCAGATAGCAGCATCATACAAGCATCTGGCGCATTAGGAGGCTACGATGATGGTCACGTAACCTCTCAGGATATCAGATCTGCCTCACAATTAGAAAATTCCGTCAAACTTGAATCATATTACTCCAGGGCAAGAGCACTGTCATCTGAGGAACTTCGAAATCATATACAGACCAACTATGGGGAGAACCTGAAGGGGCTCAGGGTCAAGGAAGGCAGTGCCAAGATCAAGAATGGACAGTTTATATGTCACCTTGAGGTTGATGGAGTTGAACCTCGTGAATTAAAGTTCCAGTTATCTCCAGAAAGTCAACACTACAATGAAAAAGTGAAGAGCATGATTAACACAGTGGCCCATGAAACAGATACTCACAGCACAGTCTCCGCACACACGGGCAATAACATTATGGAGCACGCTGCAACCACTGTTGGAGCCCTTGGCCTTCTGTTGGGTTTGAAAGGAGCAGTACGTGCCTTCGAAGAGGGTCACGTTAAAGAGGGTGTGATTGGGACTTTTCAAACAGTTCATGGGGTGGCAGCTATTACAACGTCTGCAATCGCAAAAGTAGCCCTGTCCTCAGAAACAAGAATAGCCAAAGCTGCTGCAGTAATCATGAAAAACCCTGCAATGAAGGGTACAATGGCTGTGATACCCTTAGTGGGGATTGGATTTGGGATATACAATGTCGGACAAGATTTAGCGAGAAAAGACACACTAGGATACATTGATGCTGCCTTTGATGGGACTATGGTTGCCCTTGATTTTGTTGAGTTATTCCAGCCTGAACTGATGCCATTTATAGCACCGGTAAACCTGGCCCTGTCAACAGTTCGGATGGTCTTTGATGATATTTTCATGGGCGTCCAGGATGAGCTTAACAGTCTTCCTCCAGATGCTGGAATTTTGGAGAAAGTAGTAGCTGTCGCTTTAGGCATAGAGGAGGGAATTTTTGATTTTGAAATGCATGTACTCAGTATCATCTTTGATTTTCATTACGATGAAATAAAGCAGGGGCAGAAAATTGTGGAAGAGATGTCTGACTATCATCGGTACTACAAAGTCATAACTCAAGATGATGGAACAAGTGCCATTGATTTCAACTTGTCTTGGAACGGAGGAGGTATACAATTTGTCCTCGCTGAGCAAGGACCATCAGAGCTCTGTATGGACTATTTCTTATCCAGGGATGAGAAAATCAGGAAAAGATGTTGGAGCATTGATACAAAAGGCAGCAATGATATCATTCTCGGCCTTGGGCAGTCCCATCAGTTAGAGTACAAAGAACTAGAAATGAAAGTTCTTTTCTTCATACCCGTTGGTACTGTGACAGTGGTCTCAAATACAACGGCGATACAAAGTTCAAGATATGGCAGATACACAGGAAATAGCAATGCCAATCGTTTTTTTGCCATTCAGACAGCGGATCATAACCACCCAATTGAATACATGCTCAGTTATTATTACATTCTTTCTGGTGAACCAGGAGATGACATTTTCTTCCTTGGCCCTCAGAGAAGTTATGTTTATGGTGCTGGTGGAAAAGACACATACCTTATTCCAAAAAAAGGAGGTAAAACAATAATTAACAACTATGATCAGGACAAAGCACAGGACACCCTTCACTTCAGTGTTCCCTACAGAGACATCTCTGTGTCTAAATCAGGGGATAGCGTTGTTTTAATGTATGAGGGCAGTCACACTGTGATGATAGAAGGATGGTTTTTGGGAGATACGTATCAACACATGAACATGATGTCAGAAGACGGGGTCTTATTCGAGATTTCCCCCACTGTCATTTCTTCTGTACAGCTGGTAGCCAAAGGGATAAATTGCATGTTTGAAAAGCAGGGCAGGACTGTGAACACATTAGTGCCACTTTTACAAACAGTGATAAACATTCTTGGGTCCAAATACGACGACGTTCTCATCGGAAATGAACAGAGGAACTTGCTAGATGGAGGTGGGGGTCATGATCTATTAAAAGGTGGTGAGGGAGAAGATATGTACATCGTCAAAAGCAGTACTCAGTCCTCAATTGTGATCGACAATTACTCTGATGATGCTAAAACAGACCTGGTCACAATAGAAGCCAATCTTCATTCCTTTAGTGTAAGAGTAGATCATCAAAATCTCCTTCTGTATGCTTCTCGGGACAACACATATTTCTTTGTGACCTTAAAGGGGTGGTTTATCTCACCAGCACACAGGCATTTATTTATTGTCACAAAGGATATGATCACCTTCACACTTTCAGACAATGTGACCAACTGCATGAGTAGTGACCCCTTCACAAGGTGCATCAGAAGCAGCAACATTGACTACAGCAAATCCCCATCTGCTCTTGTGGTGGACCTTGAGAAGGACGAGGCTCTGGACGGTGTGACAGAGATCCGTGGGTCACATTTGAGCGATGTCATCAGAGGCAATAAGGAACACAATGTGATCATCCCAGGAGAAGGAAATGATTATGTTGAAGGCAGAGGAGGAGAGGACTGGTATGTTATAACACCAGGCCAAGGAACAAAAACCATCAACAATCAATCACCAGATACAGCTCTGGACTATCTGTTTCTAAAAGAAGGATTTCAAAATATAGTCTGTGATTGTAAAGGACAGAATATTATCATTTCACTACATGGTCGAGTAGATATCATTTTACAGAACTGGTTTGTTTCAAAGAACCATCAGCACCTGCAAATCAAGACCGGCGACGGAGTAACAGCAGGACTGATCTCAGACATTAGCAACTGTGACAGGTCTTTGATGCTACCTTTAACTTTTGACTTTACAAAACAGAACCCTGAACCTCTTTTTCCATTCCGAATGAAATTCCTGAGATGGTTGGCAAATGTAGAGTCAGATTCACTTGACATAAGATATTATCCGCATTATAGTTTCAGCAAAAGAATGGCGCTGACAGAAATTTTTAGTAGTGATGGCAAAGTGATGGTGATGGATAGAGTTAATTCAGTCAAAGAAATGTTGGGCTCCCCTGGTTTCGATATCATGGTCGGGAACAGCAACGCAAATGTGCTTGATCCTTACACTGGAGGTGCACTATTAATTGGAGGCGGAGGTAAAGACATTTACAGAATCAAACGTGGATACGGATACAGAATCATGATTGATAACTTTGCAGAAGATCAAAATACTGATACTGTTCTGGTTGACATGGATTTCCTCAGTGGCAGCCAAGTCACCCTGGACTCATATGAAAGAGATGTGATCATTTCAATCACAACAAACGGGGAAAAAATACGATTGCAGCTGCTCAATTACAATAATGGGTTTCAACACCAGCATGTGGAATTTCAGAGTTCTGATGGGGTAAAGTTTTTACTAAAATCAGGTAACTCAACTGGAGAGTTCCCTACCTACGAAATGGAGGCCTTTAAAGTAACTCTGAAAACATCTCAGGTCGACTGCCGTTTGGACCTCAGCTCTCAGACAAATTTGTCTCAGGTGCATACAGTGCAAGGCTGTCCCTCTCTATCCAATAACATACTGGGTAATGCTCATGACAATGCTCTAATTGGTGGGTGGAAAAATGATGTCTTGGAAGGAGGCGCAGGAAAAGACACACTGATCGGAGGAGCTGGGAATGACATCCTTATCGGGGGTATCGGGGATGACACCCTTTATGGTGAGGATGGAAATGACACCATGATGGGGAACTTTGGTTCTGATGTCTTCTTTCCTGGACCCGGGGCTGATCTTGTTGATGGAGGACCAGGAAAAGACACTGTTCTTTACCGGGGGGATCATGACACTGGTAAAGGGGTTTATGTCAACTTGCTAATTGGTCAAGGCCGCTATGCTGATGCTGAGGGGGATGTGCTGAAGGATGTGGAGACTGTAATTGGAACCATCTACTCTGATATTTTAGTGTCTGGTTATGAAAGCTGTCTCCTTAAAGGTTCAGATGGTGATGATATCTTAGTGTCCACTGGCGATGATTACCTGATTGGGGATGATGGAAATGACATCTATATGCTGGCCTTTCACCACGGCGCCGTCACCATTAACAACTGTGCAAAAGACAATGCCATGGACGTGTTGTATCTGAGCTCAGGGTTAACACCAACATTTGACCATCAGCTTTTATCTGACGGAGTTCTTCTGACATTTTACGGACAGAACCAAACTACCATTAAGATTTTCCTAAAAGGCTGGGTAAATGACAGTAGTGAATGTGGTCATCTGAGATTAATTTTTAGCGATGTGGAGGTTTCAGTGGACTGGTTGCTAAATAGGTGTCAGAGAAGACAGTCCAACTGAGAAGTCTGGTTTTCATCCTGAGATTGTGTTTTTTTGGCATTGGTTTTGTCCTCTCTGGCCATTGGGTGATTAAAACAAAGAATCTTCAGCAGCGTTGACATCCTATCAATATTTTCTTGTTCACTGATCTGTATTAAACTTCTCTGCTTTGCAATCATTTGTTCAGTATGTTTCTTTAAAAGCTGATGAAAGGTCATCAACATAATACTAAGGATTGTTTTTCCTATAGCTTTGGTCTGAGATACATTCATGGATAACAGTAATAAGGGATTCATCACTGTAATTGTTAAGACAGAGAGAGAAGAATTGATGGTAGAGCTGTGGTATTGGGTTGCATTAGATATAACATCTCCCCGTTGCAAACAGAGAGAAGGATGATGAAGTTCATGCTGCAGTCTTGACCCACCTAACAGCTTGACAAGTTTCTCAAGCTCTGGCTGCAGCATGCCTTCACAAATGTATGATTGGGGGATTGTCTAAGTAACTGTGGTTTAAAGTTACACACTATGTAAGAGACTCAATCCCAAGGGCAATGGGCTCTTCTTTGACTCTGACTCTCAGCCCATAGATTCAAAATTTAGAGAGAAAAACAGGTCACCTTGAACAGCTCAAATGTAGAGCTGATAATGCATTTCCCTTTGGGTATCAATAAAGTTCTTGTATTGTGTTGATCCGGGATAGCTGATACTGGTTTCTCAATATGAACTACTCTGATACATGTTTAACTTTAGGAACAGCTGATAAAACTGCCTGATGGGGGTCTTGGTCCTGAACTTTGGAACAACTAACAGACTCATGACAGAGAACATGATGAGCTGTACTGCTTCATACAGTGTAAACAGCTGGTTTATGAAGTGGTACTCTCCACAGGGGTGTCCATGTGCCTGAAAACTTTGTAGTCCTGTTTTGGACTTTATATTTTCATCACTGCAAGCTTACCTCAGTAACATCCTTCGATGAAAATACTGTCAGGTTATCTTGACAAGCTTTTTATAAATCCACCCCCATACCTTTCCTTGACTTCATGACTTTTTCATGATGGTCAAGGAATAAGGAACAAAGTTTTTACTTGAACAAGCTGTGAGATGAGAAATTTCACTTTTTGTTTGATAAGAATGAACTGGTGCAAATCTTAAATCTGAATCTTTGATCTTAAATATCCAATTTGTAAAGGGAGTCTACAGGACACCATGAGGTACTCCAGCAGCAATGGCCTCCCCAAAGTGCCCACAAAGGAGTGCATGAGCTCAGTATCTGAATGAAATGTCACCACCATCAACACAACCAAGGTGTGCCACATATTACCAACCTTAGGTACCAGATTAAGCTGAAGTGTGGCAGATCCAGTCAGAGGGTCAGAGGGTGTACTGAAATAGCCAGACTGTTCTAGGGGCAATCTGACTGAAATATTCAGACTCCCTCACTGGTGAAAGGGGGGCCCAGCACAGAGGAATCGTGGCCTTGTCTATCCGGGAGTAAGGTCCAGCACTCATTCCCCAAAGGTTGTGCTGGTAGCAACATTCAGGGGATGGAGTCCAACAAACATAGGGCTCTATTTTCGTGCTTCACCGGAGATGTGCCGCAGGCGCAGCGTAAGTCAGGTCCACCGCGCCGACAAGGCGTTCCCAAGCACAATTTGGTATTTGGATGAGCGGCGCAGCCTGGCATAAGTATCCCCCCTCCCTAACTCAGCTCCTCCCAGCGGCGTAAGTCATAGGGAGGGAGGAGAGAGGGCGTGGAGTGGGTTTAGCACAGCCAAGACCTGTACTGACCAATAACATCAGCTCCTCCCCTTGCCTTTAAATCCGCCACCGGCAAGGCATATTACTATTTTCGTGAAGTAGTTAAAGAGATCAAAAGATGTCTTAAGACAGTAATGCCACAAGATGGCGACAGAAGGCAGCCCCTCAACAAGTGTCGCTGTAAGCGCTGCAGAGGGCGTCCTTTACACTCTCTCATATGAGCACAGATGGATTTGGTGTTTGTAATGTTGGACCCACTAGTAAGACAAACACCCTTTTCCACAAATAAAGACACTCACAAAAAGTTGCACATATTCAAACCTCAGGTGACAAAGGTGGGTTGAGCGCACAGATCACATCATAAATTCCAATTATGGCATTAAAATCGGAACCATCTGTGCAAAATGACGCATCGCGCTCTGTGGCCTGGCTCTTTCTTTCATCGATGTTGGCATACAAAATAAATTTGGCTCACAAAACTGAATATTATAATATTCGGATGTAGGCTTAAAGTAACTAACTCATCTGAGCACTGAAACAAATCATCTGTTCAGCCGCCGCAGCAGCAGCAGGACGGGGAGAGGACACGGAGACATGTCCAGGTCCAGCTGCGTGAGAAATAAGAGGAAGACGAAGAAAGAAAAGGAGGGAGACGAATTACATATCTTGTTAACTTCATCATGTGTGTCTATTTACTGTATATTTAATTAAATTTAATGCGGTTTCAGCTGTGTTGATTCGGTCAGGTTGTGTGTCTAAACGAGTGCCAAATGCGCTCATCAGATCAGATATAGATCGGGATATATCTATATAGATCTAAATGTATGAACTGACTCAGATTAATGGTTGATGATGATAATTTATTGCACTGAAATGTGCCTGACACTGTGGAAACCTGCCGATGAGGCATCGGTGACGTATGCTGATACGCCGCCGGTCTACCAAAATACCACTAGACCAGCTGCACTCCGTCTGCGCTGAAAGCTGACCAGGTTTGAATCGGCGAGCTTTCAGCGCACTTTATACACCACCGGCGAGCACGAAAATGTCACTGCGGCAGCTGATTCTGTCGATACCTCCCTTTGCCACGCCCAGCTTGGCAGACCTTGGTGCGCCTCAGTCCACGAAAATACCAAACTGGCTGTACGCCAGGCTCTGCCAGATGAAAATACCACTGCGCGGGGTCCGCCACCGTCCGCCACCTCACCGGCGGACACGAAAATAGAGCCCATAGACACAGCTATGGAGTGGCTATACAGAGTTCAGACAGGTTGTTGCCCACAAGGCCCCTAAGTTTTCCTAAGCCCTTGATGGAGTACACCATTTTGTAATCCTAACAGATCACCTATACAACCCAGTGAGCTTATCTAGATTTTGACATTGGTTGTCCCGGGCATCAAGGCCTAAATCACGTAACACCTGACCCCTCTATGTGTTTAGCAAAAGAGATCCTCATCTCTAACCGATCACTCATGCCATCCCTACAAAGGCTCACAACCTACTGCCTTCAGAGGATATCTGGCCTCACCTACAATAAACAAACTGGACTGGGACATAAGACAAACCAAAAGTCCTTTGGCAGGAACCTGCAGCAGCTCCCAAAGTTTTTCGCATCAACTTAAGTCGGGAGTTAAACATAATTTCCTGGTAGCAAACCAGTTGGCTACTGCTGCTGCCCTGCCAATGGTGTCTCCATCCCCCCAGTTCAACCAAGTCCCCACTGTCATATGCCGAATAGACTTTGTGGAAAACATTAAACACTAAGTAGTTATGGTGTGTGAATCTGCCTGAATGGGATCAGCTAGAGCTTTTATCTTTAAAATTAAGTGAAAATCCATCAGAACATGTTTAGAGGTGTGGGATGTGATGTAACAGGGAAAATTTCCTCAGGCAGGGGTCTAAGAGGTTCCACCAGAGTTTACTGTACAACAAATACTGATAAGGATTTCAGTCTGTGGTTCATATGATCCCCAAAATTTCAGTATCTGCACTTTCTGTCATGTGAGTGGGCAGACTGTCTTATTTGTTCGCGCTGATTGCAATCAGCTTTTTGATGCTTGATCATTTCCTGCAGCTGAGAAGTTAAACTTGAGTCCCCTGCATTTGTTAAATATTACACAATGGAGCATGTGAGCTCTGTGGCTGTGTCCTGCAGATGGACTTTAGTTGTTGACTTTCAGTTTGAAGGTCCTTTAATAGAAGATAGAACGCCTCCACACACTCGTCCACCTTCTTCACTTCAGCTCCACTCATGTACAACAAACCATTGATAAGAAATATACTTTCACTGAGGTGTGTCTGGTTCTGACCCTCCTGATCACATTTTTGCAGTGGTTGAGGCTGCTGTCACAGAAAAAAGGACAAAAGGACCAGCAAAAAAGAACGCAGAGAGGTGAGTCAAACGGGTCAGAAATGGCGCTTGGGTATGTGATCACATTGATACTGTTCAGCCTATCCAGTCAGCTGGTCGCACATGGGTCTAACTTTGCCCCAGCACTTTCCAGGCATTCAAAACTCATTTTAATTGAAGCATTTTAAAGAATTTCAAGGGCCTACACCAGCCCCCATGGTTATATAAAATTCAACTTTTTCTTTGTGTGACATTTAAAAAATTAGATCAGTGCTTTAAGCTGTATTTCCATTGATTTTTTACACTCCCACAGCCTTTAATTGTGTCTTTTAAATTGCCATTTGGGGTGCAGAACCCACGTAACCTCCACAATCTGCCTCTCAGATGTTTCGGTGTGGTAATTATTAGAGAGTGCCATGCAGTGGTCAGGTTACGATGAAACCTCCTATTAACAGTGACCTTCCCCAGACAGCCAGACAATGATATGCTGGATATCATGACAGTATAGATATGAACTCTACCTTAAGTTACAATGGAGACTGACATTTTAAAGAAAAGTGGCAGCCTTATCAGGTGCACCTGTAGAAGTTACTCCTGTAGTACCCCTGATTTGGCAGTGATGACTAAGTACTTAGCTTGTACTGATGGTACTTTATTAGGATTTTGAATGGAGCACTGCTTGGCCATAGTCCAAAAGCCAATTCCATTGAAGTTGGGAAATTGTGATAAACGTAAATAAAAACAGAATACAATGATTTCCAAATCCTTTTCAACCCATATTTAATTGAATACACTATAAAGACGAGATATTTAATGTTCAAACTCATAAACTTTATTTTTTTTGCAAATAATAATTAAATCAGAATTTCATGGCTGCAACATGTGCCAAAGAAGTTGGGACAGGGGCATGTTTACCACTGTGTTACATCACCTTTCCTTTTCACAACACGCAATAACTGTTTGGGAACTGAGGAGACTAATTGTTGAAGCTTTGAAGGTGGAATTCTTTCCTATTCTAGCTTGATGTACAGCTTCAGTTGTTCAACAGTCTGGGGTCTCTGTTGTCGTATGTACGCTTCATAATGCGCCACACATTTTCAATGGGAGACAGGTCTGGACTGCAGGCAGGCCAGTTGAGTACCTGCACTCTTTTACTATGAAGCCACGCTGTTGTAACACGTGCAGAATGTGGCTTGACATTGTCTTGCTGAAATAAGCAGGGGCATCCATGAAAAAGACGTTGCTTGGATGGCAGCATATGTTTCTCCAAAACTTGTATGTACCTTTCAGCAATAATGTTGCCTTCACAGATGTGTAAGTTACCCATGCCTCGGGCACTAATGCACCCCCATACCATCACAGATGCTGGCTTTTGAACTTTGCGTCGATAACAGTCTGGATGTTTTTTTTTCCTCTTTGGCCCGGAGGACACAACGTCCACTATTTACAAAAACAACTTGAAATGTGGACTCGTCAGACCACAGAACACTTTTCCACTTTGCATCAGTCCATCTTAGATGAGCTCAGGCCCAGAGAAGCTGGCAGCGTTTCTGGATGTTGTTGATAAATGGCTTTCTCTTTGCAAAGTAGAGTTTTAACTTGCACTTACAGATGTAGCGACGAACTGTATTTACTGACAGTGGTTTTCTGAAGTGTTCGTGAGCCTATGTGTTGAAATCATTTACACATTGATGTCAGTTTTTGATACACTGCCGCTATTCACTGCCACTATTCGACTATTTGCTTACACAGTTGTTCACGAAGTGGTGAACCTCGCCCCATCCATGCTTGTGAGTGACTGAGAATTTTTGGGGAAGCTGCTTTTATACCCAATCATGGCACCCACCTGTTCCCAATCAGCCCGCTCACCTGTGGATGTTCCAGATAGGTGTTTGATGAGCATTCCTCGAATTTCTCAGTATTTTTTGCCACCTTTCCCAAATTCTTTGGCACATGTTGCAGCCATGAAATTCTGTGTTAATTAGTAAGTTTATGAGTTTGAGCATAAAATGTCTTGTCTTTGTAGTATATTCAATTAAATATAGGTTGAAAAGGATTTGCAAATCATTGTTTTCTGTTTTTATTTACGTTTATCACAATTTCCCAACTTCAATGGAATTGGGGTTTTGTATAATATTGTTATATAAGTACCGTTGTTTTGGTAGAAGATGAAGTACTCCTTTCCCCTGTAAACATATGAAGGTATCCTCAGTCACCACCTATGATTATGATTTTAAAGTCACTCTAAGTGTTTTCTGAGGGTGTTATTCCTGACAACTTCTGTCTCTTTTTAATCCTTAGATCCAACCTGAGGTTCACCTGGACAGAACACACCTCCTAAGTCTCTACAAACCCCAGGACCATGTCTCCATGCCACGACAGATCTGATCACAAGCCATCTGGACTCAAACCTCTCTGTTTGTGGCTACACAGCTGCTCCACCTACTATTCTCCACCTCCTCCTCTTCCTCTCCCCACCAGCTGTTCTGCCACCTCCACTAAATCTGCCTCTCGTCGTCTCCCCCTGCTGGCTCTTCTGCTGGTCTGCACTCTGCTGCTGATGCTGGCACTGCTGTTGTGGAACTACCAGTGTCTGTTTATTTCCCACATCTGTTCCCCACAGGAGATGGAGGGGGAGGATAGAAAAGGGGCCTCATGACTGTTTTGGTTAAATATTCTGTTTTTTTCTCTTTAAACTGCAAATATTCTATCAGCCTGAGTGGGGAGGAATAGAAAGCAAAGTTCACATTATTTCTCAGCTCCACTTTAGTAGCTAATTTAAAGAGAAAAGTCTGTGTACAGCCACAAAATGTCTCTTTAAGTTTTCTAAATGCTACCCCAGAATTTCACTTCCAGCTCAAAGATCCAGACAGATTGAAAATATAACAGTCAAAAATTTAGGAGCAGAGCTGCTGACAACTTGATTTTTGATCCAAATTAACTGGATCCTACATTTCCCATGATGCTGCTGGGCCGTCTTTCATTACATCAGTGTAAATTTCTGTGATACCTCCAATTTTTGCCACACAGGTAAATGTATAGTAAACAGATGTAATTTGAATACACCACTGGATGGATGTTCTTTTAAAACTCATGGACCTTTCAAAATAAAAGCTCTCTAACTGCGCCATCTGTCTTGATTTTTATTCCAAGATTAAATCTGCTACCCAACTCTTCAGGCTGTTGCCCTGTAGGTTTGTTGAATGAAGAAATTTATAAAGTTCTGATATTTATTTCACACAAATTGATATCTTTTAGAATAAAATTAAACAACAACACACAAATTAAAAATTCTGCAAATCATTAATTTTTAAAGGCTGGCATAAATGTTGATAGTGACATAATTATTGTTCATGGCTAAATAAAAACAAAACATCAACAGTAAATAAGGTTAAAAAAAAAACAAAATTGTGACAATATTTCTCACAAATATACAACCTGTTAAATTACCAGCTGTTTTCCTATTTAACAAATCATTTAAAATATTAGACTTCTGGTTCACTCAAACTGTGTTTAAATTATTATTAACAGTATTACCAGCTGCAAAACCCACATAATTGATGAGTTACACAGATCGGTTATAAAAAGTTACAAAAGTTTTGGTCCCAGTGTAGAGCCTCATGGCACTCTTGTTATATTTTTAATATCTTGAAGTCAGATTTGTAGTGTGCTAGCTGTTCATACTGTTTTCTGTGCTGAAAAAAAAATGTTATTCAGTTCAGGATTTTCTTCTGGTGCTGGGAGCAGGTGACAGCAGACATGGTGCACTTCTCAAGTCTGCCAGCAAAGATCGCTTGTGTTACACACTAACCAGTCCCAGGGAAGAGCTAACAAGATAGCGTTACAAATAGTTTTTACACAGAGAGTGAAATTGGGGAGAAAATAAGGGAAATAATAGAGAAAGAGAAATAAAGCAAACGGTGAAAGCTTAAAGCAAGATGACTCATCCAGAGTTCTGCACAGATACAAACTCAGAAATTCCTTTTCCATATTTCTGTGAACCACGAACGTTTTTATGTCAAGGCAAAGTAGTTGGATTTATTTATTTATTTATTTTGCACGATCTGCAGCACACAATGACTGTGAACTCTTACTATGGCGAATGTTTTGTAGGGCCTTAGAAACCAAAGGGTGACCTCACTGAGACTACTCCCATGTTTAAACAGACTTAGTTTGACCTACGTCTTTAATTCTGGCCTTTGAAATTAAAAACTAACATCTTACGTTTGGATTCAAAATTTGCCAGCGGACAAGTGATTTTTGCACCAATGTTTTCTGACTCTTCTTTTTTAGACAGTAATCAAACCCAACCTAACCGACTAATATTAGAAAAACATCTTTATTGTTTCCTTTTTTTAATAGCACTTCATAAAAAAGTAATGGGGGTTGGAATTTGAATGATTGAAACAGTAAAAACCTATACACTAAACATTAGCTTTATAACTGTGATAAAAACAGTGGGAGTGATGCATTTGGTTGAAGCAGCTGGAAAGCAGGCAGGTCCACGGCAGCAGGACATCTGCATCGGTGATCCAGTAGATCCTATGGAATGATGGAGCTCAGACTCCCAAAAAAGACCATTTATCAGTGACTCTAATTCAAAGTTGATGACACAGACAGAAAGAGGATGGAGAAGGAGGTAAAGGTGCTCAGTGTGCCCCTGGTGGTCTAAACCTACTTGAGTCTGGTAACTGACATCTCTAGACCACTTTTGGAGACAATAAGTGTGTGAATAAATGTTATCGATTGTTTAAAATCTCACAATTATGTATTATCAACCACAGACTTTCAACACTGACTCCACTCATTGTGATCACACAATCCACATTCTGAAGCACAGTGTCACTAAGGTTAATAAGTACATGTTTAGAGACCTCTTCAGACTTTAATGTAAGCACAGACCCAAAGCTACTGTTAACCTCCTCAGGTAAATACCACCCTCACCTGTGAGCCAGTTTTGACTTGTTTTAACACCCAATTAACAGAAAAACTCAGTAATAATCACAGCGTCTAAGTGTGTCTGCGTGCTAACGGAGTCTCTGACAGTAGGCATGTTGTAGCAGCCCTCAGGGTAAAGTACAGTTCTGCACGCTAAATAACGCAGTGAGCAGACTGGAGTTTAACATCAGAGCCACAAACCCTCCATTACTGCTCTATTTTTGTCTGACAAACGACTGTCAGCCCGCCTCTGCTGAGTTATTCTCAGCATTTTACTTTGTAGTGGTGAGGCTATAAAAGTGACAAACTGGCACATTCACAGAAAAACAAACTTCAATCAGTGTTTGTTGAAAGTCTGTCAAGAAAGTAGTTTAAAATAAAGACATTATACAGATCAGAGCAATGTTTTAATCCAAACTTCACCTCCCAAACCTCAAACAGAGGTAGCAGCTCTGGAAAGGGGTTGCCAAGGCAAAGCAGCAGGGGGCTTTGTAGTTGGGTTACCAATGCATGACAGCAGGGACAAAGGCCTGAAAGGAGACTTGCTGAACCGAAACTTGTTTTCAAAATAAGTCTCAGGATCCCCCTTTTTTCTGCAGTAATGACTCCACCCATGGTCCACGAGTTAACTGCACCATAATATAAGGCCTGATAGCTTCAAGGTCTTCAGAAGAACCTTTTCCTTTCACACATGATACCTGCAACCTTAAAGAGATAGTCCAGCGTAAAATTAGGTTAGGGTCAAACCCACCCTAACACCGAGTTAGACACCCCCTTGAGAGATTAATCTTGCTGACTGCTTGCTTCTCTAGTTATACCAACTTTAGTAACAACCGCATGATAGCAATACACAACTGTCTACGTCTCCACGTGCAAACCTCAACCAAAACAACACTATAGCCACAAATAATGCTCAGAACAGCACCTAACTTCATAAACAGTAAATGTAGGGTCCCAGCCATAGTACTAGCCATCAAACATCTTTTTAGCTTTTCCTGGTCTCTTTAGCAAAGAGACCAAACACAACTCACCAACTCACTTCCAGCAGTCGCTTGTTTGTAGGGAAAGCTCGGACAAGTCCATCACTGACTGTAGCGGGGTTACGCAGCTCGAGGAAGAACATTCATGATCGTTTCTTCATGGAAATGCAATTTCCGCTGAGGAAGAAGAAGAACTAAGGCATCCGTAGAGCAAAATGATTATTATGATGATTATTACCTCCAGTAAATGATGAAGTAATGATAGTAAATGTTCTTCCTTGAGCTGTGTAACCCCACTGCGCTTGGTGATGGACTCGTCTGAGGTCTCACCAAAAACAAACGGCTGCTGGAAGAGAATGGGTGAGTTATGTTTGGTCTCTTTGATAAAGAAACCAGGCAAAGCTAAGATGTTTGGTGGCTAGTGCTATGGCTGGGACCCTATATGTACTGTTGATGAAGTTAGGTGCTGTGCTGAGCATAATTTGTGGCTATAGAGTGGCTTTTTAGTTGAAGTTTGCGTGTGGAGCCATAGACCACTGTGTATTGCTAGCGTGCGGTTACTAAAGTTGGTATAACTAGAGAAGCAAGCAGTCGGCAACATTCATCTCTCGAGGGGGTGTCTAACCCTGTGTTACTGTGTGTTTGACCATAACTTCATTTTATGCAGGAATATCCCTTTAATAACATGGTTTGTAGTAACTTGGGACCAACTCTCCTGGAAAACCACAGTAGCCAAACAAATGGAGTTCCTCAAGTGGCCACTTGAGGCTGTCAGTAAAAGCCAAGGAACACCCAAAAAAAACAATTTGGGTCTGAATACCCCATGTCTTTACTTTCACATATTGAAGGTAGGTAATGAATTATCATTTCAAAGATATTAAAGCTCCTGTAAAGAGCTATTGACAGATGAAGCAGTTGTTGCTCCTCTTTTCCGTTAAACTCAGTGTATTATTTAATTCTGTGAGCACTGTGAACTTTTTATGTGGGAGCTGTAAAACCTGGGCTGTTTCTGTCACTGTCTTGGGTTATAAGGGAGGTACATTTGTGTATCATATGCTTAATAGTCACATTTGGTCTTGTGGCCAAGTGGAAGCAAATAGACAGAGAAGAGGATTGGACCAAGAATAGAACCTTGGGGAACACTATGGGGAATGGCGGCAGATGAAGAGGTTGAGTTGCCCATAGAGATACTGTACAGAAGGTTATAGCTGGGGGCCAAACCAGCAACTGTAACAACCAGGGCTACCGCCACCACACTGTAGTGCACCCTCAAGCTGCTGGGCCAATGCTGTCCCTGATAGTGGCTGAATCTTTGAAGCGGGTTAGTCAGTTAGCTGCCAGTGGTAAAGCACTAGATAACTATACATGTGTGGGGGTGGGAGTGGCTGCTTATTGGCTAGCTGTTAAATAAACCTGCCTGCAGGTGCAGATGAGGTAACCTAAGACCTACTAGATGCCACAGTTTTTCAAGGGACCCCTATCAGATTCAAGGCCATCAAACAATTTCCTGCATTAGTAAAATAGCCAAGCGCCATCAAAAAAAAAACATACAAGTAACCTAATGTTATGAAGACCCTGAAACACCATGGACCCTGATAGTCTTCAACAGACTCTGAACAGCCAAAATGATATTCTTAGTGCTCTAACAGACTCCAGGATAAATCCTCAAATAACCTTGAAAAAATACTCTCTCGAGCAACATTGGGCTGTCTTATCTTTTATGTTTTACAGACCCGTAAGTCTCCTTTGAGGATCTTTGGATCTCCTTGGTGAACTTCCTGAAGGAGGCCTGAAACCTCCTGGAGAACCCTGGGAACCTTTCCAGGCTTTAAAACCCGTCTCCCAGCCCGGTGATGAGGATAACAGCTGTCAGGTCCTGCGGGGGAAGGGAGCACGAGCCGCACAGCTGAAAGAAGCACATCGAACAGGCAGCAGCGCGCGACCGTGAGATCCTGTCAGGCCAGACAAAGCAAGACCGAATATGCGCACGCGGCGCTTCAAAATAAAGGCCAAATTTTTATTCATTTCGCCCTTGCAAATTTTGATTATCACAGATGAAATTCAATGTTAATTATGTAACTTACAAGTTTGTATTTTATATCCTTCCCTTTTCATAACAACAAGGTGAAGATGCAGTGTAAAACTAACTGCATTTAGCTGAGCGGACTAGAAATATCTTGCACAGCCCTGTTTCTACAGTGGCTACAGTGGAAACAAACTAGTAGGCTGTAATACACGCTTTTTATAAATAGTGAGTGGCCTAAATTAACTTCTGGAAGAGGAGAAGGGAACAAAGTTTGTATTTCTGCTCTTTCTATCTCATAAATATGACAGCAGTATTTCTGAATAAAGCTGTCAGTAAATCATCTTTTTCAAGTCAAATATTTATTTTTTAAAAAACTGAAAAAAGAGGGCTTGAACAAAAATCAGCATTAAAAATTCTGCCTATAATGACAGTAATCATGTCTGAGAAAATTTTAGTTTGCCTTCAGTCCTATTTAGTGCATGGTTGGGTTTTTTATCGTAACCTATACTGTTGCCATTCAGCAAGGGGAGCTCTTTATGTTTTTGCTTCATTGTCAGAGGACATTTTCATTTGTGATACAGTCTAATGTCCTAAAACTATTACATGAATGAGATAAAGTACGAAAATTAAGTCTATTTATAAAGTTTAAACAGTCACAGTTGACTTTTCTTTATTTAAGATCTATGAGAAGTGTAACAAACTTTCAAAATCTGCTTTTAGTCTTAAATGTCCAATCTAAAATCAGTTTTTATTTTGAAAGATGATTCCGGATGTTGAAGCTTTTGTTATGATGTACTTGATGAGGGAGTCTCGTGCCAGTCTGTCGAGCAGCGCGAGCCGCTCAGCTGTTTGAACCTCGGGCGGTATGTGAGACACCAAGTTTCAGAGTAAACGTTGAAACCGTTTTCTTTGGAGGTTATTGGCACATTTTTACGTCTTTTTCGGATTAACTGGATCCACGTTTGATTTCTTTTCCTTGTCGTCTTGATTTTCGGGTGTTAAATGTGGGAATGTGATTTTTATGGTGTCTAAACTCAGACTTGCGGCTCTTGTTCTGGGTTTTTCTGTGACTCTGAATCGGCGTCACCTGTCCGGTACCGGTGACGGTATTTAGTTTGAAAGGAAAACGAAAGACCGGATAAACCTGCCGGCAATGAGAGGACTGGTTCTCATTAGTTTGTGTCTTCACCTACACACATGCCGGGCTCTCCCCAGCCAGATGCCCGACCTCAGCACTGAGCCACCCGGGCACTTCTCCTTCATAGACCCGCTGTTAGACTACGACCGACTGGATGAGGAGCTGGGAGGCGGTGGTGTTCGGAGCGAGGCGGAGGGGGCGGAGGGCTGCGGTCCGTGTGAGCCGGAGCTGTGCCCGGAGACCCGGGGCTGCCGGGCTGGGCTTGTACTGGACCCCTGTGGGTGTTGTAAGGAGTGCGGAAACCTGGAAGGCCAAGCCTGTGACCCGGGGGACCGCAGCGTCTACTACGGCCTGTGTGGGACCGGGATGCGGTGCCAGGTGGACCCGCGGCCAGGAGGGACAGTAGGAGATGAAGATGATGAAGAGGAGGTTTGTGTGTGTGAAGAGCAGGAGGCGGTGTGTGGGAGTGACGGGGTCTCCTACATGAACATGTGTCAGTTCAGAGAAGCTGCTTTCTCCAAACCCGGACTCAAGACCAAAGGAAAGGGGCCCTGCAAAACCGGTATGAAACCTGGCTCTCTGTGTGTGTCTGTGAGCTTGCCTGTCCCTCTGCTGTCAGATTCAGAAACTTTTCAAACATGTAAATGTGGTGTTACTGGACTGACCCAGGCCTCTCCCGGGTCAGTCTAGATGGGTTGATGAAAGGCCTGATGTGGGTGGAAAAAGCCCCCCTGGGACCCATGTTTAGTGCCCGTGATCGCTTTTTAAATTATACACACATTTTCATTTTTATTATTAGTCTTAAATTATTTGGAGAGAACAAAACTTTAGATTGTTGGTTGAGCTGCAAAGTGAAAGAGGCATCAAACATAACTCAATGTAAACAATGACACAGTATATTGGAAAACTAAAAGTTAACCCAGCTCCTTTTTTGTTTCCTCTGTCGGTTTCTTGGCAAGGGGGCTAATACACTTACTGACAAAAAGTTTCTAATGTTTCTGATAATTGTTGATTTTCCAGTCAGATTCATTTTACATTTTAGGAACTGAAGTTAAACTTATAACCCATGTAAAAACACCCTACAGTGTTTCTTAAACTGCATCTTGAGGTTTTTTGAGATGTGAGACCCTGGGAGAATAAGACTCATATTTGTCTTTGGAGGAACAGAAGACAGATGGCAGATTTACAACAAAGACCCAGCCTCATGTGTTTCTCTGTAGCTTTTCCCTCCAGCTGCGACAAACATTCACATTCTCTGCTGCTGCCGAGGAAGTGCCTCCTTTCTCACTTTCACTGAGAAGCTTTCCTCACTGAGATGAACTCGGTCTGATTAGAAAAGCACGTGTTTGAGGAGTAAAACAGCAGAGGAAAATATTCTACCTGTGTTTTCTCAAACTCAATATATCCATTCATGCGTATTGCATAGAATTAACAATATTCTTAATCAGGTATGAAGCAAGTTTCGTGTAGATTCTAACTTGAGCTGCATTTACACATGCACATTTCTTGAATGTCTTAGCAAGAGCTGCATGTGTGAACACAAACAAGCAAATTCAAGAAAGTTTTGTGTGATCATGCAATCCCTCAAAAGCTGCTTCATACTTGTTCTCAAAACTGCAAATACATGCAATCAGGGTCCAGAACCTCCACAGTCAAGCACATCAGCATTGTACGTCAAATCAAGCCCAAGAACCTGCAGAACCTTTGACTGTCTTTGACTTGTAACAACTCTGTCAACTCCATCTGCTGCTGCTGCTGCTGCTGCTGCAGGGCTGCCACCCTCCTCTTCACCCAAAGCAGCCTGGGTAAACACAGCCAGACTTTAGAGCAAGTACGGGTAGAGATCATGATCCAGTGTTGAACTTGATGTTAAAATCAACTCAAGGCAAATTAGCAAACTAACCAAGGTGACATATGATTAAACTGTGAGGTGTTTAAGGTCGCACGAAGAACAACCATGAAGTCAAGTCATGACAAACAGAAGAGAGCCTTTCAAACCTCTGATATACAACACTTCTTTTCCGCTTCTGTTTTAATATTGCACATTGATGCACTCTAGCAGCCTCCTTTACTGTTGCAGTACAATACAATTTTGTCTTGTTTACAATTAGAACGGTACAACACAACAGCTTACAGTAAAATCCACTCGTTTCATGAGACTGTGAGCTTTCCAGCAATAAACTGTGAGTGTTTCTAAAGCATCTACAGAGAATATCAGTGTGTCAAAAAAAGATCAAAAACAAACATTAACCTGTGAGGATTTTTACACAAACTTCAGCAGAATATTATTTCTGTTGTGAGCTAGCTTTGTTATGGTCTATAGACCAATCAGAGGCTGTATCTGCAATCAGTTGGCCTGTATTGAGTCCAATCAGGAGCCAAGATTCCCCATCTTAGTTGGAAATGAAACAAGTTATAAAACATGTGTTGTTGAAAATACGTTTTTACAAACAAAATTAAAAACTGGATCGATTGCCTGAATTGAGCGTCCTTTTATGTCGTGTCCTGCTTCCTGTCCCCTTACCGTATGTACTTTCTGAAAAGGGCTCAGCATGTTTGAAAAGTCACACAGTAAGGAGTCTGTGGGTTTTGTTTTCCATTAAAGTTCAGCTGAACCAACTGTTGAACCCCCTTCGAATCACTGTGAAAATACAATTTCACATGAATGAAGGGTTGTTTGCTCATAGTAAGTCGGCCTTTTGAGATATGAGGCTTTCACTAGGCAGCATACAAACATATAATGCTCTTATAGGATTGACTGCATTGCTTCAGAATAAACAGGCCTGCAGGTTGTACAGTAGTTTAAATCTAGCAGACGTGAAAGATCAACAGCAGTGTATGTTCACATTCAAACATACAGATTATATTCAATATTTTTGATGCATGACTGTAGTGCTTTGACTGACAATAAAGGCCCAAAAATCTGTCGTGCTTGAGTTCAGGTATGTAGTTCAGCTAGCCTTGGATACTGGAGTGCTCACAGTAAGTACATAGAGGCGGGTGGAGTCAGGAGACAAAGATGTGTCTGACCCTGGATCAGTTGTGGTGGTTGGTGGATAAATGCTTAGAGCTTTAACTCCAGCTGTGAGATGAAATCTCATCCTTCGGAGGTTTAAAGACCTGATGGAGGTTATCAGGTCTGACTGAGACCTGTGTTGGCAACGGGGGACCCCACCCGTCTCTGTGCTGTGTTCTGACAAACAGCCAGTGTCGGCTTGGAAACACTCACTCACTGTTACCTCCTCCTCCTCCTCTTCCTCCTTCTCCTCCCATCAGTTTATCACCAAACCCTGCTGACCTCCACCTTCACCTCTGCTTTTGTTCAACTTTATTTGTACCTGTGGTGGAAATCAGTGTGTATGTTGTAAACTACCGTATAGCTTTATAACTTGTGAGTAACAGAGAAATGATGTGTTATTTTCAGCGCTGCTGTTTCACTGTTCAGTTCCATCAATAAAGTCAAAGCATGTAGAGCAGAGCAGTCCAGTGGTGCCCATTTTTAATAACTAGATCCTAGACGATGCTGCACATTGGGATCTACTCGAGCATATCACACTCTCAGCCAGTACAAGTCACCCTTTTACCGCCTTTGTCTAGAAGTTTTAGTTCCATAATGTTCCCCCTCATCAAGACGTTGAAGTTTGTGAAGTTTGTTGAGCAAACTTCACAACCTGACAGCACACAGGACCAGCTGTTTTCTCTTCTCCTCTGTACTGATCAGTTCCCTCTGTGTAGAGAGGTGTATGGGTAAAAGTAGAGATTGTATAATTAATGAACATAGCTTCGGTATGTATGTGGTTTCTGGTCATACTTGTCAAGTTTTTGCATTAGAGAATACGGACAATTTTCTGCCCCCCCCCCCCCTCCCAAATGTTCAAATGTTTGTTTTTTAAAAATATTATATTTATATTTGTTGATAGCTCCCCTGTGATGGGCCTCCTCGACCACAGACTGTAAAAAATTGTGAAGTGTTTATACATTTATACATATAAAAAATTGACTTAAAGTGAATTCTGTCAATCCAATTGAAGTTGGACTTCTAAAATTCATGTTAACACATTCAACGCACTGAAATCAAAATAAGTCTAACTTCTCACAGTCAAACTAACACACCTGCATAATGGGGTTGAGGCCAAAGCTGTATCTCGATGCATTTGCTTTTTGACCCAGTTCTAACAAAAAGTACAAAACTGCCTTAAATATACTAAAAATATTTACTTGTAAAATTAGAAAGAAAGGCTGACCATAAATACGACAGTAGAACAATAATTGATCTTGATGCTAATGCTTTGTTGGTCATAGAAAAATTTCAATGCTGATTCCAGTCAGTTTCTGAACTAGTGAAAAATCCTTCCTCCTTTCACATTGATATTATCCTGAAATGTGATTCATGAAGCTTTTGTCATTCTCCAGCGAGAGTTATAATCAGATCAGATTACAGCTGGCTGTGTTTATCCAACAGGTAATACCATATATTTTCATAATAGAGTGTTTTCACCCACAGGGACAGGCCAGACTTTTTCACTTGTGGATAATGGCTCAGGTGTATTTGAGGTTGATGCAGAAACTGTCATTATAAAAGACAAAAATGCCCCAAACTGAGCCTTTGGTCAAATTATCTTGTTTGAAATAAAGTATTTTTTGGAGAATACTGACTGCTCTCAGCTTAAGGACAGTCCTTCTCCAAATATTATGAATGCTATACAGGGATCGTTTAACTAGTTTTACTAGCAGCTTGTTTTAGCTTTGGTTCAGAAAACATCCCATCACACACATCTTTGACATCCAGATAATCCTCCTCCAGAAGCTTCCTCTCAGCAAATTCTTCAGATAGAGTGGAGAAATAAACTGACAGCGGTGAGATCTTCAACAAGCTAACACTGAATTACTCTGATTTATTAAAAACAAATTCAAATAATCTACTGGGATCAAACAGCACTGTAAAGATCCCCTGACTTGTAAATGTGCTGTATTTTTAAACCAGACTTTGATAAACTGTGAAAAGTTGTCTGCTGGTTATTAAAACAGAGTCAGTTAATGCTGATGCTTTTACATGATCCACAAAAACAAACCCTGACGTTTTCTCCCCCTTGAGTTTCACCCCAGTGTCCATTGTTTGTTACTTTTGGCAAAACAAACCCACCATATAGAGTCTGGAGTCTGTAGGTGTCACAGTGAGTTTTTTAATGATGGCTGGTGTTACACTGGTTTGACCGACTCTGAAGCCCCCCTAAACCATGTCCTGAAAACAGATGGGTCCCGGAACCAGCTTTCGATTCCCATCCCTACTAATGCATGCTCTGTTATGTAACCCACAGGTCTTTGCTGATGCTCTCCCTGCTGAAGGCTTTGGCACTCCACATACTCAGGTGGAAGGGCAGGCGGCTAGCAGACCAGAACAATGCTGCCAAATATAATTTATTGCATAGTGATAATACTTTTCTTTGGCCATAGTAGTCCTGACTGAACCACATTACGCAGACCTCTCAGATTTGGATTAGATTATCACAAAAAGTTGCTTTAGATTTGTGAAAATGCTATTTAAAACCACCACCACCACCACCACCACCAACAACAACAACAACAGAGATTTCACTGCTTTTTTCAATCAAAACCACATTGGACCATGCCCTGATTCACAACCATCTGCCTCAAAAACACAAAGTATTTCGGGATTTTGATCTGATTTATAAACCCATATGTCTGTCAAACATCAGACAAACAAAGAAACGTGCTGAGTGCTATAAAAGGCTCACATGTCTGTCTGTCTGTCTCTCTGTCCGTTTGTCTGTCTTGTAGTGCCCATCATTAAGGTCCCCCCTCACAGTCAGGTAAACGGGACAGGAAGCAGTCTGGTTTTCCTCTGTGAGGTTTTTGCATTCCCCATGGCTCTGGTGGAGTGGAGGAAGGAAGGCCAAGATGTAATTCTGCCAGGAGATGACCCCCATATTTCTGTCCAGGTGTGGCACATTAAATAACCCACAGGTAGACACTCAGATGGCTCAACAGACTTCTCATTCACCTCCTTTCTCTTACCTCACAGTCCAGAGGCGGTCCCCTGAAATTCGAGCTCTCCAGTTGGCTGCAGATTGAGGGGGCGGAGCCAGGGGACTCAGGAACTTATCGCTGCATCGCCCGTAACAACTTAGGTTCTGTGTCAGCGTCTGCTGTCCTGGGCGTGCTGGGAGCAGGTAAGAGATGATCAAACAGTCACTGTTCTTTGTTTTACTGTACATGGTGGGCTCCTTCAGGATGAGAGCGCCCAGTGCAGCTCTGAGCAGCAGAGAGTAAACACGCTGACGGCTCACCTCCGCTACCAGACGCAGGCAAAGAACAAACTGTGTAATTAAATTGTGCAGCATACTTTATGAACCCTCAGTAAGGAGGCATAATACTTATACTGTCGTTCATAAGAAATTCAAGTTATGTGCTTTTGGTGAAGTCACCCAATTGTTTGTTTGATAGATTTCAGAAAAAACATTTTGAAATATTTTATGCATTTGGTTTTAGGGAACTTAATAGTGTGGTCAAAAGTGCCTCAGAGTATTTATTTCTGATGCAAAAAAACCCTGTAAGATGGGTAAATCTGTTTCAGTCAGCCCTGACCATAACTCATATAAACAATCTTTTATTTTGAAAGGAGTTTCGCTGTCTGATTTTATTTTTCAGAATATCAAGTATCCCATTTCCTTATCTCTCTGTCTGTTCTCCTGTCTATCAGAGGAGCTGTCATCCTACTTGGCCAACAGTGTGTCAGAAATGCAGCAGCTGATGGACGCCACAGATTACGATCAAGACTTTTACTGATCAACATGTGATGTTACTTTCTGTCACCTCACAAAGTTTGGCCTGTCATCCTCCATAACTGACAAAACAACCAGCTCTCAGACACTCTTTGCCTGTTGGATCAGGCTGGTGCATCATTTTGTTGGACCACACAGACTTTAGTTGCCGCAGGGGAGGTCAGAGATCACATTATCAGCTGCAGACTCATCAACAGGCCAGTCTAAGATATATGTAAGAGTATCAAAGAATGGCTCATATCCTCCTTACTGTACTCTCATTTTACTCTGACAGCAGGCAGGGCTAGAACATGAAGGCTCAGCATGCTGAACATGTTGTAGATGCCACAGGTTCAAGCCCGAGACTCCTGTCAGTTCTACCAGTGTAAAAATATTTATATTATAAATAAAAGTCCAAAAACTAAACTGTGTCTGACAATTTTTTTAGACTCTTTTTTTAGAGGAAAAATAGATCTTTGTGTTTTTTATATGTTAACTGGATCAATTAACATATGAAATATATGTTAACTGGATCAGAGCAGACTGAACTCACAGCCACATACAGTGTAGTTTTCCACAGGGCGCTATACTTGGCCCTCCTTTATTCCTTACATTCATTAGAAGTTTGCATTTAATATTACAGAGGGTGTTTTTATTTTGTGTGCCAATCATATGAATATTTTAATAGCATACAAAGATAAATACGAATTGACATTACTGCCTCAGTCAGAGTTCCGCTTTCAGATTCGTATGTCGGATACAGAGGGATGCTTTCAGCAATACACTGAGATCAGAGAAAGATAAAGGCTACAGAGAGAAAATCTAAAAAAATCTCTCTATAGACACTCATTATGTCACAGCCATGATTCAGAAATACAAAACTCAAACACAAAAATGCAGCTTACATGATGAAAAAAACTCAGATCTCTTAGATAAGATGTCTTGACTTTGATGCAGATCAAACTCAAGTACCACTGAACTGTGAAATACCTCCATGGCAGGACTCCTTTGATAAAAATCTTGACCTCATACTGACCCCCACATTGTTGAACTAAACACAAACACAAGTTTTAAATCACATTAGGTGGCACAGAAATATGATCTGAGATTGAGCTGTACAGACAGCAGGACTTCCTGACACAGATTTAGACCACAGAAAGTTTAAACTCCTTTGAGACCAGCAGAAGAAATTAAATACTCTTGGTCTGTCCATCCCACGGCTTTTCCATTCAGAGGAAACTGAGTAAACATATGCTGAATCTATTAACAGTCTGAGACACGGCAGCTCAGCACCTTTTTGCCACAAAACAGAAAGATTTCATCTCATGCATCAACCAGAGTGGAAAATCTCAAGACTAGAAATCTGTATCATGGGACAGATGAGCAGCAAGAACCAGAACTGATACCCTGTGTTCATTTACATATTTCTGTTTAGCATATAAAATAGAAAGAGCCTCCTTGGTGTGCATACAGACTAAAAGAGGACTTAGTATTGAGCCTTGTTGAACGCCATGTAGCTGTAAGTTGAGTTTGCTTGTTCTCGCTAACATATTGTCACTTATTCAACATGTAGCATTGAATCTAATTAGGTTTGGTACCAACACTATGAAACTGAAGATTGGTATATAATATTTTACTGCCTGTTAAATTGAATGCTTAAGATTTATGGATAAATGTGCTGATGGTGAAGTCAGCTTTCACTTGCGTTTATTCCAGCTGACTTTATGTCTCCCTACCAAGATCCACTGAGAGGTCAGTTTTCTTTTTTACAGGAGCTCATAAAGAGGTAACAGGGTTCATATTTTAAATTCCAGCAGAAAACTCCTCACAGGATCTTAAACAAATGTGGTGCTACAGTTATATACTACTCTTTACTCTCTGTTGAGCTGGAGTGGAGTTTGTGTTATTTTCAAGATAAACAGATCTTCGACTTTACAGAAGAAACTTTTTCCATCCAGAATGAAAAACACATTTTACTGTGAAAAGACGACAGAGACTTAAATCAATAACAGACACTGACTTTATACTCTGAGCTGATGTGTGTGTGTGTGTGTGTGTGTGTGTGTGTGTGTGCGTGCGTGCGTGCGTGCGTGCGTGCGTGCGTGCGTGCGTGTGTGTGTGTGTGTGTGACATCCTGGGCTCCTGAAAACAGTCTTTACAGTACAAACAGAAAAAGAAGGTAAGCTTACAACCATTTATCTCAAACAAAGTGTGTTTGTTTATATTCTTATGAAAAACAGTATCTCACCACAACCGTTTTGTGTGTGTGTGATTGTGTGTGTGTATTTATTTTCCATGTTGTGACCACATGTTTGCAGTATAGAGTGATGCAAAAAACAATAAACATGCCAAAACTTGCATGACAGGAAATTCCTTAAAGCCATCTGTGGTGCAATATGTGTGTGTATTTGTGTGTCCATAAAAAATGCAAGGGATTGATGTCAGATTGCTTTATTTTCTGTTCATATAAATATCTACAAACCTGCTTTTCCTGAGTGATAAAGAAGGTTTTAACCAAACCAAACTCGTTTTTAAGTGTAAAAAATGAATAGAAATGATAACAAACAAATGGCTCAAAGATAAATTAGAATGAATAGTTTGCAGGGTTTAAAAAATCCACCTGGAGGACATAAGACTCTTATTGTGAAACTCTTAAGTCCTCCTCCATCATATGAGACACTGACAAGAAGCATCACCATTGCCTTGCAACCCACTGCCTGCAAATAGAGCGATGAAATCCACAGTACCAAAAATCTTCTATAATATGGATAAGATAAAACAACTTTCAGCAGGGACTCATTTTGAATCAACACATCCCACTAAATGGACCATTTCTAACCTCTTATTTTGATGCATGGTGGTAGCCTCCTCCACTGTTGCCATGCTACAAGGTAATGTTACTCTGTTTCAGTTGACAAGTAAATATGAATGTGTTTTTGAATACACATTTAAACCTCTGTTACATTTCATTTCAGCTACTGTCTCAGCATGAGTCTTTTAAGAACTCTGACAGCATCCTCCATGCTACAAAGTTATGTTTCTCTTTAAAAGACGCCCCCCCCCCCAAAAAAAAAAAAATAATAATAATAATAAGCTAAAGGATATAACTATGGTGCCCATGAAATCCTTCTAAAGTTTCTATAGCATTTCATTTTGGTTTTTGTCTAAGTATGGGACTTTGGTAGAATCCTTCACTGTTGCCAAGCCAAAAAGTTGTATTTCTCTGTTAAAAATGACAAACAAAATGAATACCACCATGAGGTCTTTGGAAACCCTTTTAAGCCTCTGTTACCTTTCATTTCAGCTACTGTATGCACCACATTAAAGAACTCTGGTGGCCTCCTCCACTGTTGCCAAAAAAGATTGTAGATTGTGTAGATTGTACAGCAGCTTATATTGTAATTGAGATTGTTTTCCAATAAGACCAATTCCTGAAACTGTTATGACACCTTACCGTTTCCATGAGGTGGAAAAAAATTACAAACTGGGTGAATACTCATGTATATACATATTTTCACTGATAAGATGTAAACATTAAATTAAGTAGGAGAATCTATTGAACCGACAACCACATCTTACCCTAATGTATCAGTAGTTGTTTTCTTTATTATTACTGTATTGTACTTTGTAATGTGTGTTGTTGGTATTATTTTATGTTGTTGGTCTTGGTTTTCAGCTTGAGATTAATTTGGTATATCTACTTGTTCTAGACTAAATCAGATTAACATCTGCCTACAGATGCTGCACACTTTACCTCCACAGCCCATGCAGACATATTTTAAAGTGTAGCAATAACAAACTGCAAGACCTTTTTCAGCGTCTTGTTGGCCCCTAATTTCAGCCCCCTGGGTGTAGTTGGCCTGACTACTGTGCCCTCTTAAAGCCACATAAGTTAGTTTGCAGCATTTAATGACCCTGTGAATATTTGTCTTCACTAAATCACGAATTTCCTACATGGAGCTGAGAAACCCACTGTGCTGCTGCTTCTCCGCCTGAGAAGGGAATCCAGGAAATACCAGCAGATTTAAATAACTTCCAGACCTCTCTAGCCAATTGGAGCCATCGCCTGGAGTCTGGAAACACAGAGCAATATAGACTTTATGTCTTTATTTATTTACCTGCAGATAAACCCGTCCATGCAGCAGATATGATGTTAATCAGCATCACTGTAAACAATTCAATTAAGCATTAGAACAACAAATAAACACATCATGTACTTCAGTTAAAAAAATAGGGTAAAGCTAAAAACAAAGCAGTTGAACAAATTAAAGACAGCATTGTGTGATCAAACACACAGTTAATCCAAGATAACATAACATGGACACTTCAAATACACTCCATAGATAACAGAGGGTCTGTTTTCCAAGCCTAAATTGCTGCTAAGAGAAGTTTTAGTAATTTATACAAAAAATACAAATGGACATTATGCAAAAAAAATACCCAACGACTGTAATGAGGCTTTGAGTTGTGCGATAAGTCTTAAATGTGAAGCTTTTTGTGTGATTGCTAACGTACATTACCGTTCTTCAAGTGGTCGCAGTTTCTCCGCCAAACCTGCAGGGGCGACAGAGGGGTTCAGATGCGACCAACGAGTAAGTGCGTGTGTTAATGTGCTAAGTTAGCTTTAACAAGAGTCTTCTGAGCGTTAAGGTGGGATAATTGTACTTATTTCAGACCAAATAGGTAATTTAAAAGATGATTATACCTGCCAAACGGCGAACAAGGATAAGTCCGGGTATTTCTTGTTGAGTGGATTCGCTTTTCCCCATTAACGTTAGTAAAACTACTGTTATCGTGCGAATGTCCATTGAATATTTTACAATATAAAGTTTGTATGCCGAAAACTGAATCGAACCCGAATATATATCAGTAAAAGAGACACGACGTGAATTTTCGTCTGTTAGGAGGAAATTCGGCTTAGATATTAAACTAGGAAAATACATGAATTTGGTATTTTATAACCATAAACATCGGCACCAGTTTGGCACAGGATTCAGGCTATCAGTCTGTGGTACAGCTGAGGGGTTATTAAAGTCCAGTTTGATATGACAGTGGCTTCCAGCGTGCCCATAACCATGTGTTGGGTATTCTCAACTATCTTTTGACAATACTCCACAGATTTTCCTCGGAGTTCAAGTCAGTCATTAAACCACAAAGTAGTTATTTCGGCGCTGTGGACAGGTGCTGAGTCCTGCTGGAAAAGCACCATTATAAAGCTTCTCAGCAGACAGAGACATTTACAGGTTAATAACAGATTTAAAATTGACTCAAACTTGAAATTGATTATTCCACATTTTGAGATGAAACCATTGATATTTGCGGGGAGAAGCCCGAAACATTTCAGTTTGCATGTAACAAGTCAAGAATAGTTTAGATATTTACTTGCATAAAAACTGCTGAGAGTTTTGATCTTTTTTGTTTCTATGTGCAACATGCATCAGTTTTATTTTTGTCTAGTTTTCTTAGTCATAAATTTACCATGAAATACATGCAGGAAGGTGTTGGCATGAGAGGTCAAAGGTCAACAGTTGAAAACATGGTCAAACAGCAGCGGAGAGCCGACAGGTTAGGAGGGAACATGTGGGAACAGCTGTGATACATATTAAAGAACCAGTAATACTTAAATAAGGTTTTCACTCATAAAAATCTCCCTGCAGGTGTCTCATGCCTGCTGTTCAATTCCCTGTGGACCCTATGTGGAGGAGACAGCCCACTACTCCACAGGTACACTGAGAAATGGCACCACCCCACCATCTGACACAGACTTACTGTACTTTCACCAACTTGTCTTTCTTTTACAGGTTTCAGGGGAAAAGTCGGCAGGGTCAGAGACAGGAGGCTCTGACAGCAAAGTAGGCTGCAGCTCTACCACCACAGAAGAAGAGAAAGGAGGCCTGGGACCAGATGGAGGTCCAGGAGAGACACAGACAAAGAGGGCAAGACTTGAAGGGTCAGTGACGCAATGACATTAGGGGTTGAGGGCCAAGAACCATAGACTGTATATAGAATGGACAGAGTCTGTCTCCTCGCTGGGTGAAGCCACTCCGAGAACAGCACCCTCTGTTGACGTATAGGTCATAGATCCCGCCTCCGCCAGCAAAGCTTATGGAGCTGTGGACAAACTTCAGAAATTTATTACACAGAACATAAATTTTTCTTCCCCCCTGGTTGTGATGTTGACATGTAGTTATTGTAAGACTGGTTTGTGCTCAAGTCCTCTTTTTTCTGTACAGCTCAATTTTTAAAAGTTATTAGGGGGTTCATGTTTTCTATGATTGACACTTGATCCAGCCTATGGGTGTATGAAGATTGTGTAGCTCACCCAGGAGATACGCTGTTTGAGCCGAGCGTCATCACAGCAAGTGGTGGAGTACATACAACGCTCATGCACAATGTTGGTTTCAGGAAATGGAGAAAAAACGCAGAGTTACCGAGAGCTTCAAATCCGTATACTGGCGGGAGGCAGAACCAAGTTGTCCATAGTAAATACAGTCTATGCCCAGATCAGGGTTCCAAAGTTTGAACTTTTTCCTGAGACAGATTCCATCAGTCATTCCATCATTCTATCACTGGGGAGTGCATCGAGTACTGCTATATAAAAAAGGGGGAAAAACTAGTGTGTGTTTTTCGTTTCACAGACCTCAGCAGGCTGCAGCTGTAACCAGTGAAGAGAGAGTCCTTAAGTTTTCAGGAAGTGAGAGCAGCTCCATACAAGGTACTCAAGGTGGATCATCAGCGTCCCCCATCATAGAGGACCAACTCACTGTGTTGCCATGCACTGTGCTAAGTGATATGACCTCAAATAATTATCATTTACTGATCATTTTATCTTTTGTGGATGATTAACTGTTATTTTGACTTTTGTTGAGTCAAGGGTCTTCATAAGATGTCTAAACCCATTGGGACCCATATCTTAAGTGATGTAGTGGGAAACAGCATCTGTCTAATTTTCCCTTAAAGTCCCACTCCCACTCTACTTTTTTTTAACCATTAAAGTGTTCTCAGTGGTCTTTAAATTGTGATTATGAATTATTCTCTGTATTGTTCTCTGTAGAGCTCAAGTAGCTCATGAACAATTTGCGTCTGAGTTGTGCTACTCTGCACACTCCTCTTCATGCTAGCTTGCAACATTGCCCGTACAGCAGAAGTAGCAGGTAATGTAGAAGCTATTCAGCTGTCAGACGCTTGTGTCTTTGGGGACATGTTGAAAGCTAATCATAATTATCTTTCATACGAGCATTGCAATCTGCTAACGCACATGCGTTTTATGTGATCGTCCTTTCTACTTCTTGGAGTGTGGCCTGCAGAGTGGGCCGCCAGTAGTGGAGCTTGGATTTGTGAAGTAGGAAATCCCACTGTGTCTGAACCTACCGTTTTGGTCACAGCGATTTGAATGCAGAAATACTCAGAAATGCAATTTTGCGCTTAGTTTTTTCATGATATGTCCAAGTGTGGTCACTTAACCCTTACATTTCACTCCCCAAGTAGGTGCATAGGCTCAAAAACTCTGGAAACTTTCCCAGTACATCAGACCTTGTAAAAAAATTATTTTAATGGTGTTGGACATAGGTATGAAAATCAGCTCACAAGTGCCCCCTAACAGTTTTTGAAACTCCAAAGAGAACTGCACAACTACAGTTCAAGGGTTCAAATGTCTGTGTATGTGTGTGTTTTTAGATGGTGTTTCATCCAGATTCACTCTAGATCAGCAGGAGGCAGCAGAGCTCAGTGAGGACAGCAGAGCTGCAGAGGTGATGTCAGGTGGACAGTAGTGTGACATTATCATTGACTTTGGCCCAGATCCTGACTGTGTGTGTTTGTGGGTATCAGCTGCAGAGCGTGGCGTCCCTGAAGGTCACCATCCAGCAGAGCAGCGAGAGCAGAGAGTTCGGGCAGACAGACAGAACAGCTGACAGACAGACAGGCGGACTCCACTGCCATGTGTGTAACATCAGCTGCCACTCCGTTCAGGTATGAACAAACCTGCACAGGTGGTCTGCAGCAAATCATCTAAAAGCTGATTTTTCTTCATCTGCATGATGGTTTAGGTCCTCACAAATATAGAGGTCTAAGTGTTTGTGTGTGTGTGTTTTGCAGGTATTTCAGGAACACATGACAGCTTCAGAACACCTGATGAAGATAAATGAGATCACACAGTCCATCAGTGTCAAGGATAGGTAAACAACACACACACACACACATTTGTTGTCCTATGCTCATCCATTTTACAGACACTGGCCCTCATTTATCAATCTTGCGTAGAACTGAGTGCAGATCTGAGTGCAGGATTCATAGTCCGATAGGACACACGTGAGATTTATGAAAGGGTTCGTATCTGACCAATCCCAGCGTACGTTTGATCGGGTCTTGATAAATGCGGTGGCTGAAATCAATCGTCATTAACATGTTTACGCCCTTAAATATTCATGGTTCAGAAGCCTCGTCCACTGAGGTCAAACATGAAAGAGGAGAAATGTTAGAAAGATGCGAAACTTTTCCGAGCTGAAAGTGGATATCCTCACGTCTGTGGTGGAAACTAACAAGGATTTTCTCTTTGGAAGCATCAAAACTGGTATAAAAGCAGTCCAGAAAACTCCTAGGCCATGAGCCAGGGGGGTTGGTCGGTATCAACTGAGGGGAATAATGCTCATAGTGATTTTTGACATTGTATACAGGTATAGAGTTAGAAAATATGTGATAGCATTGCAGCAGTGGTAGCTAAATGGGTGCTATCATGCATTTTATTTTATAACACTAGGTGAAAATTACATGGGTCAATATATGAAAACATACAACTTAACCGCCCAAAAAACCTATAGAAAGGGTTTCTTTTCACCATACATCATTTCTATAAGGTGTCTAGACTAACATAATATAAAAGTCCTATGAAATCCTAGTCGGAAAAGTATGTTAATTTTGCCAGACAACAATACGCAAATGAGCTCAAAACTCATTAAAATTTGCCCAAAATACTCATTTTCCTCTGAACTATTATCACAGTGAAACTATTATCACAGTGAAAGCACATTGAAAGAGGGTGATGGCAATGCTGCTTTTGGACTGGCCTCTAACCTGAAAACTGCCCGGCTTGGTTGTACCTACCAGGGGTATAACCCCGGCCGGTGTAGTTTTCAGGGTCACTGAGGCACATAAGGTAGCAACAATAGGGGAGGGTTTTTTTTTTTCTTTTTTTTTTTTTGTATGTTTTTTTTCTTGCCTGGACCCAGGCCCCCTTCTCTACATGTCAGAGTTATCAAATAGGCCTATTCATTAAGGACATAACAAATTTATCTTATTTTATTTACGTCTTTATCTTTAATTAAATCTGGCTGATTGTGTTTAATGACAGGTTTGAGGTTTGTATATCAATTATTTTGCGACAGACATTTGCTGCACTGCAAATCTGCACTTAATCAAACTTGCGTACACGATGTGAGACCTGTCGTGACATTTGATCGTATCGTACGCACACGTTCGAATTGATAAATGCCGATCCTTGCGTGGAAATGGTCGTATGTATGGTTTCTGCCATACATTTGTTTGATAAATGAGGGCCATTGTGCTGTTTATTTAAGCAATTTCATTTCATTGTTCCACCTATGTCCTCCAGGGGGCGTCCATCTCATACACAGCGCTGGTGTGACACCTGTCAGGCTCACTTTAGCGGTGATGTCATTACCCACAGACGGACCAAACAGCACAAGGTGGGAACACTTCTCAAACGTAGCTGTTTTCATTTGGATTTCTGTAATGGGAGGTTTTTCCTCCTCAAGTGGTGACGTCTCTCCTCTCTCTCTCCAGAAGTGTAAGCAGCTGTGTTGGCCCTTCTGTTCGGTGTGTAAACGTCACTTTAGGACGCCCAGGAAGTTTGTGGAGCACATGAAGTCTGCAGAACACAAACAGCAGGTCAGCAGGGGGCACAATTTACACATTAGTTTCATTTACTCATTTTTTTTTTTTTGAGCTCTGTAAGACTGACTAAACATTTCTGTCTCCTTCAGGTGCAGCAGGAGAAGGCTCAAGAGGATGAGCTGATCATAGTGGATGCAGTCGGCTGCTTTAAGGGAGAGGAGGAGGAGGAGGAAGAAGAGGAAGAGGAAGAGGAAGAGGAGGTGGAGGAAGAAGTAGAGGTAGAAGTAGCTGAAGTTGAAGAAGAAAACGCTCCAGGAACAGAAGACGCAAGGGAGGAAGCATTTGAGGTAAAGACCTCTCACCTGCTTTGTGATAGAGTTTAGTGTGATAGAGTACTGTGTGGAAAGACCTCACTTAGTGTGTGTGTGTGTGTGTGTGTGGGGGGGGGGGGGGGGGGGGTTTGTTTGTGTTACAGGCAGCAGATTCATCCAAAGCTGACCCAGAAGAATATGACCCTCACACCACATATGGTATGTACCTGCAGCTACAGAACTGGTGTGTTTACACCAAGAGGTCCAGTTTGGTTCAGCAAACCCTGATCTTGCCTGGGTTTTACATCAGACAGTCCCGTACCCTTGGACATCACAGAAAAAGCCTCCGAACAGCATGGTTTCTGTGCCGTACTGTATGTCCAATAATCAGACTGTTAAGACTGTCAGGGCCACCAGACATACAGGAACAGAACAAACCCAAGGTTGTCTGAAGAGGCCGCTAAGGTTCTGTATGTATCGCCAAACTTGTCTGGAACTATAGTTGGTTCAAAGCTTTAATCATCGATCCTGAAGTTTTGGCTCATCAGTCTATTTGTTTTTATTAAGTTCATAAAATCTTAAAACATGTCGAGTCTTCAAATTTAATAAAAAAGGAAACCCTCATGATAAAAAAACAACTTCCACACCTGCAAGGTCAAACAACCTATCACTCCTCCTCACACCTGGAGACTTACAGCTTTGTGTCAGGGCTCCACCCAGTGTTCAGAGTCAGAATTACATACTAATTAGTCAAGGATTCTTATCTCAGTTAAAGACAAAATCAAATTAAATACAAATTTTAGCTCCAATCAGGAAAAAAAAAGTCTGGAATCAAATATCAACTGGACTTCCTATAGTTTGATGCATTTTGGTTCAGTCTTAAAAAAAAAGGTGTAGCTCAACTATTTTCTATTACTTTTTCCTACATTAATGTTATTTTTTGGTTTTATTTTGGGTACACTTAAAAATCTCACAAAAAGAGCTGTTTTTTTAAAGGACAAACTTGACTTCCAACTTGATTTTGATTCTAAGATTAAAAGATAAACTAAAGTAAGATAAAATAAATATCAGTGCATCTCTCTGTGCCTCCACAGGTGGTAGTTTTGTGGTTCCTGTTTCGGGCTTCCTGTGTCGACTATGTAACAAGTTCTTCTACAAAGAGACGACAGCACGACACACACACTGCAGGACACACACTCACTACCTCAATCTGCAGGTAACACACACACAGACACACTCGCCTCAAGCTAACCTTTATCACCAGGACATGAAGCTGGAGTCTTTAAGCTTATCAAAGTGTCAGTGTTAACTGAGATGTTAACAGAGATGTTTCAATCCATCCTGCTTCAGTATGACAGGCTGCAGCTCACAATCCAGCTGGTACACAAGTTTCTTCTGTAAGATGTTTACAGTCATCACCTGCCTGGTATAACTGTTGTGTGGCTTCCTCAAGCAAGTCTGTGTGCTTGTGTCTGAAATTTAAAAGAGGTTTAATGGCTTGTGGTTAATGTCTTTGACAGAAAAAAATATTGGATTGGACTGGATTAGATTAAATTGGATTGGATTGAATAGGATTTAGTTAGATTGGTCTGAATTGGATTAAACCAGACTGGACTAGACTGGTTTAGATTGAACTGGATTAGACTGCTTTGAATTTACTGGGCTGGACTGGATTGGGTAGTATTTATTGTACCAAAGGGGTTCATTAATTTGCAATAAAAGTCTATGCAAGCGACATGTCATAACACAGGCAGTATACATAATCAAAAAACATACATTCATACATATAAATTAAATGTGTTACTTCAATGGACACACAGATAAAATCAAACTGTAATTTTTCTTTTCCAGAGTCACAGAGCTCAGAGGAAACATGAAGATAAGGAAAGATCTGCTCTGACCTGACACTGATTCAAAGTTTTTCTTCTGTCTGCTCTACAGAGAACATATTCACATACAATGAGCCTGTTTACAAAAACAATGTACAGTGAGTGTTGAGAGAAAGGTTGTTTGCTTTAAAGAGAGGTTATTCTGCTTTTTTTCATGTGTAACAAAGTTAAAATGCAGGATGTCAGGCCTAAATGTGGGCTTAGTTAAAAAAATGGAGGTAAGAACGAGTATAGCAGTAATCTCCAGATAGGACAGCAGGCTGCTTTGAGCGGCTTCTTCATAAAAATGTCACAACAATCCAGTGAGAAAAACAGGAGACTCTCCCAAAGTGTGCAATCCCTTACTGTAAATTCTCTTTAAAAGAGTGATTTATTTATTTTAAAAATATAAAGATGCTACAAAGATTTGTAGCATGGCAGCAGTGAAGGGGGCTTCACGAGTGCTGGGATCTGAAGAGCTTGGGGGGCCTTGAATAGGTAGGAGCTGAAATTTCAGACTAGGGCTGATCCGAGGGTTTTAAAAGACACCAAGAAAAAATTGGGGGAAGTAAATTATTATTATTATTGTTATCATTATCGTTTTATTTTTGTGTTTTTTTTTTACCATCAGAGTACTTAAAGAGATTTTTACCATTTATACTGAAAGTTCCTTTTTATAGAAGAAAATGTAGACTTAACGTGACTTTTTGATGCTAATTTTTATTTTGTTTAATATATTGATAAGGTAAAATGAGACTGTTATTGATTAAACTTTTGATAAGCCTTATTGTTGCATTTTACTTTGTTGTATTTTATTTGAATATTAAGTTATTTTCTGAAAACTATATAAACTATATATATAAATTCTCATTTACTGATTCATAAACTTTATTTGATCATTAATATTTCTGTTATGCTTTATAAATGGAAATAGGCAGATACAACACAAATAATCAGCTGTCCTGGTTTTTATATGGACTAAATTAACTCTATATGATGTCTTTTATAAAGGGATCATCATGTTAATTTCCACCGGGTTAGTCAGACAGCTTACTTCTGCGGGATATCAGCACTTTTCAGACTGTCTTCGTCCACGTGGCATGTGTCACCATGTCCACTCCACAGGGGGCGCTGTCCCCGCACAGCGCAGAGGATTGTGGGTCGGAGGAGGCAGAAGCGGAGCATCATCCTCACCCCAGACAGACGGCGGGCCCGGACAGAGAGTTCTCCTGGACTTTTAACTGAACTGGAAGCCGTTTCTCCGCACTGAAGTGCCTTAACAGCGGAGGGAGAGATGGCACACGGAGACCTGATGAGCCAGGCGGAGGACGTGGCGGACCAGGTGAGCTGCTGTGCCGACCAGAGACAGGCTGCGACCCCGGCAGACAGCTGTAGTCCGAATGTCCAATGTCACCAAATTCCACTAGAAATCTCGAAGTTTTAAAGATCTTTGAACAACATGTACATTTGTCGTGGATTAGTGTTGTGTATCGTTCAATTCGGCATGCAGAATATTCAAGCATAGCTAATTGTAATGAGAATAAACTTAGTATAACTTTTACTAAATCACAGACTGTTGGGAGTCGAGTTTTCTTTGGGCAGAATTAGGGTGTAGCTCTTCGGTCAGTTGCGAAATCCGAGTGTTACTGAAATACCAGGTGTGACTTTAAGGTGAAGTTAATCATGTTAATCATGAAGTAGTTTTTATCCCTCGACCTTAAAGCCTTTATTTGTATAAACTTGTAATGGATGATGCAGGAGCCGCAGATAAAGCCTTAAATTCTCTTATTTTTGTATGGAGTCTTGTATGTTCGCTTCACCCCAAACACAGAACATTTATTAGGTAAAAAATTCCCCAAATAAAAAGAAAACGACACGTTGGTAAATTAACCTCAATGCCGAAGTGATGACTGATAACTAACTCTAAACAATAGGCCTGTTATTATTATCTGCTGTTAGTGAATGATGCAGGATGAGAAAGAAAACTTTGAATTCCTTCATTTTCATATGGACTCTTGTATTCGGTTCGCGGCATTTTATGAGTTTTGGATTTTGGGGTTCATATAAAACATTGAAGTGAAACCTTAAATATCGCCTTTCTTTTTTGTGTCTCTATATAGTATATGTGATAACTGCTTCATAAACATCTGGATGGACGAAATCAAGCATCGAAGCGACAGTGAAATCGATTGAAAAAAATCAGCCATGATCATACGCCGAATGAAAGAAGTAGTCGTGGTTGTGTACATAAAGTCTTATTTTACCTGTACTCGGTTGTAAATTTTTGCCGACAAGCACTGAAAGTTAAATTAGCAGATTTCAGTACGGAGACTGGTGTGGGGAATGTAGCACCAAGTGAGCCGAAAACAATAAATCTGAAAGTTAGCCCCATCATAGTGAAATAAGAAGAAAATATAAGGAAATTAATGCATACGTTAGCGTATTCGTTACAGTTTTGTTGCAGGTGTGCAGTATAAATCACTTCCTACTATTGCAACAGGTAGTTACGGTGCCGCTGTGTCAAAGTGCGGAAATGAATGAGCACTGCAGTTTGATAACATCCCCATCTGATCACTGTGATATTGAGCAATACTCCACCGTGGACAAAAAGACTTCATCTACTTCAGGAAGCAGACTGATGAAGCTGACTGGCTGCCACATACACACTCTGATCATAATGGTACTAGCCTGCTGCTAGTCTCCTTAGCTCAATGAAACCAAATGCAGCCAAGCTACACGTCTGTTTGTCATGCTGCTGTTGTACCTACAGAATGTGGTTTGTCATTGTCCTGCTGAAACATGAAGGTATTTAAAAAAAAAAGCCATTGTCCAAATGGCAGCATATGTTGCTTCCAAACTTTCATATGTACTTCAGAGTCAATAGTGACCCTGGATGTGCAAGCTACTCCTGCTAAGAGCACCTATGCGTCCCGTACCATCACAGATGCTGACTTTTGGATTATGCACTTGTAAGCAGCAGTGTAGTCCCTCCACTCTTCAGAGAAGAGGATGTGGTGTCCATGATTTCCAAAATGAATGTCAGTTCTTGATTTTTGAGATCACAGGACTGTTTTGTCACCACGCCTTGGTCCAGCTTAATCAAGTTTGGGAGTTATTCTGAATCCATTTTTACTACAATTTCTGCTTCAGAGTCATGCCAAAGTATTAAGATGTTTTCTGACCGTGTCACAGCCATTGGCTTTAGAGACCTGATGAAGACGTTAAATCTGCATGTGAAAACACAGCTAGAAATTCTAAACCTCTCCAGCTTTTATTAGCCATCACTGACCACCCCTCTCTCTCCTTTGATGTAGTTCCTGCGGGTTACCAAACACTACCTCCCCCACATGGCCCGGCTCTGCCTGGTCAGCACCTTCCTGGAGGATGGGGTCCGGATGTGGTTCCAGTGGGGGGAGCAGAGCGAGTACATTGACGCTACCTGGAGCTGTGGACGCTTCCTCGCCAACATCTTTGTCCTGCTCAACCTGCTGGTGCAGCTGGGTAACAAACACAACTTGATATGTCGGCTTTTCTAGACCTGTGAGAGCTTTTCCTGATGTGATGAGTGGATCTCTGTAATCGCATTGATCCAGTAACTGGGCAAAAATCTGATTTGATCTGTTGTTGTGATGAGGAATATCAGATGGTGTGTTTACCTGTGAACAGACTCAGCGTTCATTCCTACACTCTGTGTCTATAGGCGGCTGTCTGTTGGTCCTCAGTAGAAACTTTGTCCAGTACGCCTGCTTCGCATTGTTCGGGATCATCACCTTACAGGTAAGAACTCACAAACAAATGCACAAATTACCAAAGCAATTCAGACCACAAAACTCAGAATATTGTGTTTGTGTAGTCCTAAACTTTGACTCCTCCTTGCAGACAGTGGCCTACAGCATCCTGTGGGACCCAAAGTTCCTTATGAGGTGAGTTTCCAACCTTTGCTCAGGTGCATCTTTGTCTTAAATCATCAGCCAAAATCACAGCAGCAATCGCTGACTAAAATCAGGTTCATGGAAGAATCTGATGGTCAGGATTCGCTGATTTTGAGCTATAGGATCTGGTTTTGTCATTTGGAGTTTTGTAGATGTGTGTTCTGGTTCTGTCAATATAAATATTACTTTGACCAGAACATGTGTGCTCAACAAGACCTGTTTGACTGCATCATAATGTCACTTTGAGGATGTACCAGAGCTAAAAAGTGGGTTGGGTACAAAAAGGAAGCCAACAGGAGGTGTGAAGAATTCATATTTACATCCCTTCTCCTCCTGCTTTCTGCAGGAACCTGGCGTTGGGGGGAGGCCTCCTTCTCCTCCTGGCAGAGTGCAGGGGAGAGGCTCGCAGTGTGTTCGCAGGAGTTCCTTCCCTCGGCGATCAGAGCTCTCCGAAGAACCTCCTGCAGCTCGGAGGTCGAGTCCTCCTTGTCCTCATGTTCATGACGCTGCTGCACTTTGACCTCAGCCTGATCAGCGTGAGTGTGGCACACAAACACACTCAGGAACCTCAAAGGACATCACATGTAGATTTTCTTGAAACTAACACTGAACATAACCTTTCAAAAATGACAAAAAACACTTTTCTAGCTTTTGTTGCCAATAGACTGTAAATCATTTGTTTCCAGTCCTTTGTGAGGCTCCAGATCTGTACCTGCTGTTACTTCCCTGTTTTTAGAGTCACCTGACTCTACTTATAGATTGTGGTAGAGCCATTTCTGATTTTAAGTATTGCGTGCAAGTTAGTGTTGTGTTCGTCTTTTGTAATGCTCTTGTTGGCCCGGTAGGTGGCATGTGTGCTACCATAGGGTGAGGGGGAGCTGTCTCACAGTGGCTCTGAAAACATTAAGGAGGGAAAAATAAAGTCTACACAGAAGATAGTTCACAGTTTGACCGTTCAAGTCAAGTTAAGTCGTCCCTGAATGCATCACTTGTTTTCAAAGTGCAGCTCAGACCCTGAACTGCTCTCCTCTAGCTGTGTGGGAGTCCTCATCATTTCCTCTTCTGCTCTCCAGGTCCTACAGAACCTTGTAGGCACGGCGCTCATTGTGCTGGTGGCCGTGGGCTTTAAGACGAAGCTGGCGGCTCTGACTCTGTCTGTTTGGCTGCTCTGCATCAACTTCACCTTCAACGCCTTCTGGAGCATCCCCTCGTACAAACCCATGCACGACTTCCTCAAGTATGACTTCTTCCAAACCACATCGGTGATCGGAGGCCTGCTGCTGGTGGTGGCGATGGGGCCTGGAGGGGTCAGCATGGACGAGAAGAAAAAGGAGTGGTGAGGAGGAGACGAGAAGAGGGAGGAGGTAGAGCTGATCCTTAACGGACAAAGAAGAAGTGATGCTGAATGAGGAGAGGAAGAGGAGGAAGAAAAGAAGGACCCGATTTTTTATTCCAAACATTTTAAAAAAGAAATGAAAAAAAAAGAGTTTTTATCATTTTTTATTCACTTCCAGAACATCGTCATATGTGACTGATGCACATCTGGGCCCTAGTTTTTATAACAGAAACACCAAAGTTGCTAACAAACATTAGTTGACAAATAGAGGCACAGTTTCGATTGAGCAGAGCAGAAAAAAAAAACAGTTTTTAATTTTATTTTGGATCTGAGCGTCTAGTTGGTCTATCTGCAGTGTTTCTGGCTGAGTTCTCCTGAGGTAAGAGAGTTAGTGGTTTGGTAAACATTGAAAAGAATCTTTCTGCTAAAGCAAAATAAACGTTACATTTGCTGGTCTGAATCATCCATCCCTGCATTATTTGTCCCTTTCCGAACCTTCCAGTTCAGATTGAGGGTCAAAACATAGCGATATTTCATAATTCATCTCTTTAAACAAAGACAAGTGACTTCGTAGCATAGCAAGAGGGAAGGAGTCTGCTCTAGTGCTGGTAGCTTTAAAAAGACAGGAGCTGGAATCGGGGCACCAGACTTGAAGCTCTCCAAACCACAGCTCAGGGGTTCGGATCACTGAAGTCATCTGAGGTGTCTGAATGTGATCCATCAAACCAGCCTGCCTTTGGTGCCACAGGTTTTTGTTTCTACTGATTTTTATACACCTGTTCCCAGATTAGTTAGAAAACACATGCCATTTTTCCTCTTCTTCCTCCCCTCAGGCCTCACATTGACCATTCAGAGACTCCCTGAGAGTCACATGATGTGTGAGCATTGTATGAATGCTGCTGTTTAAATGTTTTTACTGCCAGGTGAGATTTGACACACAGAAAAACAGGATCTGAGTCTTCATCAATCAGCTGCCTCCATCACCTCTCATATTTAAATATTATTTCTGGGTCACTGAATATTTCTTTGAAGATATTGTAATGACTGGAACTGTGCAGCAGATGGAGCTGTTTTCCTGCAGCACAAAACAACACGTTCCTTTCTGTCTTTTTGTAACATGATTTGATTCCCACCGTTTTTTTGTTTCGCTGTGTGAAAAGCATGACAGCATCTGTGTGTGTCTCTTGTCTCTAAATATCAATGCAGTTGTGAAATAATTTTCTATTGTGTTTTTGTAGAAGATGTTTAATTAATAAATCAGTCCAGCATCATGTTGCTTGTTGTGTTGAGTTTAATTTTTGTGTTGTGTTACTTCTTCTCTTTATTAAATTTCATAAATGTTTTTGAGAATTGTTCAGGCAAGTTTCTGGAGTTTTAAAAATTAAATGTCCAATTCTGGCCTCATGTAGACATGAGGACATCTTAACAGTTTGGGGTCTTATATGTCATGGTGCACCAAATGTTTTCAGTAGGTGACAGGACTGTGGGCAGGACAGTTTAGCAGCAGGACTCTTAGACTCCAGAACTATGCTGTTGTAATCCCTGCAGAATGTGATTTGTTATTGTTTTGCTGAAATATGAAGGTCTGCCCAGAAAGAAAGGTATCTTGATGGCTGCATATGTCACTTCAAAACTTGTAAGCCAGTATTTAACATTCAGTATCAGTGGAGCCTCCTGAGATGTAAAAGCCAGCCATCCTGTGGGCATTTTAGCTTCTCTATACCAACGGGGATGCTTTCAAATATGTGTTGATTACAAGCTTGAAGATGCAGTATCCATGATTTCCAAAAAGAGGCTCTGAAGCCTTTGATCTCTGGACTTAAGGCTCTAACTTGATAAGAGCCTTGGGTCCAGAAAAACTGCTGTTGTTTCAGGATCATCTTTACATGCAGTTTTCTGTTCATATAGTGCAGTTTCATCCTAAATGCTGTTACAGCAACCTGCAAAAAAAAAAAAAAATGTCATGCAGCGCAAAATGGAACTAGAAACTTTTCTTTTCATTGTTTGCAAATCATTTGTGCCATAACTCATAATCAAGCAAAAACAACATGAAATATTGAAACTGCTTTTTTAACTGTGCAGTAATAACAAGCCATATGTTTGTTTGTTTTTTTAGGGTGGAATGTTTGTGTTCATGTTTTCCAGAAAGAATGTCAATGTCACCTGTGTCAGTTTTTAATCAGCTCAAACCTGGAGAAGCTGTCAACATTTCTGAACAATTTTGATATTTTTCTTTTTTTGCATTCCTCAGTTTTAACCTTAATTTTTATTTGCATTCACAAACAGTTTTTTCCACAAATGATGGTTTCTGAAAGAGCCCTGCAGTGATTTCCACAACTGAGTCATGACAGTTTTTAATGGAAAGTAATGTAGTGCCACCTTAAACCCCCGGGAACACGTCCATCCAGGGTTGGCTTTTTCCTTGTCCCTTTTCTATGGTGTTGGGAATTATTCAGAATAACAGCTGTACAAACCTACTTTCAGAATATGAGCACTTTGTTAAATGTACTTAAAAGCAGGATGTGAGATTTGCAAAACATTGAAACCCCAAGGTTTGTTTAAAACAGAACATTGACACTATTTTAATTACTATTTGTAATTCCAAACATTTTTTCCCAACGTTTCTTTGAAACAAATTAAAGAATGTCTTCATTTTGAACTCGCAGCAGCAGGTGAAAGTCATCAGAGCCTCCTGCAGCGACAGGGACCACCTGTACAGGCTGCATACAGACCAAAAGAAAGTGCAATTCCTCAGCTCAACAACAGAGAAAAAAAAAATCACAGGTTTCCAGTCAGTGTTAGCCTCGACCCTCAGACAGATTACAGCTGGTGCTATTCTTCAGGACACACATACACACACACACATACTTATAGGCACTACAAAAACACTCTCACAGTGACCGGTGCGTTTGTCCAGGTCCTCTAATAACTTGCAAGACTGCAGCCAAGGGCAGCACCTGAACACCACGCAGACACATTCACACACGCAATGAAAACGTAAAAACTTCAATCATGACTTATTGATTTCTCCAAAAAGCATCAGCTGCAACTGTCAGACTGTGTATTTTTGTGTGACTCTGTGTATGTGTGTGAAGGTCTGCCTGCTGTCTGACCTCTCCTCCTCTTCCTCTTCCTCTGAGTGAATATTGAACTCTTGCAGCTAAATGTTGCTCTGGTTTTCTGGCTTTAAATTTAGAAGAAAAAAAAAAGACTTAACACCGATCTCAGCTGGTGGGCCATAATTTCAACAATTAATTTTATTTCTTATTTAGGATTGATGTGTTATCACATGACTGTATTAAAAAAGTGCATAATTCCCTTCAACAATGGTGTGTTATCTCTGGAGAGAGATAAGGTATAGTCAACCTTAACACACAAAGCCAAGCAAATCAATCCAGGGAACTTTAACATTTCACCTCTGCCAGGTAACATTTTGGATTATATGAAATATGAAATATGGCGGATATGCATGTTTTGTTTTTGTATTTTTCTGACCTGGAGTGAGAGAAAGAAATGGCACAGAAACAGACACAAGAAGCTAAAATAAATATCAGCCCAATCAACAAAGACTGGTATAGACCCTGGCTTTTAACTTATAGTGTTTAACAAACAACTTAATAGTGCAGAAAACTGACTTTGGTACTCAGTGGGCAGCGGGCGTTAAACTATTGCTGTGGTCCTTGCAATTTCAACACTAAAACAAAATAATGGCAGAAAAACGCAAATATCTTTGTTACGGTTTATAATAGCGCACGGTTAACCGTTACTCTCTCCGCACATCAAGCACGAGCAAAATTATTCGCATGAATGAATTACATGTGAAGTCAATGCAACGACGCAATAAAACGCTTCTACTACCCTGGCAGCATGAATGACGTGAATTGGGCGGGAGCTGAAAATGTCTCAACTTGAGCAGGCATCCCCATTGCGGTAAGTAATCAGCATGAAGATTGCCAAGTGATGAATGAAAACGGACGGTTGTTCACTGGTATGAAGGATGAAGGACAAACTGATCTTGTAGGTGTGTTGGTGCTCAGAATTTTATGATACCTTGATACCGAAACTGGTATAAAAAGAAGCTTGCCTGGAGGCAAGTGAGTGAGGAGGTCGGATTACCTGGTAAATTGTAAAAAACCTGTCTATCACTTGAGCCAGCTGATTGAATTGGTAAGGAATTCCCGTTGAAATTACCATTGGCACGCAAATGAAGCAAGTAAACACTATTCATTCGCGCATCTAGATTTGCAGGAATTAAGCGAGTTGATGATTTTACTTGTGCTTGGTGTGAGTGGCCATTAGTCAACACTGTTGCCATGGAAATGTCGAAATGGTTGAATAGAAGTTGAAGGTGGTTAACAAGTAAAATAACATAGACTACTCTGTATAATGATTCAAAAATCATCAATCCAAGTCCTAAAATGTCAGTTGTTTGGAAAAGCTGTTGCTAACCGACCAGTGGCGGCTGCTGGTCTTTCAAGGAGGGGAAGCTCATTTTTCTGGCGTACATCATAATTGTATTTGTTTATTAGTATGTAACAGAACAGAGTCGCCAAACACAACGGCAGTCGTTTTTAACAAAGACAAAAGTCGCTGAGGATCGGTAAAGTCTCCGGAGCAGTTAAGAACAACGGAATGAATGACTTGGAAAACGCTCTGGTAGATGTTTTATTCTTCAACATCGCTGATTCGCTTGTTTAGCTGTCAATCAAAAAAGGATTTCGCCTCAGACAGCTCATCCAATCATGGATGCAGAAGCTTGGAGTCTGGGAGAAAGTCGGGACCGCCCTCTCGCCATAGAACTCCAGTGAAGCTGGGCTTCCATTGGGCGGGACAAAGCCCAGCATTTATCCAATGAGCATCTAGTTTCGCTGCTGGAACAACCCACTTTAAGCTTCCACATTGAAGTCAGCAGAAGCCCAGCGTCCGGCTGTTTAAAGCGCTGAGGCGCTGCGAGGATGAATGAGAACGAAGTTGTGCCGGTTACCTGTGATTATCAGCTTCTTA